CGATTCCGGGCGGCGTCGACGCCATGTACACGTGGAGGCGCTGGCGCAGCGCGTGGTTGAACAAAATGAACTGCGAGCCCGTGACGTTGCGGACGACGGGGACCGTGGCGAGCGCGACGAGCGAGCAAAAGCCCGTAAAGAAGGCGCGGATGATGTTTTCGGCAATGCCAGGAAAGACGAGGATGTAGATAAAGTAAAACAAGATCACGAGCACGAGGATCTTGAGCACCTACATCGACACAGTTTGTGAGAGAGGCGTCCCATCACCATGGTTCATCGCACCGTCACGCCTTCGTGGAGGAGCGTCTTGGCCGAGCCCTTGCGCACCGTGATGAGGCGGTAGACGTTGCCGACCGCGTTGACCCATAGCAGCAATGGCACGCCAAAGACCCAGAGCGGCCATTGGCACAGGAGCGACGTGAGCCCGACGACCTGGAGCGCCCAGCAAAAGAGGCCCACGCGCAGCAGCCAGTGCGTCTCCCACAGCAGCATCTCGTGCGCTTCGTCCGGCTTCCTACAGGCATGCGTGAGCGCGCGTGGCATATGCAGGCGGCTACAGGTAGACGTCGCCGGTCACGTAGCGCAGGAGGAAGAGCCCGAACTTGGCCATGGGCAGCGCGATGACGAGCGAGAAGAAGAGGAGGACGACGCCGAGGTAGAGCTGGTAGTCCTGGGACCCGGAGCTCCACCAGCGGCTAAAGTCGTCCGGGCCCTTGAGGATGCAGACCTCCGACATCGATGGGACAGTTGCGCGACTGCGGCGTGACTCATCACTGGCGTATTTAATACGCCTATTTTATTTTACATACAAAAAGCAAGTATAAAAGTGTGAAATAGTTTAAAAATACCATCGTTGCACGCGAAATCGCGACGCCGTTGCTTCTGATTGGACAAAAAGGAATCCCGGCCTTTAGCGCGATCCTGGATTGCCTCACAGCAAGTCGCAGCCTGGATGCATGCAGCGGCCGCACTGTCATCTTGTGCGTGGGAAGAGACTGCCGCAGAGATGAGGACGAATGAAGCTGTGAAAGGCAGGAGGATGACGACGATGCATTTGTGGCATAACGCCAGTGTCGAGACTGGTTCTGGTTCATGATTTTTGATTCTGGTCGGGTGGTATCGCCATCGCGCGCCGACTGGCGCACGCTCGACTCGAAGCGCGAAAGTGGTTTGCTTGTCGTTTGAGCCTAGCCTACTCGAATGAAATGTACGAGCATGCGTTGTCGGCCCAAGGATGTGCCTGGAGGCGCTCCGAGCTTGCTTGATGTGGGCGAGGACGCCGAGCGCCTCTCTCGACATGCGCGAGGAAACGAGTTTGATGATCCGCTTCATCCATCATGCATAGTCAAAGAGATGTAGCAGGTCGTCTGCGTCCAGGGACGAGCTTCGCCTGCGACATTGATGATATTCTTCACTTCGGGGTCTGCAGGAGGGGTTATGGACTCCACAACACTACGCAGTACGACTTCATTTAAGGCGCAACATATATATGTCCTACGCGAGCAGAGCGATGATGACAGCAGGTAGCAGCTGATCGCCACGGACAAGCTCCAGCGTGAACGTATGCGGCGTTTGGGTAGCTCCACGAGGGCAAGCGGACCTGCGTCGATAAAATCTTGCACTTTCCCAGGAGGCTCACAAAGAGGGAAGCGATTGCGGAGCGAGCTCGGCGCGGGCGACTTGCCGATGCCCACGGTGCTCCCGAAGCGTTCTTTCACAAGGTCGGTCGCCTCGATGTCCCAGACAAAGAGACCCGATATATCCGTATTAGCGTCGCGCCAAAATGGCGTCACATGCGATTGGCTAAAATGCCACTATCTGTAGCACCGTGCTGATTGGCTCATCGGATACTTCTGCCCAGGGATTGGTTGTTAATCTGCACCACGGCTTGGTTTCGCGGCAACTCGATGGAGAAAATGGAGAAGATGGAGGTCAAGTACGAGGAGCCGGCGAAGAAGCCGGGCTTCATGATCATGGGCTACGGCGTCGACTTCCCGCAAGGCAAGACGCCGTTCCCATCGCAGCTCGCGGTCATGAGCAAGGTGCTCTTGGCGCTCAAGAAGCAGCAGAACGCGCTGCTCGAGAGCCCGACAGGGTCCGGGAAGACGCTCGCGCTCCTCTGCTCGTCGCTCGCGTGGCAGCGCCAGCACATGCTTGACCTCCGCGAGGCCGAGAACAAGCGCATCAACGAAGAGGTCCAGCGTAAGCTTGACGCGCCGGCGCCGGTGGCTGCGCCCGACCTCGACTCGAGCGTTGCCAGCATTGACGACGACTTTGCACCCGTCTCGTTCTCGCAGTTCCAGTTTGACAAGAAGCGGCAGCTGCCCGACTCGCTACTGCCGTACACGACTGCACCATCGGCAACTGCCTCGACGCCCGCGTCAGCGTCGACGACCGCCGACGTCCCGGCCGTGGCCAAGGAGAAGATCCCGACCATCTACTTTTGCTCGCGAACGCACTCGCAAATCTCGCAGGTATTGCTGCTTCCTGTATGAAGCCATCGCTACATGAATTGCATGCAGGTCGTCCAAGAGCTCCGGCGCTGCCCACACGCCGACAAGGTCAAGATGGTCGTGCTTGGCTCCAAGAAGCACTACTGCGTCAATCCGGCCGTGCGCAACCTCGACCCTGGCAAGATCAACGACGAGTGCTCGACGAAGCGCGAAGAGAACAGCTGCAAGTTTGTCAAGAAGGTATTTTGATTCCTGCCAATTGACCATCCGAATTACTCTTCGTAAATGGTGATACTAGCTCAAGATGCACAACGAGATGAAAAAGGTCGTGCCGCCTGTGTGGGACATTGAAGAACTCGTCGAGGTCGGCGAAGAGCTCCGCGAGTGCCCGTACTACTACACGCACGCGGCGGTCGAGCAAGCGACGCTGGGTAACTCGTATCCTCTTCCTTCTTTCCTTGAGCATCGACATATCTAGTGTTTTGCCCCTACAACTACATTATGGACCCAACAATCCGTGCGGCGGTCAAGATCGACCTTAAGAGCGCGATTGTGATTCTCGACGAAGCGCACAACATTGAGGACGTGTGTCGGTCGTCCGCGAGCATGGAGCTGACCTACGACCAGCTCGAAGACGCATCCAAGTCGTTTGAGATCACGATCAAGGCCCAAATAATGAAGAGCCCCTCGTATATCATGCTGCTCAAGATTCTCAACGGCTGGAAGCGCTGGCTCAGTAATGTCGATCGCGAAAAGCAGCTTCGCCCGAACGGGTCAGCAAGTGCAAGACAATCTGTCCTCATCCGACCGTATGTAGGTACGAGACCGAGTCGCAAAAGTGGTCTGGCGCCGATGCCATTGCCGTACTCGGTGATTACTGTGGTGTGACTGCTGCCAACATTAACGACACGATTGAGAATTACCACACCGGTACTCGTTGTCCAACATACTAAAATTACTTATAGTATGTGTCTAGTCGCGACCGAAGAGCGCACGAGCGATGACGACCCCGGCAACCCGACCGAAGCTGCCTCGCAGACCCAGCAAAAGGGAGGTACGTTTGATTTGTTTTGTTTTCTTTTCGTTTTGATTTTTGATTTTGAATGGTAATCTTGCTACGTAGTCAAGCTCACGTCGGTCGCGCTTCTCAGCGTTCTCTCGGTCCTCACGGTGGCCAAATTCTTGTTTCGCCATGTCGACGACTACAAGCTCGTGGCTGTCAAGTCCCGTCCGTTTGGCGGTGCGTCGTCGTGTTGCATTCATTTGAGCCCATGTGTTTGATGGCGTAGGCGGCAAGAAGGCGGCCCAGATGCAGCTCAAGGTCTGCCTCTGGTGCCTTCACGCCGGCGTGGCCTTTTCCGAAATCACGGCGCAGGTCCGTTCTTCTACACCATGCTTTTCTGAGCCTTACCATTGGCTGACAATAGGTGCGCAGTGTCATTTTGACGTCGGGCACGCTCAGCCCTATGACGAGCTTTGCGGGCGAGCTCGGGACGAAGTTTCCCATCACGCTCGAAGCCAACCACGTGGTTGACATGCGCAAGCAAGTGTTCCTTGGCGCGGTACGCTGGTCGTTTGGAATGCAGCCTGGAAAATGGGGTGTTTCTAGATCATGACGGGGCACAACCGGGTGGATCTTAGCGCGTCGTACTCCAACCAACAAGACCTCGCGTACCAAGATGCGATCGGGCAACTCGTGCTGCGGTATGTCGAGTGCTTTCTTTGAACCCAAGTCGACTATTTATTTGTAACTAGCTATAGCGCGATCATTCCGGGTGGCATCCTCGTCTTCCTGCCGTCGTACCGGCTCATGGCGCAGCTCCACGCGCGCTGGGAGCAAACCGGACTTCTCGACGACATTGCGCAGCGCAAGCAGGTGTTTACAGAGCCCCGGAGCGCCGGCAAGGACTTTGACGAGCTCCTCGAAGAGTACAAGAATGTGATCACAAAGTACCGCGCGCCGAGCAAAACCGATGCCGCGTTGGCAGCAGTCGATGTGACCAGCGACGGCGACGACGAGAAGCCCAGCCTCGAGTCCGTCATGCCTCCACTGCAATTCATTTTCTCATGCAAGCGCGTAGGACCAAGACGGGTGCGGTGTTTATGGCTGTGTACCGCGGCAAGGTCAGCGAAGGCATCGATTTCTCCAACGACAATGCGCGGGCCGTGCTTGCGATTGGCATTCCGTTTCCCAACATCAAGGAGCAGCAAGTGGCGCTGAAACAGTAAACATACCTACGATCTTATTGCAGCTCACACGCTTTGCAGGAATATCAAAACATGAAATCGGTGACCAACAAGGAGCTCTCGAACGGCCGCGTGTGGTACGAACACCAAGCATTCCGCGCGCTCAACCAAGCGCTCGGTCGGTGCATTCGCCATCGGCTCGACTATGGTGCGATCCTTCTCGTGGATTCGCGTCACCGGTATCTCGCGCGTCTACCAACACGCAACTTATCGATCCGGTAGGTCAGGGCGGTATGCGAACCAGCTCTCCAAGTGGACGCGGGGGCACTTGCTCGAGTACGAGCATGCCGAGTTTGCAACGCAGGACGTTAAGGACTTTTTCGCGCGCGTGACGACCGACGCGTCACTCGAAGTGCCGATCGAGGCGCCCAAGCCCGTCAAGGCCAAGAAGAAGACGAACGCGCGGGCCACCAAGGGTCGCAAGGCGTCCGCATCCTCGGGTTGGTACTCGAAGAAGCCCAAGACAGAGCAGTCGTCCTCGAGTGGCTACGCGTCGAGCTTTGTAGCACCCGGCTCCATCTCGAGCTGGATGGCCAACCACACGACGACGGACGACTGAGTCGACGCCGTTGAGCACGCGATAGGCGAACTAGTAGCTGTACGTTTTTGATAGTAGATGGAAGAATGTGGGATTCAAGGACGGTACACCACGCCGAGCATAACCCACGCACCGACAATGCGCTCGGGGTAGCTGTAGACGCGGATGGCCAAACCAAACTGGGCTGGGCGCGCGTGGGTTTGGAGGAGCGCCTTGGCCGTCGAGTCGCGAAGAAGCTTGTGCACAATCGCGTCGCTGGAGAGCCCGGGCGCGCTCGACACAAAAATGGGACAGCCTTGGAACGTCGACCCCTCGGGCACGTAGCGCTTGATGCTCATCTGGCATATATTCTACCGTCAGCAACTATCAGAACGTAGAGAAGAAGCTACCTCAAAATGGTTGTTTTCGAGGTTGCCGATGCCGTATGTCCGCTCGAGCTCGTACGAGGTGAGCGCAGGTCGGAGGTAGTGGCTCAGTGTCGACGTCCACTGCGTGGTGTAGCCGTAGCCGCGGCGCACGTCTGCAAGCTGGCTCTGCACGGCTGCTTCGAGGGCGGCTCCATCCGGCTCGGGACTCGGTGGTACCAAACCGATGGGGCTCTCGCGCTGCAGCTGCCGAATCAAGCTCGACTCCATGCTCTTCCAGTGCTTGGTGTCATGAAAGTCGAGGTGCATCGATTTGAGAGGCGCAGGAGATTCGACATTTTGGCGGCTTACAAAGAAGGTGCGGTCGTTGAAGACGCAATCGATGCGGGCGTACGGATGAGACGCGTTCCACGGGTAGCGCACGCCCGTGACGGCTTCCCAGAGCACGACTCTAGAGCCTGCTCATCAAGAAACGGGATATTTGGCGAACGTACCCGGCTTTTTCTTTCAAAAGTACCCACGTGTGCGGGACGAGCTCGTCTTTCTGCGTGAGCGCACCCATGACCACATAGGCATCCAAGCCGAAACCGAGCAAGAGCGATGCAAGCAGTAGCTACATCAACGATGAGCGCCAACGCAGAACAAAACGACGTGGTCGTATAGCTCCCACCGCGTGCTCTTCGCAGTCGCCTCGGCCGATCGCGAGAAAGGCCGGGAGCGACTTCCACCCGTCCTGTCGATGCCCGCCGCCGATGGCCACGGCGCGCACAAATGGAATGAGACTCACGAAGCGCGCGGCTTCGGTCGGTGTCGCAATGCACCGGCTTTGCAGCGGCACGATGTAGGTGCACACCTGTGTCCATGGCACGAAATAAACAGCCCGAAAAAAAATGGCGCGAGTTTGTACCATGCGATGCCGATGGGTTTCATCTTCGGTGAAGATTCGCACGGCACGCGCCTTTGTCGACTGGAGCAGCGTCACCTCTTCCCACCACTGCTTGGCATACTGGTAGAACGTCGTGTGCACGGCGTTCGTGGTCAAAAGTTCTTTTTGCAAAAGATGGGCCACGTCACGGGCAATCGCCGTGCTTTTCCGAAACCCAAGCAGATCCAGACGCACGTCAAGGAACCCGATCGGTATCTTGAGCGGGCCTTGGAGCTGCAACGGAAAGTGCGCGGTCGCATGGGTGCAACTCATGACCCGGCGCCAGTCGACGCGGGCGGCGGCGACAAACTCGACCGCGCCTGTCGCCTACACCCGAGAAAACCAGATGCTAAATCAACGGAGGTGCATGATATGCACTATGAATGCGACGTAATGCTGTACCTGCGAAAGCTTGAGGAGCGTGACCTGCATGGGATCGCGCAGCCGACACAAAGCCTCCCATTTCGAGAGCACCTCGAGCGTCGACGACGCCGTCGGTGCTGGTAGCGGGATGTGGAATGTCTCGTCAAACGCTGGCTCGGGAACGCAGTCGACCACCCGCGACTGGAAGCGGTGGCCGAGAAACGCCACCTCGACGCGGAACCCACACCGGTGGCTTTCCGGATTCGTCACGCAGTCGACAAAGGCCCGGCCGCCGAGAAGCCGGAGTTGCAGCATCGGTGCGGGCGAATCTGGCGCCGCTATTTCGGGCTCCGACGTCGGTGAGACTGTGGCCGGCGCTGCACTTGCTTTGAGGGACCCAATGAGCTGCTGGACAATGTCACTCTCGAGGAGGCCGTTCACCACCGTGTCCGTGTCGGTGGGTGCATCTGGCGCCGTGGCCTGGATGAGGTTCCGGAGCTGCGCGTACACGCCTTCGTCGCGCAGCTTGGTGTCAATGAGCGTTCGCAGAGCCACGATCTTATCCATGTTCATGGCCTCCATGGCGTGCGTTGGTTGCTGTCGGTTTTGCGTTTTGGTGCAGCTTTTCATCGCGACGGAGGTGCTTTTTATCACGCAATGGGTGCGCCTTTGTGATGGATATGTGTCAATCAGCAACAACTCAGTCGTGGATCAGATGAGTCTGCCGGCAACGGCTTGTGTCGCGCGTGGTTTCTTGAGGCCGCGTCGGACCACCGACCACGTCGTTGATTCTACGAGTTAGGAGGTACGACGCCTCGGTCGGACTTCTTCCTTCTTCCATGAGTGGCCGCGGTTCAAGCATGTGTCAACCGCGAGAACGTTATGACTCGTTGCATGGACGGTCGTCCCACAGAGTGGTATCGCCTCACCGGCCGTGGAGTCATCCGATTCCTGCACCGTGGGCTTTCAGTACACAACCTCAGCAACTGCGAGTGCCACCTATGATTCCTCCAGGCACGCTTACGGACGTTGATGCAGCACAGGTGTCAACATTTGCCCCAATCATACCACGGGCGCGGCGCGTCATGGCGCGATTGCAGCGACAGCCTCGCATTTCGCTGCTTTACGACGAGATCCAGAGAACGCAAGGATCGCTATGGCGTGCGAATGCTACCGTACGCTCGTAGACGCCATGAAGACACTGAGTACCATAGCAGGTGGTGGAAGCTTCTTCTGCCGTTGGTGCAGCGACGAGGCTCTCTTTCGAAGCGTGGGACCTGGCTCATACGGCGGTTTCCACAGAAAGGGCCGATCTTTTATTATTTCGAGGAGCCAATCCGATCGAGAAAGACATCTGTCCCACCGAGACCGAGTGGTTTTCGCACCACATTTTACATTTTGGCTCCGATGCGCCAGACGTATCATTACCACTACGACTCACTAAGCTGGCGGCCCTGCCGCGCGCACGCGTGCGGCCGGTTCGCCAAGGTTCTGGGTCTTTGCCTCGCCCACGCCGACCACCCGTCATCGTCTGCCGCGTTCAAGCAGTCGCCGACAACCAGTGCCGACGCCCTGCGCCAGCCCACCATCACAACGACCGGGCGCGTTTGCAAGGCGCACGCGTGCTCGAAAACGGCAAAGTCGGGTGGCTACTGCATCGCGCACGGCGGCGGCAAGCGCTGCGGCGCCGCCGCGTGCGCCAAGTCGGCCAAGGAAGGGGGTTTTTGCATTGCCCACGGAGGCGGGAAGCGCTGCGCTCTTCTCGGATGCACGAAATCTGCGCTCGCAGGCGGCTACTGCGTCAGTCACGGCGGCGGGAAGCGCTGCAGTGTCCCAAATTGCACCAAGTCGGCCGTCTCGAGCGGCGTGTGTATTGCGCACGGCGGCGGCAAGCGCTGCCAGCGCCCTGGCTGCAGCAAGAGTGCTGTCGGCGGCATTCTTTGTGTGTCCCATGGAGGCGGTCCGCGCTGCGTCTACGAAGGCTGCAACAAAGGCGCGGTAAGCTGCGGGATGTGCATCAAGCACGGTGGCGGCCGGCGACAGCCCGCCCGCCCGACGCCACAGGCGTCCAGCTGAGACAAAGCCACGCTAACTTATTTTTATATAATCGATCGCAAAACATGAAATATACCAGTAGGAAACGGTTGAAACGCAAAAAGCAACCCGCGGCTCGTGAAATTGATCTTTCCCTGCAGCTTTCCCAGCAGGAAATACGACAATGGAAATGGATGCCGGATCTACAGAGGATGTAGCTCACCTCGTGGGCTTGCCATGGGGTTGATACCACTTAGATAATGCGATGGGAGGTCCGAGACTCGACCGATGTTGGCGCTGCTGCCGAAGTGCGAGGTGACCAAGCTCGCACCGCTTCTCCAAACTTGATGTTCCTTTCCGGATAACCGGTGATGGGCTACCGGTACAGGTGATGGTGTGCGTAATCACGTTTTTCGAGATTGCGGATTGCCATGCGGACAAACCTTCCGTTCGACAGTTCGTGAAAAGGGTTTAACCCGTGGGTTAAACATCCTTGTTTCGGGCCAAAGTCCTGAATTCCACGCTGAAATTCGGATGCCACATCCTTTTCGGATATTGAGTGGCTAATATTCGGACTGTGCATTTTCGATTTTGCAACCAACAAAGCGATGACCCGTGGCGACCAACGTGACCGCGACCGCGCGGTACGGCATCGCCGAACAACGCTTCTGCAATAGCTCACGCTGATTCTTCTCTGTATAGAAAGCCCAGGCCCGTGCTGCCAAGGCCGGTGGTGCCGGCGGCCGCAAGGACGACCTGACGCCGCTCCAGCGCCGTGAGGCTGACAAGAAGGCGCTCGAGGAGAAGATTGCCAAGAAGAAGGCGGCGAAAGAAGGTTCCTCGTAGCCCCCCACGCGCTGTATAGCCCTTATCAACGTAAATGTTGAGTTTACCTTATTACGCGGCGAGTCCTCTTGGCCATTCATTGCCGCCATTTCAAATGCGGCCAAGTAGCTGCGGTGTCGACGGCGCTGCTATGAACCAGCAACGCATACGGCAGTCTCCAGCGAGCGTGCGACGATCAATCGAGACAATCGGTGGATACTGAACTATTACACGGCACCATGACGACCATGCAGAAAGTGGGTCCATCTCCTCAAACGCTACTCGCTTCGACGACCACATCGTGGCGCTGACTTGCACGCAGCTTGCACAGCACATGCGGCGTCTGTGAGGTGGTGTCTGCCACCTTGAGTAATGAAATACCTACGGAACTATTTTACCACGTCACGACGCCGACTGGATTAGAAATATTTAAAACTCGGCGCAGTTCGCATTTAGGATGTCGCTGAGCTTGGTTTGGACGGCCCGTTGGGTAGTTTACTGGCCACGGGGGCGTAGATGCCAGACAGAATTTGCAGTATCCACTGCGTGTGCACTGTGAGGCGCTCGTCTTTGACTTGAATCGCTGCAGGGACGGCGTCGAGCTTGGCTTCGCAGCGCAAGATGGCGCGGGCTTGGGTTACCGTCTCCGAGACCCGATCAAACACGAGCCTAAACCACCGCTTGTCAACGGGATGCCGCATGGAAAGAGATGATGACGCAATACCATCCTGAGAGACAGAGGAGACGGCGCTGGTCAATCGCATACAATTCGTCGTTCGTGATGCTTTGGAGGACAAGAATGACGCGGTTGTCGCGGATGTAGCGCCGGTAGAGCACGTGCAGGAGGAGCGGCGTCCCCGGCTCCATGCCGTCCGCGACGACGACCTGTGCGTAGCCGAGCTGAATGTCGAGAACCTATCGTACTTGAGCAGTCTTCTTCTTCTTCTCGGCGACGATGTCGGTCGTACCGAGTGGCGAGAGAGCAAGACGCCGGGCAAAATCGTCTTGAACGTCGGCCACTCGACGCTACTGGCAACGTCGAGCGGCTGCAGCATCGAGCAGCTCAGCACAAAGTCGATCGCGGCGTCACCGTAAAAGATCTTGGGGTACTCGCTTTGCGCTACATCCAAATACGTCTGCACGCACGAGAGCGCGGCGTCCGTCTTGTTGCGGAGGTTGGTCAGCACCAAGTCGCAGCTGCTCGAGCGCTGGCTTGGCGAGGCAGCCAAGACCACTGTCGTATACCAGTCGGAGCCCAACACCTACACCAACGTGCTATTTAGATTGCTCCTCGCGACACGAGACGACGTACAGGAATCACGTTCGGGTTGGCCGGCGTCGAAAAGAGCCGTTGGTACAGCTCTTGCATGCGCTGAAAGTTGAACGACCGGCGGGGATTCGGCGAGCCCTCGGTCGGAGGCTGGCCGCCCGCCGCCGGTGGCCGCGTCGACGCGCCATTCCCCATGGTCTTATCCACGGGCGCTAAAAATGGACTTGGTCAAAACGGCCTCCCATCGATGACGCACCAACCGCGACACAAATGTACTCGTACGTCGTACCGCAACAACGTGGAAACACTGGGAACACACGCCATTTCCCAACCGAACCGGGAGTTGGTCGCCTCGTGTTTAGTAGCATCGACAACACGCTGCAGCTGAAGCCACCGAGAAAACGTGGTTTGAATCTGCAGAGATTGAATACTTGACGATACTACACGATTTAAACATACTTTCTACGATTCATTTATTACAAGTTCGACACACAAATGGACGCATTTCACTTAGGCGGCGCTATCAGTTGGTGTGCGATGCAGCGCCTCGTAGTGGTCCTCGGGCGTCGTGAGGTCGGCAAGTGGCACACGCGCGAGGTCGGGCATCGACTGCGACGCCAAGAGGCCGACCCACGTCATGATGGTAAAGGGCCACGTGAGCACGGGGAGCGCCAAGATCGTAAACACCGAGCTCGTCGCGCAGTTGAAGAGGAACGTCGCGCCGACGCACGCCGTCACAAGCACGACCGTGCGCCAATGGCGCGGCGCCAGAAAGAAGCCAGAGAGCGCGATCGCATTCAGTACGGGGTTGTAGCCGTGCAAGCCGAGGAGGAGCCCTGCGCTGGGCGCCTGCATGGCAATTGCAAGTAGCGTCGCAGCCGTCGACGCGAGCAGTGCAGCGACCGCGCTCGTTGGCGAGCAAAGGAAGATGCCGAGGAGCATGACGACACCAGAGAACCAGTCGCCGACGAGACAGGTCTCGGCGATCCCAGAGAAGATCGTCTGGACGATCGCAGCCGCGTCGTAGGACACAGTCGACAGCGTCGCGTTGAGCACGAGGCGGGGCGCTGGAAACGCCATGATTTCGAGACGCGGGTACAGCTGCGTCGAGAGCACGTAGATCCACATCGACACTTGGAAGGGAAACGTGAGGGTTGGAAGACCGGGTGGCAGCGCCGCGGCCGTCGCCGTCGCCAAGAGGACGCTGAGACACGAGAGCAGCACGATGACAAGGCTCGCCACGCCGTACGCATCACCGGTGAAGAACGTGTGCACCGCGCACCCGACAAGCGTCGCGTTGTAGCCGTGGAGACCGGCGGCGCGCAAGTGTCGGTCCAGGCCCAGGAGGCACGAGAAGGCCGTGGCCGACACGACGCCGAGCAGCGCAAAGGCGACCATGCGCAGCCCTTGCGGCGAGAGGCCGAGCGCGACGAGGAAGAGAAGCCCTGAGAGCGGCGAGTTTTGAAAGTTGCATTGGCCGACGCCGCGGAGGCACGCGTCAAGAAACGCCAGCGCTTGATGCTTCTCGGCGATGACGGCCAGTCGCGGCAAAGTACGAAAACATGCGACGCGGCCAAGGACCGGCAAGGTCCGTCGGGGACTCGGCGTGAGGATCGCTTCGGTGGCCTTGGTCGCGGGCGCCACCTTGGGCGACTCCATTGCGGACCACGGGTCCATTTCGATGGATGGCAAGGCGGACGTGAAATCGGGAATAATGGCTGGCCCGTCGCGTAAAGCCATCCTCGGTGTTGTTGAAGTTTGGAATGCAACTGTGGAAACAGCTGGCCGAGTCCAACATGGCGAGTCGCATAAGATCGCCCGGCCCATTGCCGAGTTCGATCGACCGAGAAGACCGTTGCAGGAATGCTACATCGAAGGTTAGCAAGCGCCAGCGTCGTGCCACGTACTTGAAGAAGCAACACCGAGCGTGCTGGATCCTGCGGCGACGAACCATTGTCGCTCTTGTGCAACAGCAAGGGCAATCCCGGTACAGTCCATGTACTGCCAAAGGCGGGCGCTTGGCGATGGGAACTACCATTCATTCCGTGGTAGGATCAAGGGAGGTAGAGTGCTTCGACACAGTCGGCTGGGAGATCGTCCGATGACCAAACCTCTTGTGCTCTTGCACGGCTAGACAGGTACAGTGGTGTTGCTCCACCTCATTTGCGTCGAGTCGCTGGGTTTTCTCGAAGCCACAGGTACCGTGTACTCGACGTCTCGAGCCACCCACCCAGCCATGGAAGGAAGATCTAGAATTTTTGCCTCACTTTTGACTGGCTCAGGGCTGTAAATTAATGCATCCGCACCCACCGCGAGACACCCCACGTTTCGGGCGCTGGGCCATTACAAATGGCTCTGATTTGCGGGCCAACATTGCTCGGCGGCGCAATCATCCAGCATTTGGCTTGGCCTTGCCTTCTGAACGGTGAAACCGTACCCACGACCACCTTGTTCACCCACGAGAGCTACCCACGAGGTACCTTGGAGAACCTTTTTGCGCCATGGGTGGTAGCAATCATGGGTACATTCTTGCACTCGAGAGCGAGTGCGTCACATCACGTTCCATGGTACATGTACCAAGGGCATGTACCAAGCCGCATGAAACCGCCCTGCTCGCTTCGTCTGCTGCGTCGACTCGAGCTGAGTGAAGCGAACTGCGGGAGTTTTGCAACAATTAAGCCCAAAGCTAGTACTACTCGCTAGTACTCCATGCACAAGTTGTAGAGATCTCTCATCGTGCAGAAAGATCCTTTGCGGAGGAGGGTATGTTGTTGACCATCTTTCGGCATCGCCTCGTGTCGTCGAAAGCAACCCACTTGGCCAAACGCTATTTTTAAACGCTATAGTCGGGCGCCTCGAACGGCGACGGCGATGGCCGACGAGAGAAAGTCCATTAGACGTACGGGATAAGATGCGATCTATCTGATTCAAGCCGACGGCGTAGCGTCTCAATCCCTACCCGTCCTCGAAGCTGTGCGCATTGCGAAGCGGTTGTCGATACCACGAGGCGACAGCATCAAGGCCATCGAGACCACGTCAACACCGGTATGACCACACCCATGACATTTATTGTGTTGCTCGAGCCGCGACGGTAGGAAGCCAAGCTTTCGGCACGCGGCGTGTGTCACCGAACGAGCGCACATTTCGAGGGGCTTGTCAAGGTGCCGCTTTCTTTCTCCATCGAATGCAATGAGTCAATGACCTGTTCTAGTCGTCCACGTGGGTGCTCAAGAATGCCCTGTCATCCGAAGTTGGCCGGCCCGTACGCGAAGCCCACGTTCGGATCGGCCGCGCCTACGCCTACTACCGGCTCGGGCAGTACAAGCAAGCACTGCAAGACTTCACCTCGTGCATCGACATAGACCCCGCGTGGGCTCTGGCCTACTTTGATCGAGGTTTCTAGATTGCATAGCTCTGCGACGTAAAGGCAACCATAGGGTGCACCTACTATCACATGGGAAAGCTCGACCGTGCAATCCAAGACATAACGAAAGCCATCAAGTTCGACCCCAAGAACAAGACGTACCTCGACAGCCGGGCCATGCTCTACCGTGAGCACGTACGAGACTTCTACGACATGTGCATTTGCATCGACGACGGACTGCATTAGGGCCATTTTCGCGAAGCCATTGCCGACTACAACCGCATCGAAGGACTCAAGATCGTCCCGCCGGACGAAACCATCTTTGGCCTCGAAGCTGCCGTCGCCACGCACAACATTACACAGCGGCGACCCGTGGCCAAGAGCTTGCACGACGAGCTGGACCCGCGCATCATGAGTGTCTTTCGCTACGTCGGACAACCGCACTTCTGTCCATGCACAAAGCGACTTGATATGGTGTAGAAGCCCAAGGAGCGACCAGAAGCGACGATTCTCAGTGGCTACCAGATTGCCAAGTCGTGGCGTGTTTTTGAGCGGGAAAGTCAGGTTCAAATGCTATCAAAACTGTCCTTTTGTTTCGAAATACCTACTACGATGCTAGAATGTGATTGTGGACTTTTTACAAGTCGGCCGCCTCGAGTCGTATGCTGCGCGGAGCTACATTTTCCGACAAGGCGATGACGCGGCGCACTACTATATCATTATGGCCGGCAGTGTCGTTGTCACGACGGAATCCATTGGTTCCACGTCCAATCCAATGCGGGATGGATGCTGACTATGGATAGAAAATGGACAAGTCAAGACGCAAAAGCTCTGTTCGCTCTTTGAAGGCGACGGCTTTGGCGAGCCACGCGAGTTTCATGGTCCGCGCCGCGCGTCCGTGCTCACGTCCGACACGGTGCACTGCCTCGTGGTCTCGCACCAGTTTTACCAAAACATCATGGAGCGCCACGTCCAGAGCCAGCTCGAAGAAAAGTGCGCCGTGCTGCGCAAGTGCCGCGTGTTTGACTCGTACTGGATGCCTCTTGTCGCATGACAATGCTCATCGCATTTAGGTGCACCGACGAGGTGCTGCAGCGTGTGGCCCAAATGTCCAGTCTCCTCATGTTCCAGCCCTATCGAACCGTGATGAAAGCTGGCGACATGGTCGACAAGCTCTACGTCATCAAGCGAGGCGTATGCACTGTCAAGAAGCTGCTTCCCATCGACGCCAAGCACGGCGAGAGCGCTAGTCGGTACGCTTCCGTCCACTCTCCCTCGTCCACTTGACGTTGCCGGCTGAGTAACGCTATTGTCTGTATAGCGAGGTGGGTCGTTCGATCCCAATGACTGCTACGCAAGGCCTGTTGTAGGGAAAACGATCCAGTGTGAAGCGTACAAAGGTCCCCGAGTGCTACGACGGCTCGTGGGCCGTCGACAATGGTTGGCAGCTGACCAATCCGCGTCTCCGCAGCGAATTTGCGCCAGAAGGTACACTGGATTTGCTGTGATATGTGCGTGCCACTATCAACACGACTTTTAGACAAGGACGCGGAGCCATCGAAGTCACGATTGCAACGCTGTCGACGGGCCAAGTGTTTGGCGAAGTTGGTCGTTATTTCAAGGAAAATCTGTACAAAATAGCGTGTGTAGGTGTGTGTTTTGCGGCACAACCAGTCGTCGACGATTTCCGTCACGTCGGACACGCTTCTGGAAGTGCTCGAGCTCAACCAGAACGGTCTCGCACAACTCAATCTCAAGTTCAACAGCCGCACCATGAACGCGCTCCAGAACTCGTTCCTGTACCACAACCCGCCGCACCCCAAGATGGCCCACCTCTTTGGCGAGCAGCTCTCGTGGCGCCAGGAAAAATCGCGCATCGTGCTCGACGTGCTCGAAGACAGCCCCGGGAATGGCGTCGTCAAGCGCGCGACGCTGGGTCGACACTCGGCGTTGGACCCATCAACCTTTTATATTAATTGACACATCGTCCTTTTATTGAGCTTGTCAGTCAGTACCTATGTACCTGAACAACAGCACGACACGGTGCAAGTTCTTCAAATCAATGAGGGTTTAATGGTGCTGCGATGCCTGTAAGAGACGGGATGGTGACGACAGGCGTGCGATCGCGCCACAAAAAGAAACAGTCCCTATACAGACCCTAATCAGCTCCCATGACGAAGGGACGGGATCGCAGCTGCAGGAGGCTTCCCAGCGTATCATATCGCATCTGCGGGACACTCGCTCGTTGCTGTTCTGGCCATCTTGCCCTGTTGGATGCGGCGCCATCGTCGGAAGCGATGGCGGGACCGCTGGACGCGAGTTGCAATCAAGGGACGGCAGTTGTAATATTGATCGTCGTAGTTGCTGCCTCCGACAACTGGTTATCACACCCCGTCCCGCGGGGTTTTGCCATAACTTAAAAATCCACAGACGTATCACGTCGTCGTCAGTACGTAATGGCGACCAACTCGATGCGCCCGCACTTTTGACACGCCAGCGGCACGAGCTCTTGGCTCAGAAATAGCTGCGCCTGCTCCCGCTGGAGCATGGGCGGCGAAACATTGTCGTGGTCGAGAAGACAGTCCAGCTCGTAGCATCGAAACTGTCGCTGGGCCTGCTCGATGGCTTTCGCCCGCCTCGAGCCCAGGCCCGTGTCGTGGGTCATGAGGTAGTGCTCGTCGTCGATGCCGCCGCCTTCGCTGTCGGTACTGCAGCCGCTGTACCGTGGTGACAGCCGGCACGGAAACGCTGGTGGTGGCGGCGGCCCGAGCGCAAACTCATCGAGATCGTCGAGGAGATCCTCTTCGTTGTCGTCATCGTCGGCCGCTGGGTTGCGCACAGGCGCACGGTAGTCGACCCAGTCGCTAAAAGGGTTGTCGATCGCCGGTGGCGGCGTCGGCGTCGCTTTCGGCGGAACCACGTACGTCAGGCGCGGCCGTGCTGGCGGAAGGCTATCGCGTAGGCACACGGGATGGCGGTCGCGAGAGATCAGGCTTGGCTGTGACGGCGGCAGGTGCGCGAGGCTCCGCGCGGTCGCAGCTGGGCCGGATGCCAGGGCCGGTGTCGCCGAGGTCGTCGACGAGGCTGGCGTCGTCGAGCCGCGCATAGCCGGGTTCGCTCGGAAGAGCGCGTTTGCAAGCGGGCCTGTTCTCATCGCATGCAGCAGCAGCCAAGGTCGGGAATCGGGGCGGCCTCTCTGCGCTGGCCTTCGAATGAAGAGCCTCAACCGCTTGGAATTGCGCCGGCCAATCGCAGCGGAATGGTCCAGCGAGTGTAGCTCGCATGAATGATGGTCGAAGCTCTGGATTGTTATACTTCGATGTCGCGCCTATGATTTCGTATTTTATTATTGAAGGTTAGTATGCAATATTCAATCTATGTATTAAACTGGGACAAAGGTCCATCGAAGTTTTGGGTTTTTGGGGCGCTTGGGGCAATATGACGCGGCGTTTCACGGAGCCAGCAGCCCACTGAGGCGGATGATGACGCGCATTGAGCGGCCATGAACATTGGAAGGGGGAGCGACCGCCATAAACAAAGGTACATACCTTGATTTGTGCTGGTAGATTAGCTCGTACATGGGTGTGCGATGCAGGCCATCACTGCCTGCCTTTCGTTGATAGAAATTGCTTAGTACAATCTAGAAAAAGCCTTGATTATCGAACGTTTGGACTCGATCATTCGAAGGTATGTTTTCTTTCACTCTGCCGTGAAAACAGACCAGCACACCCCGTATCACACCTCTACTAACGACGTTGCTGTAGTGAGCCTGCAGATCGACTACGTAGAATTGGTACATTGGCATGTCATTCTCAAATGAGTGGAGCTGGACAGAAGCTGCGTAAATCGAAGACACCAGTTGCGCCTCACAATCAGGATCACAAGCAGCACAACGTGCTGGTGTCCGCATGGGCTGCCTACCGGTAGTAGTAAATGTATTGCTAGCGCAGTCAATCACAAATCCTCGCGAAGATATCAATGCAGAAAGTACATTTGTCAACAAAGCACATCCATTAGCACCAAAGTAAGGAGAATGCACGCCCATGAACATCGATGACACTGTAGCAGGATGCATATTGTAGTGAGGTCGGCCACGTGCAATATCATAAAGTGCGCGTGCGAAATGCAATATCCCCAAAGGGTAAATCCCAACATCAAAACCCCAAACCGAAGTTCGAAGATTCGGGGTGATTGGATCGAGCGCGGATTGGTAATGCTCTCGAGTCGAACAAGATATATTGTCGCCGAGCGTGGACATGGGAGTGTGCCAACGCAACAGCTAGCTTATACGTAGACTCAGCGTGTGCTCTACTCGGTAACGAAAATGGTACACGAGGACACTACGAGTCGACGACCTTGCCGGGTGTGGGATCGCTCTTGGCTGATTGCTTGAAAACTCTACCGAGTTCAACGTTTCCATTGGCGTCCACGCATCGTCACCACCAACATTCATGGCAAATGCAAGAGCCTCGTGGCTCACACTTGAAAAGAATGGTTGTGAAGAAGGGCTACCGACTTCAAGTAATTCAGACGTGCCTTTGTGTCGAGAAAAGCCCCTCGTCGTGACGCTAACCACCATAGCCACCCACACGAGCACAGTCGCTTTGGCAGCTGATAGAAATATCCAAAGAAATTCAAATTCGAGGTGAAGAGATGCCTTTTCATTGACGCTCTAAAACTTTTGCACTAGTGCTCTCACCACCACCGACGTTTCGTGCATCCTCTCGAAGTCCTGTCCTGAGTCCTGTGAGGTTTTGCAAGGAAGGTCGCTGAAGATGTCTGACTGACTCTCGATCTCATTTTTATTTCAAAATTGTATTCTGTATTAAAATGAAGTGTCATACCGTATATATACGGTATACTAAGCTTAGTTATCGTATATTTACTGTAAAAGTATCGGCAGTGCGCTGCTCCGTCCATCAAACGTGAGCTTTGAAAACATCTCGCCTCTTGTGGGCATTTCGACCGCGTCGCCTACCACCTTTTGCCAGATATTAATAGTGTATTTCGTGATTTACCCGATGCTTTTGGCGAACCTTTGACTCCCGTTGCAATTTTTTATCTATCACAGCGTTTGATTGGCTAAAAACCAAAACAATACCAGAAATCACCAAAGGTGATTGGGCAACGTAAATAGTGTTAAGTGGAGCTGCGATACGAACGCGGATAGCTGCGGGCGATATAAGGAGCGGAGCTCCGGCAATTGGGGCTGTGTAGGAAGCATGCCAGGCGACACCAACGTCACACAATACAGGACATGTATTCAATTCACGCCGAAATAGTTCCGGGCCTCCTCGAGCGCTTGGATCTGCTGCGCGCGACAGCAAGGCCCACCGTTCTTCGCAGGACTCGAGGTCCGACTGCCCACCCTTCCTGGTGATGATGACGCACACGTGCGGCGATGCTTCTTGTGCAGGGCGCGTAGGTGTCTTGCGTAAACACCGACCTCGCATGCTTCGGCAAGCTTGGAAGGGTCCCGCGGGTGATGGTCGGTTGGCTTCTTGCAGCTCGGGCATCGCCGCTGTCGGCGCGCGCGCTTCGCCCGCTCCTCTGCAAAAGGCTTTGGCGATGGCGCGGCAACTTCAACTTCGCGCGTCGTTGCACGGTTGACAGCGATGGGCTTAACGAGCTGGATGGGAGCCACATCACAAAGCCCTGTAGGCGACCAGTGTTGAGCCGGTGGGCGCGGGCTCGGTACTCACGGGCTTGGTAGGCACATGCGAGGTGGGCGCGGGCGAGGTTGGCGTGGGCGAGGTTGGCATCGGAGCTTCCTGGTCGTCCATGGGGTTTGTCAGCGCGATACAAAGTGCTCTACGTTTCAATTTATCTATCGGGGCCAATCCAATCGACGGAGCTTCGTAACGGAGCCAATCAGCATCCAAAATGCATTTGATTGGCCAAAATGCTAGTCGCGTGGACCATAAATCGTTTTTTGGCTCACGTATGGCACCTTCAATACAAACATCAAGTCTAATTCTTCCAAGGAGCACTTCCTGGAAGCCCAGACCGGAGCACGGACGCCTGTTGTCTTCGAGTGAACGCCATAGACAGGCACGCTGCTTTCCCAGTGTTCTCGCTGCTTCTTTCCCTCTTTTTTCTCTTTCTTCCTTTCGTCCGTGAGCCAAATATCGTAACGCTGCAACGTTTATGGTTCATAAGCCTGCGTTTTTGGCTCGATGGCTAAACGGAGAACGCCTTTTAGAACTTCTGATGTTTTATTTATCGCTCGTTTATCGCTGTACTAATGTGCTAACATGTAAATGCGCGATTGAAGCAGCAGGATAAGACAGATGCATAAAGTCCATTGTCATCGCAACATTCGTATCCATCCAGCTGGAGAGTGGGGGTCGATAAACTGCCTGGGCAGGATAACGAATTGAGTTTGCCTTCATGATTGACATCCCATGAGGTAGCATAGCAGAAATGAGTGGGCGACGACGGAGCAAGTGAGGCAAGTTGACGCGATTTGCCTTCTACATATATGCACAGCGAATCCATAGCCTTGTTCATGGAATGCCTTCATGTCAGCGGGGTTATTCGGAGCCGAGCGAGCTATCTTGGTCACAACCGCAGCCACTCTATCCCAGAGTCCCGTCCATCGCATCCATGGCAGTGCGTTGCGAATCGCTCTACCACATCGCGTCGTACTTGTGGCTATCTCAGAACGTCTTGGCCAATGGCCGAGAAATTATGCAATGGCCGACGGTCATTGTAGACTGGTCCAACGACAGCGCTTGCCGATGGCTTAAGAATAGCTTCATGTTTAATCCATGCCCTCACCAAGGCGTGAAATGTATGGCCTCGCACTCACTCCTCTTGCCATGAGGTGGCACGCTCTGAGGTGACACTTGCCACGACCAAGCGAAATCTTGGCCCATCATCGAGCACGTTGATTGGCCAGCTATGCGTCAGAAACACCATGTGATTGGTCAGATGCTATGGCAATTCCAAATCGTTGGAGGTGTGGTCTGTCAGTCCCAACGACATTTGCCACGAAGACATGGGTCTGGCCGAGACGCTGTGCGACACCATCGAGGCCTCTGTTCACCTCCATGGCGCTGTCCGCGGTGGCTACGAGGACGAGATCAACGTTGCGGTCGCGCATTTCAACCAGCTTGCCTCGGCGCTGGGCGTGTCGCACTGGATCGTGGATGACAACAAGCTCCAAGACTCGTGCACGCTGCTCCAGCGACTCCCCATCCTTGAGAAGATGCTGGCACAGATAAGCTACCAAGTGTCGGCCACGGACGTCGCGCCGACGGCCGACGACGTTGTGGCCCGAGCGAGCGGCGCCGCTGCCCTCTTCGGCCACTGCTTTGGGTTTTCTGAGGCGTGGTTTCCGAGCGCCGCCGCCGCCAAAAACGTTTGCGCTGCCGTCCGATCGAGCGATCCGGCACCGCATTGCGATCTGCCGCTGCGTGGAAAGTCGGTCGTGCACGTGACCTATGCAACCGTGCCGATGAAGTCGTTCAACTTGGACGTCCTCTCGGTGCCGCTTACCGCGTCGGCGATGGAAGAGGCCGCGAGCGTGACCGACGTCGCGACGGCCGAGGCCTTTCTTCTCGGGTATGGCTCGCACGTGTGCAGCGGCACCTTCCACGTCGGCGGCATCATCTGGAAGACGGTCCATGTGACCACGAAGAGTGACGAAGCGACGGCGTTGCTGCAGGCGGTGTGCCCGGCGATGGAGAGCTGCGACTTTTCGATCAACTACAGCAGCTTTCCGTACCAGAGCAGCATCGATGTGTGCGAGAGCACGCTACCCGACGAGCTCAAAACGCGATGCGAGATAGCGACGGAGATTCAGTGCACGGGCCCGGACGCGCTCAGTTTTGCGATCTTCGAGCAGCGGCTCGCCCTCGACCCTGCGACGTGGCACATCATTGATCGTCCGATGATGCGCGTCAGCGTCTGGGAGCTCTTGGCGGCTGCTGGTTTAAAGCGCGCTGCCGCCCTCGTGCGCGATGCGTGGGTCGCCCTTGTCTCGGGAAGCGACTTGCATTCGGACGTCGCTGCTGCCGTGCATACAGTGCACGCCGAGGCATGGCAAACCGATCGGACGTTTGGCACAGAGCTCAAGCATTGGCGTGTCGACTGCGCAGACGATGCCGCCGTGGCGATTGCTCACCAGGTCGACGCTGCCACCGCCGATACCGTCGAGAGCCGGGCGCTGGTTGACTTGATCTTGCTCGCGCTTCGCTTTGACGCTGAGTTCCACCAGACATTTTTGGTCGACTCGTTGCGGGACCCGCGTCTGCACGCGGCTTTGCGTGTACTCGTTGCGGCCAACGACATGATGGCGATGCTCGAGCTCGGAACGATCTACGCGCACGTTCTCAACGCCGTGCTGGTCGAGGCAGGTATCAACCTGGACGCGGCGGTCGAGAAGGCCCTCCATCGGGCCGGGCAGCTGGCCGCGCTCAAGAAGGACGCCCCTAAGCTCCGAGGCCCGATGTACCCGTGGCGGGTCCCAGCGCTGGACGCGCGCGACGTGCCGATCGCAGTCAAGATCCTTCTTGGTGCATTTCACGAGGCGGCGATGCCCGATGGCGCGCTCTTGACCGCGCGCATTGGCGAACTGATCACGACGACCGTCTCTGCCAGCGATCACAAGGAGCTTTTTGGTGTCGCCCGCAAGTTTGGCTGCACCGACGACGGCTTTCAGAGTATCCTCACACACGAGCACATCCTCGCGATGGCCAATGCGATGGTCCAGGCTCTCGGGGACGGTGCGACGACCGAGAGCTCGGACGACGAGATGCCGCCCGCCCCCGTTCTCGTCAAGAGCGAGCCTACGGTCGACGAGCCACCCAGCCCGATGCTCCAACAGCCCATGAGCCATCTCTTGACGGTCGTGTCCAAGCCCAAGAAGACGACGGACCTTCCCGGGCTCATTTGGTACACGCTCAAGCACCGTCTGAGTCTGGTCAAGGAGCTTTACAGCACAACGTCGGGCGTGAAGCGCAAGCGCGTGGATCCCCCTGGCCCCGTCATCCTTGATGGGCTCTTGAGTCTCGTGGCCTCGCTGACACCGGCCGCGCGGGCCGAGGTGTACCGTCTTCTTCTCGACCGTCGCTACCTCGTGCCCTTCCTTGTTCCGTCGACACACGATACGCTGCGAAGCGAAGCACCTGCACTGCGCCTCGTCGAGACGCGTCTCCTCGAAGGCAAGGCGTCGCTCATGCGCGACGCCTCGGTCACGCGCGTGGCGGTCGTCTCGGAGCAGCCCACGAGAAGCAGCGTGACCAAGGACTGGATCAAGCACGTCTTTCACGTCGACTCGGTGCACTGCCTCGACCGCACGCACGGCAACAACGTCACGAACCTCCCGGTCGTCGCCGAGCTCGGCTGGGGGTTTCTCGAGGAGAACACGGAGTTTACGACCGTCATGGTGCTCCACGTCATTGGCGACTACATGCTCCTGGAGCCGTTCATTGTGCAGTTTGCCGACGTTTTGATCGTCGACACGGGGGGCCAGCCCGTGCGCTTGACGCTGCCCCGGGGCACGGTGCTGCAGTGGTGTCACTCGAACGACGAAGAGGAAGATGCGTGCCTCAACAACAAGACGTACATGACGTCTTTCGGACTCGCATGTCCCATGTCGTCGTCTTTTGAGCGCATCACGGGACACATTTTGGAGGAGCCCCACGAGGCGCGGAAGTGGCTCGTCGACCAGCTGTCGCTGCCGAGCAACGTCCAGCGGGATTGGTCGATGCGACAGCGAGTGGCGAGTATGCTGGCTCAAACCAACTTTGCGACGCTTCGCACCGAGACGCTGGTGCTCCAGCAGCGGTTTGCTTGCGAGTCCGAACTGCGCATTGCGCTCCAGCGGGAGACGAACGTACCCAACCAAGCGATGCTGCGCCAGCGCATCGCCTCCCGTGAAGCGGCCCGCAAGAAGGCCGTGCGCATGGTGTCTCAAACGCCATTGCTCGAATACTTCTTGTACGCTCTCCAACAACCCGATGTCGCGGTCCGCGAGATGCGCATCATCGACCTCGAGCGTCAACTCGCCGAGAGATGCGAAGCGATCACGGCCACGGCGCGCGCAGAGTGCGAGCGGGCGTTCGCGGCCCTCAGCGAAGTCGACAACAAGGCCACGCGAGCCGCGTACGCTGCGGCCCTTGCGACGTTGGGCAACATGGTCACCGGTCTCGAGCATCTGTGGCGCGAGCTCTCGCACATGTATACGGCCGACCCCGACGTGTACGCGCATCTGCCACCGCTGGCGGTCCAGCACCTCCTCGACGGCTTTCCGCTCGAGCTCATGGACGGCGACGCCGGCATGGCCAACGACAAGTGGATCCGCGCCATCCTTCGCTGTCTCGATGAGGCGTTGCCCGCCGACACGCGCGTCTTCGTGCTCTCGGTCATGGGCGTCCAGTCGTCGGGCAAGTCGACGTTGCTCAATAGCATGTTTGGCGTCCGACTCCGGACGAGCGTCGCGCGCTGCACACGCGGTGTCAACTTGCAGCTCCTCGCGTGCGACCATGGCGGTGCGTACGACTACATTTTGCTACTGGACACGGAAGGTATCCAGTCGCCCGAGTACGTCGGCGTCGACGGCAACGTGTGGCACGACAACCGCATGGCGTCCGTGGCGATCTTGCCCGCGGATGCGACCATCATCTTGACAAAGGGTGAGTCGACCAACACGATCCACGACGTGCTGCCGATTGTGCTCTCGGCGTTTGCCAACTCGGAGCTCGCGGCCACGTCGGGCGGCCACCTCCCGACGAAGCTCTACTTTGCGTTCAATCAGATCGATGTGACGCAGAAAAACAGCATGGCCACGAGTCTGCGCGCCCTCGTCGACAGTCTGCGCAGCAGCGCCAAGCAGATTGCGACCGTGCGGCAGGCGACGGCCACGACGTTTCTGCGCGACTTTGCCGCCGACATTACGGACGAAGCGACGAGTGCCGTTCGCTTTCTGGGTCTCACGCAAGGCCAGACGACGCCGCCCCACGATGGGCCGCTGCCCGATTTTGGCGACCGTCTCGTTCGCTTCCGAGACTACATCCACTCTCGGGCTGTCGAGGACGGAGCATGGCGAGCGCGCACCCTCGGCGAGCTCAGCGAGAGCTTGGATTTGGTCTGGATGTGTCTTGAGAGCGCCAACTTTGAGCTGGACTTTGCGTCGGCCCACGAACGCGTCGTGTACGACCGGCTGGTGCAAGCCATGGCAGGGCACACGCAAGCGCTCGCTACGATCTACAGCGAGGCCTTTGACACGGTGCTGCAGACGATGAGTGCGGACAGCGCCGCGAGCAAGGCGCCGGATGGCAACCGCAGCCACAAGTACGAGCTTCTCCTCACGCACCACGCGGAGAGTGCGGTCGGTACGCTGGACGCTGTCGTGGCGACGGCGCTGGGCCAAAACGAGTTTGCCAAGTGGGCCACCGCGATGGAAACTGCGTGGGCGGACAAGAAGCAGCGGCAAGCGTCGCACTCGTTCCGCCTCGTCCAATCGAAAGTACAGCACCTTTTCGACTGTGACGCGATCACCAAGGTATACAAGGAAGAGCTGCAAGCGGCTATTGTCGACCACAACGCCAAGTGGGGCCCAGAGACGACGCTGGCAGCCTTTGACTCGATCTTTGACGCGATTTTGGTCAAGGCCCGCCAGGCCGAACCGCCGCTCGCCACGCTTGTGCCCAAGCTCGTGCATGGCGTCATCCACGACAGCAATATCTTTACCCCCGACGAGCTCCGGCTCTTGACAAGCAGCGACGACGACGATCCGTCCATGCTCCAAAGCGCATTACAATCGGCGAGAAACTGGGTGCAGGGCGCCGACGTCTCACGCGATGCGAAAGTCGCCGACGCGGTGCACGATCGCGTGTGCAGCGACCTCGCCGACGTCGACCGCTACGCAGACAACGCCGCGCTCGCGTGCGTGATGCACGTCAAGCGCCTTTTGAGCGCGATGCAGTTGAAGCCGTCGGAGCTCAAGGTCGGTCTCCGTGCGCTCGACGCGACGCTCAAGTCGGAGCTCCAGCAGCGCCAAGCGCGCTGGGACGCGGTCAACAGTGTCGTCGCCAAGTTTGAAGCCTTCCGGCCGAGCATGCTTCGCTTTGCGCAAAGCGTCTGCGAGGGTCAGAAAGCCGCCCAGCTGCTCTCGACGACACTGAACGAGTGGCTCGGTCGCCACTTGACAAAGGCGTTTGCAGTCTCAGCGTGAGCGTTGTCGCCTCCGCGCTCAAGGACGCGCGCTGGGTGCGTGCTGCCGACGCGATGCAGGCCGCCTTGGACAAGGACCTTTTGCAGCTCTTGCGGAAGCGGGAGATGGACACAGTGCTAAAGCACATCAACCAGCCGGTGGAACACGCCGCGGGTGTCACGAGCCGTCTCGTGTTGGCCCAAGTCCAAGAGTGCCATTTCCGCGTCGCCAAGAAGCTCGTTCGCGACGTGGAGGAGAGCATTGTGAGCGCGAGTGCCTCGGCGCGTGACACCGCGAGCAAGCGCAGTGAAGCCTTTGTCCACGCACTGCGCCTCGAGCTGCAGAGTCGGCTCAAGTGCAGCGGTACGAGCGCGCTCATCGAGAGCCTTCCGTCGGTCGCGGGGCTCGTTATGAACTGCGACGACCAAGGACCGTCGGTGTTTTCTCTCAGAGTCCATCACGTCGGACGCAGCGTCCCGCAGAGTCTTGTGGCGCGTCTGAAAGCCCTCGACGATCGTCTCAATCCATCGACCATGTGGAGCTCGTTGATCACGGAAAAAATCATCCAGGTCATCCGGAACGAAGCGTACGGTGCGGCCGACGGCATCATGCCGCGCTGTGGGAAGCCCTGTCCGCGCTGCAAGTGTCCGTGCACCAAGGCGCTGGGCCATGTCTCGTCGACGGACGGCGCGCTCCACGACACGTACCACCAGCCGGAAGGCCTCACTGGTGTCAATTGGCACGGAACAAACGAGCTGGTTGCGCTAAGTTGCGCGACCAACGTGATCAAGAACTGCAGCGTATTATTCCCAAGCGGCAAACGATCGTACAAGGAGTTTGAGGCGATCTATCCTGGCTGGGCCTTGCCGCGCGTGACCAAGTTTCTTCCGCTGCGCGAGTACATCTTTGCCAACTGCCAGCCCGAGCTCGTGCAAAAGTACAACAAACTCAAGTGCTCCAACATTCCCGCCTCGTATGCCCACGACCTTGGCGAAATTGAAAAACAGATCGAGCGTTTGCTTCGTTAAGTTGCACTTTTTCAAACAATTTTGATCGATCAATCACTCGGTTCTGACCAGAGCAGTTCGTTCAAGATCGTCGCTTCGGGCGAGGTGTCTTCATCTCTGTCGTACGCGAGGATTTACGGAGCATGCGACATTGGCTCCGCGGTATCGCGAGGGTGCGCACGCTGCTGTTGGAGTCGGTGCCCTTCTCAGTCGAGAACTGCTCGCTCAAGCCAACGTTCAAGCTCGAGCGCCACGAAGCCAAGGTCATTCACGCGATGTACCGGTACGCGAGCAGCAGTATACTCACAACGCGTCCCTTGCATGCCGGGGAGTCTGTCCATCTACATAATGTAATCCACGGTACCAAAAAATGCCTTGGTGATGGTGCTACGACCAAATTGAATTCTGTTTGTTTGGCAAGAACGTCTTTCGACAACATTGATCCATTATTGTCATAGAACATGCTGTAATGCGTTCGATATCTGCAAGTTCGCTCGCATGCATCGGCCCGAGCTCCATTTATCCGGCATTCCGGATACGGGCTGCAAGTCGCTGCTGCTCAGCCGCTGAGGCGCGTGCCAAGCCGACAAACGCCCAGAAAATGAAATCGCTCACACTTGGTAGGCTGATACAAGGGACTTCTGGGATCCCAAATCGCATCGTCTCGTCGCCGTGCGAGCCATATAGCGTAAGAAATCAATCGGCAAAGTTTGTCTCGCGCGGTCACACTACAGAAGTCTTTGCGCCGCTGTGATTTACCACAAGGTTCTTACCGCCATGCGCGTTCGTCTTTTCAGTATACTCCATGAAACTATTGGGATCCTCACTCTCGCGCGGTGACTCGATTGGTGATGTATCTGGAATTGCGGGCTCGTGGGCCGTGGCCTCGAGTACATCGCCACCATAGCGAGCCTTGTCAGTCCGATCCTCAGCGCGCTCGTCAGCGGCGGCCTCTCGCTCGTCTTCAGTTGCCTCCAAGCCAACGATCAATGCGCCGCGATCTGAAGCAGCGACTAACCACGCCGCTGGTTGATGCGCATCAAAACCAGAAGCCGCCACTTTGCGTTCAAGTTCGCATATACATGTCGCGTAGTTGGGCTACATACAAAGCATAGTATAATCGGTTTCGAACTTGGCACGCGCAAATCTATACGGCATTGTGAGATGTCGATGGGTGGCACCAAGGCGGCGACGTCCATGTCGACAGCATACCTGCAGGTCATCGAGAGCCTCGAAGGCACGGTCAAGATGACTGGCAAGTGCGCTCTAACGGGCGAGCTATCTGATATTGGCGTGCCCAAGCTTGGCGTCGACAGGTCGCAAGGCCACAAGCCGTCGCCGGATCTGGTGCCGGTCAAGCAGCCAGCGTCGGTCATCACCAGCTTTGGCGCCGCGCCGCTGGTCGTGCCCAAGGAGCACATCTACTTTGTCCAAGGCGAGCTTGCGTGGGCGCGCTACCTTGACGGCTGGACGCGGCACATCGTCACGAGCGTCCTCAAGCCTACATGTCGACGCCCCGTGATGCATCTCTCGCACATGACGATCGATGGCCCCGGCGCGTCGCCCGTGCTCACGCCGGCGCGTGTACCCCGGGGTACGTTCGGGACATTGGCCATTGCGCTGCCGTCGGCGTGCGCCCGACGCATCACCATCACGGGCCAGGACGACATGGCGTGGATGCCGTTGACAGATATGACCATGAGCTTCGCCGCGTGGTACAACGACTGCAGCCTCGCTGTGGCGCCGATCACAGCGCCCGGCCACCGCGCCTACCTCGTGTACAACTTGGTGACGAGCGACGGCGAGCCGCATCGGACAGGTCCGGCATCGACGTCGTCCGCCGCCAGCGAGCTCGCGGCCCTCGCTGCGCAGCCCCACCAGCTTGACACGACGTATGCGTACCGGCTCTACACCAAGACCACCGATCTGCGGTTCGAGGCGCTTCAAGGTCGGGATGCTGCGTTTCTCGACGCCCTCGTCGCCGCGGGGTCGTTTGATGTTGCGCTCGTTCGAGCGTCGCGGCAGCAGCTCACGAGCACCGAGATGCACACGCCCAAATGCAACAAGGCGCGGCAAGAACGCTTTCGACATTACGACATGGCGCCGACCGCGCCAACGCAGCTGCCGAAGGAAGAACGCACACCGTTGGGTTATGGCGAGCTTACCATCAAGGTCTCGGACGTTCCTCGTGACACGTACGACGACAACGGCAACGCGCGTGACACGGACGCGTCGGACGCCGAATTCTGCAGCGAAGACGAGAGGTTGGACGCCGCCGTGGAGAAGAAGCGTCGGCGTTTCGACCTGAGAAGGGATCTGTTGGACGAAGGGCAATTGTACTATACCGACAACGCCGTCGACAAGAGCTTTCTCTGCAAGTCCAAGACGACCAAGAGGCGTCGCCGTGACGCGACAGAGAAGGCAGGCGACGGCGACGAGTTGCCAATGGCGCTTGTGTATGACCGCAGAGACTTGCCGCACCAAAGCGACTCGGATTGTGACGACGACGACGACGACACAATCGCGTACGACGGTCGTGCCTACACCGACGACGACGAGTACGACGACATCGACGACGGCGAGCAGGACAGCGATGCGGGTGTCGACGCTGCGTATCGCAAAGCTCAAGCCCGCGGCTACAAGTACTGCGTCTGCGACGAGATTCCGACACGCCAACCGTGGCGCCGCATCACCGAAGCGCTCGTGCACCCGACGTCGTCTATCGCGATGCAGTCCACACTCGTCGGTCGGTCGGTCGGGCGCTGGGTCACACGGCGCGGTCTCAAACGCCTGCGCTCTTCTCTCCTCGTGTTTTGGCCCAAGCGCCACCGCTCGCGCCTCGCAGGCATCGATGTCGCTGTCGCCGCCCTCGAGAAAGACGAGCCAAGTCGGCTTGGTTTTGCAACGACCGAGGACGTCGCCGCCAGCCTCATCGACGCAATCGGTGCCCCGGAAGTGCGCTTCATCGACGCCCACGTGGACTCGGTCGGCGCGTATCTGCTCCGCCACCCGTCGGCCACATTGGCGGGCCGCTTTCTACCGCATAGCTTTACAATGCGCAAACGAGCGTCCCGGCGCCGCGGTCTCCGATGGCTCCAAGCCGCCATCGCCACTTACGGTGTTGCCCCCTTCCGTCGGGATATCGTCGCTCTCTGCGCGCCCGAGCACAAGGGCTTCTACTACATGCTGTCCCTTGGCATGACGATCCAGTGGATACGCCGGCTTTTCGTCTCCAGCGCCGCGTACACCACGCAAGACGGCTTCGTCCCGCTTCTCGTCCAGTGCTGGGAAACGCTCGCAACGCAGCTCGCGGCCATCCAGTCGCACGGCGCATATCGGGAGGCGGACCAGTTGAATCCACCGATGCTCCAAGCGGCGCTCGAGCTCGAGGCGGCGGCAACCGCAGCGTCCACCGCGTCGTCGTTTCCAACGACCATGCACACGTTTGCTACGACCCTGTACAAGACGCCCGAAGCGTTCTTGCTCATGGTCGTCCCGGCGGTTCTCAACGCGACACCAATGACGGTCGCAGCGCCCTTTCTGCCTCGGCTCCGGGAAGTAGTGCCAACGCTGCCGAAGGAGCTCTCGGCCTTTTGCGAGATCGACCACTTGACCGTGCGCTTCCACGCTCGGTACAGCGACGTCCTCGCTGTCTACAAGCAGGTGGCGGTCCTAGACGACTTTAACGTAGTCCGCATCATGCTCGAAGCCCTTCGTAGTGGTGCGAGTGTGCCAGCCGCCGACGCCGTCGCCATCGCCGACGATTTTTTAACCGGGCGCGGTGCGAGGTCGCCGCCACCGTGGTGCGGGAATACGAAAACCTCGTGAGCGTCGAGGAGCTCGTGTGGACGGTGCTGGAGGCGCTGGCGGCTTGTCACTTTCTCTCGCCGCCGCATGTCGGGCGGCTCCTTGATTTGACAACCAAGATCGTTTTCGCGTCGCCGGAAGCACTCTATTACGTCCGCCGCGTGCTCTACCCCGTCCTTCGGTACCTCGAGACGACCTTGACCATGTACAAGGAACATCGCGATCGGCTCGCGACGCTCATCCAAGCTGCCCTGCAAGACGCTTCCAACGCCCCCGATGCACACTCGATGGTCACGTTCAACGTCGCCTGTCACTGCCCTGAGTGCACCACGCTGCTGCGTCACTTGACCGACCAAGGACCGTATCAGACCTTGCATACGCTGCTGTCGGCGATCTGCGCCAAGCTGCGAGCAGCGGTCAAAGCCCTCCCGCCGCATCAATGCGTGGTGCTCACGCTCCTTGGGTCGGCGACGGTCCGCCTACAAATCTGGACAAAAGTGGGGCCCAAGCGCAGCGCCAGCGGGACATCGCCATGATGGCGTACCTGTCTGGCGAGCGCGCGGCGCCAACGAAAGCCGAGGCAGATGCTGTGATTGCGGCGCTCTTCGCACAACAGCCGACGCGTACGCTACGGACGCCGGCACCGGTACTAGTCGACAGGCGTCCTCGCGGGTACGATGGCTATTACGATTGATGGAAGCATCGCTGCATTTTGTGCGCCTTTGTACGGAGTCACTTGTACACGTTTGGAGAGAGCCACGATGCGCCCGTTGTGTAGCCTCTCCACACCTCGACGGCGGGATGGTCTGCCGGTATCCAACCCAGTGCTCGATGGCGGCAACCCTATTCAACGTTCAAGCACGCTGGAAATGAAATGCAATAATGCGACGACGATCGCAAGCAGGACATTCTTTCCGTTCCATAAGCGCAACCCATGGGACAAGATAAAAAAGAAGCGTAGAAAAGGATACGATCCTTAGGATAGTATGCAGTATAGATTAGTTTGGCTTCGCAGTCAGAGTATGTTTCACCCGTGGCCGTTGTCAAAGAGTCAGACGGCACCCGCATTGTTGCCCTTGCCGTACCCATCGTTGTACTCTTCCGGGTAGATGTCGAGCCAAGCTGCATGGAGCGACGCGTAGTGTTCGGGCTGCGTGAGCTGCCACCCCATCGGGTCCTCGGCCCAGAGCACAAAGATGGTCGTGACGGCGCTCGCCATGAGCGACATGAGCACATTGTTGACGATGAAGCCGACGATGAACGCGCCAAAGCCGACCACGTACTCAGGGTCGCGCAAGCCGGGAAATTCCGCTTCGTGGCCCGGACGGTTGACCAAGCTCATGCCAAACCACGCCGTGAGGAGACCGACGGCGATGTTTCCGAGGAAGAACACCTTGCCCGTGAGGTCGTCGTTCACGATCGCCGTCCAGCCCTTTGCGGCAAAGAGCGCCGAAACGTGCTGGCCCGCGGTGACAAACGAATAGCCGTGGATGCCGACGTACGAGTATGCAAACCGGTTGAAGGTCTCGACCCACGACCGAATGCAGCCAATGATGCATGCGACGCATGCAACCAGGCAGGCGGCTATGCAGTTGCCGCTCTGGCCCACGAGGCTCGAGATTAGACTGAGCGTCGTCTCGATGGCTTCAAGGATCGCGACCAGCAGCGACCCAAAGCAGATGCTGCCGAGGTTGAGCGTCACGGCGCGCAGCCAGGATGCGATGGTGAGGCACGGCGCGGCCGCGTTGACCTTCCAGCTCGCGACCGTGCCCGCGACGGTGACGGCGACGATGTTCTTGACGACCGACGCGCCCCAGTAGAGCACGATGAGCATCCCGAAGAGCATCCCGAGGAGCGGACCCCACTTGATGTTGACGTTGCAGTCGCTAAGCGTCGCCGTGCTCGTGCACGTGCTGTTGATGACGAGGTAGTCTTGGTGGTGGGCAAGGCCGAACGCGCCAATCACCCACGTGAGGCCCCACGCGAATTGGACGCCCGCCATGAGCATGCCCACGAGGAGCGTCATGGGCAAGCGGAAGAGCGCGCAGCCCGCGACCTTGAGGTGCTTGGCCGCAAAGCGTACTCGGTGCTAAAGTCGACGAAGAGAAGATCAGCGTCGAAGAAATGCAAGCGTCGGACGTACCCGGATGCAGATCGAGTAGAGAAGAAGCAGCAGCGCGAGCGTGCCAAAGACCACCGCGGGCCACCAGTAGTAGTCGATCTTGCGGTCGTAGAGCTCCTTGGAGAAGAAGATCGCGGCGGCGGCGGAGGCCGCGATGAGGAGGCCGAGCGTCGCCCAGATGAGCAACTCGCCGAGGAACATCATAACGACGATCCAGAAAAGCGACGCGCCGAGCGCGAGGAAGCCGCAGTAGGTCACGTACTGCATGACCATCTTGAAGCCGGTCGAGCTCGTCGCGTCCGTGACTTCGGTCGCGGTCACGAGCGCCGGGCCGTAGCTGCCGGCGAAGAAGAGCGTCATGACGAGGACGCCGAGGAAGATGAGGAGGAAGAAGACGTCGTTGCACTCGCGCTTCGCGCCTTCCTGCGGCGCATGGTACGAGTCGCGCTCCCGGGCCATTGGATGCAATTCGAGCGGAATCGGAAATGGCAAAGTGGAGCCAGCGGGCGTGTGGGACTTGCAACGGCGGCGCAATTATTTATTCGCCTCGTGATTGGCTGCGACAAGTTGGGTATCGAAAATCACTCGCAAAAATATATCTCGACGTTGCTGTCACACGCGGAAGGAAGAAAGGACAAGGTGGAGGTCGTCGAGGAAGATGAAGATGACGAGGGATTCGTGCGAAGCCATCCAAGGCCATTGAAGACATGTTCACGTGATGAAGAGCGCGGATGGCGAGAGAGACAGGCACGCTACCTATTCATACAGTGCGAGTATACAGTGCACTCGACGTAGTACAGCCGGCCGACCAGTGCCACTATCCTGGAGACTCTTCAGCATGATGGCACTAATAGTCTCTTCTTCAGTGAAGAGACTCGCTGGCATGGACAGCTCGGATGATAAACTTGTGCTTTGTATCGGCCGCATGTCAGTTCTTAGTTTCTAGACTTTTGCAGTGCGGTACAGCACCCGTGGGCCTCAGGTCGCGAGAATGCTGGGATGCTGGCACAGCCGTGCAAAGCGGTAGCCGCCAGACGACGCAGCGGGCAAGCTCAGCTTGGGTAAGCCCGTGGGTCGTTCACGGTCGTAAGGCTCGGAATCGTTCGACGGAAGATTCGATCGAAAGTTCGATGGCACTCGAACGTGCTAACGTTGCTCGGGTACTGTAGCATCACCCAAGCGACTCCTGCGCTCATCGCCTTTCGCTGTCCTCGATGTTGCTTCAACTCCTTTCCGCCGTAGATGTATGATGTGGCAACACCACTACATTCATTATAATCATCATCAACAACCTACGCTCGGTTTCCTTGCTTTTTAAATACTATGGACACCTTGTCTTCTTCTCTGCGAATTCGATGTCGTCCTTAGAGCTCGTACGAGTCGCGGTCCCCGCCCGCCTCGGTGCCGCGGTCGTCGATCGAGTACTCCGAGTACTGGGACGAGTAGCGCACGATGCTGGCCTCCGAGTCGGCGCGGTCAATGTCAAAGGTTGTGCTTGCATACGACACGCGCGAGTCCCCGGACGTCGCCAGAAAGTTTTCACTCTCCCGGTCGTCCATGCGCGGCGGCTCGTCGACCCAGCCGGCGCTTGACGCGCTTGAGCTTCGGTGCGACTTGCCGCCGATCTGCATGACATCCGAGCCGTCCGAGAAGCGTGTGAGGTTCATCGAGTTGCGGCGCTCCAGGATCGGAAGCGTGCTCACGCGCGGCTCGTTGTACGTGAACGTAACGTTGCCGCCCATGGCGTTGGCTTTGCGTGCAATGTCGGTGGGCGGTGCCTCGGCGTAGAAGCTCGCTTGCTGCGGTGGCGGCAGCGGCTTGCCGAACATACTGTTGTTGTGGTTGGACATGGGCTCAAACTTGGTCGGCGGCGCCGCATTGAACTACAGACACACGTTGCGAGGTTTATTTTTTGTTGTTGCGTCATTGCGATGAGTGGTACCGGTCGCACGGGCGAGACGGGTTTGCCCGTCGGCGCGGCTGGCGGCGGCGAGTCGAGGTCGGGGTAGTCGTCGTCGCCACCGCTGTTGGCTTTCATGACGACGGCGGCGACGATGCCACCGACGACGGCGAGTCCGCCGATGACGGCCGCCCACATTTGCCAGTTGCCCGACGAGAAGAATCCCTCAGAGCTCGTGCTGGCGCCGGAGCCGGAGCCAGACGCCTTTTTCTTGGTCGACGGCTCGGTCGTGTTGCTAGAGCCGGTCGTCGAACTCGTTAGCGACGCGACGGGCTCGGCGGTCGTTGTCGGCGTCTCACTCGCCGCACTCGATGCAGAGCTCACGGTCTTGATCGGCGGAATCGTGATGGGCACGACAGAGATCTTGGTCGGCGTTGTGATGCTGGGCGCTGCGGTCGACGGCGCCGGTGCGGCAGTCGACGGTTCCGGCGCCAATGTCACTACGGGCTTGGGTGTCACCGGCGTCGGCGCCAGCGTCGGTGCTTGAGTGGGCGCGACGGTGATCGGCGCGAGGGTCGGTGCCACAGTCGGCTTTGGTGACGGTGATACTACGGGCACCGTCGTCGGCGCGACGGGCGACGACGACGGTGCGGCTGACGGCGTCCCGGAGGGCTCGTCCTGGGCCATGCACGCGACACCTACGGTCGCACAGCGTAAGCCGGCGCTGCTGGCGCCGGAGGTAGCGTACCCATGCTGAGCACGACGAGGAGGCCCAGCCATCCTCGTGGGAAGAGCGCCATCGTGCTAGAAAAGGGGCTAAACGGACTCTGGTTTCGATGCCATCGGGCGGCTCGGCCAGCCGGTACTTTCCTCGTCGAGCGGCAAACTCGCCAACGAGCCAATCACCTGTCGCGAGGTTGCTCGTCTCTTGGAATTTCAACCAATCGGCGGACTGGAAGAGCCAGACCAGATGTAGTCACCTCGTAATGGGTTGGGCGCAGTGCTACATCGTAATGGTACATCGCCTTGAGTCTTGGATGCGCTTGCTTTTTGCCCAACGCCGTGTTCTACCAGCAGCCCCACAGCAAATAGTTTAGCGGGGGCTAGGAACAGTGAGGGAGATGGGCGTGGGTTCAAAGCCAGCAGCGTGAGGCCAGTCGAGCGATGTACACTTGGCGTGCATCTGTGGCGAGAAATGCGACCCAGCGCCAACGGGTGATAGCGTGCAGAGCTAACTGCCGCAGCATCTTTGTGCCAAGTCGTTCCTATAACGGAACGCTTTGTTCTCTTCGGTCGGTTCGTTCATTGGCCTCTGACGAAGAGCACCGTTTGGAACGTAGCTTCAATGTGTACACACCAAAGAACGTGCCAGCTGCTCGAGGAACAATCTTGCACCAGAAGAAACGTTGACGTTTGCTTGTCCATCCGATGCACGCCGATCACCCTAGTGCGCTCGGTACCACCGAATATACTAAGAGGACACGAGGGATGATCCCGCAGCTCACGAGGGCAGAGGCTTGGTGCAACCCGATGTGGTTGATAAACTGCCATTGTTGGAGTGAGTCTCTAAACGAGCACTGGACTGGTTGTTGTTGAAGTGGGTCTTCTATTACTATAGATAAAACTATGCTAAATAAAATTGTCGGACTTTCTTCGTGAGCACTGGACTGGTCCTGGTGTTGGCCTTCCGACTCTAATCGTGATGCGACCGACGGTGGCATAGAGCGTACCGGTAGTGCCATTGTGAATCCGACGCCTCTGGATGGCGCAGGTCGAAAAGAGGGGATCGCGGAGACCATCGTGTGGAAGGAACGCATTGTTCGGGTGTTTAGCAGTAGTTGGAGAAGCTCCGTTTTCAACCTCGCTTCCTCGTCTTTGGCCATTTAATCCAATAAACTGGTCGAGAGCACCTCACGGAATACGCGGTCGATGCGGACAAGGTACCAATGCGATCTGTACGCAGTAGAGCATGTTGATTTCTGCAAACCGGCCCAACTTTTCTCCTCGTCCATCGCCGACAAATGTCAACAGCGTCATGTGCACAGTGAATCCTGTGCTTGCAGTTTGCGGTGTTTTCAAGAACGCGCGTACAAAGAAGAGTTCTCTATTTCGATGCTTTGGATGCATCCCCCTTACTACGGTGAGTACCAAGTGACATTGCTACAGCAATGCGATAGGACTCAAGTTGCTCAGAGCCACCGCGCCCGACCTATAGAAAAGATCCACCAACATTCCTCTATCTATCAAGGTATCGATCACGACGTCGCCGTGCCCTGCATTTACGATTGGCACCCACGAGGACGATGAGATACGAGACCGGAACGAATGGCTGCCTCGATCGAGTATGTGGATCCTCTACGTACAAACAGAAGTGGACGAGAGCGTTGTTGCAGCGATGAGGTCCATGATAACTCTCAAACAAAACATGTGGCTTGACGACCGGTACAAATCCTCTCACTATCTACAGTACCGTAGCAGTACAGTACTATTGTGCGGTGTTGCCTCGTACTGCAAGAATGAACGAATTGATCTTGGCACTGCGTTCATGCGCACACCAAGTGCCTGCAGCGGCATATGACATTATCGACGATTCAAGTATCAATGTATCGACTCGCCACTGACAGCACAAACCACAAACGAAATTCCGACAACCACAAAGTTGATCTATTTTGCCTTGTACCACGACGAGTCGATCTTGGCATCCACTTCCATGCGCACCGAGAGCGGCGACTCGAACGGATGCTCCATGAGGTCGACGAGGAGCGCACACGCTTCTTTTGCGTGCTCCTCCGGGCCCTCCAAAATGATTTCATCGTGGATCTGGCACACCATTGCAAAGCCGAGCTCGCGAAGCCGCGGGTTCTTGTGGACGTTGAGCATCGCTTGCATGACCACATCAGCAGCCGCACCCTACCAATCCAAAATCAGAAATTCACAACATATGTCGAAAAACAACATACCTGGATCGGGGTGTTGATGGCCGCGCGCTCGGCGTGGGACTTGGCTTTCTTCGCAGCAAAACTCTTGGACGTCGACGTTGCGTCCGGGAGCATACGATACCGACCCATGAGCGTCCGAGTGTAGCTATCTGAGCCTCAGTAAACAAGCATGCGATCCATGTCTACCCAAAGAGCCGAGCGGTCTGGATCGCTTGCTCCTGCCATTTTTTCACTTCGGGGCGGTCGGCGTACCAGCGCTCGAGCGTCTTGGCGGCCTCATCGCGCGACACGTTAAAGTCCTAGTGCACGACTCGGTCCATACAATCCGCGAGGCGTGCGTCTACCTTGGCGAGGCCGAACGGTGTCTTGCCATACGCGATCGAAAAGTTGAGGATTTTGGCGTGCTTGCGCTCTTTGGCGTACGCGTCTTTGAGCAGCGGCACGGGCGGCTTGCCCTTGGACGAGTCCCACTCGAGGAGCACTTCGCCTGCCTCGACGGCCTTCTGGACGTACTCGTACATGCCCATCGCTGTCCGCGAGTGAAAATCGCCGCCCGCCTAGTCCTCGTTTGAGATGGCCATCATGAACAGCAAGACCTTGAAGGCTTCAATCATGCCCTTGCACTGCGTCACGTGCGCCAGCAAACGCAGCTCGAGCTGACTGTAATCGGCGACAATCAAGAGCTTGCCTGGTGGCGCCGTGAACGCGTCACGAATCTTGTACCGGTCCTTGTCCATGGACGGCTACAAGATCGCATGAGTCGACAGAATGTCGTCACGGGATCCGTCCAACTTGGTTTTGCAAATTGGGTTTCCGACTCGAGAGGCGGCCCGTGTCCGTATTCAGGTTCAACGCGCAGTGCACACGGCCATTTTCATCCGCGAGGTCTAGTCTCATTCTTTCAATCTTTCAATCCTTCAATATGGCAGTCGAAGGGTACCTTGGAGCGGCAGAATAAAGTTGTTGAGCATCGTGTTGATGCTGCTAATGTCATACATTTGCTTGAGCGCGCGACAAGCCGCGGCGCCCTCTTCCTTGTCGGCAAAGTGGTCGTACGCGGACCCGTACTTTGGCGGGTCGGCGAGTGGCTACGTTGCATGTCCACATTGACATGTCTTGCGGGGTCAAGTAGTATGATTGGTACCTTGCCCGCCAGCTCTCTCAGCACCTCGCTTGTCGCAGCCGGCGCGCCGCTCGCGGTGAAGGCGATCGGGGGAATCCCAAGGCCGCGGATTGTGATCTCGCGCTTCTTCTTCGCACGCTTTTTCTCGGGCTCGATGATTTGCTCAATGTTTTCGACGTCAAAAGTCTTTTCGAGCGGCAGGTCGACGTTCTTTTTTGCGTTGGCAAACGGGGCAAAGAGCAGCTGCTGCTTTTGCGAGGCCGAGTAGATGTTCATGCGGTGGGCTTCCGGCACATACCGACTGGCCCATGCAAGGACACTCTCTTCGAGCTGTTTTTGCTCGGCGAGCGCATCCAGCTCGACACGCGCCAAGAAGCTTCGGTCCACGTGCATGCCCTTGCGCTCAATGTCGGTGAGGCACTCGCCAAACGGCACAATGTACTGCTGGTAAAACTCATACCTACGTCAATGCGATCAAAATCTCGAAAATACAATATTTCAAATCGCACATGGACTGCCGGCCATCGACCGGCGAGTGGTGCCACAGCGTTGCTTCAAGCTTGTGCTTGAGCACCTACGATAGAGCGAGCGGATATTATTTTCTACCTCTTGCATGGCGCAGAATGCGTACCTTGTGAAGGAACCACGTGCATTCCGCATCGTATGCGCTGTATCGAATCCAGCGCTCGCGGAATTCGGGAAAGCGCTGCAGCTCTTCGACCAGCGGCAGCAAAAGATCCTTGCCGGCACTGCCGTCCTATGCAGCGCCATGGAACCAAGCGCTTGGTGGTCGTCGAGTTGGTTGTACTTTTTTGAGCTTGGGCACGCCGAAAAGCTCCTTCATCGGCTTCTTGCGGGCGTGCATGAGGTCGGCCGAGAGTGCTTCGAGCGAGTACCCGCCCTTTTGAAACCTATGGCGTCGTACGTTGAGGCGACATATTGGCGTCAAGGACGCCATGTACCGCGCCGTGTTCCAGAGCCGGGCCATGTGCATTGTGTCGCCGCCAAGGCCTTGGACGTTGATGTTGGTCGTCTTGTTGTACAGCACGTGGCGGTCAAACGAGTAGTTGTGCCAGATCTTCTTGGTTGTCTGCGACTCGAGAAACCCACGAAAGTACTCGAGCGTCCCATCGGCCGCGTCGAGGTTGTCGACCCACACGTACGGTCCGTTGCCAAAGTCGACGTCGGGACCGCTGTAGATCGAGAGGCAGGTCACGTGCCCATTGCCGACGGGACCGACTTTCTTGACGTCGATCTGTGCAACCTCGGTATCGCACGCGTGGTAGTGGTCGGGCCCGAGCGAGGCCAGCACCTGGAGCACGCGCTCGGCGCTCTGCTTGTCCTGGACGAGCGTCACGGGGCGCATGTCATCGGCCTCGGTGAGGCCCTCGAGCAGGTGGGCATGGTCGGCGATGCCAGAGCTGTAGCGCGGGCGAAGGCCTCGCGCGGCAGGCCAGCGCGCACGAGCCAAGGACCGCCACATGCAATTTGGTTTGGGCCAATGATACCGCTGGCAACGGATTGGCTAGCCACACGCAACGTAAGCTGGTCCATCGCCTGGGGTATCACGGTATCGAACAGTGGTTTCTTCCCACATTGTAAAGAGAGGTTTGCATTGAGCGTGCGGAGACGAAGCTCGCATGCACGGGGCAGGTTGACATGGTAATGGTAGGCCTGCGATGAATCGCGCTTAAAATGGCGTATTTTAGCTGGCCGAACGGTGTGTACGCCTCGAATGGCTGGATCCGAAGGCGCGTTTGATTGGTTGTTTTAGACCATGGACAGTCCATGTCTCATGGCATGGTACATTAAAGGATGTGATTGGTTGAGAGGGACATGCCGCACCGCCACCAGTGTGAAGAGGGCAGCTTTGGAAAGCGCGCTGCTATCGAGATCCGATCAAGCTACCAGCGGGACATATCCGGATTCCGGTTGATCTGTATCATCTGCGCCATCGCAGAACAGAATGGTCAAAAGTACTTGACCAAAGCTGTCGCCGATGCCCTTACCTGTCTGTCTGCCACTTGCTTGATCCATCGATTATTCCAGGCCACCGACCATGTCAAGTCCCGTTGTTGTCGTTGATTCATAACTAGCGAGTGGCTTAAAATGTCGAAGTCTACTCGCCAAGATAAAGAGGCAATGGCCGTGTCACTAGACGCACGACTGACAAAGAAGACCAGCAGCGAGAAGGAAGAGCGCGCCATAAGCATGGAAAGTCCCGCGCGAGGATACTGCGCCATGGATCGTTCGGGCGATGAGACCAATGGCGAGGATCTTGAAGAGTGGGTAGTCGTTCATGAAGATTACGGTCATGCCAACGCACGGAATTGAGGCACGCACAACGCCGACAATATCGCCTCGGGGCAGCCAGAGCTGACCTGGCGCGTAGAGCCCGCGATCGTTCACGGAGTTGTCGTCGCCTTTGGTCAAGTAAAAGTCGACGCCATCCGAGTTGCGCGTGTGGACTTGGAGCACGCGGTGGGCAATCGGGATGTCCCGGTCTTTTACCGTGAAGACGACAGTGTCGCCAATATCAATCTTGGGCTCACTGTTGCCGAGGAAGAGGATGTCGCCACGCTGGTAGACGCTGCCGCTGAGAACGACGACGGCCGGCGACTCGCAGCACGTCAGACCCACGATGCCGCGCCAGAGCACGAGTCCGCTTAAAGCACGCAAAATGAAGTGGATGAACCAGCGCTTGCTCGGATGGCGTCTCTTGTCTCGGCGGCAAGCGACCGATCTCGTCATCGTGTCGATCTTGGCAACGCAAATGCGCTCACGTCGCACACTGTGGACAACCGGAGAAAAGGCCGTGGTATCCGGTTGAAACCAGCTATATTCGATTCAACTATCGATTTCAAAAGGTTTGAGCCGAGCCCGGGCCAAGACAACGGCGCTGTGCGTGTTATCGACCGGTGGACGATACTGTACATTATTTGTCCCAGATCTTATCTATCGCACGGTAGATAGAATTAATACCACGAAAATCGTCTCTACGGGTAATTCTGCTATCGTCTTTGGGGCCGGCCAGTTGCCTCGTGGCTTTCGAGTCCTGTCAGCAGTAGAGAATCTCATCATTGGGCTGGGTTGCACTCGATGTCAGGTACAGCCCACGGCTGTCCAATATGCTCGGAGATACCTGTCTACCTCGATGAGCGAGTATCAGTTCGCTGGGAAGAGGCAGCCTTGGACATTGTGGTGTGGTTGAAGAAGATGCAGCGTGGTACGACGAGAAGCTCATGGACGCTTGGCGCCACCAACACATTGAACAGCAGCGTCGTCAATCTGGTGGCCTGTATCTACATCGAGTCCACGCGTCTCTACACTCGAACTGCAACGCTGTTGAAGCAGTTGGCTCATCCGAGGAATCCAACCAAACGAGGTACTCGCACGTAGGAACGTTGCCATATAGAGTACATCAAGCAGTTGCTCTATTCTCGCTGTGTAAAGGCCATGATGGCCATGAGGCCGACGGCGAGGACCTTGAGGGCCGGGTAGTCGTTCATGAGGATGGTCGCCATACCAACGTACGGAATCGAGGCGCGCGCAATGCCAACGATATCGCCGCGCTGCAGCCAGAGCTGACCCGGCGCGTAGAGCCCACGGTCGTCGACGTTGTTGTTGTCGCCCTTGGTCAAGTAAAGTCGACGCCATCCGACTTGCGCGTATGGACTTTGAGCACACGATGGACAATCGGGATGTCCCGGTCCTTGATCTTGAAGACGACGATGTCGCCAATGTCGAGGTTGGGCTTGTTGTTGTCAAGGAAGAGGATGTCACCGCGCTGGAACGCCGGCTCCATGCTGCCACTGAGGACGACGACGATCGGCGACTCGCCGAGCGTCCAGCCCATGAGACCGCGCCAGATCATGAGCGCGCTCGTGATGACCATGATGAGGTTTAGCGCCTGGTGCGTGAGCTGCCGCTTGTTCTTGTTGAGGCGCCGGACCTCTTCCACCTGCTGCTCGACCATCTTCATCATCTTGGCGTCGTCGGTCTCGGCCGCGGAATCGCAAAATTGCGACCACGTGGCATGTGGATGCCAACCGGACAACAGCCAGCCTATCCGGTATTTAACTGTCTAATTGGATATTTGATATCGCGTCATTTAGTATGAGAGGTTTTGCATCAATACCAGGGATATAAACACAACAAGCCAAGACGACAAGCATAAAGTCGTGTAGCATTCACACACTTTGTTGTATAAATGGATAGACTACCAGTCTAGTGACATGGAAGCGCGATGACAATGTCAGTACGTGCTCTACCGGCGACATCGCCCAACCCAAACCCTACACTGTCGAATTCGAGTCCCTTTCGACGTGACGTGGCACATGGGCAACTTGGCTGACAGAGCTGGCTGGCAGTGCTGATATACGTTCGACTAGGGGAGAGCTCTAGAGGAGTACATCGATTCGTAATGTCGGTTTAGGATGTAGCAAAAACTGTGTAAAAAAGCAAGTCATGGTCTAGGAAACTGCGAAGCAACAGGACAAAGGAACATGTACTTGGAGAGGACATTTACATAGTATAGTACTTTAGCTTGAAAGACTGCGTCATGGTGTGAATGTGAGCTCGACAATGTCAGGCACGTCAATGTGGTCGCCAGACGAGCCCGACTCGTGCGCGTCCCACGCCAAGAGAAGCCCGCTCTCCCAGTTGCGCACCTACGCCATAGTAGAGTGCACATCCTATCACGAGCTGTTCGCTGTACCCAGCGCTGTGTGTCAAAGAGCGGGCACGTGGTGCGGGTTTCTTCGAGTTTCTTGCGGATTTCCCACAGTTTGTCCATGTCCAAGGCCAGCGCGACAGCCAGTTCTTCGTACCTAGGCACGTTTTCGACCTCGTTCTTGGATCCATCGCGCGCCACGTACTCTTCAATGGTCTTGGCGATGAGCTCGGGCAAGTCGACGGCTTGGAGAAGGCTCGAAGCAACGCGGCCGGCCATGTGCTCACCTTCCAGAGTGATCATGGGCGTGCCTACGCTGCGATTGCCGTCGACGATGGCAGTGGTCTTTAATGTACCGCTCCAGAGAATGTCACAGCCCACGGTTTGCGCATTGTACGTCGGTGTGTCCAAGAAGAGATCGGCCAAGTACCTGCATGCAACTACCTAGGCCCCAAAACAATAGAAACAAAAGTTTCTACCCGCGGCGAAGGTGCTCTTCCTTGGGCACGACGTCTGTAAAGTGGAGACGCGACTCTCGAATCCCTTGGGCTTTAGCCTCGGCCTTGAGGTTTGTCTCGGCAAGATCTAGCCGAAGTATAAAGCGGTTCATGGACATCGACAGAAGACGGTACCGTCCCCGTGGTAGCGCAGAAGCCACAGAATCGAATTGGGCACGCGCTTGAGAATGTGCATCCAGCTCGTAAACGTCACCGGGTCCAGCTTGTAGAGCTGACTAAAGTTGCAAAACACAAACTTGTCTTCTGGCACTTCGTACTGGCCGCGCGTCGGGCACGTCTCAATGTCCAGGACACTCTGGAACGCTTGTTTGTGGTCGTTGACAACGAACGAGTGCGGGAGGTAGATCATTTTCTCCACAAACCCGGCGCTGGCGTCAGCAGGGGGCACAACCACCTTGTCGGCCACGAGGTACTGGATGTAGTCGGCCCCCAGAGACCCCGGAAAGCCCAAGTAGGCCATTTGGAGGGGCGCCGGTCGCAATGCAAATATCTCCGTGCGAGCACCTAGATAGAGACGATGCAATGCGTTATTTCGTCTTGAATCATTGAATACCTTTGGTGTATCCGTTCAGGTTGATGAGAATGTGAATGCCGTCATTGTGGATCAAGTGGGCTGCGTCGCCGTTGGCCATGGCGCTTATGTCCTTGAAATGCTCCGCGTCGGCTTCGATCCGCCGACGCCACTGCGATTGGTCCGAGACCGACGTCGCATAACACGTGACTTCAAACCGGGTCGTGTCGTGCAAGCCGAAGACGGACGCCATGAGATGCGCCGTCGGGTGATTACCAAAGTTGGCGCAGACGTAGCTGGAGTAAAATGAGGAATTCTATGGACGAAATTGTAGCGATCGAGCGCATACCCGATTTTGAGCCGCTCGTCCGAGCGCTTGGCGCGGTACCGGACGTTGGTCATCTCGACAAGCGACACGTTGAGCTTGGCGCGCTGGGCAAACCTAAGAAAACGCCTCGGAGACGCAATTTTGAACTAATGGTATACCGTTTGGCGATTTCCAGCGCTCGGGTCGGGGGCAACGCGTAAATGAGTGCATGGAACGGCTGGACCGCCGGCAAGTTGGTGTCAGTGCTCATTTGGCGCTCGAGGAGGACGAGAATCTTCTTCATGTCCTACCATTTATTTCAAGGTCTGGTAGATTCGCACACGAGAGAGTAGACGTACCTCGGAGCGGGATCGCCAGTCGCACACGATCGCGAGCGAGTGCACATAGTTGGCCAGCGCTTCGGGGAATTCGGGCCGCAAGCTCAGTGCCTACGTCGTGATAAACACTCGAAATTAGACCACAATTGAAACAGCAACCTACCTTGCGAAAGCACGTAAGGGCTTCTTCGAGCCGCCCGCCATCCTTGTAGGCGACCGCGAGGTTGCTGTACGTGTCGGCGAACGCTGGCTTGAGACGGATCGCGGTGCTGTAGCATGCGATCGCGTCCTCGAGCCGCAGCAGCTCTACAATCGTGTCCGGCTTTGTTGCGCCCAAAGTTAATAGCACCTTTGTAGGCGTTGCCCATATTGCTAAACGCATCCGCAAACGTGGGGTCGATCGTAATGGCCTCCTGGTAATGCGCAACAGCTTGCTCGACCTTGCCCTGCTCCTTTAAAATGCTGCCAGCACGGTCATGTATCGTGTGTAGAAGGCGTCCAAACAAAGTACCTTCCGAGGTTGCTGTGCGCGGCGGCAAAGCGAGGCATGAGACGCACGGCCGTCATGTAGCAGTGAATCGCTTCCTTGATCATGCCCTTGTCTTTGAGGGCGTTCCCAAGGTTGTTGTACGCAAACGGGTGGTCGGGCTTGAGCCGCAGCGCTGTGCGATAGCAGCTAATCTATCCACGCAGATACGCTTACGACGTCCTCGAAATGCACACACCGCTTGCTCGAGCTGCCCAATGTCGCGCAGCGCGTTGCCAAGGTTGTTGTACGCATCGGGAAAGTTGGGCTCGAGCTGGATGGCGGTTCGGTACGTCGAAATGGCGAGCTCGATCTGATTCGCGTCAAAGTAGCTACTTGCGAGGTTGCCTAACGCAGTTCAAATTCATAAGTCCAAGTTCATAAGTCCAAGTTCAAATTCAAACATCGACAAAATGACAGAGCGACGCGTACCATGAGCTATCGCAAACTCGGGGCGCAGCGCGATCGCAGCCTTGTACGCCTCGATGGCCTCGGTGGGCTGACCGCTTTCTTTGAGTGCGTTGCCAAGGTTGCTGTAGGCGTCGGCAAAATCAGGTGCGAGCCTACGCCACTCCTGTGTAGCCGCCGCGACGAGTTGCTAGGTTACCGAATGGCTTCCTTGTAGTGCGCAATGGCCTTGTCGATTTGCCCGTCGTCTTTGAGAAGCCCTGCGAGGTTGCTCCACGCAATGGCAAAGTTGGGCTTGACGCGGATCGCATTCGTGTAGCACTCGGTGGCGTCTTCGACGAGACCCTGCGCCTTGTAGAGGTTCCCGAGGTTCGAGTGCGCATCGACGAGGCACGGGTCCAGCACGAGCGCCATCTTGTACGTCTCTATGGCCTCGCGCGTCGCGCCCATTTGCATGTAGCTCGACGCGAGGTTGTTGTAGACGTCGGCGAAGCGCGGGTTGAGTTTGATCGCGCGCAGGTAGAACTGGACAGCGCCGTTCATATCGCCAATCTCCTTGAGCGCGTTTCCGAGGTTGCCAAACGCCTCGGCAAAGTGCGGCTCGATGCGAATGCACTGCTGGTTGTAAAAGATCGACTCGGAGAAGTTGCGCAGCTGAAAGTGGAGCGCGCCCAGCAAAAGGAGGTTGTCGGTGCGCGACGCGTCGGCCGCATACAAGTGCTCGCAGATGCTAATCCCTTCCTTGTACCGGCCGCAATTGTACTCATGGTGCGCCGCATCGAGCAAATCTACCGTGCAACAATGAGAGCGGTGTTGGAAAGGGTACGGTACCTGCAAACTGCTGCAGCGTCGATGGGAGCTCGATAGCTTCGGGCGACGCTGACAAGTTGACGGGGTGGATGGCCGCAATCTTGGCCGGGTGCTTCTTCCGAGGCGGCTCCATTGTCCAAGCCGTTGTGCCAGCCGACGGTTTCGAGCCAATCGCCGGGTCGTCAATCGTCCTTCGTATCCTTTCCACGCAACATTTCGCAGTCGTCTATGGTCGGTGATCGCCTGGCGCACGCCTCGTGCCGACTCGAAGTGTACGTTTTCAACTGTGCGTCCAAAGGTCTATCTACTACAACGCGGCGATACCTCGTTCAGAAATGCCCTTGGGCGTTCACGCAAGCGTACATAAATGTAACATTGAATGATGTATTAATACTGTAGTACGCTCAGTTCAAGCAAGGGCATGGGGTTCCATGCCCTTGGTTCCAGCTACAGCGATGCAGAATGAGGAGTGCACAACAGTAAAAGATAGCTGCAAAGCCTCGTCTTGTACAAATGGTGTCCGAGACCGGCTCACAATGTACAGCCACCACGCAACGACGCGGACCAAGGCGCTCGTTACCAGGACAGTAGTATCCCGATTTGATGCTGACTGGTAAACTCAAAACAGGCGCCGCTCTCTTCTATCGCTGCATGGAGCGTGGTGCCAGAAGCCGCAGGAGCGGAGTGCCCCAAAAAGCAAAGTATACAGGAGCGCAAATCAACGTTATATTTAAGGTTTCCAAGAGTCATATCGTCCGCTGTAATCGTGTACAATAATGTAACGCCGCGCGACCTTCACTTTCGTGGACGAAACCAAGCGTCTATTTAAGCGCACGCAGTATGGCGGCGCCGCTGGGCGTCACGCTCTCGTTTCTAGACGCGTTCGTCGAGTCGCACGGCGGGTACGACGTATTTGCGACGCTCACGACACGCGACGTCAACTTGCAGTTTCTCCAGCCGCTCACGGCGACCTCGCAGCTCTCGCTTGTGGACCAGCTCACAGTGGCGCATGCCGACGTCCTGCCCGCACGCTACTACGTCTCGCATGCGTGGCCATACAACTTTCTGGACGTTGTCGAGAGCCTCCACGTCTTCTTCAGCGACAAGCCCGCGTCCGATGCGGTGGTGTGGCTCGACCTCTTTTGCAACTCGCAGCACACCAACACGGACTTTGCGAGCTTGACGCGCATCATTTCGTCGGCCATTTCGTCCATTCAGCGCGTCGTCATGGTCCTACTGCCGTGGGATCGGCCAATTCCGCTCACGCGCGCGTGGTGCGTCTACGAAGTTTACGTGACCGTTGCGTCGCACAGTCACTTTGACGTGGCCATGACCGAGGCCGAGACCAATCGGTTCACCGAGCATGCGAGCGTCGAGTCGTTTTCGACATGCTCGGGCACGTGAAAAGCGAAGCGTCCGACTCGTACGACCCGATTGACAAGGTGCAGATCGTGGCCACGATTCAAAACACGATTGGCTTTCGAGACATGGACACGATGGTGTTTCGCGTGTTTGAAAATTGGATGACGGCGACGCTTTTGGCCAAAGTGGCCGCGACGCCGCAGACGCTCGGGCGGTCGAATTGGCGCTTCAAGCTCGGCTCCTTGCACCACGTGCAAGGCAAGTACGACCTCGCCGAAGCCGCGTTCGAGGCCTGCGTTGCCGCGCGGCGCGGGCTACTCGGGAGCGACCACCCCGAGACAATCTCGGCCCAAGCGCACCTCGCACGCACCTACAAGGCCCAAGGCCGATATGTCCACGCCGAATCGCTCTTACGGCAGTGTCACGATGTAAACCAGCGCATTCAACAGGACGAGTCACCGACCGCGCTGCTTGTACTCGACACGCTCGCCGCGACGCACCAGTGCCTCGGGCAGTACGTGGACGCCGAAGCGCTCTTTGAGTCGTGCTTGGCCAAGCGGAGACGAACGCTCGGAGACGACCATCCAAGCACGATGGTCACCATGAGCAACCTCGCGACCTTGTACCAAGCGCAGGGAAAGTACGAGTTGGCGGCACCGCTCTTCGAGCGCTGCTTGGCGGCAAGCATCGCCAGCGTTGGCCAAGACAACCCAAACACGCTCATCTTGAGGAACAATGTGGCCGCCAACAAGAGCGCAATGCACGACTATGTGTCCGCAGAGGTGTTGTACGCACAGTGCCGCAACGACAGCGAGCGTATCCTTGGGCCCGACCACCCGAGTACGCTCGCTACGCTCAACAACCTCGCGGCGACCTACTACCACCAGCGAAAGCTGGACGTTGCCGAGGCGCTGTACACGCAGTGCCTCGGCGCGTGCCAGCGGGTGCTGGGCGCGACGCACCCGCAGACGCTCTCGGCGATGAACAACCTCGCCGCGCTGCTCAAGATGCTGCCAAGTTTGACGACGCCGAGGCGCTCTACCTCAAGTGCGTGGCCGCCAACGCCGACGTGATGGGTGTCGCACATCCACAGACGCTGACGTCCATGAGCAACCTCGCGATCCTGTACGAACGCCAGGGCAAGCTCGTGGAAGGAGGTGACGAGTCGGAGAGAGGTGGCGCGCCGCCGCGAGGTGCTGCCGCCAGACCACCCGAGCCTCTTGCACACGATACGAGAGCTCGGGTGGCTCTACGAAAGGCAAAAAGACTATATGGCTGCCCAGCCCCTCCTCGCCGAGTATATCGAGCTCCAGAGCCGCCGCGTTGGGACGCCCACCAACGATGTGCTCCAGCGCAGGTGTAGTCTTGCCGAGTGCTATACGCAGACGAAGAACGTCAAAGCCGCCGAAATGATGCTGCTCGAGTGCGTAGCGGCGGCCAAAAGCTTGCACGGGGAGACCTCCCCCGAAACCCTCAAGATCGTTGCGCAACTCGAGTCGTTTTACGCGGCCAACCTCGAAAGCGCCATCACGACCAAGGACTGGACATCCATCGCACACTATCGTCATGCGCTTGAAAGCTTTGGGAAAACCAACGCACTTTGCGACGCGACCAAGCACCAAATGGAGAATTCCAAGCACTTGATGCCCGTGGGGACACCGCGCAAGGTCATCAAGTCCCTAATAGTGTCGCCACGCGCCGACATTCTACACCAAAAACCCTAGTCCTCGTCAAAAGATGCGTTCTATTGAGCGATACATATTGTCAAAAAGCAGAGCAAAGGCTCTACTTGCACGGTTGCGATCGCCAACGCTTTGCGAACTCACACTGTCAATACACGCTAAATCATACCACCTGGTATGTAGAGCAATGTGTAGTTAGCCACGATCGCAGTTGCTCGGGAGCGCCCAGCTCGACGGCGCCACGTATGCCTTGAGCTTGAGCGGCACCGGGATCGGACCGAGACCGTCGTTCAGCTTCTTCTCGATCGCCGACACCGACGTCAAGTACTCGTCCAGCTTGCCGAGGTTGGCCTTGTTGGGGAAGTACCACGAAATGATCTTGTCGTTGCCCGCATCGTCCTTGGTCAAGACGACCTTCCACCAGAAATCCGGCGTCTTGACACCCCACTTGTCGACAAAAATGTCGTTGGAGGCATCCGTAAACACAACGCCGCCGTACGTCGTGATCGGGTGCAGGTCGCGGTAGCAGTCTTCGAGCGCCTCCGTCTTGGCCCAGATGCCCTGGTTGAAGCTCGAGATCTGCGGGAGGATGTTGGTCATGTAGTGGGCTTCGTGGATCATCTCTTCGTCGGTATCCATGAGGTTGGAGGCGACGAGGTGGCCGCGGTCGTAGCCGTTGCCGTACGCCTTTGTGGACTTTTGCTGCTTGCAGTTGGTCGGGAGGTTGGGGTCGTCGTAGAAGCCACTGGGACGCTTGGCGCTGCCATTGTCAACGTCGAGCGAGTACGTCCAGCGGTCGGCGGCGCCCGAGGCGCAGTCGTACGAGAGCTGGTAGCCCGTGTAGTCGAGCGTCTTGTCGTTGGCAGCCGTCGCACTCTTGGGGGCCAGTAGAAATGATACAATAGCAAGCAGGGCAACCATGATGGCGACGGTCGACGACGAAATCGAGACGGTGCAAAAGGTCAAGTGCTCAGCGGGTTGGTGTTGGCACCAAGCGTTCTGCCATACCACGTGGGAACATGACAATTTATTCGATTTCTGAGGATTTTCTTCACTTGCAGATTTGCCCGTCCTCGCACAGGTCCTCGCATCGGATTCGGAGGACAACCGAACACGATGCCACGTATCAGAACCATCTGAGGCGACGCAGTGGATCGCTGGCATCTGGACTAGAAATCTCGCTCCATTGCGTATTATAAGTAGCAAACGGATGCGTTCTGTTTTACCAGTACGACGATTGTTGTACTGGCCTCAAGCAGCTCAATGCTGGCTTGCAGGACTGCGTATCATCTCTGTGTGTACGGCATACTCGCAGTTTGTATGCACTTTAACCACCTATTGTCTCGTCTGGTATTTTCAGATTCTAGTCAAAGGATTTTCAGATTCTCGAGGCGCTGTCCGTTCACAGACGTTTCAAAGCCAGATGCAGTCCCAAGAGCCTCGGGACGGCGTCAAGCGGCCATGCACCGTAGTGCCAATGGTCTTGCCCCCCGAGGTGTTGGAGATCATCGCGCGCTACGTCTCGTGCCCGATAGCGTTCATGGCGCTGCTCACAAGCATCCCTCGCACCGCGTGGACACCGCGACTGCAATGTCTCTATACGTTGACTTCTGCCGCCGGCGTCCGCGTACGCTGGCCGGTGATTTGTCTCGATGACGTGGCGCTCCCAGAAGCAACGTGGCGCTTGCTTCACGGTGCATTATCGCTTCACGTAGAAATTGCGCTGGAAGCCATCACATGCAGTGCCGAGCTACTCACTGCAATGGCGCGGCTCGGCGAACGCAGTATTTCGCGCGTCAAGCTACGTCTTACCAAGCTGACAATGACCGAGTGCGAGGCACTGCGCGATGCGCTCCGCGATTGCACTGCCGTCAAGGCTCTTGAGATAGTGACTGCGACGGACGTCTCCCGACACCGCCCCGCGCTGGACACCCTATTGACTGCCATTTGCCATCCGCAACTGGCTGCTTTTGAGCTTCGGCTCTGCAGCACGCGCGGCCCGCACCGCTTGCAGGCGACATTTGCCCGGTACTTGGCCGAGTGGTTACGCCTCGGACGTGCCAAGAGCCTGCGCCTGAACGACATTGACCTCGACTTGAGCGTCGATCCAACGTTTGGTCCAGCGCTCGCCCTTGCGTTTCGACAGAGCCCGTCGCTTGCCGAGGTTTCGCTCACGCGCGTTGGCTTTTTCCAGCACTGTCTTCACGAAGCCCACGGTAGCACGTCGTGGCCACGGTGTCTCCGAGCACTCTCGATCCAGTAGCAAGCACCCGTGAAAATCTGTATATCATCAATATGTGCACTAGCTAGCGCCAATATAATAATAATGCTCCTTAGTTCGACACAGCAATATCTTCAAGCAAGAGTGCATGATACCCAGTACCCCATCAAGATAGGCCGGCGATACACTAAATGTGATGCTTAAATAGTCTACATCGTGTGAATTGAAGGCGCTCGCAAATGAGCGACCATGTTGACTACCCTGGGCTCCAAGCGATGCTCGCACATTATTGTCTTGCATGCAAGTAAAGGCTAATTGCAGATTTGTGTGTCGATACAACAGCATACCGGCCTCGCACACGAGCAATCAAGAATCGAACCCTCTGATCGTCACACTATTTGGAGTGCTTCAGGTCTGCAATGCAAGTACCCAGGGATAGGGTTTGTAGCCTATACAAAAACATTGATGTGAAGTGAGCTTAAACACTGCACTAAAACGAGTAGCACTACAGTATATTTAACTTAGCTGCGATCACAGTTGCTCGGGAGCGCCCAGCTCGACGGCGCCACGTATGCCTTGAGCTTGAGCGGCACCGGGATCGGACCGAGACCGTCGTTCAGCTTCTTCTCGATCGCCGACACCGACGTCAAGTACTCGTCCAGCTTGCCGAGGTTGGCCTTGTTGGGGAAGTACCACGAAATGATCTTGTCGTTGCCCGCATCGTCCTTGGTCAAGACGACCTTCCACCAGAAATCCGGCGTCTTGACACCCCACTTGTCGACAAAAATGTCGTTGGAGGCATCCGTAAACACAACGCCGCCGTACGTCGTGATCGGGTGCAGGTCGCGGTAGCAGTCTTCGAGCGCCTCCGTCTTGGCCCAGATGCCCTGGTTGAAGCTCGAGATCTGCGGGAGGATGTTGGTCATGTAGTGGGCTTCGTGGATCATCTCTTCGTCGGTATCCATGAGGTTGGAGGCGACGAGGTGGCCGCGGTCGTAGCCGTTGCCGTACGCCTTTGTGGACTTTTGCTGCTTGCAGTTGGTCGGGAGGTTGGGGTCGTCGTAGAAGCCACTGGGACGCTTGGCGCTGCCATTGTCAACGTCGAGCGAGTACGTCCAGCGGTCGGCGGCGCCCGAGGCGCAGTCGTACGAGAGCTGGTAGCCCGTGTAGTCGAGCGTCTTGTCGTTGGCGCTGGCGGCAGCCGCAGTGGCGAGGGCGAGGCAAGCGAAGGCAGTGCGCATGATGAAGCGAAAGGTAAAATGAGCTGGTTGGGTCGAAGCGCCTTGTAGAATCTGGGTCGCGCAAAGATGCAGGAAGATTCTCACGTAGGGGCCGAGTCAACGTACCCGACAGTGTACCCGACGTACCCAACTCAGGTGCGAGTCGTCGCACTTCAACCACCTCAACATGTACACAAAAACAGCCGTGTCGATGGTATGGGTAATATTTCGGCGAGATGCGCACCTTGTCACTACCGCCGTGGTGGACTTCTGGCTTGCTGGCAACTGTTTTCTACCTCAACAAGAGCCATGGGAGCGTTTGGCCAGGCTACCGCGGGCCGCTAATTTGGTACGCATGTGATTCAAGTGTGGTGGTACGTTTTCGTGCGTGCATGGCCCATGTGTGGTCGATAGAGCGATCAGGTCAAGAGCTCAAGTTCAAGCGAGAGTGGGACAATTTGTCTGATAACCGTTGCCAAACGATCATGTATGCTGCGCCATCTCAGAACTTATGGTTTGTTTTATTGATCGGCCACAAGCGATTACCCGACAATTTCGCGCCGCGCATCGTTTTGGCGCCAAAGATTCGCAAACAGATTCGCGGGAGGAAGCGCGACCACGTATTCGTCACCTGCGAAGCTTGCGATGCCGCACCAGCCGCTTGAAGTTGACGCGTACATAGCCCGGCCGAGTCGTCGCCGGTGATCACACCACCCTGTAAATTCACCCTGCACTTTTTACTCGTTGGAGAAGAGGTGAGCTGTGTATAGTAGGTACTACCGGTACCTACTTGGTAGTTTGTGTGCACTCCGTTATTGCGCTGTGTCATACCGAGGCTTCACCAGTCGTCCAGTGTCCCCATGAAGGCTCAGCTATTGATAGAATGCTCGTGGCTGCAAGTTTTGAAGAGGTGAAGGCGCGAACCCTCAAGCATTGGACCCATTCAGTGGTTTGTGAAGGGGACACAGACGTACACTGTGCGTCGTCGACATGATAGCCACCGCTTTTGGCGACTTGGGATGAGCTACTGGCGAAAAGTCTTGCGAACGCCCACCCTCTCCTCTCTTCCATATTGCGAGTTGGATTGACACGTCATGGTAACGTAGCCCACAGTACTTTCTCGAATACTGACAGTGCGTCAAGCTCAACACTGGTTCGGGCTCGAGGAGCCTGACACCGTAGTGTCCATCAATCCACAACCGATTCATTGACAGTTTGTATGTCAATGGCACAGCTTGTGATTGGATGAAACCAGCATCGTATTGGTAGTTTGATTGGTCGAACGACGAGAATGACTCCCGGTAGGATAGTCTAACGCGGAGAATGTATCTACGGTGTATTGGCTTTCAACGTTCATGACCCACAATGAGCTGACGTGCGTGCATCGAAGGCGATGCAAGTTGGCGGGTTTCAATACGCAGCGTCAACCTTTGCCAAGAATGACGACGATGTAGCTACATGTAGTACAACCAATGTCCATGCCAATGCGCCTGCCGCGCAAGACGACGCATTCCGGGTGGCGCGCTAGCAAGGTGGCCCACAGCCGTACGATGAGGCCATATACCGGTAGCTTCTAGGCTTTCTTGTACATCAATGCCAAGGGAATCCCCTTGATCAAAGCTGTCGACAGTCGGCACCAATCTCACGATACCAGCAGAGGAAATTACGGTTTCTACGCTGGCCCTTTCCACCACAGCAACTTAATGTCTCATCACCCCAGTATGCACCACCGAAACTGGTATTTCGTGAATGTGGAACATGTAGTCAAGAAATCTGGCAATGCGCACAAGGACTACCTACCGGTACCTGCTCACTCTGGAAGAGGCTTGTACTACCACCGTACTCCAAGGTAACGACCGCCACTATTAGGAATGATAGACTAGTGCAATGCAGGGCCATGCAACTCGCATTGAGGCGGTCCGTGGTGAATTGCACTGAGTAGGTTTTCTAGTCTGCGATTCCTTGCAAGATCAAACAGAACACAACGTCTATTGCAATTATACCGTCGCGCAATATACGACAAAGTTTAGCTGCGATCGCAATTCTTGGGCAAGTCCCACGTCTTGGGCGCCACAAACTCCTTGAGCGCAAGCGGCACCGGGATCGGACCGAGACCGTCGTTCAGCTTCTTCTCGATCGCCGACACCGACGTCAAGTACTCGTCCAACTTGCCGAGGTTGGCCTGGTTGGGGAAGTACCACGAAATGATCTTGTCGTTGCCCGCATCGTCCTTGGTCAAAACCACCTTCCACCAGAAATCCGGCGTCTTGACACCCCACTTGTCGACAAAAATGTCGTTGGAGGCGTCCGTGTAGACAACACCACCGTACGTCGTGATCGGGTGCAGGTCGCGGTAGCAGTCTTCCATTTCCTCGGTCTTTTGCCAGATGCCCTGGTTGAAGGTCGAGATCTGCGGGAGGATGTTGGTCATGTAGTGGGCCTCGCGGATCGTGGTCTCGTTGGCGTCCATGTGGTTGGAGGCGACGAGGTGGCCGCGGTCGTAGCCGTTGCCGTACGAGCTCGTGGCCTTTTGCTGCTTGCAGCTCGGCGGGAGGTTCGGGTCCTGGTAATAGCCGCTCGGACGCTTGGCCTTGCCGTTGTCAAAGCCGAGCGAGTACGTCCAGCGGTCGGGGGAGGCGGCTTCGCAGTCGAACGTGAGCTCGTACCCGAGGTACTTGATGGTGCGGTCCGTCGTGCACGCGGTGGAGGCAAAGGCCGTCGAGGCGACGGCGAGGCAGGCAATGGCAGTGCGCATGGCGAATCGAATTGAACAATGGTGATGGAAATGTTGACTCTTTTCGTGGATGTGCTGCGATGGTGCACACAACCTGAATCTGAGCCGCCCATAGATTCGCGCCTTGGATGCTTTACACAGCGCGAGTAATAACATAGGACTCGTGAACCCAGCCCTTCAACCCTTCAACTGGAGGTGCTTTTCTGCATCCTTCGAGCTCTTTCAGGGTGTAAACAAGGCGAGAAAAGGCTGGCGACGGCAGCTCATGATGGTTGAGTCCCTTCAGTCAGTGGCGAGAGGGAATCGAGGTGGTTGACAAAGCCCTGAAGCTGCGCAGGTCGCAACTGGCTGTCGTCCGCCGCAAAGCAAGAGTGGGATGGAGAGTGGAATATCAATCTGAGAATCGTCGTGGGGCCTGCGCGGAGTGGTATATGTGTGGCATCTCATACCTTCAAGCGCTTTGATTGGTCGACCATCGAAAGATGACGAGCCATTCGCGTCTCTGCAGCTCGGTTGCTTTGGTTGCGCTCGCCGATGAACGCGATTACCAGGAGCTACAAACTGATCTACAAAGAACTTGTGATACTATACATACTTGGTGCGAATATTCACCTCATCGAGAGCTCGCATATCGAATCTCACAGAGCCAAAATGCGCCCATGCGACAGAATTATGGCTCCAGCCGCTTGAAGTTGCTTCCTGCACTTAGGTGCGCCTCCAACGACGGTGGGTCGTAGGGCTGGGGTAAGAATGCCACGCACAGTACCGGTACTGTACCGCACGTCCTCTGTCAGCAGACCGAAAGCGGTAGCGATGATGCTTTTACAATTGAAGCGATTTACATCATTAAGGTGCATTAACGTCTTTGAGGACAGTGGCGCAATTGTCCACCTACTTCCACGAATCGCGCGGAAGGAGGCCGACACGCTTGAGATCGTTGAAAATTAATTCACTGCGAATGCCCACGTTGGGGCAGTTAATGAAGCCGCCGTGGTGCAGCGCGACGACCAAGTTGTCCCGGACCCCGAGGATCGGTGATCCGGACGCCATGGGCAGCGTGTCGAGATGGTAGAGAGCCTGTGTGGCCGTGAACGGACCTCGGAGCTGCGCGATGCCGTCGCCGTTCTTGTTGCTAATGCGCTTTCCATACGCGTTCGGGTGCTCGACAATATAGATCGGCTCGAGCAGCGTCGGGCCGCGCGCGCGCAACCGAAGGTAGTTGTATTTCTGCGCTACCCACGCGTCGAGCTTGACAATCGTATAGTCCAAGAACGAGCTCGTGTACACAAACTGGACGCTGCCCGAGTAGATTTCGCCCGGGCACGCGAGCTGGCTCTTGCAGTAATCGGTGCCCGGCGGTGGGCACTTGGTGGCTTGGGCCTTGAACTCGAAGCGCGTGCCGGCCGCGTCCGCCGCCGATTTGATGCAGTGGTTGTTTGTGACAAAGTGGCCTTGGTTGCCGAGGAGCCAGCCCGTGCAGCCTGCGAGTGACCCGCCGCGGTTGATGACGAGGCGCGCGACGGCTTGCGCGTTGCGCCAAATGCCGGGCGAGCCCTCAAAGCAAGCCGCCTCCATCGTCACGTCCTTGGGCCCGCACTGGGCCTCGACGCCTTCGCCGGGCACGGCTGTAATCATATAGTCGATGTGGAAGCCCGCGCAGGCGCCACCGCGGTTCGGGTTGAAGATGCCCGTGTACAGCGAGAGCGTAATCGTGCGGTTAAAGATCGGGGTCGCGTTGAAGCTCGCGCCATGCGGGATGTGCTGGCCATAGTAGAAAATGTCTTTGCGCGTGCCATTTTCGAACCCCGAGAGCACGAGGTAGTCGGTCGGCGGCAAGGAGAAGGAGGCAAAATGCAGTTGGATGAGTGTCGAGGCTTCGGGGCCCGTGATGGTTTGGACGAACGCAGCGTCCGTGCAGAGCGACCGGGGCTGGTACGGGTACGGTGTCGACGCGTTGCAGCCGAGTGCGAGGTTGAGCGTCGTCGCACCCGCCGCGAGGGCCGCAACGCTCGCTACCACAAGCGTTCGAAGCATGTAATCGAAAAGTGATCAACTTGCGAGCGTCCTAGCGATCTATATGGTCGGTGCTATCAATAGACGCAAATCCGAGCACGTTCGCCGGAGACGGTCATGGGCGTTGCCGAGACGCCAGCACGGTTCAACCCTCCGCTAGAGAGATGTACGAGGTGATACATCAGCCGTCCTTTCCCTTTAAAAGGAGTGTACCAATCAACGAAAACGAGCACTGAATCGCAAGTACATTGATCCAAGGAAATACTCATGTCCGTGATTGAACGTTCATAGCCAAGTAGAGCTCCGTTTGGAGGGAAAATCTCTCGTTGGCTCTGGTTGCAGACCGACTTGAACGCGCGCCATCACATCCAAGACAGGGTCGCCTTGGAAATGCTTCACTCGATGGTGCTGCCTGTGAAAAAGTTGAGAACGCGTTGGGCGAGCGAGCTGCGCTTTCGCTTCTGGCGCGACGTGCTGGTGGTCACCGTCGCGTTGCTGGGCTTTGGTGTCGGCTTGACAAAGACGACCGCGCAGCTCTCGACGCTATAGACGTGACTGCGTGGCACGGACGGATCTAAGACGCTGGATTGGAAGCGGATGCGGTACGTCTTGGTCTCTGCTTCCTCCACGACGCCCGCAAAGTACTTGGGGCTCCCGCACAGCCGCGCCATGACACGATGGCCCATAGGCAGCCGTGCGTCGCCGCCTTCTTCGGGCCTAGAATATAGCGTGAGGTCATTTCGTCAATCGCCTGCATGGGTTTGATTGCGCACCCAAGCATCGATTTCGAGTACGAAATGAGGTTGCCACAGCGCTGCAGCGTCGCGTCAGGGAGGCTCGTGACGTCGGTCACCGGAATCTGCGTGACGCGCTCGCCATAGTCAAAGACAACATCGCAGAACCCGTCGGACATGCTTTGTATGTGCCCCGAGCAGTAGCGCAAATAGCGCGGACTGTACGCTGCGACGAGCTGCCCGACGACGAGCGCGACGGCGGCGGCGCTGCGCTGCGCCTCGAGCTGCTTGAGCTGCATTTCGTGCACGCTGGGTTCAATCTCGATCACGTCGCGGCTTATCTACATACACAATCTGTCGGAACACGACGATGCATGGTTTCACAAACACTGTAGACGCAGATGCCGTCGAGGAATTGCAGGTCGAACGTGCCGTTGCCGTTGTCGCGGGTCACGGTGCACGGCTGGACGTTCTTCAAGAGAGGGTGCTTGGTGAGGACGCGGAAGCCCGTGAGAATGACGCGGTCGTCAACCGTCAAGTGCATGTCTTGGACCATCGCGAGGAGCTCGTCCGTCACATCTTGGTCGGCGGCGGCACTCAGATCTTTGATGTCGACTTTGGCATCGACGTCCTTCTCGTCGTACTGCACGATGGCCGTGCCGTTGGTGTGGAGGCCCATAAAGTACCCATATCGTCGCTCCAACGGGTCCCGGTACGTCACCTGCACGCGAGACTCAGGCTCTCTTGATCGATAGATCAACGAACCATGACGCGGGCGCCGAGGTCGAGGCGCACCATGCCATCGAGCAAGAGAAAATTCCGTGTTGACGAGGGTCGAATGGCTTCGATACCGGGCTTGCGTCGGACTTTGGGTCGTAGTAAATGGTGTGGCACCGCTAAAACATGCAGGTCAAATGTGAATTCGGGGCTGAAAACGCATGGACGTCAACCTCGTTGGATGGTCGACGACGTCTTGTGAAGGCGAATGTCGTACGTGCCGTTGTGCAAGTCGCGGCGAATCGTGGCCGTGACCGGGTCGGCAACCGGCGCCGAGTCGGACATCGAGTTGCGCTTCCGCACGCTCGGCACCATGAGGTTGCGGCTCTCGGTTTTGAGTAGCGCGGGCTTGCCGTGGATGTCCATCAAGACGACGTGGTCACCGACGCGGAACCAGGCGACCATGGCCTTGCACGCGCTAAGCTGCGTAGCGACCTCGTCGTCGTCAGGGCGCGTCGAGGCGAGCGCGTCCAAGGTCCGAATCATCTCCAAGAGCTTGGTCTGGTCTACACCACATATACATTGTGGACAAGTTGTCGTTTTCGATGCCTATACTTTTCTGAAATGTCGATTGCACGTCCGGACGCGACCCAAACCGAGCAAAGAGGTAGTCGGTCCAGTGGTGTTCGCCCAAGGGCAGCTACACCGAGCGTAATGCGACATAGTACTATATCAACACGGCGAATGTTTACCTCTTGCTTGGCGAAAGTCTCGTCGAGACGGCAGGGGCGATAATGCGTTGGTGGGTACGACCGGTTGCTCGAGGCGGCTACCTTTCGGGTATTTTCGTCGGCCTCGGACGACCCAACGCTGAGCGCCGAGCTCCGTGCGGCTTGAACCATTCGAGATGGCATTTTGCGTGGAAAGGCCAGCGATCGCTTCCGCCGCGCATGCACCTCGGACGAGACCAGCACAACGCTCCTGGCCCGTAGACCGGATTTTCGAGCGAGTAGCGCCCGGGAGGAGGGGTCACTGGCGAGTAGGGCCATTGCAGCACCGGGCGCGCGACGCGGCGCGTTGTTGCACGTGCTGTCGAGTGTCCGTTTTCGCATCGCATACGGGGCGTCATCGGGTGTCGGCGGGTGCTCGGGTGGGCCTACTGCGTCCACGCAGGTCGTTTGCGATGTCGCGGACGACGCCGTCAGGAGCAAGGTGCCGACGCCGCGCGGGCTGGGCCCATCCGGAAGCATCGCTTCCGAGGGCGTGGGCGCGTCGTTCATAGAGTGAGCTAAGTATAGCAAAGTGGCGCGAACGGGCTCTCAAACGACATGTATATTTTTGACATGGTTTTTTCTCGACAACGAGTCACGACGACCCACTTCAACAAGAACGGATCACGAGCTCTTACAAGCTACTAAGTACACTGACACTACAATTGCACGCGTACGAGAGCGGGAACGACAAAGCCTGTTGGAATCCATGGTTGGAAACCCACCGTGGATTCAACCACACCCACGCCTCCCTCAAGTATTTGTGAAAAGTGGGGGAATATTGATCGCCGCTGTTCATAGCTAGAGATTGTGTATGTAGTAAGAGCAATATGCTAACCAAATGAGAAGGCATCGTTTAGCAGAGCATTGGATTTTTGTCGTTAAAAAGTTTTGGTACACGTCGATATGTCTAGTCGTGCTCAACCGTGAAGCCCCGTTGAACCAAAGGACACCCAGTCGAAACGGAGCTTCTCGATGCCATGGGCGTGGTACGCATCCACGTCTACGACGGCAGATTCATCGCTCCAGATTCATGTACCGGTATCTTGTGCTGGAGGCAGCGTAATGCGCAAGTGCAAGTGCAACATAGCACTCGAAGGTCAACTTCGCTATTATGTCTCTCTGATTGGACCATGCTTCGATACCGAAGTTCGTAGGAATCTTGAACTAATAGGCCAGTTCGCGTTGTTTGTTGACAGAGAGACGCCATAGACCCATTGGCAAGATGGCAGCAACAGTCGTGGGCTGCGAGCTGGCCCTTCTCGTGAGCCTCGCCCTCGCTGCCGCCTACGTGTGGTTCCTCTTCTACGTCCAATCCACGCAGCGCAAGGCGTGCCGCGTCCTCCCGATGACAGCAGTCCATCCAAGCACGGGCCTGCGCCGCCGTCGCCGGCGTTGCGCTGTCGAGCTCATTGCACAATGCCACGGCGTCACAGCGGCCGTTGGCTGCTCGTAGCGCACGATAGTTGTTAGATAGAGTTGCCCGAACAATAGATGTGTTTTAAGGACGCCGCAAGGGTCAAAAGCTGCGAAGGAAAAAACAATTCTTCCAAAACCGTCCGCACGCAGCGTCGATGCGAGCCTCCAAGCGCGACCGCCACGTAACATTTCTCGACAACGTAGCAAATACTGCCCTCGTCCAACGCTCTTCCTCACACAAGCGTCCTCCTCGACGATAGGGCCACGTTGACGACGACGACGACGACCTGCCCGACCGTGAGTGCTGGCTGTCGCGGGCGCTTGCGTTGTCTGGCATCGCACTCGTCCTGCTCTTCATTGTAAAGGTCGCGGTGGAATTTCGCCTCATTGACGCCCTATCGGCCGAGCAACGACTTCGTCACGTCAACAACGGCGCCATCGTCGACTAGATCGTCGAGCAGTACCCTACACGAAACACAAAGACAATAGTACGCTGCTACTACACCTATTACTCATTTTCCTGCCATCAACCTAATAAAGTGAGCGATAAGACGCCTCCATGACACGCAGTCCAAACGTGAGGGCACAGGTTGGGAGGGTACATGTACATTGACTGTGTAGTATTGGATCGCAAAATCGATCAAGACAAAACCAACGTCCCGAACGCTGGGCGTTTGAACAATATGGAAAGCTAGCTGGTCACTCGATATATGATATTGCACATGTGTTGGCATCACACGAGACGTGTAATTTGCACGTCACGAACGCACTGCGAGCGAGACAAGATCCATTCCCTTGGTCCAAGGGTGTGTTGGCAGCAAACAACGACTCTTGCATACGTATACAAATATATATTGTAGCATTCCACGGCACTTGGCTCGCGGCAAAGGTCCAGGAGAAGGCGGCACGAGTGCTTGTGGTCGGGGGCCGACCTCTTCGTCGCACGAGGCGCTGCCAGCTCATCGCGGTCGCAGCTCGTTCTGGCCAATCCCAACTTGGCGCGCCGTGATTGGCCCACACGCTTCTCACTTCAATATAATGTGTGAAACCGTCACTTCACATACTCAAGTCGAGTCAAAACGTGTCACAGCCGACAGGAATTAAAAACCATCCGGATCGCCGCGGCTTCGTATCCGGAAGTCCCACGAACGTGGCTGGCCTTCATTCGATTTTCGCCTCGAACCGCGCGTTCTGATTGGTCCCATAATAATTTGGCCCCACGCGTCCGATTTAATGGAAAATCTTTATTCGCACTTGGTTGTTGTATGCAAGAACACGACATTGAATAAAAGGCACCAGCGCGGCCGAGGATTTCCAGTGCAATTTTTTGAGCATTTGCTGGACGTCAGAGCAGGAGGAAGCAGCATGAGCCTCGAGTACCTCTTGGACGTCGCGATCCAGTTTGAGCAGCAGACGGACCGCGTGACCAAGCTCGAGCGCCACCAGCAGTGCGCCGCCCAGGCCGAGCCGACGCCGACGCCGCCCGCCGCCGCGACTCTCTACGCTGACACCAACCACCTCGTCAAGCACTTTGACACGCGCGAGTACACGCACATCCAAGCCGCACCGTTCCATCCGTTCTTGTTGCCGCCGACGGGTGCCATGTTTGGCCTCGACCCGAAGAAGGCCGCGGAGGCCGGCGGGTACCTGGCGCCGTTCCTGCTCTCGCACAAGGCCGAGGCGGCGCGGCGGCGGCAGGTTGCGATCGAGCGGCGCAACGCCAAGCGCAACATTGTACCGCGCCACGCAGCGTCCGAGGCCGCGGCCGCCGTGTGCATTGACCGCAATAAGACCAAGAACCGCATCTCGGCCGCGTCATACCGCGAGAACCGTGACAAGCGCGTGCACTTTATCGAGCACGAGATCCAGCTGCTCCAGAAGGAGCACCCGGGCCTCCAGTCCAAGGACTGGGTGCCCATGAAGAAGTCCAAGAGTGCGATCCGCGACGGCGAGTCCAAAGAAGAGTACCGGAAGCGCACGAACCGCGAGTCGGCTGCCGATTCGCGCTACCAGCAGCAGCAAAAGCTGCAATATTTAACCCGCGAGCTCGCCCGGCTCCGCGCTGTGGTCCACGTCGGCGACGCGGCCAAAAGACGGAGCTGCCATTGACGCCCACATCAATGTCGTCGCCCATCGAGGAGCAATAGCCTATTTATGAGCCAGCAATAGACCCAAAGCTTGCGCTCCTCGTCAAAATGGACCTAGTCCGTCGTTGTCTTTGCTAACATCCCTCAGCTTTTCTCGCACGTTCTCGTGTCCTCTCGACTCTACTCCTCCAACGCGCAGCCCGTGTCCAGTACATCGCGTGCAAGGCCGAGGGCGCGTGAGGCCAGCGTTTGCGGTGACGTGGCGGCGTCAGCGCATCGCCGCTTCGATCCCGCATGCCACGTCACTACCAACAAGAGAAACAAGATGGGAGACGTATCTTGCATTCTCCTCCAGCGATAGAAGCCCTATACGTCGCACACCCGCACAACCACGACACAGTATCCACGCGTCGTGTCCTCCGCCCCGCCACCTCCCGCCACCATGTCTAGGGCGCTAGCTTCGCACCAAAGACGATCCATTTCAATCTAGCACAGCCCGACGATCTTAGCACCCTTTGACACCCCTAGATGGATATATATATACCAACTGGTCGACCTACTTGGGCAAACAGCGGCGGTCGCGTAAGCGCGTTGGTCGAGCGAGGGTGCTAAAGGGGCGTGCACTTAGCCATTCCGGTTCGAAAGATAGCGGCGCGATCTTGGCATACAAAACCCGATATGTTTTGGAACGGCTCGTGATTGGTCCGTTTTCTCGAAGCTCGAAGCTGTCGTCTTATTTTCGATTTGGACCAGCAGCAATGGGCGGCGCCGAGTCGATTCCGGTTCAGCCCGAGGGCGCGCGCCTCAAGAAGATTTACTTGCACTTCGAGGAAGGCGACGAGGCCCACCACCTGACGCTCAAGCTCACGATCCCGTCCAAGTGGGCGGGCGCGACCGTCGACCGCTTGAAGGAGGTACGCGGCGACATGGCGGCGCGGATGGCTCACGTGCAGCCCTAGTTTTTCTCGAAACGTACAACGAGAAGCGGCCCAACAACAAGGTAGACGCGAGCGAGTACCACCTCGAGCGCAGCGAAGGCCGCGTGCTGCGCGGCGACGAGACCATCCACGACACGATCAAGAGCCGCGACGACGTCTACGTCAAGCTCGGTAGGCGCACAGGCTAAGGTTGTGGCTCATAAGATGGCTAGGCCCATCGACGTTCAAGCACAAGAAGGATGCAGCCGATGGTACGTGCTGCGTATGCATAGAAAAAGGCCATGGCTCATGAATACATTGCAGAGGAGCGCGAGAAGGAAGTGCCCAAGGAGCTCGTCCAGTGCAAGAACTTCGGCTGCCGGGAAAAGTTCGTCGACAGTGAGAACCACGGCCTCGCGTGTCGCCATCACAAGGCACCGCCGACGTTCCATGACACGAAGAAGGGCTGGTCCTGCTGCTCGTCCAAGATGGTCTACGACTGGGATGACTTTGAAAAGATTGAGCCGTGCGCGGTTGGCTTCCACAGCGCCGTTGGCAACCAAGCGCCGGTTGTTGCCGAGACGCCGGCGCGCGCCCCCGTGCCGGTCGTTGCCGCGCCGGCTGCGCCCGTCAAGTCGATCGACGACTACAACAAGTCCAACCCGACCGCGGTCACGTCAATCTCGTCGATCACAGCCAAGTACGTCCACATAAGTCGCGCAAACTTTCTCATCGTACCTAGGCCCGTGGCCCCCAAGCGCACGGACGGGAAGGCGAAATGCGTCAACTATGGTTGCCAAGTCGAGTACTTTGTCGATATCAACGACGACAAGTCGTGCGCTCACCACGCCGGCGCGCCCGTCTTCCACGACAGCGGCAAGTACTGGAGCTGCTGCCCGAAGGACGTCAAGTACGACTTTGACGAGTTTTTGAAAGTGCCCGGCTGCGTCGTCTCGGCCCACAAGGATGTGCGCGACTAACCAAATGCGCGCCGAATATATAAAACGCGAGCTCGATGCCCTTTTGCGTGGTGCATGTTGTGTGGACAAGGGAGACGTGTACGGTCAATGTACTATATAGGTGGTACGCTGCTGCGAACACGCGGGGGTGGTAGCTCGGCACAAGATTGCATCTACTCCTACAAGTACAACAGAGGATTGGAGATTCCTACTGCAGTACCAATATGGACTTGAAGACGTGGTGACCCGGCAAAAGGGTGCTGGATGGATGAGACTCGAAGGAGGACTGACGCGCGAAGGAGCGGAATTCGTAAGCTCGAGCTCCAAGTTCGAGGCGATACCGATTCCAGGAAAGAGTCCGCGACCACGGTGGCGGACCAGAGCTCTACAGTTGTAGCAGTGACTGCTGGGTCATAATACGAACACCACAACAACGCTTGGACCGATCTAGCTGCGCCATTTTACTGTAGCGGCCGAGACGAGACAAGCCCTTGACACGCTCCTGAAGTAGGCATCCTTCTATTGACAAACGAAGCTTACACGGCGATGCCATAGCTCTCGTTGGAACCCGTCGAGGTCTGCGTCGGAAGTGTCTGCGGCGGGAGCAGGGCCGACGTTTCGCTGGCCTGCGCGGGCGGCGGCGGCCCCACTTGGCGGTTGACCTTGAGCTTCCGCGGCTTGCTGCCGTAGAGCGAGCACGTCTCGACGTCGGGTGTCATCGGCGTCTTGGGCGCGGGCGTGAGCATCGCGACGTCGTCGGCCGTGAAGAGGCCCCAGCAGTGCAATTGGCTTCGGACGAGCGTCGTGAGCTCGTCTTCGAGCTGCTTCATGCGCTCTTCGAGGTCAATGTCGTTGGCGTCCGTGCCGAACGGGCACTCGATCTCGTTGGCGACCGTGTCGGCGACGAGAAGCACCATGCCCCAGAGGAAGACCCACCCGGGCGTGTAAAATAAGGACGTGTCGACGATCACGACCGTGTAGAGCACGAGGTACATGTAGATGCAAAAGTTGAGGTACTGGCAGTAGTTGAACGGGATCGGGATGTTAGACGTGTTGAAGACGCGGCCGTGGATCATCGGCAGCTGCGTCACCATGTTGTTCATGGTCGTCATCTGCGGCGGGTTCAAGTAGTTCTTGGAAGCCGCCGCCTGCACGACGCGTCGGATCCAGAGCTCAATGACCGCCGACCGCGCGCGGTTGGTCGCCGCCGACGCGCTTGAGAAGCGCTTGGACTGGCGCGACGTATAGATGGCGCCGCACGCATTGAGCTCGTTGAGCTCGTTCGGCGAGAGCCAGCCCGCGGACTGGAGCTCGGGCAACGCGTCGTGTTCGCGGCAGTCGTGGAAGACGAGCGACGTGTAGATGAGCGTGAGCCGGCGAAAGTCCCCGAGCATCTCCTTCTTCTCGAGGAGCTCGGTGCTATCGTCCGACTTGGTCAAGAAGGACGCGAACGTCGACACGACGGACCGCGCCGTTTGCGTAAAGAGCGTAATGTCGCCAAGGCCCGACTTCCACTGCTGGAACGCCGAGTTGAGGCGGAACGAGATGAGGAGGCCAATGAACGTGTTGGCGATGATGTGCAGATCCTTGAGCGCGATCGACGTGTTGAGGCCGTCAAAGTCCGTGGGAAAAAAGTGCTGGAAGGTCGCCACGATGAGCGCAAAGCACGCCATCGAGAAGGCCTGGACCGGCGCCGTGCCCACGAACGGCGAGCCCGTCCACGTCGTGAGGATCGAGACGATGTCCCGCGTGTTGTAGTAGATCATATTGCGGCTTGTTTGTGGCTCTGCAAATTGCAATCTGGACAGGCCATGCCGCAAAGGCCACGTATCCGGACGCGCGTATCCGAACCACGGCGCATCCAATTGCCCTAAACAGTACTACCATCTGATATTCTTATCGCGGGGTCTTGGGTCATTCTTCCGTGCCCATGCTCTCTGGTTGTACTTCGTATCGCCGTGGGGCCCGAGCGTACCCGCGGCAGTAGTAGAAGAGGACATTGCAGTGACGACGAGACGCCTTTGGTATGCTGCGTCGCTGTGTACAACGAGCCTCGTCGTCGAGTCGCAAGCCGCGTCGTTGGGTTGATACACACGCGGGCGAAACACCGCGAGCAAGTATCAACTTGATACAACATTCCATTACAACGCCCTAAAACACGTCGATGCGTGTCATTGCTTCGTCGATAGTACGAAGGTTTACCGCGCACAAGGGCACGCGTGGCATGCAGGACGACGACGACCATGCATGTACTTGAATGTGCGAATTCCAGCACAATCCTTGGCAATAGAAACGACACGATGTCGAGTTGCCTTGGTCACTCTACAGTACGCTCTGCATTGCACTTCGCTGACTGCCTGCAGCCGTGGACAGCCTTGGCTTAGCAAGGAATTTTCCGCATCTCGGGCGAACCTATTGGTCTTGCCCGCCGACCTGGCCCCTGGGCTGGCCACTAGCGCTGGACGCCTTGCACCGTGCCCACATGAAAGCTCCAAGGAAGCCTCAGCGTTAGGCGCATCTGATGGGCGCCTGTACGCCGAACGCCGAGAGCGATGCGCGCTCAAGAGAATGCAACACAATCGGCGAAGAGCATGATCTTCCAAGACCAAGCTCGTGTCAACTTTCAGAGAGAAGGTAGACAACCATGTACAGAGCCTAAAAGCCGGGAATGAGGATCTCGCCGACGCGGCAGGAGTCCTCCTTGAGCACTTGGCGCGAGCAGTCGGTGGCGTTCGTTGGCTGGTTGTCCTTGTCCTTGCCCAAGCACGTGTACACTTGCGAGAGCCTTTGGTTCTTGCACTGGAGCACGACCTTCTTCGGGCCACCGTACGCGTCGCGGATCGCGCTCGTCGAGACGACCTTGCCGACGCTCTTGGAGATAAAGTCGGGCGTGCCCTGCGTCTTCATGCGCTCGATCGCGCTCTGGAAGAACGTCACTTGATCGAGACCACTGCACGTGCCATGGCGCGTCCACTCGTGGTTCCAAAACCTACGACGGCCATATGGCATCATGGCCCATTCAGAGAGGCGTACGAGTCGTAGTCGGTCGTGTTGATCGCGACCTTGACGTTGGGCCAAAACTTTTCGAGCGTGTCTTGGCCGATCGCTTTGCGCACGCGCTGCATGTCCAGCGGCTCTTTGGTGCAGTAGCCCGGGTGGGGCCCTTCGTTCTTCTCGGGCCAGAGGCCATGCACGGTAAAGTGCGTCTTCCAGTACGGATTCGGCTCCTTGCAGCCTACAGCATGACTCCTGAGCACGTCTTGGCCTCGAGAGAGATGCGAGACCGGGGTACGGCTGCTGGTAGCAGAACGAGGGCTGCCACGAGTGCGCAAAGACATAGTAGTCGAACTGCGTCGCCTCGTGCTGGAAGAGTCGCTCGTCGTGGTGCCACACGAGCGGGCCATCGGCGGCCATCGCGGCCACGGCCAGCCCCAGGATCAGTGCTGGCTGCATGTTCGGTTGCAATCCAAAATAAGATTCGGTATATCCGGACAAAAGTCGCTTGGCCAATCAGCATGGCTCGTGACGTGGCAAGCGGAGCGGGCAGCGTATCTTGAAGCGGCAGCATGGCAGACGGCCGATGTTGCTTGGACCCCACAGTTCTGCAGCCATGACATTGAGAGCTTGTTGAATGAGAGGCCTTCTCTTGTATCGCGGACAATAGCGGTACCCCATTGAAGCCCACGATACCAGTTGAGCAGCACACCCAGCTTGGCGCCGCCTTGACGTGCAAATGTAGTTGATCGCGTGGACACCCGACGCAACGTAGGAAATGGGAAAATGGGGCTCTCTCCGGGACTGGAACCCGGGTATACTTGGTGATGAAACAGTGTCTATACCGCTAGACTAAAAGATGTCGACTAGAACCCTGCCTTCTTGACTCAGCACATCTTGGTGTTGGTGCGGCTTGTGCTGAGGTCACTGTGACGCACGACCGAGACCGTGTTGTCATGGTTGATTCTTAACCGGTGCTGCAATACACATGCCCCAAAACTCAATCATGTTTAACCTGAACGAGCGTCATGCAAGACCCAGAGAATCTACTTGTGGACGCAAAAGAGCAACGAAAGGCAGTACAACGACAGCATCAACCCATCGCGTTATCCTGCGATCGGGTGCGCGACGTCTTGGTCCTCACTGAGCTCTGGGCGTGCTTCCTGCGCGAGTAGTTGCTGTACAAGGCGTTCGAGCCGGTCGACTTGGTCGCGAAGCTGCTGGATCTCGACCGTATTGGAAGCGCAGCTCGTGCATCGAGCGGCGCCTTTGGCGCGCGGCCGCGGTCGCCCCGTTTCGCGCCGAACAACATAGCCCCGCCATCGCGCCTGCGGCTCGCATTTTGAAACGGAACTGGAACGCGCGGCTACAAGTACCTGCAACATGCGGATGCCCTTGTGCGCTGACATGTGGCAAAGACGCTCGAGTTGATGCTGCGACGCATGCACCGTCCTCCACAACGTCGTCATGGCCTCGTCTTGGATACGAAGCTGGCGCTCAAGTGCGGCCACGTGCCGGCTCGTGGCAAACAGGGTTCGGAGCACACCGCGTCGGCCCACGTGCTGCCTATGCTGCATTGAAACGAGCGCTTTGAACGGTATCGAACCGCGTACCACATGCCAATCGTGCGGGCACGAAAGCCGCGCCAGCATCGCTGCCGGTATTCCATGAGTCGACGCGTCGGTCGAGCGACATGATACCTGAAGGCAAATGGCAGACCGGTGGTGCGTCCGCACGCGGTAAAAGCGACGTCGAACGATCCAGCCTCGGAGCATGCGCTAGAGATACGACGGTACACGATGCCTGTGACCATGGTGCGTAGTACTTGAAGCACTTGGGCATAGACATGAAAGATGCGCTTGTCGGGATCGATGCGCCGCCACACCGTGCAATACGACGAGACGGGCTCGACGATACTCGCAACGACAACAAGGCCGCGCCGTCGTCGCGGATGCTGCCGCCGACTGCGGTAGCCACGAAAGTACTTCTAAACACACACCGTCGTTCACGGCTGGTACGACGACGCCTATAGTACTTGAATACACACTGCGCTCTTGTCTCGGAGCCGCTGCTCGCGCTTGATCCAGACCTAATTCGCGGTAGACAATCTGTCCATGATACGCCAGATGCGTACTTTGGCGTACTTGCGAAGCGTACGCACGTGGTCGTGGAGCGTCTGCACTTGCTGTTGCAGCGGCGCGTCGTCGAGGGGTGTCACAAAGACGCTGGTTTGAACGAGTGCCGGTTCGTCCATCGGCACTTCGCTTGCGTACGAGTACTTGGGTAGCGACAATGTCTCGGACGGTGGGCTCGGCTCGGTGCGCTCGATGGGCCGTGGTGGCGGAAGCGAAGGCTCCTCGTGGTATGCATCGGCGCGGAGCCGTGCGCGGTCCCGGTCGTCTTGGTCGCGACGGTCCTGGAGCATCTGTTTCCACAGCTGCAGCTTGACAGTACGGTCCGACACGTCCGAGCTCTCGGTGTTGGTCGGCGGCGGGTCGGGGCTGCGTGCAAGTCCATCCAGGAGCCGCAATGCGGGAAAGATGTCACTTAGAAACGCTGCGGCGGTCGGGTTGTGCAGTACGCAGCGGTTGCCAGCCAGGTCGATCGAGTGCAGTTGACTGTACTTGCCAGCGCACGAGTCGAAGCACCCGAGCTACATCATCTTTTGCTTGTAAATCTCGACAGCTTGATGTCGTACGTGGTCGATTTGGTTGAAAGCAAGCTTGAGCTGGCGCAGGCTCGTCGGGAGGCTCATGTGCAGCGTTCGCGTCACACTTAGTTGGTTGTCGTTGAGGTTAAGCGTCTAGGACCGCATGATATTGCACCTCGTACGACAGCGGATGCAACCTCGAGGTAGCCGAGGTGACGGAGACTCGGCCACGTGGCAATGTGGTTGACCGACGCATTCACATAGACAAGGCCCGTATGACACGTGAGGCCATCGATATCGGTCAGGTTGTTGTCCGACACGTTGATGTATTGCAGCGAACTCATCTGGTCGAGCCCCGAAAGCGACGAAAGGTTGTTGCGAGAAAGGTTGAGCGTCGAGAGTAGCTGAAGCGACTCGATGCCCGCGAGGTGCGTGAGCTTGTTGCACGAGAGATCGACCTGGACAGATATGGATGGATGTACGTCGATATCGGGTGCTCGTACCTGCTGGAGGTGCACGAGGCGCCCGAGGCCGTGGAGCGCATGGATGCGGTTGGACGCGAGCGAGATCGAGTAGATGTCGATGGGAATGGATTCGGGCACGGTCGCGTACCCTTCTTCCGACAAGTCCAGCTGCACGGGCCCGTCCATCATGCTTCTTCGAACGCTATGCGTCTCGCCACAAACCAAAAGATATGGGTCACCATCGCCGCGATGCCATTGGCTGAAAACCACCAATCGTTGCGTGGCACCCAGACAGCGCAGGGTTACGGCCACCGCGCCACTGCAGAAAGGAAGCACCACATACAGCAAGGACGAAGACCGTGCTACGCAAGCAGAACCTTCTGGCGCGCGCCAACTGCATTGAAGTGCATTCACATTGCACCAAAAGAGGTCCGTACTCTACGATCTTATCGAGCTTATTTCAGCACCCGGAACCCGGCAAGAGAGAAGACGCCTGCGCCACGCGGGGTCGCCAGAAGGTTCGCGTTGAAGTCGACGGTGGCGTGAGGTGATATCGCGGCGTGACACTTGACACGAGGTTGCTGTCGTGTAACGCGACGCGACGTGCAGAGCAGGGCCCATGGCAAGCAGGCCGTATGCGCGTACCGGTAGGACGGACTTCCCTTCTTGCAAGATACGCATGCGGGTGCAATAGCCTATTGCATAGCACCATCACCCACGTCTGGTCGCGACGAAGATCATTCTCGTCGTCAAGCCACGCGGGTGCTTCCAGATCCGAGTTCGTTGGCTACTCGTTGCCAGCGGCTTAGTCGCTTGCATGTACGAGTTCCGAGAAGTACTATCTAACAGAATACATATCTGCCAGCATATCTGCTAGCGTAGGTTGGTGGGAAGTGGTGAGATCACTGGTCACGGCGCGTCGCGATGCACTGGTGTCCTAATAGTACTAGTATGCGTGGTCGTGTGGCTGAGCTGGTGGCGAATCTTCTCCTCTTATTTTCGGCACGTGCCGCAGCAGTCGCATGTCGCAGAAGGGGCCAAGGCGCACTGACCATTTGGTGGCGCTGTTGGACGCTCTCGAAAACCAGGTGGCAAAGCCGGCGCTTAGGTCGGTCGTTTCCATATCACAATTCTGCCTCGGAGGCCAACGATGCAGCAGAACGTGGCATCTGCCTCGCCGACCGCCGTGGGGTCGCCCAGCTCGTCGGCGGCCAATGCTGTCCGCCGGGCGCCGGTGACCGAGACGCCGCTCCTGCACCTTACCGACGGCGAGAAGCGCGAGTACGCGACGACCGGCCACCGCGTCTGCGCCGAGCTCATCAAGCTCGCGGCCCTCACGCGCGAGGCCAAGGTGCGCTCGACGACGCGGGACGCAGCCTTTTGCCGACAGACATCGACGCTCAGCAGCGTGCCATCGCTGCAGGCGTACATTGACCGCGTGCACCCGACGATCTTCGACAGCCTCGACGCGACCATGCACGTGTGCACGATCGAGGACGCGGACGATGGCAACCACCACCACATTCGCCTCCAGTGGGGCTTGATCCACGTGCCGTGGGGCCACGACCGCGAGTTCACCTACCTCGAGGTCCAGCGCATCTTTGTGGACGCGAATGGCTGCCGCGGCTACGCGCGGTGCCTCTACTCGGTCCCGCTCTCGATCCAGCTCACGCCCGTCAAACGGCTCCTCGGCACGCTGTACCACTCGGGCATTGTCGTGAAAGAGACGTCAACGCCCGGCGTCTTGGAAGAGGTGGTCCTTATCAACATGGCGCTCCAGGGCCACGTCCCGATGTGGATGACCACCATAGTGGCCAAGAGTCTGCTCAAGCGCACGTGCCAGCTGCAACGCGCGCTCGTCGGGCGACCCTCGACGCGCCGGGTGTCGATTTGGACCGAGACGACGACGACAGGCGATGCGAGTACAACCAAGACGCTCTGCAAGCGCTGCACCAAGCCGCTCCCTTGGTTTCGCCTCAAAGCCAAATGCGCCGTCTGCCTCGAGGTATTCGTCGATATCGGCGTGTGCATAGCGCTCATGAGCATGGGTGTAGATGGTCTGCCGCGACTGCTCGACGCACTGGGACATTCTCTGGAACAAGTCGGACCGCGTTTGCAGGCTCTGCCACGGCCACGTCCTCTCGATGCAAGCCAAGACGGCCGCCGCCCACGCCCTGTAACTCACACACTCCTATAACTTATCGCACGACAACTATCACTTAAATGTGGCGACAAAAACGGGCGCGGTGGTAGCTGCGGTGTAGCACTCCTGCGTAGGGTGGCTGCGCCATGTTGAAGTGAGTAGCGCGACGTCCTCATACAAAATGTGCAGCCGGCAGGGGCGAGCCTCCGTTTGCAGTTCGTTTGTGTCAGCGCAGAACAATGGAGAGCTGGCGACCTTGGGGACGTGCGAAGAGGCGAGTTGGCGACAGCATGAAGAACGTACGAGTGGCAGTCTGCGACAGTACTATGCATACTGGCGATCTTCAATCGAGCGCCCTTCTTGCGTGCGAGCTCTCTAGGTGCGAAGACACTGCCGTGAACATGGACGATTGGCACGCGGCGTATTGTCGGTGAACCCATGCCACCACAAGGCACACGAAAGCCAAGACGTCCGATGGGATAGTATACTATTATACTATCCGATCAGCAATCCGATACCAATATCCTGTACAGTACCGTACTGCAGAACGAGTGATCAAGCGATCAAGGGCGCGCAGCAGTCCAAGATCCCAATGCAAGAACCATATCCGGATTAAAATCCGGATAGACCACGCCACGGTGCGGCCGTGGAGGTGGGTCAGCGCCGCCGAGCGACCGAAAATCCTCCTCGCTCAGAATTGGCTCATGGATAAACACGACTTTGGGTATCCCAACGCACCACGCCGCGCTGCCATACGGTCCCTACAACCAAAGCTACGAGCATTCAAAGCGTCAAGAGTCGCGCTGGTCAAGCCAGTGCGCCCCGTGTCTTGCGCCAAGACTATTTATGACCGTGCTAGAACGCTTACGCTCTCGGCAATAGCACCTCACCCATGACTGTCGTCCCTCCAGCCATGGACGCAGCCTCCACGAGCTGCATGCCGTGTTCAAATAGGCGTCGCTGGCCATGGTATTCAGCACTGTTGCTGTCCATTCTGAGAGCAATCTCCAGTTGTATCGATTTTTTTTGGCTCAGAGAAGGCTGCGTCGCCTGGCCTCTCTGCGCCGTGGCGGTGGCTCGGGATGTTTGGCGCGGAATTGGCCGCTCGCTCCATCGGCGCGATTTTTGGTGGGGTTGCTGCACGTGGATTGGCTGAAAAGAAATGTGTATTTCAATGCAAATCGTGCACGGTTTATTAAAAAGTGCGTCCCGTTGCCATATGCTTTGTATGTAACTGGATCGTATTTTTATTGCGTCGAGGATTGAAATCCATGGCACCTATTTTGACCAATCACGCACAACGTGAAGGTTGCAGAAGACAACGCACAGATCCAAACGCCCACCATGGTCGCACGCCGAGCCGCGCGGTCGACCGAGCCGGCGCCCGCGGCCGCCCCACGCCCAGCTCGACCCGCGCGACGCGCCCAAGCCACCGCGATCATCGAGGTCTCGTCGAGCTCCGATGAAGATGGCGACGATGACATGGAAGAGGCAGCAAGCGAAGAGGCAGCAAGCGAAGACGACAAGCCGCTGTCGCCACCTCGCCGTGGCCGGGCCGCGCGCAAGCCGGCTCCCATCTCGCACCTTGAGATGATGCCGTCGCCAGCCGACGACGAGAGCGAGGACGACAAGCCGATATCGCCGCCTCGCCGTGGCCGCGCAGCCCGCAAACCCACGCCCGTCGTGGACGTCAAGATCAAGCCGCCAGCCGACGACAAGAGCGAAGACGACAAGCCGATCTCGCCGCCTCGTCGCGGGCGCGCCGCTCGGAAGCGCGAGCCGGTGTCGGACCTCGAGATCAAGCCGACGCCCGCCAAGAAGCGGCGTGTTGCAGCCACGAAGAAGACGATCGTCGAGTCGGACGGGTCGGACATGGACGACGTGTCGTGGGCCAACGCGCCCAAGCTGCCGGCCAAGGGCAAGGGAAAGAAGAAGGTCGTCGTTGCACGCAAGGTGCGCACGCTCAAGGAGAGCAGCGACAGCGACTTCAACGCGTCGTCGGACGCCAGCAGTGACGCTATCCCGGCCGCACCCCCGTACGCACACGTGCTTGCACTGGAAACGAACGTCGACTCATTCTGCATGGACTAGCATCGACTCGGACGACGACAAGCCAATTCGGCCGGCGGGGTCGCCCCTCAAGGTCAAGGCGGCCGCGAAGGCGTCACCTGCCGCCAAACCCGCAGCCCCCCGACGCCGTCCAGCGCCAAAGAAGAAGGAAGCAAAGGCGTCGTCCACAGACCCCGACGACGCTGCACGTCCCGAAAACGCCGAAGCCGCCCCCGCCGACCCCGTGTACCCGATCTACAAGGCGTGCTACGCCACAAGCGGCCGCGCGCGCGTGCGTTGCCTCGCTTCGATCGACTCGGTCTCAGCCCATGTGTAGTGCAAGACGTGCGAGAAGACGCTCGAGAAGGACGAGCTCGTGATCTCGGTGACGCTCGAGCACTCGCGGTTTGGCATCAACAGCTACTACAAGGTGGTGTACTTCGTCTTCAACACATGAATCTTCCTACCCTCGATCGATGCATGTAGCACGTGGCCTGCTCGTTGCTCGGCGACGGGATCCCGCTCGTCGGACTCGCCGCGCTCTCCAAGAACGACGAGGCCAAGATGGTGGCGCTCATGGCCGCCAACCGCGCAGCCGGCCTCGACGACGAGCGCATCGCGCTGCGCGAAGAAGACTTTATCAAGCGCGAGATCCTCCCGGGCAAGCTGCCCGTGGCGACGCTCACCGCCAGCTTGCTGCCATACCAGCAAGAAGGCCTTGCGTGGTACGATGTCGACGCCTGTCCATATGCCGCATCCTTATGCGGCTGCTAGGATGGTCAACCAAGAGGCCAGCGCATACCGCGGCGGCATCTTGGCCGACGAGATGGGCATGGGCAAGACGGTCCAAGCCATCGCGTGCATGCTCGAGCAAATCCGGCTGGAGAAGAATGACCCGATGTTGCAAGCCAACGGTCTCTTGCCGGGCGGTACGCTCATTGTGTGCCCCGTCGTGGCGTGCATGCAGGTAGACGACGACTTGATATCGCTGGCGATGACGATGATGCGGCTAGTGGCGATCCGAAATCGAGCGCTTTGTGGCCAAGGACACGCTGCGTGTGCTCATCCACCACGGCCCAAAGCGGGCCAAGCTCGCGGCCGAGCTCGCCATGTACGACGTGGTCTTGACGACCTTTTCGATCGTCGAAAGTGAAGGTACAAGTCTCTCTGGAGCGACGCTTGAGCATGGGCGCAGGACGCAAGATTCTGGGGGCGGATAAGGAGCCGTGTGCGTACTGCGGCAAGCTCTTTCTGCCCGAGAAGCTCGTGCTGCACAACAAGTACATTTGCGGCCCGAACGCGCGCAAGACGTCCAAGCAAGCCAAGCAGCAGCGCGTACGACTATTCGAGTCGTCGACGGGATTCAACTCATGCGCACCAACCAGGGCAAAGCAGCGAAGGACAAAGCCAAGTCGTTTAAAGACGCGAAAAACGACGATGACGACGTCGACGACGACGACGATGACGATGACGCGTCGTCCGAAGACGAGGCGCCGAAGAAGACACCAGTGAAAAAAGTTGCGGCCAAGAAACCGGTCAAGCAAGGGTCGTCGCCGCTGCACGAGGTTGCGTGGGCCCGCATCATCCTCGACGAGGCCCACTACATCAAAGTACGACCGACGCCTTCTACGCAAGACACGACGACGTGATGGGGTGTGTAGGATCGTCGATGCAGCACGGCGCGGTCCGTGTTCAAGCTCACGTCCAAGTTCAAGTGGTGTCTCACAGGTACGCCCTTGTCTGGTGCATCGAAGCGTGCTACCTGATGCACCCAGGCACGCCGCTCCAGAACCGCATTGGCGAGCTCTTTTCGCTGATTCGGTTCCTGCAAGTGCACCCGTTTGCCTACTACCACTGCGCGCAGTGCGCGTGCGAGCAGATTGATTTCCAGTACGAGGTCCGGTCGTATCTCGCACCATGCTTATGGGTGGTGGGGTGTAGGATGAAGGGCGGGCACTGCAGCCTGTGCAGCCACTCGTCGATGCAGCACTACTCGTCGTTCAACAAGAAGATCCTCAACCCGATCCAAGCCTACGGGTATGTGGCCGAAGGCAAAGTGGCGATGCTGCGACTTCAGAACGATCTCTTGCGCCATGTACGTCGTTTGTGTCGATGTCTTGTGTGTTCAATGGGATGTTAAAGTGAGGGTGTTGCTAGGTGTTGCTGCGCCGGACCAAGCAGAGCCGCGCCGACGACATTAGTTTGCCGCCCAAGCTCATTGTCGTGCGCCGGGACGCTATGGACGAGCGTGAGAAAGACTTTTACGAGGTTCAAAGCTTTGACACGACTCGACGCCTTATGTTGTGTGATTGCGTAGAGCATTTATACGCAGAGCAAGGCGCAGTTCAACACGTACGTCTCGGCCGGCACGCTGCTCAACAACTATGCGCACATTTTCGACCTCTTGATTCGGTTGCGGCAAGCGGTCGACCACCCGTACCTCGTACGCGACGACCAGAAGGCAAATTTGATTGACCACGTGCTTCGTAGGTCATTTACTCCAAGATCAACCCGGCGCTGCAGCTGCCAACGCCGGAGCAGCCGGTGAAGAAGGATCTGCCGCTCTCGGTCGACGTGAACGACGACGACGATGATGCTGCGGCCGCGCCGAGCTGCGAGTTTTGCCACGAAGAGGCCGAGGACCCGGTGCGCGCGGCCTGCACGCACACGTTTTGCAAGTCGTGCGTTGAAGAGTACATGGCGTCGCTGCTCATGAGTGCGTACATCTTGTGACGTGGGCGCCACTTCGTCTCATGCGTTGCCGCTAGACGCGAAGGCGCTCTGCCCGACGTGCGAAGAGCCGCTGACGGTCGACCTCGCGCCGCCCGAGGTGCCACTGGAAGAGTTGATTGACGTGGCGTCGCCGCGCAGCGTGGACGTCTCGCTCAAGAAGTCGCGCGGGAAGGCGAGTTTGCTCTCGAAGCTGCCGCAGCTGAGCGACTTTCAGAGCAGGTACTTGGACGACACGTATGTTTGGCGTCGAACTGATGTTGGATGGTAGCACCAAGATCGAGGCGCTCATGGAGGAGATCCACCGCATGCAAGAGTCGGACCCGTCGGCCAAGGGGATTGTGTTTTCCCAGTTTGTCAACATGCTCGACCTGATCGAACACCGCCTCGAGCTGGCGGGCATTCGCTGCGTCAAGCTCTCGGGCAGCATGCCCATGGCCCTGCGCGACAAGCTGCTCTCGCTCTTTCGAGACGACCCGAAGCTCACGATCTTCCTCATCAGTCTCAAGGCCGGTGGCGTCGCGCTCAACCTCACGGTCGCGTCCCAGTACGTGCCATTGCAGCTGTACCGTCAGCAAGACTCTTGCTTTGTCTAGCATCTTTCTCATGGATCCGTGGTGGAACCCGGCAGCCGAGCACCAAGCGATCGACCGCACGCACCGTCTCGGGCAGTTTAAGCCCATTCGCGCGACACGGTTCATTGTCGCCAACACGATTGAGGACCGCATCTTGAAGCTGCAGGTGCGTCTATGACAACGCGCGTCGTATGTTGACGCTGATTGCGTAGGAGAAAAAGCAGCTGGTGTTTGAAGGCACCGTTGGCTCGAGCACGGCTGCGCTCGGGCGTCTCACGGTCGAAGACCTCCGCTTCCTCTTCCATTAGTTAAAGGTTTCATGCGTAATGGATGGATTGTTTGCATGCTCGGTTATCTGTCTTGCTTCGTTTCTGGCCCTTGAGCAAGCGTCGGACGCTGTGGGCGTAGCTTCAGCTCTCTCTGGTCGACGACTTGCTTGATGTCGCAGTGCCGCATCGCTGGTAAGCGTCTGTGGCCCATCCCGTCCGTCGTCGGTGGTAGACAAGGGAACATGGCATTTTTTTTAAAATTGCGCTTGTTTGTCACATATGGCTACAGTCGAGAAGGTACTCGGAGACCTTGAGATGCAATCGCCTCGTCGCCATTTAGTCCTACGCGCTCGATCTCTCTTGCCCAGTGGCTTCTGCGATGCGACTCGGTCGAGCATTTTGTAGGGGTAGGGTAGGGTTGGGGTCACGGCGCCGTTTCGCTGGAAACGGGAGACGCATGCCCGCCGAGGTACTCGTCTCGGCGGGGCCGCCTTGCTACGCATCATCGTCATCGTCACCCAACACTTTGTGTAGGACGCGACCTTTAGCATTCGCGATGGCTACCACCTACGCGCCCTCAATGAGCAGCACGCGGCGAATGTCGACAAGGCGTGTTTTCCCGAGCTGCTTCGGTCGACGCCGCGGGCGGCCGTGAGCGTCAAGGCCCCCGACGTGCGCGTTGGGGAAGCGACAACGCTGGACGCCACGTCGCCGCTCGAGGCCTGGCTCGTCTTTCGTCACCGCGACCTCGTACCTTGACAACGACGTCGTTGCTAAACGACTCGGTTCGTCATTTTCCCATGGGTAGGTGGCGCGAAGCAACCAAGAGGTGACGCCAGCATCGCCATCTCCACCACGCCACTATGCACTGCCACGGCAGCCGTGTCGACCAGTGAAGCTCCAGCCAAAGACGCAGCTACGGTATTTGCCGCATTTGTTGCTGTCGCCGAGGACGAGTCGAACCCCGCCACTTGTACCGACCGCGTAACTCCTCAACGTCAACTCGAACGCTTGACGGAGGCCGCAGCGTAGACCGGAAGTGGAGCCCAAGCGGTACGAGACCGAGACCAGTCGCTTCCGCATGCGCACAACGATCAAAGCCTCGCGCACGTCGACGCTCTCGGCTCGGATCGTGCAGCTTATGCTGGCGCCAGAGGCCCTCGCCGACGTCGAGGCGGCTGCGCGCAAGCACCGAGCATGCGACCGCGTCACCACCAACAAGCAGCTGGTCGTGACGCCTGTGCCGCCCGAGGCCCGCGTGGTTGGTCGCTGTGATCTACGACAAGTTGTCCACTGGACGACATCTAGGAGCGCAGCGAAACGCTGCAACTGCGGCGCAAAGCACAGGTGGCGCGATACTTCCAGCACCAAGAGACGATGCGGCAAGCGACCGAGCGCAGCGTCGATCGCTGGGGCGCGCGACGGCGCCAGGAAAAGGCCAACCACCTCCGGCATGCCCGCGCCAAGCGTGTCTTGGTCAGTGTCTTGGTTGCTCTCGCCGCTTCCAAGCTGCGCGAGCGCTTCAAGGTAACCTATGCAACCTGCCAGGTAGTGAAGCGACGTGGGTAGGCGATCGAGCCCTCGATCAAGATGGCCCAGATGGTGCACGCATGCCGGAAGATTCAAGCGTTCTGGCGCGCCAAAACACACGCCATGTCCATGTCGCATGCTGCCGAGGCGGTGGTGCGGATCCAGCGCTTCATCCTCAGCCGCATCGGCACGTACCGGAATCACTGCAAGCGCCGCGCCGTCGTCGTCCTCATCACGAGTCTACGCGAGTGCCATGACGCCAAGTTCCGACGCGTTCGTTTACCTTGTCCATTTGCATCCGTCGATCCACGATGGAATGTAGGCCATGTTCAAGTACCGGCAATCGGTGCGGCAGTTCCAGGCCATGTGGCGCAGCTGGGCCGTCATCACCGACGCCCGCATCAAGCTGCTTTTGCTCCTTTGGAACAAGGTCGAGAAGAAGCTCCACGGTATGGTCCCCGTCAGTAGTACACATTGAGTATGCATGTGGTGTCTCCTCTAATAGCAGCGTCCGAGTCGCGCGAAAAGTCGCCGGGACCGGTAGCCGCAGCAACACCATCGCCCTTTCCCCATCACGCGTAGGGGCATGTGGACCATCACCGCCGAAGCAACCTGTCGGGGCGCCATAGTGCATGCGGTGCCGCAAGTTGAGAAGTCGCGAGAGGATTGCCGACGATTTTCGTAGGGCCCCCGTCGAGTGCCGGCACGAAGAAAGTGGTCCATGCCGTCAAGCTGCTCGGGCACTTGAGTGTGTTGAACGTCGTCATGTCGCCAGAGGACGAAGCGCAAAAGGCCACGCAGCATGCAGCTCGCGTTCCCCTCGCGTGCGTCGACGACCTCGCGTCTCCACTCTCATGCATTTTGTTGTGGACAGCTTGAAAGTGAGTTTGCTCAAGGCGCTCCTCTCGACCAAGCGGCACGAGTTTTTGAATCGCCGCGAGCAGCTACGGTCCGTCTCCATGTGGACAACTTGTCTACAATTATGATGGACTAGGGCGGCGTGGGAGAAGGACCGCGACGAGCGCCGGCGACGGGGCTTTGGCATGGACGTCTCGTCCGTGCTCGTGTTTGATAGCCTCCGGTATGGGAAAGCGCAATTTCTGCTGCTGCAGCACGTTCGCGACGCCGACATTGCAGGTCCATGCGGTCTTTACGGCCACGAAAAAATGACAGAATGTGCGTAGAGCTCATTGCGCAAGCCGAGAGCATCCACGCCCAGTCTCGGTCGTCGATGCCGTCTCGTCTCGATGCACGGCTGTTTTAACGATTTTATCTCAATCTCAATGTGCCTAACGCGCTCGGTTGGATGTTGATGTATCGTTTTTCTCAAACTCAAACTCAACTTCGATCATGTACAAGTGTCGTAGCCTCCTTTCCGAGCGCACGAGGACAAGAATGGACTCGATAAATTAGATATGTCGGCATCAATGGGTCGTGGATGGGACGGGCACGCCGGCCTTGCGCAGTCGGTCGGCGTTCAGGATCATCTCGGTCGCGTCCATGGCCCACTTGTCGGTCGTCTCACGCTTGCGCTGCTCGGAGCGCATTTGCTGGGCCAATTGCTACAGCCATAATCCATTGCCGCAGAAAAGACGCGTTTGCTTCGTACCTCGCGGTACGCCTTGTCTTGGGCGTGCTTGGCCGCTTGCTTGGCCCGTGCGTGGACTTCGGCCGCCAACGTATCCTGGATCCACGCCTTCTCGGCTTGCAGACTCGACTCTTTTTCTCGCTTCATGGCCAAGACGCGGTCGGCGTGCTGCTTCTCGAGCGCGTCGCGCTGGCGCTGGTTGCTCTCTTCTTGGCGGGCTTTCTTGGCCGCTTCCATCGCGGCCTTGCGCGCGTCAACGTCAGCTTGCACGCGATTCGCGCGCTCTTCGTCGATCCGCGCCTTCTCCGCCTCCGAGACGACGTTGAGAAGGGCCATGTTGACGCGCTTCTCTTGGCGGGCGTACGTGCGCTCGAGCGCCTCGACGCGCTGCCGCTCCTGTTCGGCGAGGCGCTCCATGTACCGCTTGTGCACGAGTCGGTCGAGGTCTTGGTCCGCCAGCACCGCCTTGCGTTTTTCTAGAAAGGGGTAGGGTAACTACATGGTCTAGCCAATGTCGTACCGTCGAGGAGCCTTTGGTTTTCGAGCTTCACGCGCTCGACCTCCTTGGCCTTGAGAAGCTTCTCGTGCTCGCGTCGCAGCCGGTCTTGCTCGAGCGCCGCCTAGTCGGCAGCCGCAAGGCGTTGAAAAAGCCCACTCGGTTACGATGCGAACCTTGGTGCGCGCGACGTCGTCGAGCTCGGCCTGGATCTCTGCGTTGCGCTGCCGCGCCTTGCGCTGCCGTGCCTCGTCTGCCATGCGCTGGACGTCGGCGTTGTCTTGCAGCTGCTTTCTTTCCTTTTCAATTTGCTTTTGTTGTTGGAGCAGCTATGCGAGATATCGAAGGTGAGTTGGCTGGATTTCAACCGGCGGAGCGACCTCGTAGGCCGCCAAGTCGCGCTGCTGCTGCTCAAAGTGAGCGTGCTCGACCGACTTGGCGGCGGCGACTTGGTGCAGCTTGCTGCTCTGCTGCGCGTCAAGCGCTCGCTTCAGATCGGCGCGCTTCGCCAGAGCCACTTGCCGCCGCCGCTGCTCCTCGGCCTGCACCTCGACTTGCTCCAGCGCGTACATCTAGCAACGCATCGACACGATGCGTGAAGTGGTCAAGTACAGACTTTGGCCCATGCGTTGGGCGGCTGCTGGCGCGGTGGCCGGTGGTGCACATCTGGCTCGCGCCTACGCTAGAATTGAGCTCGAGAGCGATGTCGCGAAAGCATCGACCGCTGGTCGATGGTTGCTGGCGCCGGACTCGACTGCGACCGCTCGGGCTGGCGTCGGCCCGGCGCGGCGTCTTTGAGCTTGGCCCGCGGCGGCTCCCGCATCGCAAACGCTGCGAGGTTGCGCTCGACGTAGTGCGCGAGTACTTTGGTGCCATGCGATCGCTTGTGCTCGAGGGCCAGGTCGCGCTTCCGCGAGATCTCGATGCGCCGCGCGTCGTCGAGCTGCTGCTTGGAGGCGGTCGCCGCCTGCTTTTCACGCTTGACGGCCAGCGACTTGGCCGCGAGGAGCTGCTGCGCCCGCGTGAGCTCCACCATGCTACGTGCGTTTTATCCGAAAATAGGTACCTCGCTCGTCGCAGCAGGATGTAGTCGCGTTACCCGTCGACGGCTGACTGTACTAGTGGCCGCATCGATCGCAACCAATTCTTGACGAGGCAGATGGGACTTGCATTTCGTCGCGTCGACAGTATGTGTACTGTACACAGCCACTACAGTACTACCGGTACTACCTCTAGCTACTGCGGCGTGGGATGCTGCAGTGGGACGTCGGCTTCAAGGCAGCTGGTGCCAAAGCGGTAGCCAAGCGAGTGCGTTGAACCGTCTGAGAAAAAAGCCACCGCAAAGTCTCGACGGCGCGGCCACGAGCGGCTCGATGCAGCGGCGTATCTTGTATGGAGATCGCACGATGCCAAGTCGCTTGCGCGCTGGTGCTGCATCGCACGACGCTGGTTCCGAAACCCATTGACGGGGCATGTAGTAGTATCGTCGTACACAGTGCATAGACCAATGGCATTGGTGGCATAGAATAAGGAGACTAGAAAGCTAAGAGGTTACGTGAGCCGCACCTTCTTGGCGCTGCGCGGCGACACGGCGTGCATAACGTCGTCTTGGACGCTGCGGTCTTCGTCGAGGATCTCGAGGATGCGCTTGACGCGGACGACGGGCGGCGCCGCGACGTCGCTTTCGCTGCCGTCCATGGTCTCGTCGACGGCGTCGCGCTTGCGCACCTTGTCGCGGCGCAGCACACGCTCACGCAGGCTCTGCGACGCATGGCCGGCCTGGCGCCGCGGGCTGATGCTCACGGCCTTGTCGACCGACTGGTGGCTCGGCGTGCACGGCTTGTCCGAGGCCCTTCGCGGGCTCGCGGTATGCACGGGCAGCGGTCGCGCGATGGGCAGGAGGCTCATGTTCATCGACACGAAGCTCCATGGCTGGGCGGCCGGCGCATCGTCCATGCAAGGAGCGTCCATCCAAGCCAAAGATTTCGCAAAAATAGGCCGCAACCTCTCGGGCCAAACCGAAGTATTTTGGCCAATCCGCGCGCAGACAGCTGGTTCAACGGCGTCGGATTGGTTCAAATGGCGGCCTCCACTGCGCCCGGAACGGTAGCCACCTCGATCCACAAGACAGAGACCGAGAACTGCGGCGACCTTGTCCTCGCAAAAGGCTACCAAGAGCAAGCACGACGGCGACGGCTTGCGAAGGAGTGACCCACCCACGGTATATGCGCCGTACTAGTACGGTAGCTGCGAAACGCCGCTCTTCAACTTCAACTACATACCGAGACAACCCTTCGTAACTACACAGCATGCTTGGTAAAAGGACGGCCATGTCGGGATTCGAACTGCCGACCAGCGCGGACGAAAAGCTCGTGCGAGCGAATCCTCGGCAACGTGTGGGATGTTTCGACGTTTTGAGACAGCGTACGACTTGGCGTAGAAACCGAGAAGAAAAGGGGAGAAGAGTAACTAGTTAAAAGTACCATTATGGCCCTGGAAGTACTACGGACCAGCTACGTGTGGTGGGCACCCGCAGGAGACATGGCAACAACACACAGCATCTTATAGCACGCATTCCGCTCCATGACCATCACTCTTTCCTACAAGATCGTACAGTCAAGAAATGCACTCGAGGGCGAGGCTTCGAGACCAGCAGTTGCTTGCATTATTATCTGACGTAATTGTCGCAATGCGGCGTCTGCACTGTTCGTCGTCTCGACGGGTGTTTAGAGGCCGCCAGGCAGGATCTCGGTCGGGTCCAAGCGCGCCTTTACGACAGTGGCGAGTACGTCAATCGGGACGCTGGCGCCTGTCCAGCGCTTGGACTGCTCAAGGCCTTGCTCCACGAGCATTTCGTAGCCCTGGATGCACACGCAGCCATGGCGACTCGCGTGCGCGAGCATCGGTGTGATCGCGGGCTTGTATGCGGCGTCCATCACGATCAGTGCTTTGTGGAGCAGAGCGGGAGGCAAGGTGAAGCCCGCACTGGCGGGAATCGTACCGACAACCACGTGCATCTACGACACGTACAATTGGCGTCTCGTTCGCTTCGATCCGCATCGTACCGTCGGCGCGGCCTCGAGCGTCGGCAAGGCCGTGCTCTGAAAGCGCGCGGCGACCTCGGTCGCCTTGGCCAGCGTACGGTTGTAGACGAACACGTGCAGACCGAGCTGCTGCATGGCATAGCACGCCGCCATGGCGGTGCCACCGGCGCCAATCACCAGTGCGTTGCCGCCATTCGCAGTGGGCGAGAGGCGGCGCGCGATCGGCCGGTAGATGCCCAGCCAGTCGGTGTTGTCGCCTTCCATGCTCTTGGTCACGCTACCAGATTCTTCTTGGCATTTTCACAGACCAAGGTCTCGACGTACGGGTTCGGGACGAGGGTGTTGACAGCGCCAATGGCCGAGGCCGCCGGACTCAGCTTCTGCAGATACGGAATGATGTCAACTTTGTGCGGGATCGTCACCGATGCGCCGCCGAAGTTCGGGTCGTTGAGGACTCTCTTGTAGACGCTGATGTCTACAGAAGAAGACACGCTGGCAAGGACATCAAATGCAGCGGCGGCGTACCCGTCGACTCGAAGAGAGCGTACGTGTGCGGCAGCTGGAGGGCCGCAAAGGCAGCGTTGTGCATGGCCGGCGACGGCGAGTGCGCGATCGGACTCCCAAACAAGTAGAAGCTCAAGCCTAGTCCAAGATACAACATGCCCGTATTAGAAGGTGGCTTATCCTCGCTACGCGACACTACCTGGCGTCATGCCCAGCGTCTTGCGGAGCGTCTCGATCTCCGCGACCGAGAGCTGACCCTACACCCACCATGAGAAAGAGTCAAGCAACGATGTCTCGCAGTAGAGAGCGTACGGGCGCGGCGGCCGCGGGCAGCGCAGGGTGCGTCACCGGCGTCAGCGTCCGGTTCAGCACGCGGCTAAGCGACCCCGACGGCGTGGTGCACACGGCAATCGTCGGCATGTGGAACGGCCAGCGCGCTTTGCACTCGGCGAGCACTTGGTGGATCATGTACGCGTCCGAAATGTCGTACGCCTTGAGGACGACCTTGGCAATGTCGACCTGGCCTTGCCACGCGCATAGATCAAAAAGCTCTGCAAATATCTTGATGTGAGAGATCTCGTGCATGGGGCATGTCGAGGGTACCAGCAGTCTTCTCCTTGGTCGAGCGCTCTTGAATCGCGTGGTACGAAGCGAGAACCGCCGATCCGCCCTAGAAGGGTTTAGTATCCAGCATCGCAATCGCTGGATCCAATACCTTGGCCTCGAGGAGGCTCGCCTGCAGCGCGCTCTCCCAGCAGCACTCCATGTCGACGACCTCGCAGCCCAGACGCAGGCCGAGCCGAAGTAGATCAAAGATGGGCCCTGGGGCATCCGGGTACGCGCCACCCTGGTTGAGCGACCGCACCGTGTAGATGATCGGTAGCGGCGAGAGCGACCGGAGGCGGGCGACTTGGTCAGCGACAAACGCGGGTTCTGTGGACGCGAGGAGGTCGACGCGAAGCTCAAGCGCGTGCACTCCGGTCGCAAGCACGTCCAATTCCGCTTTGGTGACCGCGTGCAAGTTCGGGGACGTGAGACTCAAGAAATACGAGTCGGGGATGCGCGTCAACTTCGCGACATCGAACCGGCGCAACACGACGGCGAGAAAGCGTCCAAAGTCCGCGCTAATGCGCGCAAAGTCGACATCGCCGGCCGAGACGGTAAAGTGGTACTGGCTCGCCGCAGCGAACAACGGCTGCCGACGGGTCCACACATCGAGCACTGATTCTACCATTCGTTTTCATGAGATTTCCGAGACATGAACGAGGCAGGGTACCGCCGTACGCCGGCCGAGCCGCGTCCGTCTCCAAGTAGGCCACAATGTCCGCAATCGCTCGCTCGACGTGGACCACGAGCGGGTAGGCTTGAAGCATCCCGACGGCCGCCGGCGACTCAACGAGGCCGCCGCCGCATGAAATGATCGTGGTTGGCCCACTCGATGACGGGGCGCTCGTCATCCACGTCTCGAGGCAGGCAACTTCGGCGGCACGGAACGCGTCCCAGCCGTGGACGGCCACATAGTCCTTGACGGTCGTTTGAAACACGTTCTTCTCGAGGTAGTCGTCCATGTCGATCCAGTCGAGGCCAAAGGTCAATGCCGCCGACTTGCCGAGGGACGTCTTGCCCGCGCCGCGCATGCCAACGAGAAACACGTAGCGGGGCAGCGCGCTGGTGGTTGAGGACGTCCTGCCCGAGGTCGGCGACGTCAGGGACATGGCGAGGCTCGACGCACACTCGTCCCAGAACGACGGGAACGTCTTGTCCGTGCACTCCTTGTCCGTGATGACAATGTGAGGCCAGACCGCACCGAGGACCGCAAACGACATGGCGATGCGGTGGTCGTTGTGGCACGCAATCTTGGCCAGTGTTTCTATGTATCAATATATCAATATACATCCAGATCCCACGTTGCGATAGGAGGAGAGCACGTACGGGGAAAATGGGGGGCCTTGGCGCCGAGACCTTGAATCCAGAGGCCGTCGGGCAGTTCGCCGCAGAGAACGCCGCACTTGGCCAGCTCCGTGACCATGACTTGGATCCGGTTGCACTCTTTCACACGCTGGTTGGCGATGCCGGTGATCGTCGTCTTGCCATTTGCCGCCGCCGCGACGACGGCGACCGTCATAAACGCGTCCGTCATGGTCATCATATCGACGTTCACAGCCGTCAAGGTCCCGAACGCCGGGCCCTGCACCCACGTCGAGTGCGCGTCTTGGCCGGTCGTGCAGCCCATCGCTCGCAGCACCTAATGGGATGTAAGACGAGTTGTTTTGACGCTCTAAAGCGCCGTGTACCGTGTGGACGGCTGCGTCGCCCTGCGTCGACGTCGAGCCGAGGCCAGGGACGGTGACGCGCCCACCCGTGATCGCCGCGAGGGCCAACGGGTACGTGGCCGAGCTCGCGTCAACCTCGACGTGGTATGTGGCCGGGTTGGTGTAGACACCCCGGGGCACCGAGAAGCGGTTGGCGCCTACCAAGAGGATTGTCGTGTTAAGCATGTCTCTCAAGCGTAATGAAAAATACCCGTCTGCTGGACATGAACGCCAAAGTCGGCCATGAGCTGCGTCGTCATGAGAATGTACGGCAGTGACGTCGGCGCGTCTTCTTCGAGGAGCAAGTCGAGCGGCGCCGAGGCGTACGGTGCACTGAGCAAGACGGACGAGACGTACTGGCTGCTGACCTTGCCTTGCATGCGCATCGAGCCACCAGGCAGCCCTGTCGGTTGGATGCGCAGCGGCGGGCATCCGACCGTCTTTTCATACGTAATCTTGCAGCCGTTCGCGTTAAGCGCGTCGACCAAGTCGGCGATCGGCCGCTCCTGCATGCGATGGTTGCCCGTCAGCGTGATTTCAGCGCCGCAGAACGTCGCGACGGACGTGAGGAAGCGCGCGGCCGTGCCCGCGTTGCTGAGGTACCTACAAAGGATATCAAAAATCAGAAAAAAGTCGAGGCACGAGAGGATCGAAGTCGATACCAGTGGGATGGGATTGTCTTGGGGAAGACACCGCCCGTGCCGTGCACAACGAGCACGTTGCCGTCGTCTTCCCACGCAAAGCCGCAGCCAAGGTACTGCAGCACGTCCATCATGACTTGCGTATCGTCCGAGTGCAGCAAGCCCGAGATGCGACACGTCCTACATAAAAAGAATGTGTTTATCAAGGCTCGAACCCATGCCGACTTGGTACCCTCTGCCAAGCGCGGCGAGCAACAAGACGCGGTTTGAGATCGACTTGGAGCCTGGCACGTGAACCGAGCCCTGCAGCGGTCCCGTCGGCTGCACCATGACCTATTCGCCGAGATGCGACATGAGAGACAACGATCCACCGACGCAGATGCAAGTACCTGCGGCTCGAGCACATGCAGAATGCGCGCATCGTCGACGGCGACCGTGTAGGGGTTCGAGTGCACGGCGCCAATGGACGTGAGCAGCACGAGCTTCTTGAGTGCGCCCGAGTTTTTCTTGTCGACTTCCATGTTGGTGAGCACAACGTGGGACGGCGACCGCGCCGGCACGCGCACGGGCAAGCCAAACGCCTTGATGCAGCGGAGGAGGCGCCCGACGGTCGCGGACGAGCAGAGCCCCATACCCCGCGCAATTTCGGCTTCCTTGACCATGCCGATCGCAACGCACTCGCCGTGGAGGAGCTCGGGCTGCATGATGGCTTCGATGCCATGGCCAATGCTGTGGCCAAAGTTGAGGATCGCGCGGATGCCCTAGCAGTGGCGTCCTTAGCTACACGCCATGATCGGTGGAGGAAGAATGACGAGCTACCTGCTCGGACACGTCGAGGTTGACGACCGTTGTCTTGACCGCGATCGACTGCGCGACCACGTCGAGCACAACGTCCTTCTGCAGCGAAAGGATCGCGTCGACGTTGGTTTCGAGAAGCGAGAAGAGGGGCTCGCTGTAGATCGCGCCGGCCTTGATGATCTCGGCCATCCCTTCCGCATGTCCATGAGCGAATGACAAGGAGGCGACTTGTACCGTTGATGAGTTCGCGTTTCGGGAGCGTTGCGAGGAGCGAGAGGTCGACAAAAACGCGCTTGGGCTGGTGGAAGGCGCCGATAAGGTTCTTGCCCGCTTCAACGTCGATGCCCGTCTTGCCGCCAATGGACGAGTCGACGCAGGCAAGCAGCGACGTCGGGATCTGAACAAAGGGTACGCCTACATGGAGCATGATGGGTATGCCAGGCTTGCATCGAGGCGAAATGGTCCATACCGCGCATGTAGGTGGCGGCCACGTAGCCCGCGAGGTCGCCGACGACGCCGCCTCCAAGTGCGACGACGCAGCAGTCGCGGTGGAAGCGCTTGGCGAGCATATAGTCTTCAATGGTCTGCTTCATGCGGCGGCACTTGCTGGCCTCGCCGGCGGGAATGACGTAGAGCTCGACGCGGTCGGTAAAGCCGGCAAGGAGCGTCTTCGCATAGAGCGGCGCGACGTTCGAGTCGGAGATGACCATGTAGCTGCCGACCTTGGGCAGGAGCGTCTTGAGCTGCGCGGGTACGGAGGCTAGGAGGCCATGGCCGACCTGGACGATGTAGTCCTTGCACGGGATCTCCTTCGTGCTGCTGCTCATGGTGCGAAAAATGGAATTGGGGTCGCCGACCGGAAATCTTTGCCACCTGGCATTTTGGCCAATCACCGTTGGGCTAGCAGCCGACGTCTGATTGGCTCGTTTCTGCACGCGTGCTGCCGATTGGCTGAAAATTGACGCACGTGGCCTGTTTGCGCAGCGTGGGCTTTTTCTTGTGCTGGACCGGCGCCGCCACAAGAACGTCGTCCAAGCGCATGACATCGTCGTTGATAGCGCAGACACTATTGACCACAATATAGATGTATCATGCATCCATCTTCGTGGTGACAAGTAGACCTACCTTTGGTCAAGGGCATTCCTTGCTAGAGTGCAGTGGCAGGATCACCATAACTCAACCTGATGATTTTGGACTGCTCGTGATGCAACCATGCGTAAGAAGAGTTCAAAACGTGGCTGGAGTCGTACACTGTAGCTCGCGTAATATCGTCCAAGGTCGTTAACCAAAGAAGGTACAGAGGTCGCTGCAAGGATCAATTGGAGGCGACGCTCTAGACTTGGCCTCATCTCCGCGATAGGGAATCTTGAGCATGGCCATTTGCAGCGCTGGCTATGACCGTGCACCACTAGACAGGCACGGCGCTGTCGCCTTGAGATTTGAATGGGTCGTTTCCTCCTGCAGGAGGCTTTGGTTCGTGGGGTCTCGACTGGAAGAGCAAAGCATGCGCGCCCACATAGAATGCACACAAGTATCCCCCGGACTGGAAATACATTGCGCGGCGATCGCGGTCCCTTGTGATGGTGATGTCAAGGCCAGAAATATCCCTTGGTTACATACGTCGACGTGGTCGCTGCCACCACGAGAACGCTTCTCATGGGGGCACCTTTAAACCCCGTCGTGTGACGGCATCTCACATCACCCTAGCTGGCCTCCACCTTTCAAACGACAGACATTATTGTCATGCGAGAGGATTTTAATATACACAAAGCCATGTGGACGGAGTGTCCACTACTGCTCGCACACGGAACGGGTATACGGATTGAGAAAGGTCTCGTCACGCGCTAGCACGTCGTCGGTAGCAAGCGTTACGGTGACGCGGAGGGGCTGCGACGTTGCCAAGCAGTAGTGGACGTGCTCGTATGTACATAGCATGCGCCGTCGGTCGGCCAAGCTCACGTCATTGTCCGTCATACGCAGCACATAACTGCTCGCGTTGGACTCGGTCCGCGGCGGAGCGTCGGGGCGGCTATGATAGGCGTGCAAGATGACGTCGACGGCGTCACCGACTGTGTCGTCCGGGAGCAGCAAGAGCGGAACGTCAATGTGGTCGAAGAGAAGAAAGCAGTCGCGCAAGGCGAAGTCGACGCAGCGCAGGGGCACAACATTGCACAGCGCCTCCCCCAATTGGTCGACGACGCTGGCCGGAGCTGGACTGTACCATGGTGTACTGTCATGACTTTCATCTCGAACGACGTCAAACCGAGGCGCACGGCGGTGATGCTGGAGACTGGAATGTTGACGCGTCCGAGCGGTCGACCGTCTCGTCGTACGAGAGAGCGTGTTGTTTGAGGGTAAAGTACCTGCGGGTGACTTGGTAGCTCTCGGGCTGGAAGCGCACCGAGAGGTGGCCTTGTATGTGATGCGCCATCGGTGCGCTCACAAGCGACGTTGGCAGCAGGGCTTCGGTCACCAAGCACCAAGCACTGCATTGGTACATGGCAAATTCGCAAATGGCATACTGAAATGTCAAAACTTCAATTGAGATGCGTATTTTGGCGACCGTGTGAATGTTATTGTGCTCGCAAACGACACAACGGACACACCACATCCTGGGTTTAGTAGCCCAAGACAAGCCGACGAGCAATTGACAACATTCAGAAAATGAAGATTTCATACCTGCTTTGTCGACAGGATGACCGACACGGACGGACAAGTTGCCAAAACGAGTCGCCAGGATGTGCGCTCCATGCCGACCATGACTGCCACAGCTCGCGTGAATCGCATTTGAACGACTTCGATTAGCCATATTTCTTTTCTTTTTAACCAATCCGATAACATGTCGAGCAGCCAGTCGCCGCAGCAGGGCACTCGGAGGTCAAAAACAGACTTGAAAATGAAATCGCTCAAACTTGGCATGACGATAGAGGACACTTTGGGGAGCTCCGAAAGCTATATCATGCTGACGTTGGAAGCCTATAGCAAACGTTACCGGCCACAAAAGTTTTAATAATGGCGTATGCCATATATAACCATATTTAGCCACTTTTTGCACGTCCGGTGGGTTCTATGGCTCGCGTAGCTGGCATGCTTGCGCATTTGGACACGTGTCATCATCGATCATCAATTCTTCACAGTGGGCTCGATAACTAAACGGTCGGAGGTACCGGTAGGAGGACTAGCAGATGCTCTCGCGCGTCCGCCAAGCCGTCGCCGACGTCAGTGCCATCAACCAAACCAGGACGATACACTGTACCGCGCTCGCTACTGCACATGCATATGCACAAAATCGAATGTCTTATCGTGAAGCCATCACGTTCTACTGCGCCATTGCATCCCTTCACGTGCCGGTTCGGAGCTGCAACCGATGTAAGCAGCAATCTCCCCTCGTCGAGGAGACTCTAGTTCTCTAATTCCATTACGTTATCCGTAGACATCCGTCTGCAGAAACATCGCCAAGCAGCGCATGCTTCCACAAAGCAACGCAGACCACTGGAAGCAGGTCCATTTCCACATTGCGATTGTACTCCAGTCTGTACAAAGGGGACGCCCGTGTTGCGTCCGTGGATCAGTAGCGAGCTAGGACGTATCGAGTCGATTCCAAGTCTTGCTCAGAGGCCTACACTCCCCGCTCCGGGACAAGGCGAGCGCTGCAAGTACCGCGCGCGATGGATGGGCAAGATACGACCTGGAACGGATATGCGGGCCCCTGATTCGTGGACACGCAGCCAATAAGTGGTCGTGTTTACGCTCGTTTGCCGGATATACAGCCAATCGCTTTGCGCCATGGCGTTTGTCATCCGGATACCTCGCCGCGCAGCTGATTCGGCGAGGATCCTGTCTTTGGCATACTGCAAGATGTTCTGTGGCGAGTGCGGCAGTCGGTACGACGACGCGACCTCGCGCTTCTGCGCCGAGTGTGGCGCCCCGCGCGACATGGACGATCTGTCCCCTGCTCCTGCCACCGTTGCCCCGACGCCTGCCTACACGGCCCCGACGCCCGCCTACGCTGCTCCGACGCCGCCCAGCGTGGCGCCCGCGTACGTGGCCCCAACGCCCGTGTACACCGCCCCGCCAGCTGCGCCGGTGGCCGCCGCGCCGCTGCTCCGCCCAACGGTCGTTGTGCCAGCGCTCGCGCCGGCATGCGTCAAGTGCGCGACGCCGTTTGTGGACGCAGCCGAAATGTTTTGCGGCGAGTGTGGGTACCGTCGCCAAGCGTCGCCGCCGAGCGCGGCGCCTATCGCTGTGCCGCCGCCAATGGTGGACGACGACGACGACGACCTATTTGGCGGTCCTGCACCGTCGGCAGCGGCCGTGGCCTCGATGCCGCCCTCCGCGCCCAAGCCCGCGTTCACGACGAGCTTTCCGGGTGCCTCGCTCGCCGCCGCGCAGCTCGCCGGGCTCACGCGTATGGATATCATGCTGCCGTGTCGACCTCTCTCACATGGTGTCGCTTGCTAGTCAAGACGTCGACGACCGAGCCCGCGCTCCTCGACACGCATGGCACGGGCGACGGCATTTCGTTCCGGACGATCACGAGAGCGCACGACATGGACAGTTTGAGCCTGCGCCAAGCGATTTCCGCGACCATGGACCGCAACCGGTCGAGCCCGGATGACGTGACCCACAACTACCACTCATCCAAGGTCGCCGGCCATGAACGAGCTGTCTCGAGAACGATGATTATGTAGGTCAACGCCAACATCTCGGTCCACCACAACATGCAAGTCATCTCGGAAGAGGAGCAGTGGTACTCGTCACGGTCGGCCCCCGACGGCCCGCAGTGGCTCGAGCTCTTGCGGCAGCACCGCCAAAACAAGACCCAGTTCACCGGTACGAATTTGGATTCGTATCGTCGTATAGATACATGAGACACGCTGGATAGACCCGCAGTTTCCGCCAACCACCGCGTCCTTGTACCGGGACCCGTCGCGGCCCAACACCTTTCCTGGCACGACGCCGCTCGATGCGATCGTGTGGAAGTGGAAGCGCATCAGTGACTTTTTCTCGACAAACGCGTACGTATCTATCTATCTATCTATCTATCTATCTATCTATCTATCTATCTATCTATCTATCTATCTATCTATCATATATCTATCTATCATCTATCTATCTATCTATCTATCTATCTATCTATCTATCTATCTATCTATCTATCTATCCATCTATCTATCTACAGGATACGATCTCATGGATACGTAGGTACGTCGAAGTGACCATGGTCGATGACGACAAGAAGCTCGTGTCGGGCATTGCGGTCAAGTCGGCGGCCGAAGCCGAGTCGATGATCGCAACCATCCGCGACCAGCGCGACGTGTCGATCGACGCGCGCTTCCTCCTCCGCGCGACCGAGGCTGTCGAGCTCGCCCTCACGCACAAGAAGCGCGAGCACATGCTGCTGCTGACGACGTCGTTGATCCAGCACATGTCCGAGTACGTCGACGGCGTCCAAAAGTACGAGCTCCTCTGGCAGCGCAGTCTCTTGGACCAAAACAAACCGCTCGTGTACCAAGGCGTCGGGTCGCCGTCCGGGTATCGCCTGGACGGTACACTTTTTTTTTCCTCGTGGACAAAAAAATATCAAATTATCAAGTGGACATGGTCTAGGCAATGGCATGTCGCGCGTCTCGGTGCTCGTGCCCGTGCAGTTCCAAGCGCAACACGTGTGTGTGTTTGACCGGCACAAGCGCGACGTGGCCGAGTGCAAGGCCGGGCGGCTCGCGGACGGCTACCTCTTTGGTGCGCTCTCGATGCTGTCGACGTCGCCGACGCTCGTGGCCCAGCTCTTTCCGAGTACGTTGCGGGCCTCTGGATGGAAAGAAACGACACGCACTTGTCTAGTGCTGACGCCCGACCTCGTCGATCCAGCGCAGCGCGACCCTGACGTCGCGTCGGCGTTTGCGCTCGAGCAGCAGTACAACGACGAAGGCGTCTACTGCGTGCGATTCTGGCGCAATCACAAGAGCTATCTCGTACGAGTGTCTCGACGCGTGATCGATTGATCGATTGATTCGATGCGCGTGGAGGTAGGTCATTGTCGACGACTACATTCCGTGCTCGCAGTACGGCAAGCCCGTGTTTGCGTCGTTTACAGGGTCGCCGTCTCGGTTTGAGATTTGGTCGATGCTCGTCGAGAAGGCGTATGCGAAGCTCCATGGCGGCTACGACGCGATCCTTGGCGGCCAAGACGTCTACTGTCTCCAAGACCTCTGGGGCGGCATTCCAACCACCCTTTCGTACGCGTTGCTTGTTTTTGAGTTTCAGTATCAACCCTTTTTTGTATGCGTCTAGGACGACGCAACTCGCCAACGCCGAGGCCGCCTACGCCTATCTGACGCAGGTGTGTCATTTTGACTTCTTGGATGCAATGGGGCGACACGATCTATGGGTAGTCGCTGCACCAAGGCAATCTGCTCGGCTTTTGCAACGACCAAGCCGAAACGTCGCTGCCATTGGGGCTCAAGGCCGGCCACACGTACGGCGTGCTCCGCCTCGTCGAGCTACTCGTGGACGGCACGACGCAGTACCTTATCCAGCTGCGCAACACGTGGGGCGATACCGACAAGGACGTGGTGCCCGTGCGTGTGCCGTGGACCAAAGGCTCGGCCGAGTGGAAGCGTGTCTCGCTGCGTCAAAAGCAAGACGCAGGATATACGCTCAACCCGGACTTTACCTTGTGGCTGCCGCTCGATGCGTGCGTCGCCTTCTTCTCGTCGCTCTTCGAGTCGAAGAATTTGTACCAGTTTCCGACCGCGTCTGGCGCGCCGCTCCTGGCGACGGGCCCGGTGGTCTCGGTGCACATTGTGTCGGGCGCGTGGACGGCAGCGACGTGCGGTGCTCGCAAGGCCGTGCATCTCAATCCGCAGTACCAGCTTCTCGTGCCAGGTACCGTTGGCATATTGGAATTGCATCTGAATCGGAATGTCCTTTTGGAGTAGCGCCGACGTCGCTCGCGGTGCATTTGGAACAACCGTCGCGCCGACTGCACATGCAGAAAGAGTACGCGTGCTTTGTTGCGCCGATCGTGTCGGGTCGTGCAACGCCGGCCCAGCGCAAGCTCGACATTGGGCATGACGTGGTCGCGACCGGCACGTTCATCTCGAACCGCAGCTGCTTCCTCGGGGTCCCCGAGTCGTTGCCCGCCGACAATTATGTGGTGATTCCCGCCACGTACGAGCCGTTCGAGACGTCGTTTCAGCTCGCGATTTTTACGAGCACGCCTGCCGCGCTCTTGCCGATTGCCGACAACGACATTCCGCACTGCTGCGTGTGCCAACAACCGCTCACTGGCTCGTACAGGACGTTCGAGGCCAAGTACCAGCACATGATTGTGTCTCGAGATGTTTTTACGAAATTACCTACCTTAGGGACGGTGTGCACCACGTGTGCAAGGAGCCCTGCACCGAGATCTACCGCCAGCAGCACACGGCGGTTTGTGTCGACTGTGGGCAGCGCATCGAGGTGGTGCCAGGGCAGTTTTCCGGCCGCCTATTTACGCTGCCAGACGGCACGACGTGCCATGCCGAATGCATTGATGCGTACCGCATCCGCACGGCCGAGAGCTGCGGCCACTGCCACATGGCCATCACGCCGATCCCCGGTTCGTTCACTCTTTCAAAACATGCAAAAATGGATTCACAAATATGTTCTTATATAGGTCGGTTCGATGGCAAGTACTTTCAGCTCGACTCGGGCAAGAAGGTCCACGCCGAGTGCATGGCCGAGTACCAAGAAACGATCGCCAAGCGCTGCAAGCACTGCGGCCTCGGCATTGTCAAGAACGCAACGTTTGACGGCCGGTTTTACCAAATCGCCAACTCGGACGACCAAGTCCACTTTGAATGCTGGGATGCGTACCAGGCGAGTGCGGCGCCGCGCTGCCGCCACTGCGCAGCCCCGATCCTTGCAGTGCCCGGGCGTTTTGACGGCCGCTTTTACGAGCTCAACGACGGATCGGGGAAGGTGCACTTCGAGTGCTGGGACGCCTTCCGCCTGCGCTAAGATGCGCCGACATGGCTTTTTAGCATAATAGAAGAAGCCTTGAGTGTCGCCTGCTAGAGTCCTGTAGAGGCGGCGTGCGTCGTGGGCTGGACAAAGCGGTTGGAGTTGGACGCGCGCACGTGCCCATGTGCGTGGCCAAGGAGACGCGATGAGCGGGTCGCGTCAAGCAGATGAAAGAAGCGAACGCAAGCCACCTGGAGGTCGACAGGCGCTGCATGCTGTATACAGCACCTCGTACGCATGCCTCTTCGTTCGCGTCGGCGCAAGGACAGGCGCGACGTCCAATGTATCCTTTCGATTGCCCTCGCCGTTGCGGGTGGCGAGCTATCCATGGCGAGAGCTTGTGCAATTCACCCGCATTTTTGTTGGCCCTTGCCGCGAGCGACAAAGTGTGAGGCTCAAGACGACAGTACTTTTGTGGCGCATGTCTTCTTTCATGTTTTTGAGTACGACCGCTCCAAGTTCCGTACAAAACCAAGTCTGAGCGAGTTTGCAGGCGCTATTTTCGTGCGCAACCCGAAATTTCGCAGAGTTGGTTGTTGGCATCGTGCTCGAATCATCTCGAGTGGGGCGCGTGTGGACGTCGTTCAGCGATGCACTCTTGCAGCTAGCAATGCGAGTGCTGTTCTCATCGCTGTGCGAGCTGCTGATTGAAGCCGTGGGACGCTTTGCCAGAAAGTGAAGGTAGCTTGCTGTATTACTGTAGCATCGTCGAAAGGCGCAGTAGAGGCACTGGCGCTCTGATCAAGATTTAGAAATATTCACGACGCAGGTCTGCTGCGTCTGGTCGTCGTGGACACTTGTGGGTGCTCGCCGTTGGGTGCCATGTCGCTGGCTCCTTGTCACCGTCGCAGCTGCCACGACGGCTCACGTCACGCTCCTCAGTTGGTCATTTCAAGTCGCGCGAGAGGCCGTCCTTTCCGACTTTGCCGTTTCGACTTTGCCGTTTCGACCACGTCGACGCGCGATTGCTTTGTTGAAGAATCGCAGACCGCCAGTTTTGGAAGGTTGGTTGGCATCAAATATCTGGTCGCCAACCAAGGCGAAGGTGGAGTATGGCCGTTGGCACCAGCTGTAAACGCGATCCGAGCGTCACGTCGCTGGGTACCGCACACGTCACGCATCGCGCACGAAATCCGAGACGTTACACGCCTCGGACTACCCATCGACGCCAAATACGCTTTGTACGCTAGCGACAGCAAGGATAAAAGGCTGTGTAGCTGCTGGAGCCCATACTTTGTGATTTGCGTCCTCTATATAGCATGGGCATGCCAGCACCTTGGTGCCATTGGACGCGCGTAGCAAGCAATCTCGCCGCGACACAGACCCCTCTTGACCTCAACATGTGTTGTGATGGCCGCACGGTACCCTGTAACCAGGTGCGAATGCCAGAAGCTCTCATTTTCCTTCTTGCAGCATGTCGGAGACACCACCTACTAGTAGGCATCAAGGCGTGTGGCTGCTGGACCCAAAGGAGTTTGAGTACCACGCGTCGCCCGACACGGACACGGCCGTGCTCGACCTCGGCAAGCTCTGCACCTACGACGACCCACAAGAAACGTACACGGAGCGCCACGACGGCGCGCTCCGCGACGGTGGCGCCGTCCCGCTCACATCGACCGAAGCGTGGGCCGTGCTGAGTCAGTACGCCGGCGTCGGCATCTTCCTCGGCGTCTTCCCGGCCATGGCGTACCCCGTGTTTCAAAACTACCTCCGCATGCAAGGCTACCAAGTGCAGTCGTACCAAGCGCTCATGCGCCTCAGTTGGTGCGTCAAGATCTTCCTCGGTCTCCTCTCCGACTGCATCCCCGTACGCGGGTACCGCCGGCGCCCATACATCATGCTCGGATGGCTCATTGCCTCGATCGCGTGCCTCATCATGGTCTTTCTGCCATTTCCCGACCCGTACTATGGCAAGGCGTCGCTCGTCAACAAGCCGGTCGCCAACATTTCGGTCGACGACCAGCGCTTGTACATGAACCTCTCGGCGCCGAACAGCGCTGGCATTTTTGTCATGCTGTCGGCGATTGCCACCTTTGGCTCGGTCATGGTCGTCTGCGCCTCCGATGGGCTCACGGTCGAGTACGCCCAGCGCGAGCCAGCTGCGACGCGTGGTCGATTCCAGACCATGATTTACGTGGTCCGCGACTCGACCAAGATTCTGCCGCAGATCGGCGTTGGCCTCTGCATGAACAGCTTTCAATACGCCGGTCATTACGATTGGAGCATCACGCCAAACGTCGTGTATGGCGCGCTCCTCGTGCCGTGTGGTATTTGCTTGACGACATCGGCGTTCTGGATGGTCGAGCAAAAGGTGCGGCCGTTTACCTTCGCGAGCTACTTTCACTCGCTGTGGCAGCTCATCCAGCTCCGCGTCGTGTGGCAGCTGTGCATGTACCTGCTTCTGAGTCAAATCTTTCTCTTCTTTGAAGAGACCGTGACGACACCGATCCAGACGCTGTGGCTGCAGCTCGACCCGGTGTTTGAGGTCGTGTGGGGACCTGTCGGCATTCTCGGCGGCTGCCTCTACTCGGGCGTCATGTACTTCCGTGGCAAGTGGACCCTTGAATGGGACTGGCGCCGGACCATTATCTGCAGCACAATCGCGCTCGTCTCGATTGACGCGATCTTCAAGCTCACGTCGGTCTGGGCGGTCATCCGCAACCCCTACTACTTTGTCATTGGCAAGTCGCTGCTCCAGATTCCGCGCGCCATCGTCTTTCTCTCAGGCGCGTACCCTTTGGTCGAGATTGCCGACATGGGCAACGAAGGCGCTGTGTATGCACTGGCGGGTACGTGCGGCAACCTCGGTGTCCCGTTTGGCACGGTCCTCTACAAGACGGTCGATTCGTTCTTCCGCGTCTCGATCAATGACATCCAAGTCGACGACACCTTTGTGCGCTGGGAAGTCTCGTACTGCTACCTCATTTCGTTCGGTGCCAAGCTCTTTTCGCTGGCGTTTCTGGGCCTCTTTCCGCGCCAGAAAGCCCACGTGCACCTCCTCAAGCGTCGCGGTGAGTCGAGCAAAGTCGCGGGCGCCGTCATGGTCGTGAGCTTCGTGCTCCTCCTCATTTACTCGATTGTCACCAACATCCTCCCGTTCTATAAAGCCACGTCGTGCCTTCGCATCGCCGGCGGCCGTGGCTGCTAAGAAGCTCGCTGATGTTTTGGTTGTATACTTTGTACCGTTTTGTATGGTAGCCAGACTGTGTCAATGGACACTGTGTCTTTTGTGGCAATAGTAATGCCATTTTTCAATCGGAACTCGTTCCTATGTTCGCATGTTTCGATTTCAACTCTTGTCCTCGTCGGGACGGGAAGGGCTACCGATATATATAGTAGTGCACATACATCTCTCGTGTACTCGAAACTCGATTGGATTGGATAGGGGTGGGGTACGTCTAGTCAAACCACACGATAGAAGAAGACCTGTTGTGAGAAACGTGTGGATGGAAGTCTCTGCTGATAAAGAGCACGGCCGGATCGTTGGTCCATGTCGTGCCTTTTGCTTGAAGCCTCACGCCCGATCACGTACGAACAATCAGATCTTATCCTTCTTTTCGGCTGCGATAAAGACGCGAGCAGTGGAGATCAGAGCGGGATCTACGACGCATGGTACGTCAAGACACCGAACCGTTCAAGTCCAAGGGCCGCTGCAAACGTGTCCAGTTCCATCTGATGCGCGCGCGGACACGTGTTTTGGAGGAGCCGAAGCACCACTTTGCAGCAAGGCCACCAATATATCCATGTCTCGCTACTACGATCCACTCCAGGAAGTACAGGAGCATGGACGCATGGACATTTTACCCATGGCAGACCCGTCAAACGCTGAACGACATCTCTGTAGGGTCGAGTTGAATGCCATTAAACTATGTACAACATCGTCAAAATAAATTATAGGTCCTTGTCCGTTATCTAGTCGCTATGGTCTTGATGTATGAGCTACACACTTGTCGCCGGCACGAGTACGCGGCCAGGGGGCCCCGAGGCCGACGGCGGCGTGTCGGTCGTGGGCTAACTCCATCGTCGTTGGTGGCTTGCGAATCAAGCGCTAATGCTCATGCTCAGCTTGCCATTTCATACCAAATCCATCGACAAGAAAGCGTACCGCGGTAGACAACACCGGTCTTCGTCGCCGCCCGGGGCGTTGAACGTGTCGGCAGTGGCGTCACCGTGTTGGACGTCGCGCTCGTACTTGACGGCGGTGGCGACACTTCTTGATGCTGCGCAATCATCTGCTGCAACATCATCCAGTCGTGCACGAGCGTATTCGACCCCGAAGTCTCAGCATCAGTGGGAATTGAAGTCGCCGCTCGTCCTTTATCGTCGTCGCTTGCTGACGACGACGACGTGTCGTCTTCGAGTGCCTTGTACACGTTCGTAGCCGCTGCATACGGCGACGCGTGGTTGCGAGGCGTTGGCGCCTTGCCTCGCTTGCGGGTCGACGCCGAGGCAGGCCGGGGCTTGGGGCGTCGCAACGGCTCGGTGGTTGTATCACTGTCTTCCTCGGGGGCCGCCGCCGCCTTGGTCGAGGGCGCCGTGTCGACACGAAGTGCGACCTTGTGAGCACGGTTGTTGGAAATTCTTGGCTCCTTGGCGACCATAGGTTTGGGCACAGCGTTGGTTTTGTTGTTGTTGCTGCCATTGGTCGAGTTAAGCAGCTGCGGGGCCCGTGGTGTGTTCGCCCCCAAACGCTGCGTATGCTCGGCACTGGGTAGAAATTCGGTCCCGACAAAGGTGAATGTGATGCAGTTGCTTCGAATCCACGCCTCGGTGAGCTCGCGGCCGTGGAATTGCATCTAAATCCAGGATTGATTTGGAAGATGCAAAAATTGGGAGATGAAAGGTACCTTCTTGGCCACGTGGTCGCGAAACATGTCGTTTGTGACCACATACCCGTTGTGCTTCATGGCATAATCGATCATGAAAAAGTCGTCGTGGGCTTGGGGCGGTGTCAACACGATCTTCTCGGCTTCCACGAGCGCCTGGACCAGCGCCATCTCGGCCCGCTGGTCGTTTTCCATCTCAGGAGAGCACTGTCGCGTCCGCGGCGTCGACGTCTTGGACCGAAGCCAATAGCCGGGCGCAAACGCGATGACGCGCACGCCGAGCGCGTCAAAGTGATCCAATGCACTCTGGAGGCGATCGATGCGCACCGTGCCGCGCACGAGGGTCGCAATGTTGGCAGCGTCCAGCACGACGACGGGGCCCGTTGCCTTCATATTCGTCTCGTGGTTTGTAAATGCGGAATGGTTGCTCCTGCGTCATGTAGCGATCGAATTCGAAAACAATGGCCACCGGCTACGTTGGTCCGCTATTTTAAGCCGGCGCGATGCGTTGATTGGTCACGCCTCGGATTTGGCGACGTACGATTGGCCTGATGATGCCGATGCGGCATGCTGATTGGCTAATGTTTGATGTGGAAGTTTCAACTGCACGATCGATCTCGGCCGCCACCTTCTTCAAGGTCAACCCGCTCGTTTCTTTGTACGCGTTACGAGAAGTCTCGGGCGGATGGAGGCATCGACGTGGGTAATCAAGTGGGCACGATACGACACCCTATTCTAAGCGCCAACGACGGGCTTGCGAGCCCCTCTCCGACTTCGAAAGACACGCATGTCCTCGATACATTTGCTGCGAGAGGTCTCCAAGCCGCCGGCACACTATACATGCGTGCCCTCTAGAGGTTCCCAACAGCGAAATGGGAGCTCATCGTTTCGGTAGAAGGAACAAGTTTCCATTGAGTTACTTTGATCCAGCGTAGACAGTCGATTCTAAACCATATAGTCGAGGGGGGGCCGCTTGAGCCGAGCGGTATGATTCCTGCTTCCACCTCCAGAGGTCGCCGGTTCGATCCCGACGCGCCGATTCTTTCTATCCGGACATCCCCCCCATCCGGAAACGAATGTCACTGAAGAAGGTCACCATAATAAGGCAACGCTCGGCATGTGCCACAAAGAACACAAGGAAGAAGCGCGATGAAACGGCTCATTTAATTAGGGTTAAACGTCAAATGCACCCGTCTGAACTACCATATAGTCGTACCACACCATGCCAAGGTACGGCACATCGCCGCACGTGTCAAGCGTACAGGACCCCCGATCGGAATCAGCGTGTGGGGCGTCGTATGGCCAAAGTCGACGCCGTACACAATGGGCAGCGTCGGCGGCAGCTCGCATTTGATGCGAAAGATCGTCTCCAATGCCGTTGCGCCCATCTTGGAATCGAGCTCAAAGCGACCGACCACGATACCTCGAAGCGTCGCGGCAAAGCCGGGCATGTGCAGAAGCGCTTGCACAAGCTGGTCAAAAGTCGCGTAATCGTTGGCGCCCGTGCACTCGAGAAAGAGCACAACATCGGTAAACTGGGATGGAAAGTACGGCGTGCCGCGGAGCAAGTTGAGGTTGCCACCGAGAATCGTGCCGGACCCGACGCCGTTGCGGACGATCTCAAAGCCGGCGGTATTTTCAAACTCGCATTTGGGCGTCGGGTCGAGAAACCAAAGGTCGTTGCGCCACGTAGGGCTTGGCGCGTACGCGACTTCAATGCCCGGTGGTGTCGACAAAAGGACGCGGACAAACTCTTGGATGGTAAAGTCGAGGCCGTGCGTCATGCCAAACGTCGAGTAGTGCGGACCACTGAACGTGACGAGGTTGGCTTTGGCCAAGAACGCATTGTGAAGCGCCGTAATGTACGAGTAGCCGCAAAACACCTTGGGATGGGACCGAACGAGGTCATCGTCGAGCGCACTGAGAAGCTGGTTGGCGTTGCAGCCGCCAATGACCGTGAGAATAATATCATCGACGGTCTCGTCGCGAAACGCAGCATGCAGGTCAGCAATCCGGTCGTCGATGGAGGACGAGTGCGAGTCCGACGCGAAAATGTAATCGCCAAACGTGAGTGTAAGCCCCAACGCTGTCAGCGCTGCATTCGCACTCTCGATCGTCGCTTGGCTTAGGATGGCAGCATGCTGGGAGGCGCGACGACGCGGATGACCGACCCGCGCTGCAGCCGACAAGCGTCATTTGTGAAATGAGTGCAGCGGAACGGTGATCATGCTGACTGAAAAATGAAGGCTCGGATGGTTTTTTCATGATTGATTGGTTCGATCTCGTCTGTACGCGCATTCTTGTGGGCGATTTTTCGACCATTGCACTGCGCATTATGTTTTTCCATTGGGCAGTAGTATGGGCCACGGGTATAATACATTTCCATGTAAGCTTCCCCTTGCACGGGCGGTCCGTTGTCAATGGGGTTGATACTAGTATTCACATTTACCGCGAATATTACTATTTCATCCCAGTACATGCCTGACGACGAGTCTCCAGGAGGCTATAAAACGTTCTAAAAAATAAGAAAGGGGGCAAAGGCAAGGCGGTTTTGAGGTCGATGAGAAAAATGCAAGAGCGTACAACGACGTAGTCCCTGCGCGACTGGATGCAGGCGGCAAGGTCAGCCGCTGCGATCCCCGAGAGATGTATGGGCGTCTGTTTGATTACTGACTTTTCGAATTCGTTGATGTACATGATCCATTCCGGCTCGCACGATGGTCGTATCAACGAATGACTTGCTAGGATTCTGCAGTTCGGCACGGTTTGCTGTATTACCGCGACGGTGGACACGAGATCCATGGATAACATCATTTACAACTTGCTCTCTTCCGGAATTCCGAGCATGGCGTTGATGCGAGGAAGATCCGCGAGGCCCTTCTTGACGTGGAAGCTCTTGAGAATGCCTAGTGCCACCGATCACAAGTCGCTCAGATCTGGCAGTCAATTTGACTGGCCTACCCTTGTCGGTGTAGTATTGGATAAGCGGCTCGGTCTCGTCCGTGTAGACTTGCAGCCGGTGCTTGACGACCTCAAGCGTGTCGTCGGCGCGCTGGACGATTTTGTTGCTGCCGCACTTGTCGCACGTGCACTCGGCCTACATTGTGTCATTGGACCAAACGGTCGATGGCGAGTGCTGCTACCTTGGGAAGCAACGGCGGCATGACGTATTCGCCGCTGTTGATATCGGCAACGTTGTAGCCCGTGCCGCACGAGTCACAGACGCTAGAGGCACCGCATAAGTGGTTGGCTCTTGCCCTGCAGAAGGACGCACCGGCGGCCGCTGAGCTTCTCAATGAGAACCCACTCGGGGAGCTCAAAGTTCACGACCGAGTCGAGCGTCGCAATCTTGTCGAATTCAATCGCTTGGCTCACGTTGCGAGGAAACCCGTCCTATGGACAGTATGCAATGTGAGGACTTGGGCGTCGTTTGAAATCTATCGTACGAGGATGTAGCCCTTCTGCGCGTCCTTCTCCTGAAGGCGTTGACGCACCATCGTCAAGATGATTTCGTCCGGTACGAGCTTGCCCTGGCTGCTGTAGTCCTTGATCTGCTTGCCAAGCGCCGAGTCGCGCTTGATCTCGGCGCGCACAAGATCGCCTAAGTAATCGTAGAAAACTTGTGTGTTGCTAGCGACCAAATGTACCGGTGGAGATGGTGGGGATGCTGAGCTTGGGCGCGATGCGCGTCGCATACGTGCCCTTGCCGACGCCGGGCGGCCCGAGGAACATCATGCGCAGACGACCGGCCATCGTGTTTTGTTTCGTTGGCAAAAGCTCAAATGACCAAATTGCTGCCGATTGGCCAAGCGCCGCAACATCGTCAGGCTTGTCGTATTCAAAACGGATTTTATTCCGAATACAAAAACCAAGTTGTGACTGTAGAGAAACAAAACAATAGACAGTGGCATGCGTCCGCCGACGACGCTGATTGGCTAAAATGCCGTTGACGTAAGGCCACGCACTCGCAAATCAGCGGTGGCAAAGCTTATGGCACCAAGTTCAACCGGCGGGTTCGATCACGCTTCCGAAAGCAACCAATTTACCAGACGTCGAGAGGGATGCGCACAGGACACGCTACCATAGTCGCAGCAGATGCGTACCGAGAGAATCTTTATCGAGAGATCCGTGCCACGCCGGTCCTTGATGGCGCTACGGGCTACAATCTGGTTCCCCAATCAGACCCGTGTCTGAACTGGTGTCTGCGCATGGTGTCTGGCAAGTTGCCGATAGGAGCCGTCATTAGGAGCTGTTTATGAGGTGTAGTTTATGGCCACCTAGTATCGATGACATCCTGCTCGTTGCAGCTGACAAGGAAGGCCGTGACGTGGGCTGTCGCCGCTATCATTGGTAGTTGATGCCCCGCCATCAACATGCCGCCGGCATTGAAAACGTTAGTACTATTGACTCGAGTGCCACCCTATGTAGATTGCCACGTAGTATGCTGTGTCTTTCATTTTTCAGTCAGACAATCTGTACACTGGTTCACAATGCTGTGGCGGTGACAACCGATCATTCCGGTGGCATGTTCGACTAGAGAATCCAGTGCGATCCGTCGGTGCCGTACTCGAGAGTGGCCATGCCGTCCTTCCGATAGACAATCTGTCCAAACGCCGAGGTCGGACGAACGCCGCACGCAATGCCGGCGTGACGTGGCAGGTGCAGCGCGTCGATCAAGCTCAGGCGGTACGACGTCACGCTGGTCGTCGTGTGCGAAACCACGTAGCAGTCACTTCCCCGAAAGCTAAACGCCGCGTTGCGCTGGTAATGGCGATGGGTTGTGAAAAGCACGTAGATGGACCCGCCCTTGTAGACTTTGGGCACTCGCTGCTTGGGGCGACAGCAGCCAAAGAGCAAAGCGAACAAGAGCCGGTGCTTCCAGTCGTTGAAGCTCACTTGGCCAAACTCGTCCTCGACGTCCACCATTGTCATCGCCCTTGGTAGCGACCGCGTCATGACGACTGAGAGGCGGCGGAGCGAGTGGTCGACGGCCGCGACCGTGCTCTGCACCCACACCACACGTTGAAATCGGTGCAGGGCACTGCGCAGGATCGGCGTCCCCAGGCCATACGCCAGCGGTAGGAACCCGATGAGCATCGAGTAGAAGAGCACGGGCAGCGCGTCTTCCTTGTAGTCCCAGTACCGCTCGGGCGGTAAGAGGCACGTGAACAAAAAATGGTAGACGTCAATGAAAAACGGAATGCGAAGCTGGAGGTACGTCACGGGCCCGACAGCAATTGCGACCGCGACCGCGACGCTGGTCGGATCGGCTTGGGCGCATCGATGCTCGGACGCACATCGTCGCAGAACGTAGCCACTCACGTTGAGCGTCAAGTACGCAAACCAGACGGTCCGCGAGAGATACAAGGTTGCGAGTGCAAACGTCCACAAATCTTGGGTCTGGCCAATGCGCACGAAACACTGCCCAACGACTTCAAGGCTGCACCAGAAATCAATGACAAAAAGCACGCAGATCCACGTGTTTTGGAGTATGAGACATGTCGGGTCGCCGACAATGATCTCGAGCCGCTCGCCAAAGCCACCCGCGCCAAACCGCCGCAACGCTCTGGCCAGCGACCGGTAATGCACATAGTACGTCGTCCAGAGACGGTACAAGATCAGCAACGTCATGCCGACGCGAAAACCGAACTTGCAGTAGAGCCACGCGCGCGGGCCGCGACTGAGCTGCGCTGCAAAGTAAATGCAGTGATAGCCGTCGATCCAAACGGCCGAGACCGACGACGGCAGCCCAAAGACCGTCCCGAGCTCGACAAACGCCGTGGTCGAGGTGTTGCGGAGGCCCACGCTGGCTGCAAACACCCAATTTCGCGCGCGAATCGAGTAGAAGGTCGAGCCAGGAATGCCCACAAACGTAAATGAGGAGTTGGTGGCGCGCTCGAGCGGACACCAGAGAATGTCGACGTCTTGGTTCGTGTCGTAGACGTAGTTGCAGGCGGTCGTCGCCTCGCGCGCAGTATAGAGCGGCCGGTAGAACGCGATGGTGCGCGCTTCGTAGGCGGCAAACGTCTCGTGGGGGCCGACGGCGACGCTGACGGTGGGCTCGACCAGGTGCGTCCACGGCAGCGGCTCGGTCGTATAGGCCTTGAGGGGCCTACACAAAGTGATCGATAAGACGAGAGAAGGTAGATGACACGAAGAGCACATCAAGGCGAGGTTGAGGAGAAAAGCGCAGGAAAATAGAATCGACGTCTTGTTGAAGCGGACGAGCCGCAGCGCCATCCCAGGGCCTGTGCCCGGCGCAATCTGCATGCTTTAGATCTGATTGAAAAGTTTATTTTGATACAGAAACGGTTTCGATACGTACATTGTCGTACCAAATGCAGCCGGTGTCCCATCAGGTGACACGATTCCGGACCAGCCTTGCTCCAAGGCACGATTGAGACGTCCAGACACTATGCAGCGCCGCACGCTGGAAAAAGTGATGTGCCGATCGTATACAACGATGTGCAGCATCACCAGGACTGTTAAAAAAATAAGTGATTGCAGTCGGAAGGGACGCTCCAAGTCGACAGTAAGCTCGTCAGAAAGCAGATAATGGTGGTGCAACAGGGCTGTGCAACAAAAATCGAATCCAATCAATTTTGTGTCAACCTAGCCCCATGGCTATCGGGCTATTTTATCGCCAATGCGATCGTCGACTCGAGAGTCGGCTGATCCGCCAAAGCCCTAGATCCACTTGTTTTGGAGAATGAGGCGCGTCGGGTCGCCGACAATAATCTCCAGCCGCTCGCTCTCGCCACATGTGGCATAGTTCTGCAGCTGAAGCACCAAGGATCATAGTAGGTCGTCCAGAGAAGGTACAGAATTCGAAGCGTCATGCCAAATCGAACCCAAAGTTGACGTAGTCCCAAGCCGTTGCGCCGCGGTCGAGCGGGACTGCCAAAGAGACAACGCCACGGGCATCGACCCAAAGAGCAGAAACGGAAGTCGGCTGTCTGCATAGGACGTGGTGCTGCACGACGGCCGAAGTCGATCTATTGAGAGCTTGCGCATGGAGTACCGGCGCGATGCGAGCTCACGCTGACACCGGAAAGATGCTGAAACACACTGTATCCCGAGTCACAGAGCGCTTCTGTGCATTGCTTGCATGCCTCTCATTCAACGACGCAAGCCAGGATGCAAGCGATGAATGTTGTCAAGGAACTTTTGTCGACGCTTCGTATGACCCGGTGGCATCAGATGCAACCGGGTCATAATGTGCCAAATGCCAAGCGTTTCGCCATTTAAATAACGCCGTTCCCCACTTGGAAATGAGCAAGGCGAGCATGGACGGGCCGCTCGCGGTCGGTGTCACGGGGCGACACCGCGTCGTGTGCTTTAACCAAGTCTCGATTGTTTTTAGCTTTTGCTTTCTCCTCAACCTTGCCGCCATGTAAGCAGCTCGCCTCATCCTCGTTGACCTAATGTATTCGGTTTCTAGGCCTCTGAAGGCCTACCTCTCGGAAGCCTTTCCCTGGTCGCACCGACCCACCCCCACCGTCGGCGTGCAAGTCAGGTCCAACGAAACCTTTGAAATGTACGAAGCCCACGCCCTGGCATTCTACCGCAGTCGCTACAACAACAACTCACTGGACTTGACGACGCAGTATGCGTTCGACCCCGCACAAGTCCTCGATGTTATCTGGGTGCCCATTGCCTTTGTCCAGCCCGAGGACTTTTCGTTTGCGGGTCTCCCGGGCGCCACATTCTACTCCCGCCGCGCACGCCGCACGGTCAAAGGGTTCCTGACCGGGCCCACTAATGCATCTACATTCGCGGTCATTGAAGTCGGCACGCTCCTCGGTCAACCGTCGTCCGTCTCGGGCGTCTGGGTCGAGATTCTACCACCCACCAACGCCATGCTGTTGTACTTTGCCGCGCAGCTCAGCCCGGGCTCGACCCATTGGCTCTACTTCAAATTTGCGTACCGCATCGGGCTCACCAGTGTCATCCTGGAACGCATGTGGTCGACCTACTATCGCCACTATCGCACGCTCGTGTCGAATCTGCGCGCGCTCGGCGTGCCCAATATAACAGACGCCACGTGGATCGAGATTGTCGTCGGCGACCCCACCGCGCTCATTCTTCAAAACTCGCTCGTGTGCGGTCTCTTTGTCGTTGATTTCTGGTGCAGTATTGAGATTGTCGGCCAAAGCTTTGTGCGTCTGTCGCAACTGCAAAATCTGGTGACATTTTCGCTCGCCGCACTCTACCTCTCGCGGACTGTCTGGTTTGCCTACCTGCTCTTGAATCTCACGGGCCGTGCCCTGCGCCGCTACCACCTCGAACGTCTCATTGCTCAAGTCGACCCGACGACAGTCGCGGTCGCGGTGCTCTTCAGCGTCGGTCCTGTCACGTACATGCAGTCGCGCACTGGATTTTTTGTGGACATTTATCATTTCCTCTTTACGTTCATCGTTCCAAAGGATCGCATCGACAACTACAAGGAAGACTTCCTCGCCGCCATGCTCTACTCGATTCTAATTGGGCTCTTGCCCATCAGCTATGGATTCGGAAAACCCATCGCGCTGGCGCTGCACCGACGCGCACATCGAACGCTGCGGCGCCAAGCGCGCTCGATCCGTGTGCGGCCCACGCAACCAAATGTTGCGCGGCGCTTGACGCACCACGCCGACGACTTTGGCAAATATGTCTACAACGACTGGAAGCATCGGTGCTTGTACACGATCCTGACCGCACTCAACCCGCAGCATGCCTCAGCGCTCTTCCTCGGCGGCTCGATTTACAAGATCTTTGACACGCACCGCGGCTTTCAGCGCAACGCAGCGTTCAGTTTTCGGGGGAGTGACTGCTATGTGATTGCGCACGCGCCCACGTCGGTCCTCTCGTACCGTCTGAGTCTGGTCGACTGCCTCCACCTCCACCACCCGCACTTGCGCACCCAAGATACCTACAAGCGCGCGTTTGGGCACATCGAATTGGCGCCCGAGACCGCGTCGCTTGTGGTGACGCTGGGCCGCGGCAAGGTACACTGGGTGCAGTGACAAGTGCGAACAAATCGTTTGGTCAATTTGAATGGTGAATAATAGTCTCTCGTTACGAAAAAGTGGTCGTCATGCTCGTGACGTCTTCCATGATGCGACAAAAGAGCGATCGCGCATGCGAAAGTAACGCTAAAGGGTTCGAGTGGGTGTGCCAAAGAGGCCGGCAAAGCTGTCTTTTGTCACGTTTACTACTCGCGGAATTAGCCTTGCTCGCGCTCGCTTTCTCACCAACGACGGAGACATAGCAACACTCGCCTTTCTTGGCGCCACCTTGGCCAATTGGTTGTTGTGTGCGTGCACAACGGTACGAGCTAATAGTCGATATTTCTCTCGCTGAGTCGTTTTCGCCGCTGTACCGATGGGTTGACGTCGGGTGCGCCGAGCCCTATCGGTTATAGCATCATTGGGTGTCCTTTAGGCTGGGTGTCCTCTCACATTTTGCGTGAACTCCTGGCGTTGACGGGTGTCGTTTTCAGCACTTGACCAATGAGAACGCAGATGTAGAGCTCATTTTGTTCACATGTCAATCGCGTACGACGTGAGTACTACGGGCGGTCTACTACGGGCAGAAGACAAAATGAATCGCATGTGTAACCAGAATTAGAGCTACGATATAAATATACTGTAGTTTCGGCCAGAGATCTAACCGTGTTTTGAAACCCTATTCTATATGTAGCACGAAGCACCATAACAGCAATGTTTTCGAGGATATTTATGGCCTTGATGGTATCGACGACAATCTCGGGCATCATGCTCTCAGCGTCGCGTTTGTGTGTGCATCCAATATCTCGTCGCCGTCTGGTGTTGTACTCTTGGTTGCGCAGCACCACTCGTGGCAAAACACCGCCGGGAATGTCAACTAAAGTATCCAATGCGAGCCTCTGCTTCTATCCTCGTATCCAATCAAGAACAAGTGCCAAAACGCGAGATCTATTTTGGACGGGCATATAAGACAAAACAGATCGATCGCAGCTCTCTCAACTGTGTAATTGTACCAGTCTCTGTTCTGGGCGACGGCACTGGTCCATGCAAATCCGGTCAGGCCCAAGAGCGTCGCATCTTCCAGAGCGCGTCGTGACATTCAACAAGGTCTCCGTCGTCTTCTCGACTTCAATACTACTCCACCTCGCGTCCATGTACACAACGCTCAATCACGAATCGATGTCTTATCGCAAGTACCTGTTTGTGTAGGCCGATCATGGCGTACTTCACCGAGCCATTTCCGTGGCTGCCTCGTATACAGCCTTCGGCTGGCACGTCACCCAGCGCCAACGAGACTTTGGCTACGTTTGAGGAGCGCACCCTTGCCGACTACACGACGCGGTATACGTTGGGTGTGCACTTGACCCGCTCCGACTACTTTTACGACGCGGTGCAAGACGTTGACGTTCTCTGTGGTCCGCTGCAGTTTTTAAGCGAGGCATCGTTTACCTATGTCGATCTGCCTGGCGCGATTTTCTACTCGAAACGAGCGCGGCTGTGGATGCGCGCCGCCAGCCTCGGCAACCGAAACGCCTCTACCACCGCACTCGTCCAGTCTGGTACGCTCTTCGGGATCTCATTTTCACATGCTGCCATCTGGATTGATCCACACAACAACGTGTTCTTTGCCGCGCATCTGAGCCGCGGCTCGACGACATGGCTCTACGTCAAGTTGGTTATTCGCTTTTCTATGGCGCTTCGTATTCTGTACCTTCTCTGGACGACGTACTTCGTCCATTATCGATCCTTGGTACATCAGTTGCAGCGCTATGGCACATGTGGCGAGAGCGAGCGGCTGGAGATCATTGTTGGCGACCCGACGTGTCTCATTCTCCAAAACACGTGGATCTGCATCTATTTTGTGATTGATTTCTGGTGCAGTCTTGAGATCGTGGGCCGAAGCGTGTTGCAACTGAGTCAGTCACTCGACTCTTGGACGGTGGTCTGTGCGACCTTGTATCTCTCGCGAACTGTCTGGTTTGGATACCTCGTGCTCAATCTGAGCGGCTATGTCTTGCGTCGATGTGGGCTTGAATTCCATTGTGCCCAAGCCGACCCAACCGGCGTTGCAATTGGCGTAACACTGGTCGTTGGGCCGCTGACGTACTACCAGCTTCGGCAGTCGTTCTTTATCGACCTCTACCATGCCCTTTTTACCTTGGTGTTGCCGACTAGTGACTCGTTCAATGCCATCGAGGGTGCGCTGCCAGCGAGCGTCTACAGCCTCCTTCTCGGCGCGCTCCCATTGACCTACAGCTTTATCTTTCCCGCTCTTGAACGCGCGCTGCGCCGAAGTCGCCGCCGCGTGTGGGTGCAAAGCACACTTTCGCGGCTGAAATCGTCGAGGCGGCACCTTTCGCGCGTAATTACGCGGTCGACATCGATGCTCCGCGCGGTGGATGGCGGTGCGTTTGCTCGTTTGAGCTACAACGACTGGAAGCACCGATTGCTTCTGAGCCTTGTCTTTGGCGGCTGCTGGAGACGCAAGAAAGAGCGCCTTCCGAAGATCTTCAAAGGCGGATCGATCTACAAGCTCTTTACGACCCACCGGCATCTCCAGCGCAACGCGGCGTTCAGTTTTCGCGGCAGCGACTGCTACGTGCTCTCGCACACATCCAACGGTGTCATCTCCCACCGCCTTAGCTTGAGCGACGCAATGTATCTCAAGCACCGTACGGACGTCGTTCTCGGTCTCTGTCCTGGTGCAGCGTTCGGACGACTGGTTCAAGAAGCGAATGGCACGATTGGCGTCCACTTTGGTGAAGGGCGCTCTCGCTGGATTCTTTAATCGCAGTCGAGTCCCTTTACAGACCATTGATTCAAATACAAGTCTTCGTGTTATGTAGACCTTTATGGTAGACCTAGTAGAGGCTAGATATCCCTTGAAAGGTTCTTGGGGAGCTGGTAGAAGGCTTGGTCGTCTAGTGCTTCCGTCACACATTGCAGTATGGTACATGTACACACGACCCTTGCCTTTTTTAGCGGTTTCCTCGGCGCGTGCTCTCCCGCGAGATGCATGATGCCAAGGAACCTGAGGCACACAGTGCTGCATGCATCACTGATGCAAGACGCTTCGTCGCGTGTAGATGACAACTCGCAAACACATTGGGTGCATATACATTGGGCGCTGAAAACAGCAAACTCAAAAGAGTTGGTGCCCGGATCCGGCGCGAAGAGTGAGATCCTTCGTGCTCATAGACGGCGCATAGATCAGATCTGAGCGTCGTTGAAGTGAACGCCAAGGATCCCGCGCCCCTTCTTCCCAACTGCAACCCGCATGGTATCAAAGTGGCGACCAGATGCGCCAAGAAAGCTCGTCCTGAATCAGAGTACACCGTGGGATCGAAGTGTACACCCAGCCACGCACCCATTCGACATCACCGCTGTCCGACCTTGCCGCGTCCGAGACGCTTCCGCAAACTGTCGTCGCGTCGTAACCATGGGCGCACATCCAAAACCTTTCCATGCCCAAACCGACGTGGATATCGCTTGCTAACGACATCGAGTACATAGATAGTCCTGCGCATAATGAAGTATCCGTCGGCGTCCATAGCTGCCACCCTCATCGCTTTTCCGTCAAGAGGCTCCGACCCAGCACCCACGACGTCGTACTTCAAGGTGGGACCATGACGATGCAGCTGGTCCGGATACGAAGAGCCAATCCGAGGCGGCCCTGCCACCTCCGATTCAATTGCATCGTTCTTATGTTGTTGTTTGTATGTGGAATAAAATATATCAATAAAACGAAAGTGCAAGATCGCCGGGCATGTGTCATTTCGAAACTTGGACGACGATGGGGTCCTCGATGAAGCCGACCACGTTCGCAGGCCAAGCGTCGCTGCCCAAGCTGCCGATCCCGGACCTCCAAGAGACGATCGCCAACTACCTCCGCACGGTGAGCGTGCTGCAGTCGCCCGAGGCCCACGCGGCGACTCGCGCGACAGCCGAGGCCTTCCTCGCCACGGACGGCCCGACGCTCCAGGCCAAGCTGCAGGCGTATGCAGCCGACAAGAACAGCTTCATTGAGGATTTCTGGTACGAGGCGTACTTCAACTACAAGGAGTCGGTCGTCCTCAACGTCAATCCGTTCTTCGTGCTCGAGGACGATCCGACGCCGACGCGGGCCAAGCAGATCCCGCGCGCGTCGTCGCTCATCTTGAGCAGCCTCAAGGTACGTACATCATGTGTCTATGGGATATGTACAACTTTGTCATATCTAGTTTATCCACGCGCTGCGCCGCGAGACGCTGCCGCCAGACGTTGTGCGCAAGACGCCGCTCTGCATGAACCAGTTCCGCATGCTGTTTGGCGCGACGCGGCTTCCGACGCGCGAGAAGGACCACGTCAAGGTCGCGCCCGACGCCAAGCACATTGTCGTGCTCTGCCGGTACGAGGAAGCATCCCATATGTCGTGTACGGCGAGGTTGATCACCCCTTATGGGTAGGAACCAGTTTTACTGGTTTGACGTCGTCTGGGAAGACGGCACGCCGGCCATCACGGAAAAGAAATCGCCGAGAACCTTCGCGCGATCCGCGCCAATGCGCGCCAATGCTCGGACGACCACATCGCTGACTCGGCCGTCGGCGTCTTTACGACCGAGCACCGCGTCGAGTGGGCACGCCTGCGCACGGAGCTCCAGGCCGAGAACGCGGCGACGCTCGATATGGTAGTTGTGTTTTTTGTATCAACTTTGTATCAATTTTGGATCAATGCTCCTAGATTGACCGCGCACTCTTTCTCGTGTGCTTGGACCACACGAGTCCGCCGACGCCGTCGGACTTTGCCGCGACGATGCTCCACGGCACGTACGAGACGTCGTCGCACAACCGCCAGGTATGCATTGGATTGGCTTCCGCGCGTCGATACATGTTGATACATTGATAGGTTGGGTCCTGCATGAACCGGTGGTACGACAAGCTGCAGATTATCGTGTGCGAGAACGGCGTCGCCGGCGTCAACTTTGAGCACTCGGTCGTCGATGGTCATACGGTCCTTCGCTTCGTCTCGGATGTGTTTACGGACACGGTCATCCGGTAGGAATTGATTTCATTGGTGCGATTTATCATCTTTTTGTGTTAGGTTTGCGCAGAGCATTAGTGGTACGACGCAGTGCTTTCTCGAGAGCGCGTACCGCCCGCCGTCCGAGTCGCTGTACATGACGCCGCACAAGCTCGAGTGGCAGCTCTCGCGCAGCCTCCAGCTCAGCGTCCGGTGCGATTTCTATCAACCTATCAAGCGGACGTTTGAATTCTGCGCCTCTAGCTATGCCGAGGCGCGCTTGAGTGACCTCATTTGCCAAAACGAAGTCAAAGTGCTGGAATTCCGCAACTATGGTACGCTGATCATCGCGACGTTTGCATTCACCAAATTTGGTGATACAGGCAAGCGCTTCATCGTCAAGCACAAGTGTTCGCCAGACGCGTTTGTTCAAGTCGCCTTTCTTGCCGCCTACTACATGCAGTACGGCACGGCCGTCAACCAGTACGAACCGGCGATGACGAAGCGCTTTCTCCACGGGTACGTACCAAGATGTCTAATATCTTGATCTTTCACACGGTCTCTAGTCGCACCGAGGCGATTCGGTCCATGACGCCCGAGACGTTTGCGTTCATTGAGCTCTTTTGCGGCGGCAACGGCAACGAGCTCCAGCAGCTCAACGCACTCCGGAAGGCGACGGCGTCGCACTCGGAGGTCGTCAAGCGCAGCGCCGGCGGCAACGGCATCGAGCGCCATCTGTACGCGCTGCAGCAGATCGCTTCGCTCAACCAGCTCCCGGAAGCCGCCTTGTTCAAGGACGCGGCGTGGCGCACGCTCGGACGCAGTGTCATTTCGACGAGCAATTGCGGCAACCCGTCGCTGCGCCTCTTTGGCTTTGGCCCGGTCGTGCCCGAGGGGTTTGGTATCGGCTACATTATCAAGGACGACGCCATCCAGGTCGGCCTTGATACGTTGATAGTTGACATGTCTCATGATGGCATGGAATAGTTTTGCGCGGCCTCCAAGCACCGCCAGACGCAACGCTTTCTAGATACGCTCAAGGAGTACCTTCTGCTCGTGCACGCACTCTTGGAAAAGGAAGACGCGCTCTTGTTCCCGAACCGCGCCAAGCTCGCCAGCAGCAAGACGGAGCACCGCGACTCGGACTATGAGTTTAGTTTCTTTGACAGCGGCGCGCCCGTGCCAGCGTCACCCAAGATCAACCCGACGCCACTCATTGGAAAGGCGCTCTTTTGAACACGAGCAGAGCGGAATTTCTACGACTGCTGCAGCACCGTCCAAACGATAAAAAGCCAACAGAGCGTCAAATGCACCGAGTGGGTGGTGCAACAGGTGGTGCAACCAGTAATACACCGAGGGCACAAGTAATGCCTTAGCATGCTGGGCTGCACGCATGCAAGCATGGTCGCAGCGCCGATATCGTTGTACTTGTACGCCGCTCGAGTCGCGCAGTCAGCCACAGAGAATTCGATTGACCGCACGCAAGCAGCCAGATTGAGTGCAGGTTCGAGGCAACGAGACAACTGCAAGATGGTTACACGGCTACTGTCTTTCTCTATCAAAGGCAGAACACCGAATGTAGCCAGCCTGGTGGTGGACGAGGTGGATTTATTAGCATTATGCTACGGACTGCAAATTGGGCAATGGCTTGGGTGCTCTCTGGACGGCAAACAATCAACTTCCTGGCAGCACATGGAAGTACCACTTGCGCACCGCGTCGTTGCAGGTTCGCGAGCCTCCGCACGACTAAATATGTATGAGCATCCTCGACAAGAAGCTCATGATTGACACCGAGACGCGGAAATTCTTTCATCCCCAGTGTACAAGCCCGGCGTGATCGAGTATCGAGCTATTGAATCGTACAACAGCTAGCACGACAGAGTGCAGAGATGATGTACTACGGCTGCCTTACAACGCCTACTCCTACCTTGTACTCGAGCAACATTGTGTAGAAGTCCACACGTATCGAAAATGAATCATACATTGATTGCGTCGTTTGAGATTGCTGTACGGCTCATGCATAACACTACTTGCTTGCTACCGTAGTACGAGGAGCCAATGGGACTGTCCAGCGCTCAAGTGCACACCAATGGTTTTCCCATTTGGATGTACGACGAGTTGACCAAACGCTGTGGCGTGACTCGTGTCGAGAACGACATCGGTCCGATTTGCGAGGTGCAGTGCGTCGCTCAAGCTGAGGCGGTGGGAGATGACGCCGTTGGATGTGTGCGAGAGCACGTAGCAGTCGCTGCCTCGAAAAAATGAACGCTGAAGGAGGGGATGGGTCGTAAAGAGCTTGTAGATCGATTCGCCTCTAAAGGCTTGGGGTACCCGCCGCTTCTTGCGCCCGCCAAGAATACACGCCAAGAGAAGGCGGTGCTTCCAGCTGCCGTGCAACCTGTAGCTCAAGCGACTGAGCGCACCACCGTCCAGCACTCGCTTCACACGGAGTTTAGTGGAAGATTGGCTATTGACGCGCGAGAGATGCCGCTTGGGAAAAGTCACGGTCAAGACTGCAGGAACATCCACGACCCGGCAACGACCGCGCCAGAAAGCGCAGTGCGGGAAATGCTAGGCTGTACATGAGTGATAGCGCGAATAGCGGTTGCAGCAAACCGTAGCCAAACACAGGACATCGTGTTGATGCATTTGAGCTCAAGTGCACCGGGGACACGGCAAGCGAGGAGCGCCACAGGCCCGGTGAGGGAGGCGTAGTTGGAGTACTAGAATTGAGGTGTATAATCGACCTGTAGTGTCAACAAACGCAGATAGTTGTCGCTAAAAACAGTGTGACAACATTCCTGCGGTTGCTGGCCGAATTAGAGCACAATGCCGCCGTGCTGTAAGGTGGGCACAGAGTGTTGTGAGCCAGCAGTAGTAACCTTGGTGTGGTCGGCTCGTGCTGGTCTGTCGTGGTAGCTCGGGACCGGGATCGACGGAGGCGTCTTTTGTATTGTGCGAATCCTGCGGTGGCGTGCTCGGTTGGGTGCTCGAGTAGTCGGCAACCCGCAATACGCCACGCTTCGCGCAAAAGGCATTTTGTTCAATTACACAGAACGCAGTCGATTTACATTTTACATGATCCAGCGCGAGCGGTCCGCACCAACCTGAACCTCGATCGCGCCCTTCGGTTGCATGACAAGTCGTCCAAACGCCTTGCTACTCGAGGTGCTCAGGACAATGTCGGTTCGATGTTCGAGATACATTGCGTCGCTCAAGCTGAGGCGATACGAAATGACAGTGTTGGGCGTATGCGAGAGGACGTAGCAGTCGCTACCGCGAAAACTGAAAGCCGCGTTGCACTGGAGATGCCGGTGCGTCATAAAGAGCTTGTAGATCGATCCGCCTCTAAACATCTTGGGCAACCGGTGCTTTCTTCGACAGCAGCAGCAGCCAAAGATGAGACCGAGCAGCAGTCGGTGCTTCCAGTCGTTGTAGCTCAAACGAGCGCACGCGCCGCCATCAATCGCACGGAGCGATAACGATGAGCGTGAGACGACGCGCGAGAGACGTCGCCGGGACGATTTGGCCATGGAATGGATTCGCCGGAACCACAGGCGACAAACGAACTGTCTTAGCATGCGCTTGAGTGCGGGCACCGAAAAGGTGTACACCAATGGAAGCGCGCCGAGGACAATGGTGTACAAGATGGCGGGCGGAACATCTTCCGTGTAGTCCAACTGCTTGTCGTGGGGCAAGAAGCAGGTGTAGAGTACATGGTAGAGGTCGATAAAGAACGACGACCGAAGTTGAAGATATGTTAGCGGCCCGACGGTCAGTGCCACACCGATCGCAACGCCGGTCGGATCGGCTTGGGCGCACCACGACTCGAGCGCACATCGTCTCAAGACACGACCACTGAGATTCAGCACAAGGTATCCAAACCAGACAGTTCGTGAGAGATACAACGTCGAGACGGCAAAGGCCCAGAGATCTGCAATCTGGTTGATCCGGACAAACGAATGGGCAGCCAGTTGCGGACTGCACCAGAAATCGACCACAAAAAAAGGCAGATCCACGTGTTTTGGAGAATGAGGCATGTCGGGTCGCCGACGATAATCTCCAGTCGCTCGCTCTCGCCACATGTGCCATAGCGCTGCAGCTGAGCCACCAACGATCGATAATGGACATAGTACGTCGTCCAGAGAAGGTACAGAATACGAAGCGTCATGCCAAATCGAAAACAAACTTGATGTAGCCCCACGCCTTGAAGCCACGGAAGATCTGGACCGCAAAGAACACGTTATCGTGTGCGTCGGTCCAAATGGCAGCCATGGTCGACGGGGAGCCAAAACGTGTGCCAAGCTGAACGAGTGCGGTGCTGGAGGTAGTGCGGTTGCCGAGGCTCATGTCGCGGACCCACTGACGCGCTCGATTCGAGTAAAAGAAGGCACCGGGCAGGGCCTCGTAGGTAAATGCTGCTTCGGTTGTGCGCTGGAGTGGGCCATGAAGGACATTGACGCCTTCGGCCGCGTCGTAAAAGTAGTTGAAGCTGTTCGTGTGCGCAAACGACGTGTACCGAGTCGTGTAGACGGCAAGCGCCCGCTCCTTGAACGCAGCAAACGTCTCGTTGGCGCTTGGAACGACATCAATTGAGGGCTCCACATGCGACATCCACGGGAGCGACTCGGTCAAATACACCTTGAGCGGCCTAGAGAAAGCGACAGATGAGATAGACTCGCGATGGCGGAATGTACATGGAGGCGAGGTTGAGTAGGAAGAAGCTCGAGAAGACGATCGAGACCTTGTTGAAGGTCACGACGCGCTCTGGGAGCAAGGACGCCCTCGGGCCACGAGGCACCTGCATACCGCACTCGGGTAGCGAACGTTGCCGTGATTGTTCAACGGCTGTAACGCGTCGAGAAAAAACGATGCGGTGAACCAAAATACCAAAATACACTGCAGATGTGTATGTGGCTGTTTCATTCTGCGTTTTTCCAGCCGTTCCGCAAGCGAAACCAACCGGCGCGTGGCTGCGTCCTCAGAAGCGCGGCCGCGGCAGAAGGAAGCCTCGTTAGTCGACGCCTTCGCCTGCTGCGAGCCGCGCCATCAGACCAAGTAACGCTAAGCGATGAGGACGTCATCGCCACGCTGTACAAGACGACGTATCCGAGCAAGACGACGCTCTAGCCAACCAACAACAAAAACAACCACCACAACCAACATCAGACCCAACACAGAACCAACATGAGCACCGAGCACAGAGAAAAGAGCACAGAGCACAAATCAGCCAGCCGCCACAACCACCGCCAATGCCATCAACCTTCAGCCATCAACGTTTAGCATCAAGATACATATCATCCGACCCCGAAATCCAAGGCATCGACCCAAACAAATCAATCGAATCCAACGCGCCACGCCGCCAAAATGAAAACTATTCATCCAACCGTCCAGCTCCACGCCTCCAGAACGAAAACGAGTCAACAGGCCCAGCACCAAAACGAAAACACTATCATGTAAGACGATGAGAAAATAAATCCGTTATGGTAATCCTGGTAATGAACCGCCTGACAAAAACCTCTTTTACTTTTAGAAACAGTTGTGTGGTGTTTATAGCTCGCTTTGTCGCTCACGTCAACTTTCATTTTCTTGCCATCAGCGCACCCAGTCTCACACAAATCGGAGGCGGTCCGATTAACTACATATTCTGCCCCATGAGAATTCTTCCATTCCCAAATATTTACACTTGTCAGCAAGAAAATCTCCGATCGCACAATCAACTCGTGCGCGTCTTGGGCGTTCGCGCCATAAAGTGCGTCCACCAACCCATGACATTGGGAAAGAGGAATCCGGTACGGGCCATGTACGCCGGGCCGCCTTCCTAATACAGAGCCTTCAATTCCCATCGCCTCGATCTAAAACAACTTTTTTGCAGAACGAGAGCTCTTTCGCTGTCATGTTGGACAAAAAGAGAATGCTCCACACGCAGCCAAGCACAGCAAACGGAAACCAATGGCGGGCCCAGAGCGCAAAGGACAGGTACAGCAGCATCTCACCAAGGTAGTTGGTGTTGCGGCTCCACGTGAGCCAGCCATCCCTAGTCCATCATCATCCGCACCGTCAGATGCACGCTCTCCCTACTCGATCAAGCCAGGCTTGTACTTGAGCTGGAAAACTTTTGCGTGTCGGCGCCGATCATGAGCACGGTGCCGAGGATGTTCATGGTCGTGCAGAGGCACGTGAGGCCCGGTGCGACGTCGACGCGATGCGCAATCACAATGTAGCCGGCGCCCCAGTACCCGACGAGGACGAGCGCGGTCACGATCGTCGACGGTATCGTAATGTACGGTGTCCACGCCTTGTCGGGCAGAATGAGGTCCTTCAGGAGCCACACGAGGCCGTACGAGCCATGGTCTACACAGCGTTGATGTCAAGATCCGGAAGATAGTAGTGCAGATTGTATTGTACTCGCTGTATAGAGGCACGCGGCCATGGACCAGTTGTCGAAGTAGTACATGAGGCATAGCATGACGGGAAACGTGCCGCCTTTCTGGAGGTTGACGACGTAGCGCAGCTGGAGCGGGCGCGGACCACCGAGGCAGTCGAGCATGAGGTAGTTCTTGAGCGGAATGAGATAGCGCACGTAGAGGGCTTCCATTGTTAATTGGGATCCCGAGTGCAAATTCAAAAGTGCACTTTCGGATCCTAGCACCCGGTCGTATGTGTTCTTAGAGGTGGATGTGGAACTTATTTTATTCGGTCGACTGGAATGAACTATGTGGATGTGCAGACACATATGAACGATCCGGTTTCCGATTGGATATGATGTGTTTTGAAAGGTTTGACATTTGCACCGGGTCTCAAGGCAAGCGAAAGGCGGCGGAGGTACGATGGAGATACCGCATCAACGGCAACAACGAGCACCGTGTCATTTATCATGCATGGCGGTCACTCGAAACGACAAGAGCATAGATGTTCACGTCTGGATGCAAGGTGGATGGCGGCAACGCAATCGCGCATCAAAGATTACGGTGCGTCAACACAAAGGTGGTCTTGCGATGACGTCCGCGACCTCGAGTCAGAACTTGACTCAGGCCTGCCTTCCTACTACAGTACCGGTACCTCAAGTTTTTATGGGTTCTCGGTACCTGGAGTTGCCCGGAGTTGCGCAGCGGCGTCCTTGACACCGAATCAAATCTGGAACCTCAAAAAGCCTGTTCGAGCCCATCGGTACGTTTTTCAACCATCGAGCTCGTCTAGCTAATATGTTTATGATTGTGATGTACGTACCACCCGACACATCTAAACGCAATCGGTTCCAACTTGGCATTTGATTTGGTGTTGAGCTTGTCGAGCAAGCGCCGATGAGGATATAACACTAAATCCGTGTCACTTGGCGCGCCTTCTTCTCGCAAGGCGATGCACCTAGATGGCAAGTGTACAATCAATCCGCAAATCGCACTCCTTACTACTAAGCTCAGTGCGAACTACCAAACGACCGTCGATTGACGATGCGACAAAGGCAGCACACATGTAGTTCTCGGTGCGATTGGTTTGGACACCAAGCCATGACGTGGAAGACTGGTTCTATCTGCTGTAAATAGTGTTTACTTGTCTGGTTGCACCCAACTGACAGTAGTCTTGATTTCGACGAGCGACCAAGGCGACGAGGGAGCATGCAAGCCATCTTTGACGACTTTGCGACGCTGCCGCTGGACGAGTATGCGCTTCTGCCGACCGACTCGCTCCTCCTGGAGGACGTCGACGCCTTCTTCGCGCCGGCCACGACGTCGTCGCCGGCCTCAAGCGACCACTGCACGACGAGCGACGCCGGCTCCGAAGACCTGCCGCCGCCGCCGCCCAAGAAGATCAACGTGAGCCGCAAGCGCCAGCGCGACGAGATCGACTATCTGCGTGCCAAGGTGGTCGAGCTCGAGTCGCACCTCTCGGTGCTGCAAGCTGCCGAGGCGCCGCTCGTCGCTGCGTCGCCGTGGCAAACCATGGCCCGCCAGATGCGCCTCGAGAAGGACGCTGCGATCGGCGAGCGCGAGCAGCTCAAGCGCGAGCTCGCCGAGCAAATCGAATTTGGCAAGACGCTTGAATCGCTGCTGAAGAAGCGGCCGAAGCTCGCGGCGCTGCCGCAGCTCGACGCCGATCAGTGGAAACTGTACCGCCTCGTGCAAGACCCGGTGCTCCGGCGCGAAGCAGTCGCGAACATCCTCGCACACCAGTACGAAGCGCTTCCTGGTGCGCTCATCGAGTCGAGCTTGCTCGAGCAAGAAGACGATGTCACGGCCTTTGCTCCGTACTTGGCCAAGCACTTTGACGACCAGCTCATCACAACCGCGACGCTCTGCAAGACGGTCGAGTACGACATGCACACGGTGGCCCGTATGATGTGGCTCCTCCTCTCGGCGGGCTGCAGTCTCAACCGCACGACGTTCCACGTAGATACTTGGTACTGCTATGCTCGCGCTAACTGGAGTGTTTTTAGCGCCTCGAGACGTTCGACGAAGACACGATCTACATTGCGAACGAAGGCCGATGGGAATTTCTGCTCAACCAGACGCGTCTGCTCATGAAGCGCTACGTCGAGGCGGACCGTATTGTGTTCGTCATGCGGTATCAACACCTCCTCCTAGCACCACAAAAGAGTTCTTACAAGATATGGTAGCACGATTCTCGAAGACGAACTCAGTCCGCACGCACCCGAAGCACTCGTCACCAACAAGAGCGCCTGGTATGTGTAGTTTCAAGTGCGTGCGGCTCAGGTTCGCTCTAGGTTTGTGCTTGAGCCCATTGCGGGCCAGCCCGGGTGCCGGATCAAGTTTTTTCAAAAAATGACCCTGCCGATGGTCCAGTCGGAGGTCCTTCTGACGCACCCCAAGTTCTCGGACGTCAACTCGCCCTACTATCGCATTGGCAACATTACGGACGCAGCCATGATGTCGCTGCGGGAGATGATTGGCGATTTCACGTCCCAGCTCGAGCTCCTCCTCCAGCGCTACATCCCCGAGCAATGATGAGCCCACATGTCGTCTGGTCTAGATTCTACATAAATGCTAGCTTTTATATTGTACAACGGACAATGTGCTCTGTGAGCAAAGGCGCCTTGGTGACAGCACGTTGTCGCTGTCGGTGCAATTTCAATGTGGTATTTCTTTCCAAGAAAAAACAGCAAAAACAATCTTTTTCAGGACTCGAAGCGGGTCCCAGAGCGGGTCCTAGTCATTACTGGAGCTGTGTGTTTCCAGCGTGCTCATCGTATTGTGTGGTGTTTCCTTCTTACCATCGGTGTTTTGATCTTGAGCTGACTTCGGCTCGTCTCTTTGGGCTGCTCACACAGATTGACTTGGCCGACATGTCGTCGCTTGGAGATGGCGCGTGCGAGGGTACAACACACTATCCCCTAGCCCTTGAAAACACATGACCACACTAATAATTTGAGACTTAGTCTTGAGGCACTCGTCTTAACTCAAGTTGGTGATAAGACCGAGTGAGCTAAACTGTTCTGGTTACACCTGAGCGGGGTCCATCATTGGGATGGATCTCTCCGTGCGCAGCTCTCTCCCAACGATGAAGCGCTGGTGCCAACTCTCGCGCATTCAGGCGTAGTACTACGTATGCGAAGTCTTTGAGTTAGTTTTTGCTCATTTGATTTTAACGCGAACACGTTTGATTGATTAATTGACACGTGACCAGACCACCTCTTTTTCTCACAAACATTATTATGCTAGAATTCACTAACAATATACGTTTAATTAGCTGGCGCTGTATAAGATTACTCGTCCCCAGAACATGCAGACTTGGCGCCGGTTCAAAACCCTCCTCTTGCCAAGAACTTCAGTCGACAGGAAGGGATTTGCTGTCCCTTTTGCTCGTGGTGGAGGAAGCCAGCGCCGACCAGGCGCAACGGTCTAGTCTCTGGTATGTCATACCCTTTGAAAATGCATACAGAAGCTGTGGCTGTTCCACGATCCTGTGAATGCTCCAGCAGTGTGGCTCCTGGAGCCGGTGCTTTTAGGCAGCGCGTAACCACTGGCAATAACTCAGGTACCAACATGTACCTAGCACGTCCATTAGTACCAGTGCACCCACGCATGCAGCGTGCAAAGTGTGCAATGGATGCGAGGATGGCACTGCCGTCATTACTCTCGTTGAGAAAGGACTTGAGCGAGCCCAAGCATGCTTCTTGGTAGACGTTTCTTCAGCGCTTTATGTCAACCCTGCAGTGTTGGCGACGCTGCCGTAGACCGCTTGATTCGATTTCCAAGAGGTTGAGAAGTCGACCAGCCTCAAGTACACTGGCGGCTGCATTTTTTCGAAGCTCTAACTGCACGCAAATCAAGCCACCACCACCTCGTTTTAAGGGCAAGAAGCGTCGATGCAGCCGGCACTCAGCCCGCGATCGCCTCTTCAAACGTCTTCTCTTACAGCAGCGACCTCTCTCTCGTCCTCCTCCCCATTCTTCTCCATTGCGAGTACAAGTAGTGGTGATACAAGGATGGGGCTGGGGACGAAATCCAGTGCACGTAGACGTGGTATTAGTATTGTACTTGGTCCTGTGCGTCGCGGGGCTTCGCGAGAGCTCCTGCGATACACAGCGCACGCGTAAGCACGATAGGCTTTGATGACGGGAGGCCTCGCAGGCGCGGTAGCAGACGTGGGTGGCGCTAAGGAGGCGTGCATTTAGTGGATGCTTGGGCTCAAAAATGGAAAACCTCTCAAACATGATACAATGGCTCTGGCCCGTTTGTAGCTATTTGGCTTTTTCCTTGCCAGCACCGACTGCGATGCCACCGGCGAGCACGACCATGTACGACCAGTTCGCGACGCTGCCGCTCGACGACCCGCTGGCCGACGTCGACGCGCTCATGATGGAGGAGTTCAGCACCATGTTCCTGCCGCCGGCCATGAAGCCGACGACGCCGCCCTCCTATGCGTCGGCGACCGCGAGCTCGAGCTCGGACGCGGATTCGCCGCCCAAGGCCGAGATGGCCAAGCCCAAGAAGATCAACGAGAGCCGGAAGCGCCAGCGCGAAGAGCTCGAGTTCCTTCGCGTCCGCGTCCAAGAGCTCGAGAAGCACCTTAGCGTGCTCACCCAGGTCAAGGCCATCGAGACCGAGAGCGAGACGCCGTGGCAGAAGCTCGCGCACCAAATGCGCATCGACAAGCAGAACGCAGTCCTTGAAAACGAAAAGCTCAAGCAGGAGCTCGAGGAGCAGATTGAGTTTGGCAAGACGCTGCAAGCGATCCTGCGCAAGCGCCCGAAGCTCACATCGCTTCCGACGCTCGACAGCGACCAGTGGAAGCTTTATCGCCTCGTCAAGGAGCCGGTGACGCGCGCCCACGCGGTGTACGAGATCCTCCAGCAGCAGCTCGCGGCCTTTCCCGGTGCCATGGTCGAGTCGGGGCTTGTCGACGTGGAAACCGACATGCTCTTGACGCGCCCGAAGCTCTCGCGGTACCTCGATGACCAGCTCATCACGGAGACGATCTGGTGCCAGAACTTCCCGTACGACTACCGGTTCGTCACCCGCTGCATGTGGTCGCTCATGGCCAACCCGTCGCAGTACGAGTACACGGGCTTCTCGGTGCGCTCCTTCGTATGCTTGCTGCTGTCGACTGACAGCGTCTCTCCTCCTAGCTCCTCGAGACGTTTGACGAGGACACCAAGTACATTTGCACGATCGGGAAGCTCGACAACCTCTTGACGAGCCAGTGCCGGTTCCTCATGCGCCGCCTCTCGGAGCCCGGGCGCGAAATCTTCCTCATCCGGTACACTGTCAGCACTGGCGTCGACGCGCAATGTACCAACCATGGCGTAGGAGCATCCTCGAAGACGAACTCATGCCGCACGACAAGACGGCGCTCATCAACAACAAGAGCGCGTGGTAGGCGTTCTGCTCCGTCGGTTGACGCACCGATCTCATACACGCTTAGGTTTGTCCTTGAGCCGACGCCCGCCGGTGGCTGCCTCCTCAAGTTCTACCAAAAGGCGACCTTGCCCATGATGCAGTCGCAGCTCTTCCTGCAGCATCCCAAGTTCAAGAAGCCCGGCTCGCCGTACTACCGCGTCGGCAACATTACCGACGCCATCATGACGTCGCTCCGCGAAATGGTCAAGGGCTTCAAAGGCGCGCTCGTGCATGTCCTCCAGACGCAGCTCAGCGCATATGCGGCGAGTTTGGGGCAGATTGAACCGCTCGACTCGTTGAGTCCCAACTGCACATGAGGCGCCGCCAATGTACATATTGATGTATCGAGAAATCCAATTGGTGTGTGTTTCGATTTTAACAAGTTGTCCTTGCGTGGAATGAGTCTATGGGTCCCCTCAATAGTCACATCCACGCTACTTGCCACTGCGTAGATGACCTCTATTGACATTGTGTACTAGTATCAGAGCAGAGAGGTACAACGCTTCAAGGGATGCAGCAGGGACGGGCACCAAGGCGCAGCTTGCACTGTGTTCTCCATCTCGCCGAGTTGGCTCGTCGCGTCGTCTGACGCGGCTACTCGACGGGCCAGGTCTTGCAGCATGAGCTCAGCACTACAATTGTAGCACGATTCGACGCTCGTATCATAGGATCATGCTGCTGCGGGAATGAAAGTATCGTTAGTTAGTTAGTCGTTGGTTGTGGGCGCATGCGGAGGGTAGAGTCTTGAAGAAGACGATGAATCGCTGGCTGGATGGGCATTCTTCAGAGCTTCCATCAACATGCAGCTCGAAATCCAGCGAGCCCTGTTTATGGCGCGACAGCGATATGATTGGCCATTATGCCCGACATATTGCATTTCGCATGCTTTTCAACCAATCAGCAGCGTGTCTCGAGCGCAAGCTGGCGAGGCCGAGTGTCGCAGGACGGGTGTTATAACTTTGCAGATCGCCGACGTCGCCAATCAAAATGAGACAAGAGCGAGCGCTGGCTCGGGGCTACATGCACCCAATTCTTGTGCCCGCCAAGCCAGCCTTGAGGACACGTCGGTCAAGGCAACCCATGGTGGGATCCACATTGATCCCCACAGGTTGCACGAGATACGGCTTGCCTGACTTCTTCCAGCTATATTACTAGTGAAAAGCGAAGTGGCTGCGACCCAAGCGCACGCTTCTAAGTGGCTGTGTGTGTGCGAGTACCTCGATTGAATCTCGCTGCTGTTGAGATTCGCAACCCGTTTCTTTTTATACAGTGTGTACCTTGCACCCTTCAGACCTCTACCTCTCAAGTCCTAGAAAGAGCAGGTATATGCATCGATGCTGTCTCCGTCGAAGTCCCTCACGTACCAATATGCATGCACTGCCATTCATTCCATTGCCTTCAAGTGGCGTGCATTTAGCCATGCCTATTCCTCGAGGCGTTATAACACGTGAAACCGTGCAAATTGGGTGGCTTTTTCATTTCTGCGAGAGAGGCTTGGTGAACACCATCATGCCTCTGGAGATCATTTCGACTTTCGCCGGCTCCAGCACACGCCAGCTCATCATGCGCACTCTGAGCCAATGCCTCCCACCTCTGCAAGAGGGCTGCACCCGCATCTACCTCTGCCGCCACGGCGAGACCGACTACAACGTCGCTGGTATCCTCCAAGGCCGCGGTGTCAACATGCGACTCAACAAGAACGGGCACAAGCAGGCGCAGCAGCTCGCGCGGTCCTTCAAGGACATCCCGTTAGACGCCGTGTACAGCAGCGCGCTGGCTCGCGCCAAGGAGACCGCCGCCTGCATCCAGCACGCCCACCCGACGACCAAGACGGGCGCGTTCACCGACCTCGAAGAAATGAGCTTTGGCACGCTCGAGGGCACGCCCCGTACGCAGAACGCGGCCTTCCTCCACGAGATCTACGCCAAGTGGCGCCGTGGCATCCTCGACGCCAACGCGCGCTTTCCATCGGGCGAGTGCCCGCTCGACGTCAAGAAGCGCGGAGTCGCGATGCTGCACGAGCTCGCGGCCGGGAGCGACGACGACCACATTGCGTTCGTGTGCCATGGCCGCTTCAACAAGATCATTCTCGCCGAGCTCTTGTCGATTCCGGTCGAGAACCCGCCGATCCCGCAGGACAATACATGTGTCAACGTGCTTGACTACAACCGCGTCAAGGGCACGTACACCGCCGTCGCCATCAACCACACGACGCACCTCGTCGACCGCCCGTAAAGCCATCGCTGTAACCTAAAATTATATCAATGTAAGTTAACACCCCGTGTAAGCATGATGTCCAAGAACTCGGCGGCAGAGACGCGCACAGCGTCGTCGTGGGTGTGCATGAGGATTGAAGCGGTAGCTTCAAGACAACAACCACCACCAACCAACGAGAGACACGCAGTAGTAGCCACATGATCCACGAGGCGCGCACGCCAGCAACGCACGCCGGTGCTGCTACCGGTACCACCGAATGCGCTGGTTGAAGAAGCTTGCGAGCTGTGCAAATCGATCGCTAAGGGCCAAGCAAGTGCGCCCCGGTCCAGCTCACGGATCCCAAAGACACGCCACTGCGACATGGCCACCGAGACGCAGGAACGATCTGGGGAAAATGTAGCTCGAGAAGATCATGTACTGTAGAACCACGCATTCGTACAGTACGCTCTTCAGTTCGACTGCATTCAAACATTCAAACAGTGGATGGTGCCGTCTACGGTACAGTGGATCGATCCTAGACGCGGACCGTGTCGTCGCCAAGAAGACGGGCGGTCGCACTGCCGTTCGTATCCAGTGACCCGACGCGGCTGGCTTTCAAGTGCAAAGGTCGCCACGCGAGCCAGCTCAGGCCTTTCGTGACGCCAAAGAAAGCAATATGGAGCACACAAACCAAGAGATACCACAGCGGTGCGTACGGTGACTCGAGCTTCATGAACGGGTACGGCCAAAAGCTCGTGACTTCGTGGATGATCCATGCGGCGACGCCATAGATCGTGCCCCAGAGCACGAGGAGCGGGAGGCCGCCCATGCCCATCGGTATGCTGTCGGCGCACACGAAGTAAAACTCGAGGCCGAGCAACGGAACGTTGATACCATGCTGCACGTAGCTCGTCCAATTGAGAAGTTGGTCGGTCGCGTGCGCCGCCTTGGCCATCGGGTACAAAATGACCCAAACGACGACCATGACAAGGAGGCTCGCTGGAAAGACCACATCGAGAAGGACGCGCCGGCCGCGACTCACGCCACGCGCGTCAAGGAGGGCCCACGCCCAGTAGACGATCTGCAGGATAAAGTTCCAGCATGTGTAGAAGGCAAGGCCGTGGCCATGCGTCTTTACGAGCTCGGCCACGAGGACGCTCACGAAGAAGACGAAACAAGCCGCTTGGAACGCGCATCGAAGCCGGCCCGACCGCGGCCGAGGCGTGAGGCGCAGCTGTGTGTACTCGATCCCAGGCGACGTCTGTCGAATGGCCCAGACGCAGCCCACGAGGCTCAGCACGAGCTCGGCGGCGACGACGTAGGCTTCCCAGAGCATGCTCGAACCAACGTTGGGTCAGTTTTGTATCTTATCACATGCCGTCGAATGGTATTTATAAACGACATACAGAAAATGTATTCTGTCTCAACATCTGATTGGAACACCGCATATGCTTACTCGCAAGCGACATGTACCGCAGCAGGCATCTTGCGCCCGACAGTTCCGGATAACGGGCATGGGCAGCAACGATAGCGGCAGCTCAGTGGCCGGGCCGGTCCGTAGCCACCTGGACATGTTCCATCGCATCCTCCACGACGCGCAGTCGAGCAAGCTGCACACATGGAGCAACTTGGCATTGCAGCGTGCATGGGACTGGGCGCTCTATCTGCAGCAGCAGGCGCCGCCGCCTAGTACAACTTCAACCACCGCCGCGCAGCTTCGCAGCGGTACGCGGATCCCACTGCTAGCATTGCGATCCACAGCTTCTACCTCCGTGTAGCGCCGCGTGATGTGCTTACCGCGGTCGTCACCTCGCCTTTTCTCTTGACGCACCCGAGCCGCCTGGAGCTGCTCCATAGTGTCTGCGACCTCTACCGGCGCGTGGACGACCCCGGTCATGCACTCGCCAGCGTACGTTCTCGAGTCCACGGCGAAGTAGACAGTATGTACTTGTGCAGGACATTGTCCACTGGCTAGAAGAGCAAGCGACGACGGATACGCTCTTCGATCTCGCCCATGCCCTCGGCGACGCGCTGCCTTGTATGCACATCACTCGTACGACCGCCAACGACTCTTCAAGCCCCAAGCGATGACGCGTGTCTCTAGTGGCCCATCACACGCTTCGCTACCCGGCCTTGGAGCACTGGCAGTTGCAACGCCGGACGCTGCAGGTCGCTGCGCTCGCCACCAGCTTCCAGCACCAGCTGCTCGCGACGACCAAGTCCCATGACGAGTGTCGAGCGATCGTGTCAGCGTTTTTCAATACCGCTTCGTCTGCAAACAATAAGTCTAGTCTTGAGAAGGTACACCAATGTCTCCCTAAACAAGTAGACGACACGCAAGTGCTCTAGGACATTGTAGTGTACGCTGCGCTCGTGCTGGCATGGCCACCGACGGCAACCCAAACGCACAACGATCTCGCGGACGGACTCGCATCCCTTCTGACGACCCACGTAGCCCAGTACGTGCCCACGCCGACATGTCGTTGGATTGCGGGATGGAGTAGGTTGCTGGACCTCTCGCCGTGGCTCGCTGCTCGGTTCTGCCAGCAGCACCCCGCGGTTGCCCAAGAGTATGTCGCCGCTCTTGTGGCCCACGCGCTGGCTCGCAAAGCGGACGAAGCGGATGCTCACGAGACGAGCGTGCGCCTCGGGACGCTCGTGCATGGCCATGATCAGCTGCACGCGGCATGCGAAGCAAGTCTTGCAGCGCTCGCGCCATCAATCCTCCACAAGCTCGTGTCACCGCCTGTGCTGTAAAGTGCCTTTGCGTCGCTGCCCGATCCTGGTTGCTTCTGCAATCAGAGAGACACGCGATGTCTCGACTTGGTCGTTCGTTGACAACGTGTTGCTAGAATGTTGCAATGCAATCGATCAAACTCGAACGAGGAGCGTACGCGCATGGACGACGACTGTTGTCGCACTGCACAGAAAGAAAGTTATTGGGAAATTGGCAGCTGATCGATCTCGGTGCGTGGCAACCGTGTGCCAACGAGCCTTGGCTCTTGGCTCTCGGCCAAGCGAAATGAACAGACCCGACGCTTCTGGAATCTGAAAGCGGATGTCGGCGCGTTGCAGAGTGTGTGCATTGTAGATTGTAGCAGCTGATACGGTGCGAATCAACCGTTTCTGGACAAGCTTGGTGGGGTCGCTTTCTTCAGGCGCACACCGCAGGGCTCTCTGTTGCAGTACCACTAAGATCTCAGCTGCGGTGCCACTAAGCTCTCAGCTGCACTGCCACTAAGCTCTCAGCTGCGATGCTTTTCATGGCAGTCAATTCGCCGTGAGTCTTCTCGAGACATCATGCGCTTGGCTTCTACGGTGTCACGACCGACCGCTGGCTCTCGCCCTGTGCAGGAAGCGGCGCATGCGTCGCCGCCGCTGCATCGTACCAAGGCAACCTCCCTAGCTTGTACTGAGGCAAGGCGGCGGCATATGAAGCGACACGTCGCCGCCGATGAAGTGAACGCAGAGGCGCCTCGGTCGCTCGGGCCGGCACCGCTTCAATCCGCATGCGCTCATTGGCTACACGAGCATCTTGTATCAGTATTTCTACCAATGAGACGCGGCGAAAAAGATTGCAATGGCCGTGCTTATACCCTTTTTTTACGTTCGACCAACGCGCATACAAACATCGAGATAATACAATACCATGAGTCCATCGTGCTGCACTTGCTCGGGCGCAAACGGCCATTTCGACGCTGCTACCAGCATGGGCTGGGACGGCCTCGTGTGCTGCGCGACCACGTGCTTCGGCGACGCCCGCCTCGACGGCGCGCGCACCGGCGACCGCCACGTACGCAGAGAATGACGTCCTCTTCATGGCGCTCATGCCCTCGACCTAGGCGTGTCCGCAGCGCTTCAAGCTCAAGACGCTGCACGTGCACGTCGATGGCAGCAGCCGCCTTCGCCTCGAGTCGACCAACTGCAAGCTCGCGTGTTTGCCCGCGGGCTTGATCAAGAAGATTGTGTTTCTCTTCCTGCGTGGCCGGCGCGAGGCCAGCGTCCGGCCACCGACGCCAGCGCCGACCGACGACACGGCGTCCCTGTACGCGAGCCCGCCGAGAACGAACGAGTCGGCGATTCCAATGCTCTCGAACGACATGATCTCGGTCGCATCCTCATCCTCGCTTGCATCCCGGACGTCCGTGTCCATGAACGAGGCCTACGCGTATGCCCGCGGGTGCCAGCTCGCCGAATCGAGCGATCCGCTCGAAGCCAGCGGCGCGTCGTCGTCGTCGATGGCATCGTCCATCTCGGCGCCGCCCATGGACCTGGATCTCAACATCCTTCAGGACACATATGCGATCACCTTCAAGAAGGCGTCAACAGGTCGCGAAGAGGTCGAGATCAAGCTCTTCATGGTGAACGCCGCCCGCGCCTCCCACGAGCACATGAAAATCGTGCACGTGCTTCTGCGGGACAACCTCTGGGTCGACGTGGTCGTCGTCGACGAACTCGGTGGCGCCAAAGAATGCAGCTCCTACCGTGCGGTTGAAGAAGCCTTGTCCGTGTTCCAGCTGGACGCGTGTCTGTCGTGCGGCCTCGCCTCTCGCTGCAGCTGCAACGAACTGCCGCCGTCCAACCCGCAGACGATTTGGAAGCGAGAAGAAGATGTCCGGCTCGACGAGCTCGTCGGGAAACGCGAGCCGCCAGCGCTCACGGTGGCGTACGACCACTGGCAGCACACGTGCTCGAGTGTTTGCGAAGAGCTCGTGCCGAGCCTCCAGCTGCGGCTCGTGCCGGCGTCGTCGGCCTTGCCCACCGAATTTGAACTCGCCATCTCGTCCAGCAAGACGGTCAAAGACCTCTCCGAGGCCATCTACACGGTACACAACGCCGTCTTGTCTCTTTCGTGTTGCATGCAAAGCAAATGTATGGTAGATGTATTGCATCTCCGTGTGTCATGGCGAGCTCAAGTGGCACGTGACGCGTCGGTACCGCGACTTTTGCGACCTCCACACGCAGCTTTCGAGTGAACTATCGATGGTGCTGCCTGCGCTGCCGCCGAAAACCTGGTGTGAACGGCTCGAAAAGGCTTGTATACTGCTGACCTGAGAGCTACAATGCGTAGGCTCCCGAGTGTCGACGAAGCGTTCGTCTCGGAGCGCCAGATCGCCCTCGAGAGCTTCTTGCGACAGCTACTGCCGATGCCGGGCGTCATGGAGTCGCCCCGGTTCCTCTCTTTCCTTGGCGGTCCGTTGTTGTAGAAGAGACGGCTTTTTTAATAGACGGCTCATCGTACGTCCTGTAGCGGTGTCGACGACGTCGCTCGAGCACGAGCGCGCCTCGGGCATTCCCCGGGACGTGGTGCACTTGCGCATTCTGCATCGGTTCGTCTCGGTCGGCGACTTGGTGCTCTTTCGGTCGAAGAACCCCATGAGCGGGGTCCAGCGCTCGGTACAACTTGTCTTTTTGAAGACAAGTTGTCTGATAATACGACGACGACTAGGTCACGGGGGCGGAGTGGGACCATGTCGGGATCGTTGTCGACGCGCCGACGTCGCGCCACCGACTCATGCTTTTGGAAGCAACCGGCGACGGCGTCACCATCTTCCCGCTCGTATGGTGACGTGCGATTCAACACGAGGCCTAGTGTACATGTAGGTGCCCCGCATTTTGGCCTACACATCCTGCTTTACAACGTACATGGCGCTCCGCAAGCTGTCGTTGCCACCGACGATGGACCTCGCGGACGTCGGGAGCGAGCTCGCCGCCTTTGCCAACCAGGTCCGCATTGGACGTAAACGAACTGTGGTATCAATCATGTCACCTCGTCAGGTCGAGGGCAAGCCGTACGTGATGACGATCGGCAAACTGGTCAAGCAAGAAGAGACCAATGCGACGCTGTCGGGCTTTTTTTGCTCGGAATTGGTATTCCCTTCGACAAATGTCCTGATTTCAGAACGGAAAATGTATTTAGATTGCGGCCGCGCTCAAGCACGTGGGATTGTTGGATACGGACTTGGCGGCCGCCAACTTTGGCCGGGCTGCTTTGCGAGCGGCGGCCAAGTCGACAAGGCGCTGGCGCGGCGCGGTGCGTCGTACGGCCCCGAAGTCGTCATCGACTGCCGCGTCCTCGAGATTGCCATGACACACCGGTCCGAGCACGGCACGACGGGCGCCGTCATCCACAGTGACTCGTCGAAACCCTAAACGATAACGATAAAACTCTATAATTTACGATTGGATAAATGGATTCGTCTCGATTGTACTGATGTACACATTGTCCTTGGGTTGGAGACGACTTTGCTCTACACATGTACTGCATGCGCTCCCGTTTGTCTCTAAAGGTTGCTTGAAATGGAGCGCGAGGGCACGACTCCTGCGCAGGCGAGCGAGTGAAGACGGAGTCGTAAAGTCGTCGTTGTAGCATGAAGAGGACGCACAACACATGGGCCGCTAGCCCATCGAATTACGGTTTGAGTGTCAAGTTCGGACGAATTCGATCGCTAAAGACACCATCATGTGCGAGGACATGAAAAAGTATCAAGTGAAAACTTGATACAAGACGCACGTGGGTCCATTCGGGCCGGTGCGAGGGAAGACCAACTCCTCTTGAGAGTGTAAAGAGAGACACTAGCACGACTTGTTTGCAGAGCTGCGACGTTGTAAGTCTATGGAATATTGTTATATTGGTGTGTTTAAGCGTTCATGAGTTCAATTTCAAAGACAAGGTCCGAGTTGCCCGGGATGTCCTTGCCCGCGCCGCGCGCGCCGTAGCCCATCTTGGACGGGATGTTGACGATGCGCTTGCCGCCGACGCGCATGCCTTCGACGCCAATGTCGAAGCCCGCGATGACGTCACCGACGCCGAGGCGGAACGCGAACGGGCTCTTGCGGTTCGTGTTGGCGTCGAACTGCTTGCCGTTCTTGGCGAGCGTGCCCTTGTAGAGGATCTGCACCTTGCGGCCCTTCTGCGCCACCGCGCCCTTGCCGATGACGAGCTCCTCGACCGTGACGCCGCCCTTGAGCTGCTTGAGCACCTTGGCCTTCTTGGCGTCCTTGGCCGACTCCTCAGCCGGGCGCTTCTTGGCGTCCTTCTTCTCAACCTCCTTCTTGACTTCCTTCTTCTCGGGCGTGGCCTCCTTCTTGGCTTCCTTCTTCTCGGGCGTGGCCTCTTTCTTAGCTTCCTTCTTCTCAGCCTCCTTCTTGGCGCCCTTCTGGACTTCCTCGATGACTTCAAAGCGACCCGAGTCCTCGACGTCTTCGTCGTCCTCGCCCTCATCCTCCGAGTCCATTTCCTCTTCCATGTCGAGCATGTCCTGGTCGTCGTCGTCGCTGCCGTACATGTCGTCCTCGGGGTCCATGTCGCCGTCCATTTCGGCGTCGACAAAGCCCGTCAAGTGAATCGTGTTGGTGCCCTCGACGCTGAACGAGACTTCGCCGTCCATGGGCGAGAAGGTCTGGCCGACGTTCCACTGCGGGAACTTGTCCGCATCCAAAGTGCACACGGCGATCTTGGTCGGGTTGCGCTCGGTCGCAATGTAGAGCGTCGTGCGGCCAGCCGTCGCCGTATGGTCGAGCGCGGCCGTCGTGAGCTGGAGCGCGAGCTCCTCCGTCGGGTTCTCAAGCGTGAGCGAGTGGCCGGGCTTGAGCTGCTCGCCGATGAAGCCGGGCTCGAGCGTCTTCTTCTCGACCGTGGTCGTGGCGGTGGTGGCCTTGGCGGCGGCGGACTTGCGAGCCATGCTGGAAGGATTCGATTGTGGTGACAATCTGCACAAGGGCAAACCCATAGCATTGGCCAAGAGACACCGACAGCTGATTGGTCGTTGGGCCTTCGAATGTTACCAACTTCGGAAAAACTTCGAGAAAAGGCTCGAACATCCCCGTGCCGTCGCTCTTTTTATTGGATAAAACTATCATGAAATCCATGGCGAGCCAGCCAATGGCATTGCACATAGCGACCTCGAGCCATACACTGCTCTAGTGTACTTGCATCAATGCAGCGCAGGCGCGAGAGGTGGAGAGCATAGAAAACGTGTGTGTGGCTCAGAAGGTTTTCAACGCGCTAACCACCAAATTTGGCGCCAAAGTCATCGCTCGGCAGGCCACGAAAACAGAAACTATTACTCTCCGTCGAGCGATTGCACTGCGGGTGACGTCATTCTTGCCTGCTCGTCCCGCAATTTGGCAAGCGAATACAACAGTTTTGATTCCCTTGTGTTCAGGATGCCGGATCCCTTGCCGTTGAAGCAGAGGTCGCACAGATAGCGTTTGCAAACTTGAGAGTCCTTGAGCTTGTCGCGGCAGTGGCAACATCGGAGGGATGCCTTCACGATCGACCCCATAGATTTTGTAGAGCCGTTCTGGAGCAGCGTCCCGATGGAGATGTGGACCAAAGACACGACTCGATTGAGTCGTGTGTGCAAGGGGTGCGAGGACCACATGCGTTGATCTCAAACCATCGCCCACTCCGTCGCATTGACGTTTGATTGGACAGCCGTCACTAACGACCATCATTCTAACCCGCCCAGATTTGGCATTTTGACGTGGCCGACGATGGCACAACGGGCGGTGGCGACGGTGCTTTACCAGGTCGTGCTCTTTGCGAGCCCGCAGTTCTACAGCTTCCCGTGGAAGCCGCTGCTCAACCGCCTCGTCGGCGACACGTACCCCGTGGCCGTCGCCCACTTTGCCCCGCACCACGCCACGCGCGCCAACCTCGCGCTGCATTTTGTGTGCCTCCTCGTGCAGCTCTCGGGCAACTTTTGCTTTCTCACGCTGCTGGACATGACCGTGACGGGGTCGCGCGCGCGTCCTTTTTCGCTGGCGACCGCGCTGCTCTGGTCGGTCTACTTGGTGCTCGGCGCGACAACGGCGCCGATCTGGTGCAACGTGGCTGCCGTTGCGAGCATCGTGGCTGCCTACGCGGCGGCACCGGTGCTTCTCCAGCAGCCAACCGCGTTGACGCTAGTGCCACTGGTCCTCTACGTCCTTGTTGCGCTGTCGTATGCGATCTTGGCCCGTGGTCTGCCACGCGTCCTGCCCGCCGTTCTCGTAGCGCTTTTCTTGGCGGTGCTGCAGAGTGGATGGACGTACCTTGCGTCGCTGCCGCCCGCGCCGATGGACGTTGCAATCCCGTCAGCGATCGGTTTTGGGAGTGTCCTGGCGCTCTTGGCAGCGCTGCCCAACCCCGCTGTTCCCACCGTGCTGTTTGGTGCGCTCGTCGGCCGGTCGCTGGGCATTTGGACACGCCAGCCGCTGCTGACGATGTACTGCTACGGGTACTTTGGCGCGCTTCTGCAAGGCCTCGCGCATCGCCTCGTGAACGAGCAAGCGACGCTCTTGGCGCTCGAAGACGAAGAGTCGCTCAAGAAGGTCCGCTACGAATATGCCCACGTGACGTACTTTCCGACGTTGCTGTTTGAAGGCATCTACAAGGCTGCGAGTCGCCCGCGCCACACGAAAAAGGCTGCGTAGCGCTCCCGCGTAGGACCGTCCCATGACCGAGAAGCGAATGTTGACATTACTTGTTGGTGTTGGCATCCTCAATGGCTGTGACGTCGACTGCTAATGACGTTGCTGGAAATAGTGAACACTGAAGGACGTTGCTGCAACTTGCCAGCTCGTCCATCATCAAACGCACAAAAGTTTCCCCCCGTCAAAGCTGCAAGATACGTGTCGGCCACCCACGTGTCGGCCACCTGCGTGTCGGCGGTGTTTTGCCCAGTGTCTGAGGTGCTGAGGCGTCATGGATTGGTTAAAATGTGCGGGTTTCGCCACTATTTTCAATCTTTTTGCCAATCATATCGTACAAAATGCGCCGCAGAATGGAGGCAGCCCGTGCAAGGCAAGTCGGACGGCCAAATCGTGATTGAAAATGAAATCGCTCATACTTGGCACGTATCTAGAGTACACATTAGGGAGTTTTAATCACCACGCCGCGTCGGCGCTGGAGGCCTACAGCGACCGCAATGCCTTGTCAAAGCACGTCCGGATACGGATGTTTTTATCCGGGCAACGATAGCACGCTTAGCTGTAACGTGCAAGTGGTGGCTGCTTTGTACTAGGGGACGAGACAATGCGAACTGGCGTTGCTTGTTCTACGTTTCGCACAGCGTGGAGCACATCCACGGCTACGTCCCACGCATCTTGTCCAACGTCGCGTCCTGAATTGTCTTGGTTTTTGTATTGCGGTGTGACCGTTGGTGCCCTTTCTGCTTGACAATGCGCCACCGCACGGACGACAGCTCACTTGTACTCTTGCACGACAGCAATGCAACCGACTCCGTCCAAGGCCGCCCCGCGGCGTCGCCAACTCCGACGACGCAGCCAGCGCTCATCTACCAAGTGGTGCTCTTTGCGAGCCCGCAGTTCTACAGCTTCCCGTGGAAGCCGCTGCTCAACCGCCTCGTCGGCGACACGTACCCCGTGGCCGTCGCCCACTTTGCCCCGCACCACGCCACGCGCGCCAACCTCGCGCTGCACTTTGTATGCCTCCTCGTGCAGCTTTCGGGCAACTTTTGCTTTCTCACGCTGCTGGACATGACCGTGACGGGGTCGCGTGCACGTCCGTTTTCGCTGGCGACTGCGCTGCTCTGGTCGGTCTACTTGGTGCTCGGCGCGACGACGGCGCCGATCTGGTGCAACGTGGCTGCCGTTGCGAGCATCGTGGCTGCCTACGCGGCGGCACCGGTGCTTCTCCAGCAGCCAACCGCGTTGACGCTGGTGCCACTGGTCCTCTACGTCCTTGTCGCCCTCGTGTCGGGTGTCTCTGTGCCGGGGTACGCTCGCCTCGGCGCGGCGGCGCAAGTCACCATCTTCCTCGGGCTCTTGCACGTTGGTTGGATGTACCTGGAGACGTCGCCACCCGCGCCAAGTGACGTTGGGGTGCCCTATACGCTTGGCTTTTGCACCGTCTTGGTGCTCTTGGCCGCACTGCCCCGCCCCACGCTACCTACCGTGCTGTTTGGTGCACTCGTCGGCCGGTCGCTGGGCATTTGGACGCGCCAGCCGCTGCTGACGTTGTACTGCTACGGGTACTTCGGCTCGCTCCTGCAAGTGCTGGCCCATGGGCTCGCCAAGGAGCAAGCGACGTTGCTGGCGCTCGAAGACGAGGGGTCGCTCAAGAAGGTCCGCTACGAGTATGCTCATGTGACGTACTTTCCGACGCTCGTGTTCGAAGGCATGTACTGTGCCGCGTACCGCCCGTGCGACAAGAAGGACGCGTAGGAAGCACGTACGTGTCGGGTGTGTGGTGATGGTGTAGCAAGGGGACATCCAATCTTGGATCCTTGAAATAAGCCTTGTGCATGAATGAATCTTGCGAACAACGTGGTCTATTATGACGAGGGTGCGTGTGTTGACACTGCCCCAAGGAGCCCGTAGTGTTCCCTTGCCCTGCCCTTGTGGTGATCGCAGTTAAAGCCGTCGGTGTGATTGGATTGGATTGTTGTTGTGGCACGAACGTGGATCGGGCGCCTCGTTCAGCCCGCTTTGCACGTGGCGAGGCGCTGATGGCATTACGACGCTCGTCACGCACTAGACGTCGAGCAGCCCAAGGCGAGGCGCGGCGGCATGGTGGTCCCTCGTAACCCCCGCCATCGCCAAAAACAAGGCACGCTGCGGGATCGAACCCTCGTCCAGTCGCCAACGCTACGACACGTTGTACGTACATGTGTCTATCATATATCGACTGGTTCTACGTAATTACTCGGCGCGCTGGAGGAGGAGCTCGAGCTGGGAATTGAACTCGCCAACCATTTCGCGCAGCGACATCATGGCTGCGTCGGTAAAGTTGCCAATGCGGTAGTAGGGCGAGTTGACGTCCGAGAACTTGGGGTGCGTCAGAAGGACCTCCGACTGGACCATGGGTAGCGTCATTTTTTGAAAATATTTGATGCGGCACCCGGGCTGGCCCGCAATGGGTTCGACGACAAACCTAATGTGAACTTAGGCACTGGAAAATACGAGCGTAATTACCAGGCGCTCTTGTGGTTGACGAGCGCGTCCGGTGCGTGCGGATTGAGTTCGTCGTCGAGGATCGTCCTATTATATAATAGAGAATTCTTAAATGTCACATTGTACATGGTAGAGGCGTTGCATACCGCACAACAAACACCGTGCGGTCCGCCTCGGTGAAGCGCTTCATGAGCAGACGCGTCTGGTTGAGGATGGACTCCCAACGACCTTCGTTTGCAATGTAGATCGTGTCGTCGTCGAACTTTTCGAGGCGCTAAAAACACCCAAGTTAGCCTTCCGTCGTAGGCGAGGTATTACCTGGAAGTTCTTGCGGTGAAGACTGCAGCCCGCCGAGAGGAGGAGCCACGTCATGCGAGCCACCGTGTGCATGTCGTACGCGAGCGTTTTGCAGTACGTGGCGGTTGTGATGAGCTGGTCGTCAAAGTGCTTGGCCAAATGCGGGGCAAAGGCCGTGACATCGTCTTCTTGCTCGAGCAGGTTCGACTCGATGAGCGCACCAGGAAGCGCTTCGTACTGGTGTGCGAGGATGTTGGCGACCGCTTCACGCCGCAGCGTTGGGTCTCGTACGAGGCGGTACAGCTTCCACTGATCGGCGTCGAGCTGCGGCAGCGCCGCGAGCTTCGGCCGCTTCATCAAGAGCGCTTCGAGCGTCTTGCCAAACTCAATCTGGTCGGCGAGCTCGAGCTTGAGCTGCTCGCGTTCGAGGATCGCAGCGTCCTTCTCGAGGCGAACCTGCCGCGCCAGAGCCTGCCACGGCGAGACCGTCGCAGGCGGCGCCTCGACAGCTTGCAGCACCGAGAGGTGCGACTCGAGCTCGACCACCTTGGCACGCAGATAGTCGATCTCGTCGCGCTGGCGCTTGCGGCTCACGTTGATCTTCTTGGGCGGCGGCGGCGGCAGGTCCTCCGAGCCCGCGTCGCTCGTCGTGCAGTGGTCGCTCGAGGCCGGCGACGACGTCGTGGCCGGCGCGAAGAAGGCGTCGACGTCCTCCAGGAGGAGCGAGTCGGTCGGAAGAAGCGCATACTCGTCCAGCGGCAGCGTCGCAAAGTCGTCAAAGATGGCTTGCATGCTCTCTCGTCGTCGTCGTCGTCGTCGCGAGTTCTCAGAAAGGCCTCTACCAGTTGGGTGCAGCCAGACAAACTAACACTATTTACAGTATATCAATACGACTCTTGCTGAAGTGCGATGACGACCATGTTGAATCCCAGGTTGAATCCCATGCCCATCAAGACAGGACCTCCATTGCCACGTGTCTTGGAGCGCTTTGGACGAGGCCAAGAGAAGGAATCGTGGCGGCTCACCACGCTATTTTCGTGGAGGAGAGTGCCAGTGGAGTGGCGGTGGACTCGCACGTCCCGTGTGGCGCCGACGCGATGAGGCGTGGCCGCAACCGAGGCGTGGGGGTGGCACGAGCAAGGCTACTACAGTAGTGTTGGAAATCGACCAGCGGCGATCAATATAATCTAGACCAACTGAAACTATGCACAGATTACCCATGGTCTAAATTACCATAACGACGTGACACAAAGCATCACAGCAGCTATGAGAGCTCGTCGTCGCATACTCCGAGTTATTAATGACGAAACGAGGCAGACATCCATCTATGATGTCGCAAGGTAGCGCCAATGGTCCGTGTTGTTGATGAGAATGGCGTGGAACGAGCGCGTCGCGTGGTCGTAGTCGAGGACGTTAACGCACGTGTTGTCTTGGACGATGTGCGCCATCGCACGTAGATCCTGATGCACAAGCGATGCCAAGACGATGCGGTTGAACCGGCTGTGGCACACGACGGCCACGTGGCGCCGTTCGGGGGCCGCCCGCAGAAGCGCTTCCAGCGCGGTGGTGCCCCGCGCCGCAACGCCGGTCGCCGACTCACCGCCGGGCCACGCGACGTCGAGGTCCCCGGCCGCCCATCTGTCGACGACGGCATGGAACTCGGCTTGGTGCGACTCGAGCTGCTTGCCTTCGTATGCGCCAAAGTGCATTTCTTGGATGCCATCGATCGTGCCCGTCGTGACCGTGACCGCGTGGTGCCGCTGGATCTGCGCGGCCGTCGCCTTGGCCCGCAAGAGCGTGCTTGAGAAGACAGCATCCAGCGGAATGTCGCGAAACGCAAGGCCAAGCGCGTGTGCTTGCGCTGCACCGTGCGCGGTGAGAACGCTGTCGATGCCACTGCCCTGGAAGCAGCCGTCGACGTTGAACTCTACATGGCAAAGTACATGACGCTACCAAGAAGGGATTGTGGGAAGGCAGCGTACGCGTCTCGCCGTGGCGGCAGAGGTACAGGCGCGTGTGATGGGCTGGCACCTCGGGCAGCGTCGTCAGCGGTGCCATCGTCGTTGGCCTTCCCGAGGTTGCACCTGTTTATCCGGAATATGTCCGGATACACATGATGATTAAATCGCTTTAAGCGCTTTAACGTGTTTTGTTCGCGAGGTTCAATTTTAACCACGCGTTTAAACTACGTTAAAGCGATAAACGCACCCAGAACAGCAACAACCCATGACATTGGTTCTTGGACAGTGATGGATAATATTGTCAGCATACGTTAATCAAGAAACTCATAGAATAGGTGTAGGTAGTGTATGGGCGATCGTTTACTGCAGGCGCATGGTCGTGACACCGCTCGCTCCCTTCTTCTCTCCGAGCGCCGACTTGATGTAGCAACGGCTGTTCAAGATCGCGTAGCCAGCGCAGCCCGAGGTTGAGAGGCACTTGCCGCAGCACTTGTTCATGAGGCTGCCCATGTCACCGGCCATCGCAAAGTTGAACATGTCGTTGCCCGGGTAGTCGGTGTTCCACTCGACGCCACCGCACTTCTTGTCGCTCGGCGGTGCCGGGCTCGGGTTGGGCTGGGGTGCCGGGCTCGGGTTGGGCTGGGGTGCCGGGCTCGGGTTGGGCTGCGGGTTGGGCTGCGGGTTCGGCTGCGGGTTGGGCTGCGGGTTGGGCTGCGGCGCGGGACCAGCACCGGAGAAGTCAAACTTCCACTTGCCGCTGGCATCGGCGAGGCCGAACTGCTTTTCGTAGTCGGGCGATTTGCCCTTGTTGTCGTGGAACATGAAGTACATGACGTCTTCGCCGCCGTGGCCCGCGCTCATCCAGGACCGGACCTTGTTAAAGTGCTTGACCGCGTTGTCAAACGAAGCGACTTGGTTGCCGTAGTTGCCGCCGCCAAACGGCCAGCCCGTCTCTGTGATCATGAGCTTGCTGCCGCCGTACTTCTTGACGACCGCGTTCCACCGGTCTTCGTGCGAGCCGCCAAAGAACTCGTAAATGTTGACACCGACGATATCGCACGCGTTGTAAAGGTCCTGGCTGCGGAGCCAACCGCCGTCGGTCTGCACCGACCCGACGCGGACGTTGACGCCGGCGGCCTTGAAGCGGCCCTTGGCGTCGTTGATCTTGTCGATGACTTGCCACTGGTTCCAGCCGTTCTCGAGGTCCTCGTTGCCGACGAAGACGGCCTTGACCGTGTTCGGGTGGCGCTTGTAGCCGTCAATGACGGCCTGGATCTCCTTGTTGAAGTCCATGCCGTCGCGGATCCAGACACCGGCGTAGATGCCGAGGCCGTGGTCGCTCGCGGCGTCAATCACGTTGCGGCTGTCGCTGTAGATGTACGTCTGGAAGGTGCGGACCGTCGAGAAGCGACCGGCGAGCGTGCTAAAGTGGCTGTCGATGTTCTTGTAGTCGTACGTGTCGTAGCAGATGCCCATGGACGCGACCGACGCGATCGTCGCCGCCAGACCCAGGAAAAGCGTCTTGAACATGGCAAAGCAAATCTTCAAATGACCTGTAAAAGCGTCGTCTGCCTCCGTGGCCACGCTGCACTCACGCCTCCGCATGGTACGGCCGAAGCTTCGGTCCTCATACAAAACGCCTGCTTGCGCCTGCGACGGGCGTTCGGTGCCATCGGCCTGCGTTCGATGATCTCCGTACCTTTATACACTGCGTTACGACCGCTCGCTGGATTTCTGGACCGCAGATACACGCGTGTATCATCATATCAGGCTGTAATAGGCAGTGCCAGCATCAGCGTTGGCTCTTGGCTTTTGTTCTCGTGGTAGGCAAGCCACGCGAGGCGACGCCTTCCTTGCCTGCCGAGAGCTGCGTGCCTCCAAGGCGCGGGCTCGTAACGCTAGGGTGATGGGCCGCAAATCATATGTTGCGCGAATTGACGGTTCGAACGCGAGGCTTGAGGCTTGCCAGCGGCGTGAGCAACACGGCAGGACGTTGCGGTACCTGGTATCAGTGCCCTGAGAACAGATGAGAACGATGCGAACGCGATTCTTTTCAATAGATATTATATGTCGTGGATAGAACGCGGGTTCGAGTGCACGCAGTGCAATCTGTCGACGACGAAACGCTGGAGACGCACTTCGTGGGAGTAGGACCTGTCGAGTAACGCTGATTCGGGCAAGAAATCAGTAATTGCAATCGGCATCGAGATGGACGGCTCTCGCGTGCCGACGTTGTAGCAGCAGGAAGGACTCCCTTCTTCGTCGCAAGTGCTGTGGTTCGTCTCGTGCTATCAATTATCAGGTCACGAAGCGGATCATGTCTGTGGGCGTTGGCGACCGTCGGTGGCAGAAAAGCGTGCCGGTTGTCGTGGAGGAGAGGTCGGTAGAAGGCGCAGACCGGAATGAAGAAGGACGTCCGAAACCATTTCGCATGCCGCTGGCACTCATCATCCTGTAGGCGGGACGTTTGGCTTGGGTGTGTAGCCAATGGAACTCAGACTCAGTCGAGAGCAGTGCCCAGTGGGGCTTCGATCAAACATCCCATTTTATTTGTGCCTCAGAATTGAAGGTGGTCGGAGATCGTTCGCGGCACTTGACCGATCGTGACGAGATATCGATAGCACCCCGTTGCTTGTCGTACAGGAGCCGCGGTGCTATTGCCATCGACGCCGAGTGAGCCGTCCGACTCGATGCCGCATGGCGTAATACCAATATTTGTATCAAAGATACTGTAGCATCGCTCCTGGTCGTACACCTGGGACGAGGTGAGCACGCACGTCGCTTTGACCCCGTCAATGCTTCGACACATCGGATGCCCTCCCATGGTTCAATCGGTAGGACCATTTAGAACATCGTTGTCACAATACATCAGTTTAACGGTGCTAGACGTGTGAACCCTCCTTGCGCAGATACCTTCGTATGGATCGCTGGAAGGATGCAACACGGTACCACAAGCCGCGCGTCTCGTGGCGACCACAATGCCTCGATCAAGGCAACGTAGGGCTACCTCGATGACAACGGACACATGCAAAAACCTCTTGCACTCTTGGCCACGACCGCATGGCTGGCGTCGTCCTTGCGTCCGAAACAAAGTCGGTCGAGGCGGCGATCGCGGTAGACGGCGGCTTGTATGAGGTTGCACCCAGGGTCGCACCGACGACGAGCCAGCGGCGTGGCCGGTGATCTAACTTTTAATAGAATAGCGGCCTCGACGCTGGCATCGAGAATGTAGTAACGAAGGGTCCTCGCCCAGTATTATGGCGGACGTCAATGGCGGCGACAGGCGTGAAACAGCGGACGCTCAGCATTTCGTTTCAACACTGCCGCACTCCAAGTCCGATTCGATTGTACAGCATCCTTCAAGCACGCACGTACGAGGTGTACATCGCGGTCACTGGAATCCGTCGTTCGACAAGTGTCCACCGCTAGTTAAAGTCACTCTTCTGTCCACATTTGGTGTTGATGCGTTTTGGCCAATGAGGTTGGCGATGGCAGTTTTCGTCATGTTACATATCACTTTTTAATCGAAAGATTGATACTTTCATGCATCGACGACATATGGGGATACTAGTACGCGGGAGGCATCGTGCCTTTCGCCGTGCTTTTCTCGTCTCACTGCACGCGACAACCTTTGGATCAGGACGAAATGAGTGGAAATTGTGTACTTGCAAAGGTCGCGTGGAAGGGCGTGTTGGAGGAGGGCGTAGGGCACGTGACGGGCCATTCGTGGCGCCGCGAGGACCTCGAACCCGACTGTCGCCTCGTCGTTCGCATCTAGCTAGTGCTTGATCCGTAGATTGCATATGTATGCATGGGTCGGTGTCGCGCTGGTGCCGGCTTTGCAAGCAGCCGCAGCCATCGACTTGGCTTCTCAGGGCACAGCGTAGCAATTATTCGTCGAGTGCGCGTCATGTCGGAGCGGAACAGAGGCCATGGTGCGCCGTGAGTTCGAGCCCCGTTCTGGATCCCGTACGGAGAAAAACACCTTGTCGCGGACGCTGGTCCACACGAGCAGGATTCGGACCGTATTAGACGTCACATAATGGAATACCCGATGAGTAGCCTCATCTTGCCAAGCACCCGAACGGAACACGGCGCCGATCAGTCTGTGCGCTGGCTCCTCGTGGTTGAGCGCCGAGATCTGCATTGACCAATCGCCTTGAGCGGGCATAAAGCTCGTTCGCGTGGCTCAACCACGGAATGAAGCGGCCGGGTCGTTTTCTTTGGTTTTTGCCAAACTTTGTCCTTCAAGAGCAAGCGAACAAGCGCCGCCGCCTTGTACATCGAGGAACGCGCTACGTTTGCACGAGTGGTTCGCGCTCGGTTGGGCCTCGTGCCGAACGGATATCAGAGGTCAATTTCTGGCATCGTTTTCTGGCATTCGATCGTCGTTGACGGATCGTCCGTGTCGGGGTGGTGGGACACGGGCGCCCTTGAGAACGACAGTGCATGGCTCCATTCGACTTTGAAACGAAGCTTTCAAGTGTCATGCACCCTACACCAGAGCATAGAAGGCCTCGGCGCGGTGTGGCGGAACAGGGCGGCGGGCGGGGTGGAGGAAGCGAGAGCGGATGGGTGGACCACGCATCGCGACTCGGCCCCGCGGTGGCACCGGTGATAGACGCAACTGACACGAGCCTCTATACCCGTCAAGTCTTGTCCGTCCCGGACTGCAGCCACCACGCAGCGGAGGGAGCGGGAGCGGAGGCGTCAACCACGCATCGCAACGGCAGCGCGGCGGCAACGGCGAAAGACGCAACTGACACGGGCATGTATACCCTAGGAGTCTTGTCTGGCTCGCCGCATCATTGCCGCCATCGAAGCCGAGGGAGCGGGAGCGGAGGTGTGGACCACGCATCGCGACACAGCCCCGTAGTGGCACCGGTGATAGACGCAACTGACACGGACCTCTATACCCGTCAAGTCTTGTCCGTCCCGGACTGCAGCCACCACGCAACGGGAAGGAGCGGGAGCGGAAATGGGTCGTTTGCTGCAACTGCCAATGAAAGTATCTATTTGTTGATAGAGGTTGAAACCATACAAATAATGAGTTAGAGAAGTAATTCGGGTATGCATTGATAAAGGTTGAACGTCAAACGGCCCGAAAAACCGAATTCTGGGACGCGCGCCATGCCAGCGGGAGCAACGTTGACAGACCGGCGCATCGCGAAGAAGAGAACGGTGTGTGCCACCTTCAAGCAGCGGCCGGTCAACCGACGGGACAAGCTGCCACGACGGAACCGTGAGCGCCCGCACAACGAAGAGCTACGTGCCCCTGCGCTATCGCCGCACTACAGCGGCGAGACCCCGCAAGAAGCCTTCATTGGCGGACCTGCCAGCACCCACGACGCGCAGCCGCAGGGCTCTCTCGACATTCAACCCGCGCAAGGCAAGGCGAAGAAGTCGCCCAAGCTAATGGGGGCCACGCAGGCCACGGCGCGCAGCAATTGCTTCGTCATGGTGGCGGAGGCAGCGGCATCGTGCCAGGGCATCCGAAAGCGCTGGACCAGCGATGAAGTGGACGTCTTTCTCGCGTCGAAGAACGTGCTACCGGGCCATCCCGCGCCCGTCGAGCTCTTGGCGACGCTTCAACGCTTTCTCGGCACCAAAGGCTACGCCATCGACGCTGCTACGTACCGCAAGAAGATCGCCCTCGGCCAGCGATCCAAGGTCATTTCCGACGCCATTCGTCGCGTCTGCTTGCGTGGCGTCTTCCACGTGACGACCATCGAGCAGAACTACCGCGCAAGAGGCAGCATGGTGACGCCAACGCCGATGCAGCACATGACTTGCATTCATGTAGTACGTGCTGGCACCACTCTGTTTTTTTACCCGGACGCCAATGGCTGCAAGTGGCGCGACCTGAAGCACCTCTTCTTTGTCCAGGGCACCGTCCTCCACAGCATTTGCCGCGTTATCCGCGCCAACACGGTCCAGGATTTCACGGCTTGAGATGACATCGATCAACGCTGTTGATTTGGGGTAAATAACCGAGCGTCTTGATTCTTACATGTGGGCCCTTGGTCCCTGTCGCGCTTGGTACTGTATGGCGATTGGTTCGCTCGCTCGAGTACCGATAGTACAGTGTATGTGAAGAGGATGCACGCACGCGATGCCACGACACCAATGATATAGACGTGAAACGGATACTCGTTACAAACAGTTTCAAACCTCCAACGACCACACAATCGGTTTACTGCCGGCGCGCAGAGGTGACGCCGTTGGCGCCCTTGCGACCGGTCATCGCCGACTTGATGTAGCACCGGTTCTCAAAGATCGAGTACCCGCCGCAGTTGGATGTTGACGTGCACTTGGCACAGCACTGAGCGATGAGGCTGTTCATGTCGCCCGAGATCGCAAAGTTGAAGAGATCGTTGCCTTCGTAGTCGGTGTTCCACTCGGGCGCCGAGCACGACCCTTTCACGGGCGTGCTAAAGTCGAACTTCCACTGCCCGGCCGCGTTGGCGAGACCAAACTGCTTTTCGTACTCGGGCCACTTGCCGTGGTTGTCGTGGAACATAAAGTACATGACGTCTTCGCCGCCATTGCCCGCACGGACCCAGTCAGCGACACGGTGAAAGTGCTTGACCGCGTTGTCAAACGAAGCGACTTGGTTGCCGTAGTTGCCGCCGCCAAACGGCCACCCCGTCTCTGTGATCATGAGTTTGCTGCCGCCGTACGTGTTGACCATGTGCGTCCACCGGTCTTCGAGAGTGCCGCCAAAGAACGCGTAGATGTTGACACCGACGATATCGCACGCGTTGTAGAGGTCCCGGGCTCGGAGCCAGCCGCCGTCCGTCTGCACCGACCCGACGCGGACGTTGACACCAGCAGCGCGGAGGCGGTTGCGGACGTCGTTGACCTTGTCGATGACTTGCCATTGGTTCCAGCCGTTCTCGAGGTCTTCGTTGCCGACAAAGACGGCCTTGAGCGCGTTCGGGTGGCGGTAATACCCGTCAATGACGGCCTGGACGTCCTTGTCGTAGTCGGGGCCGCGGATCCAGACACCGGCGTAGATGCCGAGGCCGTGGTCGCTCGCGGCGTCAATCACGTTGCGGCTGTTGCTGTAGATGTACGTCTGGAAGGTGCGGACCGTCGAGAAGCGCTGGCGCATCACGTCGAAGTGGTAGTCGATGTTCTTGAAGTCGTACGTGTCGTAGCAGGCGCCCATGGCCGCCACCGACGCGATCGTCGCCGCAAGGAACTCAGAAGTGCACGCATGCGATGGACGTCGAGACAAATGGAAAGTGAGCGAGCACGGTCCGAGCCGCAATTGTGCTGCATCTGAGTTGGGTCGTGGTCGTCGTCGTGCGTGGGATCTGGGCATCGCTTACCAGAGTGGCGCGACATCGTCCGGCTGTCGACAATGCTCCTACATGTACAGTGCACTGTCGACGATCAAGGTTCAGATTCCTTTGAAAGAGGAAGCAAACACGCGTCGTTGGCTCCGTTTCGAACGACTCGAGGACGTCGTCGCCTTCAAAACGCATGTCGTTAGCGCCAACCGCTCCAGTGTAAGTCGGTCAAACGCGTACGAAGGTCCAAAGACACGGCGACAGGCGCGCCATCCACAGACAGTCTCAGCGTCGAACCGCAGGATGCAGCGATGGCGTTGAACGTGACTGCCTTGTCGGCCTTTCGTCGAGCTGCGTCGGTAGTATGCAGGCCTGATCCGCATCTTGCACCCGCCACGTCCCTGCACTGCAGGCCGTTCGTCAAATCGTACCTTGCTCATACGGCCAATGGGCAGCATCGGAAAGGCGACAACGACCGTTCAAGCAATGAATTGGTGCAATGTACGCCGGCGTGACCTTCGTCTCCCTTCTCTGGTGGCGCCCAAGCCGCTCGGCCATGCGTGCTAGCAAGGCTCCGTGACGCTGGACCTCGCACGGTGGCAAGGGACATGCGCATCAACGGTGTTCGAATCCCGCCCGCCTCGTCGTAGAGATATGCGCTTTTTACACGGAAAACGATGTAGTCCAGTATGTAATCTCAGTGATTAGAGCGATTTTATCACTGCGGCGGCTCGAGAAAGCGCCAGTGGTCGGTGCAATTGACGAGGTGCGCGGTAAAAGTGCCGGTCGCTCGGTCAAAGTCGAGGACGTTGACGCACGTGTTGTCCTGCTCGATGGCCTCCATCTGGCGCAAGTCGCCGTGCAAAAGCGATGCGAGCACGACGCGGTTGAAGCGGCCGTGGCACACGATCGCCACATGGTCGAGAGATCGGCGCGCGAGCTCGCGCAGCGCGGCCGTACCTCGCCGCTCGACGTCGATGGCCGACTCACCGCCCGGCCACGCGGCGCCCATGTCGCCGGCATTCCACTGGTCAATGACGGCACGGAGCAAGTGCTTGCTCTCGGCGAGCTTCTTGCCTTCGTTCTCACCGTAGCCCATCTCTTCAACACCGTCGATCGTGCTCGTGACGACGCCTGTATGGTGCTGGCTGATCATTGCGGCGGTCGCCTTGGCGCGCGAGAGCGTGCTAGAGAAGACGCCTTGCAGCGGGATGGCGCGAAAGGCTTCACCGAGCGCCCGCGCTTGGGCCACGCCTAAGGCGTTGAGGTCGCTGTCGATGCCGCGGCCCTGGAAGCGGCCTTCGAGGTTGTAGTCTAGTATTGTTCGCTGCCATCATCGCCTGGCTTCAAGGGTGAGGAAGATGAAGAAGCGCGTACTCGTCTCGCCGTGGCGGCAAAGGTACAGCCGCGTCGTGCCCGGCGGCAGCGGCTGCGCTGCGGCAAGAGCGGCCAAGGTCGACATCCCGGCGGGTCCAAGGAAGTGTGCCAGTGCGATCCTGCATCGAACGGATAAGCCGTGCCCCACATCCGGATGTGGCACGCCATATTGAATATTTCGAATATTATGTGTGGCGCGCGCAGTGGCCTGTGTATTTCATTGGCAAATATGAATATATATTGCTCTCGACAGCGCGCTGTGTATAGAAATATAGAAGCCAGGGCTTGATTCGCAGGGATCGAACAACCGAAATTGAACCGCTCACCAAGCACAGGGGCTCAGACTTGCGCTGCCAACGAGGTCGAGCGCAGCGCGAATCTCTGCGCTTAGGAGGTATTAGATGACACTGGGAGGCAACCCGAAGTGCGAGGCTACCTGCAGAACATGCGATGCAGTCCAGGCGTGGTGTGCACCGACACTCGTGCGCTCCACTGCCGGCGACCATGTATTGCATGCTGGTTAGGACGATGCTACTGCTCAAACGCCCGTATAATCGTGGTCGGCTTCACGCGCCGCGCGGGCTGGTCGTTGGCGTCCAGCGATGCGATCATGGACCCTTCAACGTCGCTGGGCTCGCCGACAAGGCTGCTCTGTGCCAGCCCACCATACTAGCTCAAGTTCTGCGCACTCGTAGCTAGCATATAGTCCAGTACCGCGCATGTGATGGACGACTATCCATCCACACCAACGCGCATGCGATCCTAGCTCGGAGTTCATGCTGCCGCGGCGCTTGGAAGCAGCGTTTCGCTCGCCTCGCTTCGCCTAGCGGCTGCATTCGCTACGCTCTGCAGCTTGGGCCTACGTGTCGCCATGAGGTCGTCGTTGCTGCCAGCGTGGCCAGCGCCGTCGCCGTCAGCCCCAGGCTTGCAGTGCTGCAGTCAAAACGTTGCCTTTTTAAAGGGGTCGGCGTCGTAATACAACACCTGCACCCGTATCATTTTAATATTATATTTAATGTTGTATACAATACAAAAGATATAAAGTATAAAAAGACAATGCAAATCCAGCCGCCGTGGAATAAAAATATGCATTTAATCCCCCGCGGCCCGATCTCTCTTGATGTTTGTATGTGGGGCTTTCCCCTCGACGGTGGCTCCAATAAATTCCACAAAACCAAGCCAGCGACGAAGGATGGCCACAACGACCGCTTCCGTGCAGAAGACCTCCGCGAAGGGCGAGACGCTCCGTGGCAAGGCCAAGGAGAAGGATGTGCGCATGAGCAACATCATCGCGGCCAAGGGTATGCTGCTAGATGACGGCGAAACCTCATACTCATGGGCGAAATGCATGTAGCGATCGCCAACGCCATCCGCACGAGCTTGGGCCCGCGTGGCATGGACAAGATGATCCAGCAGGGCAACGGCGAGGTCATCATCTCGAACGACGGCGCGACCATCTTGACGCAGATGCAAGTGTACCACCCGACGGCCAAGATGCTCGTGGACCTCTCCAAGTCGCAGGACATTGAGGCCGGCGACGGGACGACGAGCGTGTGCGTCATTGCCGGCGCGCTCCTCTCGGCGTGCGAGGACCTTCTCCAGAAGGGCATCCACCCGTCGCACATCTCGGAGGCCTTTGGCATCGCGGCGACCAAGGCCGATGAGATCCTCATGGCCATGTCGCGCCCCGTCGACTTGGCCAACCGCGACGAACTCATCAAGTGCGTCACGACGTCGCTCTCGTCCAAGGTCATCTCCGAGTACTCGGACCGTCTCTCGCCCATCGCTGTCGACGCCGTCCTCAACGTCATCGACATTGCGACGGCCGTCAACGTCGACTTGCGCGACGTCAAGGTCGTCAAGCAGCTCGGCGGTACCATCGACGATTCGCAGCTCATCAACGGCCTCGTCTTCTCCAAGGTACGACGCAGATCGCCTCTCGTATCCTCCCACTTATTCCGTGCATCGTAGGGCTTTGAAAGTCGAGCGGCGTCGACATGCCGACGACGATTGCCAACGCCAAGATTGCGCTCATCCAGTTTTGCCTCTCGGCGCCCAAGACGGACATGGAGAACAACGTGGTCATCAACGACTACTCGGCCATGGACCGCATCCTCCGCGAAGAGCGTAAGTTCATCTTGAACCTCTGCAAGCAGATCAAGAAGGCCGGTGTGAACGTGCTCTTGATCCAAAAGTCGATCTTGCGCGATGCGACGTCGGACCTCTCGCTCCACTTCCTCGCCAAGATGGGCATCCACGTCATTACCGACATTGAGCGCACGGACGTCGAGTACATTAGCACGACGCTCGGCTGCCTTCCCGTCGCCCACATTGAGTCGCTCACGGCCGAGAAGCTCGGTACGGCTGGCCTCGTCCAGGAAGAATCGCTTGGTGGCCACAAGGTGGTCAAGATCACCGAGGTTGTCCACCCCGGCAAGACCATGTCGATCCTTGTCCGCGGCTCCAACAAGCTCGTGCTCGAAGAAGCCGAGCGCTCGCTCCATGACGCGCTCTGCGTCGTGCGTTCGCTCGTGAAGAAGCGCTTTCTCATTTGCGGCGGCGGCGCCCCGGAAATCGAAGTCGCGCTGCGCCTCGGCGAGTATGGCCGGACGCTCGAGGGCACGGCGGCGTACTGCCTCCAGGCGTTTGCGGACGCGCTCGAAGTGATCCCGTACACGCTGGCGGAGAACGCGGGCTTGCACCCGATCGGGATGGTGACGGAGCTCCGCGCCAAGCACGCGGCGGGCGACAAGGCGGCCGGCATCAACGTTCGCAAGGGCACGATCAGCAACATGTACGAGCTCAACATTCTGCAGCCGCTGCTGGTCAACACGAGCGAAATCTCGCTCGCGTCCGAGTGCGTGCGCATGATCCTCAAGATCGACGACATTGTCATGGTCCGATAAACGGTTAGTAGGTTAGTAAAACACAAGAAGAAGAACAACATCAGCAAGCACAAAACAGACCCATTTTATATGTGTGCTCGCCATTATTAGTTTAACATTTTGTAAGTAGAAGGCCAACGACGATGGAAAAAGAAGCCATGGTACAAGGACAGTACATCAGCTTCCATTGCACCACAGGCGAGGGATTCCGCGAGTTCGAACTCATCAATCCTCATGACCAGCTTGCGGCGCACGTCCTGCGAAGACGGACCGGCACCGCTTGCATTCAATGGCATGGTATTCATCACCACGGGCCGTCGTTGTCACGGGTTCGCTGCAGCATCGTCGAGCCATGAGCCAATATGGGCCGCCGCGAACACATATTTAGCACAACGACCACTCCGTCCACAGAAGACGCCTGCCGCTGCTACATCAAAACACACACATATCCAGATTATTCAACGATGCATCGCTTCGTAGCAACGTGCGATGAGCACTTGATCGTCAAGGTGTCCACGTCGATTACCGCGATTTGTGTTTTTTAACGTTTTTAAGCGCTTTGTATATCTGTAGTCGATCATTGTGCACGTTGGATGGCTGCATCGGCAACGGGACATGGCTTGCTCTGCTCTCCAAAGTGTCTTCTATCCCTGTGCCAACTATGGGCGATTCGATTCCAGAGAGGCCTTTCTCGACCAAATGGCCTCGGCGGCCACGATGGTGCGCTTGGAAATGGCAGTGTGTGTTTATTTTTGGCGTTTGCCACCAATACCTCTCTTGGATTCGGCATGCGTTGGCGCCACTTGAACATATACGTTGCGAGAGGTTTATGCAGTCTGAGAGGTGTATCCGGAGGCACCAGCAGCGGGAACGCGGTCACTTTTCCAAGGCTTGTGGCAATCAAAAGATGCAACTCGACGACCTTGGCCGCCTCCTCGACGACTCGCTCTCGGCCGACGCCGGTCGGCGCCAGGCCGCGGAGGCCATCCTCACGCAGTCCTTTACGACATCCGGCTTTGCGCTGCTTCTGACGCAGAGCCTCCAGCTGTCGATGCCATTGCCGCTCGCGCACCTCGCGTCGCTCTTGCTCAAGAAGGTCGTCGTGGCCCATTGGGAAGTGGACGAGAGCAACGGGTATGTGATTGGCGACGAGGAGAAGACGTCGATCCGTGCGACGCTCGTCCATGGCCTTTCGCAGCTCTTGCAGGGCGCGGCGCCGGCGCATGCGGCCGACTCCAAGTTTCAGACCGCGCTCTGCCTCGTGCTCGCCGAAGTCGTCAAGCACGACTGGCCCGAGAAGTGGCCCGACCTCTTCCCGGTCATCCTCCAGCTGCTCTCGAATACCGAGCACGAAGGCCACGTGCAGTTTGCGATCAAGTTTTTCTCGTGCGCGATCGACCACGTCGCCAGCGAACACTTTGTCGCGCTCATTCCGCTCCTCTTCCCGCATCTCGAGCGCCTCTTCATGGCGGATCCGTCGCCGTCGCGGCTCCGCGCCCGCGTCATTGCGATCGTGCAGACGTGCTTGACGATGATTGGCGTCCTCGCCCACGCCGGCGACGCGGCGGCGGGTCAGGTCCTCCACGCGAACGTCACGCCGTGGATCGGCCGCTTCGTTGCGCTGCTCACGCCCGAGCACGAAGCGCTGCATCTGTACGTCTTGCGCGCGCTCGCCGTCTTTGTCGCCGAGTGGCCCAAGGACATGAGCAGCCTCGTTCCCGACATCCTTCCGCCGGTACAATTTATCAACGAGCCCATTTCCGATGGATCGGTTGATACATTGATATTTGTAGGTCTGGCAAGTGCTCGTGGCCGGCGTGCCGGCCTACGAGACGCAGGTCGTGCTCGCGACCGACGACGCCGACAACAACGGCTACGACAGTGACGACGGCGCGTCGATCGGTCGCGCGGCGACGGTGGTCCAGCTCTTTGAGTTTGTACGGTCGCTCGTCCAAGCGCCGACGAAGAAGACCAAGGCGCTCGTGCTCACGGCCATGCAGCCGCTCGTGCTGCACATGGTCTCGTACATGCAGATCACCGCGAGCCAGATGGAGCTCTGGGAAGACGACCCGAACAAGTACATTGCCGACGAAGACGACGAGAGCATGGAGTACAACGTGCGCAACTCGGGCGTCGACTTGCTCCACGAGCTCGAGACCGCGCTCGGCAGCAACATGCTCGCGACGACAATCCACGCCGCGCAGACGCGCCTCGCAGACGCGACGAGCTCGTGGCGCGTGCACGAAGCCGCGCTGCTTGTGATGGGCACGCTCGCCAAGCCGCTCATGAAAACGGTGAGTATCAATGTGTCAAGTGTCGATGGATGGAACGACGCGAGTAGAGCGAGACGACCAAGGCGCTCGACATTGCAGCGTTCCTCGAGACGCTCTTCCGTGTGCTGCAAGCGCCCGAGACAAGTACACATGATGATGCTGCTGCTGCGGATGTGCTTTGCGATGACATGGATTGTACTATTGTAGATGTCTACTTGAAGGCGCGTGCGCTCTGGTGTGCGAGCCGGTTTGCCAAGACGATGAACGAAGCGCAGCTCCAGGCGTTCTTGGACGTGGCCGTGTCGGGCCTTGACGTGCACCAAGTGCTGCCCGTCAAGCTCTACGCGTGCCGTGCGATCGGGCTCCTCCTCTTCCATGATCAAGGTACGCTCCATTTATCCATTGGATGTATTTGGATACATCGTATGTGTCTAGCGGATACGCTCGTGCAGCCAATGGCCGCCAACATCCTCGACCGTCTCATGGGTCTCTGCGCATCGGCCACGACCGAGACCATCCACGTTGTCTTGGAGACCATGGTACATCCCTCCATCGTGTCTTCTTGGTACAAGAACGATACCTTGTAGGCCAGCATCGTGCACGCAGTGGACGCGCCCCACGTTGCGCCGATCGCACTGCCCTTTGTGCAGTTTGTGCTCTCGCTCTGGCAGCAGCGCGTCGACGACCGCATGGTGCACGACATGACGATTTCAATCCTCGCGGCCTTTCTCGGATTTGAAGCCGAGGCGTCGACGCAGCTCGTGGTCGAGGGCGTCGTCGCCACGTATCGTCCGCTTCTGCACACGCTCCACGTGAGCCAAGCGATCGAGCTGCTCGAGATGGTTCTCAAGCACGCACTGCCGCACGCGACGCCTTCGCTGAAAAGCTCGCTCGTCCGCGCGGTCCTGGACCCGCTTCTCGGGCTTTTGCTGAGTACGGACGACGGGTCGGTGCTGCAGGTCGGCGGCGACTGCCTCAAGTGGTGTGTCATGCATGCGGCGAGCGACGTGCAGTCGACGCCCGTCACGGGTAGCCCACTTCTTCGATACGTGTTTTGAATCGGATCTCGAATCGATGCTAGGCATGGCCAACGGCGTCGAAGGCGTCATGCAGGTCGCGGCCAAGCTTCTGTCGCCGGCCGTCTCGGATGCCGTCGCCATCAACGTCGGCGGTCTCGTGAGCCAAGTGCTCTTGCATCTCGCGAGCGTGCTCCCGGTGGAGACGGTGCAGTCGCTTCTCCTCGCAGTCTCGCAGCGCCTCGCGGCGGCCAACATGCCGTCGCTTATCCAGTCGCTCTGCCTTGTCTACGCCCGTCTCATCCACTCGCACGGCGCGTCGGTGATTCTCGATGCACTCGCCGCGCTGCCGGCGCCGGCAACTGGTCCGGGCCCGACCATGCTTGAGTTTGTTTGCGCAACGTGGGTCCAGCACCAAGCCGAGTTTTACGGCCAGTATGCGCTCAAGGTCACGGTGCTCGCGCTCCTCAAGATCGTCGAGGCCAACGACGTGCGTGTGGCCAACCTCCTCGTCCTCGGCGACCCGGTCGTCGATATGAAGGCCAAGCGCACGCTTCGGTCGTCTAAAAAGACGCAAGAATTTACGCGTGTACCGTTTTCCACCAAGGTCCTCGGCGTCTTGGCGCAGACGTACATCCTCGTCGCAATGGACGCCGAAGACGACGAGGACGCGCTCGGCGACGGCGCTGGCTGGTCCGACTCGGAGGACGACGACGAAGACGTACAGATCACATTCTACATTCTGGATTCTGGTCGTCGTGGATGTCTGAGAATCGTGCGGTAGGATGCGCTGTATAACCAGGCGCAGATCTCGTCGACGTTTGCTCCGAGCGGTACCGCGCCGCACGCCTCGTGCGATCCTCTCATTGTGGCATGCATGTAAATAGACAAGTACCAGCTGCTCTCCGAGATGCTTGAAGACCAAGGCGGCTTTGGCGACGACGAGGGCGAGCCGGACGACGACGCGCTCGAGGCGGCCATGGATCCGCTCAACGAGATTGATCTCAAGGTATCAATGTATCAAGACGTGGCAGGCATCTTTGCTCATGGCACGGTGTAGAACCACATTGCGCAAGTCGTGCGCACCTACAGCGCGACAGCCAACTTTAACGCGATCGCGTCGACCTTGTCGCCGACGGAGCAGGACATTCTCAAGGACATTTTGCAAAGCTAAGCGCTCGACTTCCAACGCGACGACTCGGAGACGACTTGAATATAGTCTTGTAGTCTCGATACCCCTCGTTATTGTTGCATGCAGATCGCGTGCGTGCTACTGGAACCACTTGGCGTGGACGTCCTGCACCATCAGAAACGAGTGGCTGTGGTGCATGCGCTGGATCACCGCGAGCTGCTGCGCGACGAGCATCTGGTCGCCGACGAGGTCCGAGAGGTCTTCCTCGAACCGCTTTTGCTCGTCCTCATCAAAGTATCTACGGCGTCCATCGATGATACCACCTCCTCGTTCATGCATCCATGCGAGCAGTGTCCTACCCGCGGTTGCGGTCGTAGAGACTGCGGAGGTCGTTGAGCAGCACGACAAGGAGTCCGAGGTCCCGGACGCCCAAGGATGCGCCGTGGCCTGGCGCCGCGCTCCACGAAAGGGGCGGTACGAACGATGTCGGAGTGGACGGTCCCATGGCTACACAAACGCATCAGACGAAAGGACGGAAAGCGCATCTTTTCGTACTGGGCGACGAGTCGCAGCTGTTGAGCGTCTGGAGCGCAGGCGGGTGCGATGCTGACGCGGCATGCGTCGACGACGTGGTGTTTTGCATGTTGAGCAGCCGCTCGATATCGCGCAGCGTGTAGCGCATCGTCGTGGCGACGGTCGCCGGGTCGTCGTAAATGCGCGCGCTCGTAAAGCGAAGAAACGTCCTAGGCAACATGGAATCTTGATACTAAAACTTGATACAAAAGACGTACGACGAGAGGCGCGAGACGAGCGCGTAGACGCCGCCGGCGACGAGGAACATGGGCACGGTCGCCATCATTTGGAGGTTGAGCTGGTTCGCGTCCATGAGCTCATCGATGGCTTTCATGGCCACCATGAGCTCTTTTTGATAAATTGAATCTATTTTGATGGAGACGATATTGATACAAAGCACATGGGGTTTAGAAACGCACCTGGATGAGCATCATGCGCACGATATCGCCCGTGACGATGTTTTTGAGGGCACGGGGAAGCTCCTTTTCGAACTGGAGCGAGACGACCGACATGTCCATCGCTTGGGCCTAGAAAAGTCGAGTGACCAGCCTGTCTCACGATGGTATCGATACCAAAGCGAGCTGCTGCGACGGCGGCAACGACGGGTCCGTGTCTCGAATAAAGTCCGCCAGCATACGCTGCAAGCTCTCGCGCGAGTCTTCCAACGCGCGCGGGTCTTGAATGCACGCCTTCTTGTTCAAAATGACTTCGCCAACGATCGCGCTACCCAATGGATGCGTCCGTTCTTGCGTCGTCGACCTCCAAAAAGCGGTCAAGTACCTCAGCGGCGTCACCAAATGGTCGACGACGAACTCACGGACGGCATTTTGCACCGTCTGCATCCACTGACCAAGCGCTTGGCGGTTCTTGACGAGGTACGAGGCACCGGCGAGCGCACCGAGGCCGGCCAACGACAGCTGCCACCACCTGATGCGACATGATGGAAAAATATGTATCAATGTATCGATCGACACGCACCGGCGCCGCAGAAAGTGCGGGATCTGGCACGGCCGAAGCGTCTCGTTGAGCGCCGTCTAGAAGGGATGTTGAATCTTGATATTGGCTTACGCCTCCTCGATGAGCCTGTCGAAACCATTACCGTGTACATGGCTTGCGTTGTCGGCAGCTCTTCGAGGTACTCGAGCAAGACGGCGGTTGAGACCACATCCCGCGGAAGGCTCTCGAGCGCTAGTGCATTGTCATAATATCGTCGTCCACGGCAAACAGGCTGCATACTGACGACGTGCTTGGCCGGCGGCGGCGCCATGAGCGACGCCTCGGTCTGCGGCCTACGAGGCACAAGGCATACTACTACAAATGCCACAACGCATTTATCTGCGTACTTGACCAGACTGGATGTGGCGTAGACGTGTTGAAGCACGCGGTACGACTGGTGCACGAGAATCTGGTACCGGCGCGCGTCCGCGTGCTGGAGCGCAAGCAGCAGCTGCTTGAGCAGACCAATGCTCGTCTACCACACAGTGACGAGATGCCATGAAGTACTACGTAGTAAGACGTACGAGGTGCTGATCGTACGACTCTTCGAGCGCTCGGATCTTCTCTTCGGTCGGGACAATGTCACTAGTACGTAGACGGTGCCACAGGAGACGCAAACGCTAGAGTGCGTACGTGGGCTGCCACAGCTTGTCGGGCGCAGTGAGGAGCGCAAGGTGCAATGGCTGCTTCATCTGCCGCTTCCAGTAGCGCAGCGCGACGGGCACGAATGCACCGACGCGAAGAAGGTGCTGCAGCGCGTCCTGCAGATGCTTCAGTGCGACGTCGCCCGTGAGCTCGAGCAGCGCGGCCTCAAAGGCGGCGTGGGCGCTCGACGACGTTGTCGCGTGCTCGTTCACGCGCGCATGGCAGCGGGCGACGTCGGCGAGCGTCACGGAGTGCTGCGCCAGCTTGTGCATCGTATCAAGGAGCTCGAGCGCGATGGCATTGTCGTCGTCGGCGCTGGCCGCGTGCTCGACCGCGCGCAGCTGGCGGCGAACTTGGAGCTGGATGCCCGCGGGGTGGCGCCGGTCCGAGAAGGGCATGGTCGTCGAGTTCGTGGCGCACGCTTTGCGATCACTTTCGGGCCAAAGTGGTTTGACGCATATAACCCAAGCCATTGGAGACGTTTTTCTACGTTTTACGTCCTACTGAGTGGCATTCTCGCTCAACGCGACGTGGCTGCTCTCCAGGGTGCGCAGTCTGGTACCTGGACCTTTGAATTGGTCGATGAAAGGGACCCTGTCGCGGAGGGTCCTCGGAGAAGCGCCACCTCGCCTCGCATGCAGTATGCAAGAGTGATGGTACTTTGAAATGACATTTTTAACCACGGATTTCGGAGGCTGTAGCGCGCCAACGCCAACGCAACGCAGCGTTTTGGACTCTCCAAAATGTCCTCTATCGACTCGCCAAGTATGAGCGATGTCATTTTCGGATGCAAAGTTGCGACCATCCCGTCGGCGTCGGCGGTGGTCGGGCTTGCATCAATTTTGATTGATTGAAATACATACAATATTGGCCAATCAAAGTGCAAAAATATTTGTTGTCCTCAGCGACAATGACGACCATCCTTGCTCCAAGAAGGCATACTATTATGTACTACTGTCGAGTCTACCAGATTGCATCCATACCATGGCGCGCTTCGTGCGCGTCGCCTTCCACTCAAAAGGTGACGACCACGATCTTCTCAAGCGCGGCCCGTCCGCGTCTTTGCAGGTTGAGAGCCGCGCCGTCATGCAGGCGCCATATTTGCTGGATGCTCTACCTGGAGGTATCGTCCTTCATTCCGTGCGTGTGCTCAACGACAAGGGTGCCTTGTCCTCGGCGAGCAGCATCAAAATGTCGTCGAGGAGCCGCAGCGGAGGCGTGGTCGGGCTATAGCGCTTGAACGGCTGTCCATTGCGGCGCACGAGGAACTTGGTAAAATTCCACTTGATGGACGCGCCGAGCGTGCCGGTCAAGTGTGCCTTGAGGGACCGGAACACGGGCTGCGTCTTGGCGCCGTTGACATCCCCTTTGGCGAAGATCGGAAACGTCGCGCCAAACCCGTTGGCAAACTCGCGGATCTCGCGCTCGGAGCCGGGCTCTTGGCCTGCAAACTGATTGCATGGAAACGCTAGGATGCGCAGTCCGAGCGGCCGAAAGCGCCGGTCGAGCTCGGCCAAGTGAGTGTAGTTGAGCGTCGCGAGCCCTCATTGGGACGCGACGTTGACGACGAGGCAGACGCTGCCAGCGAACGCGGCCATGGACACGGTGCTGCCGCTGGGCGAGAGCGCGGTCGAGTCCGCGAACCGGGCGGGTGGTTCCCGGCTTGTGGGCATGGGATCCAGATCAAAACTGACCATCCCGGACGAGACGCACGCGTGGCGCTGTCCCCTGTCGCGGACCAGCGTAGAGTCGGCGTTAGCCTACCCCTGATACAATGCGATACCTGGAGGCCTGACGACGTGACGGTGACGATGGTGCGGAATCGTTGTCCAGAAGAAACGACCTGCGCCGGGTGTATCGCGTAGGGAATCGAGGCGCAATGGTATGCACAGACGCAGGCCATGACAAGGGCGCCGTCTCGGACGAAGGCGGGCGTTGGCCTCGATGTTACTCACGGAAGCTTGTCAGTTAAGAAGTGCGTTGAAGCTGCTTACTCGGACGTCGTCGCAGCGGCGGTGGGACTGATAGTGCAGGTACGAGGAGGCAGACACGACTTGGACGAGGAGGCAGACACGACTTGGCTGGCGAGATCCGAGGCCGGTTTTGATCCCTTGGGACGGCACAATTCGCTGGACCCACGAAAATCCCTGATATATGTGTGCTCTGGATGTTGACAGATGTCCAAGGGACCGACTACTGTATATACACTTCAACCGCGACAGCGTCTGCGATGCCGAGATGCTGCATGGATAAAATAGGTCATGGGTCACCGGTCGCACCCAATGGGTCGCACCGCAAAGCTCAGGTCTCACGTGTAAAGTACTTCTCCGGCTTTGCCAGCGTCCACCAGCTTATTTGCGGTGGGCGAACGACAGAACTGTAGAGTTGTTTTGCATTGCCACAACGATTGCAGAGAGAGGGATACCTCCACGCTGCTGCGAGCATCCAAGCATCTTTCGGTAATCCGATCGAGCAGCCACGTCGGGGCGGTTTACATTCCTCGCCAAGGGTCCATGACCTTTGTCCTAGCGTACTCGCCGTCCACGCCATCACGTGCGTTCTTATGTGTTTTTTTGATAGGAGGAAGGATACGCTATAGAAAGGCGCATTTGAAGAGCGCTATTGATAGGATGAGCCCGTGGCTTGCCAGCTTCATGAGCTCAAACGTCCCAATCCAGTGGGGTGGCGTGCTTTTGTCGGGTCTTTTTTGCCCTTCACCGAGTCTGACGGGTCGTGACGTAGCGAACGTACTCGGCGCAGAAGCCTCGTCGATGTAACCCCCTTTGTGTCAATCGGAGTCGAAGCCTTTTCTTGGATGCGTTGACCATGACGTGAGAACGGTATTACGTGTCGTATACGTTGCAGCGAGAACGCCTGTTCTGGACAAGAGATACTGGTGCAGGCAGGTATCGAGGACTTTCAGTGCTGCGGACCTCTGATCTAGCGCCCTACTTGATGGTCAACAAGAGCTCAAAAAGGCATTTCAAATCGACGATAAATTATTTACATATCAAGGCATAGTATACAAAGCAACTCAACCGACCGCGCGTCTAGAGCGTCATGTCGAGTGCTGTCGTGTGCGCGGCCACGACCTGCAAGAGGCCGCGACTCAGCCGCTGGATGCTCTCGCGGGCCTCGTCGACCGACGGCGTTGCGTGGCCGCTCGCAATGACTTTTCTTAGAACCGGCGCGCGCATACGCGCACACTCGTGGCGCCAGCACGCTTGGCCAGCGACAATGAGCGACTTGGCCGGCGCAAACACACTCGACGAGACTTGGAGTGCCGCCACACAGACGTCGTCGAGGATTGTGGCCGATGCCGACATGACACACACGCACGACGACGACGACAGCAGCGCCAGTGTCTGCGGGAGGAACGCCACGCACAGCGCATGCATCGCATTGACGTTTTCGGCAACGACAAAGATTGGGCCCAGCGTCCGCGCCTGCGTGAGCAGCGACACGATCGCCATATCAAGATTTGCGAGCTGGCGCAGAAGCGCTGGGTGCGTGAGCTGGTTGGGATGGATCGCTTGCGTCTGGTGCAGCCACGTGGAAGGACACAGAAAGTCATCCCACCCGAGGACGGTAGCATTGCTCGGTGTAATGATGGCGGGCGCTGGAACGTGGTCCATGGTCGGGAGCGCAAACGTCGTGGGTGCTGTCTGGAGCGATGGCAAAAGGAGGGCCGGCATGGCAATGTGGGAAGAATCAAAAGTTGAAAAGTGAGGTTGCGTGACTGATTGGATCTCGTGACCATCACTCGCGCTGCCGAGGCGAGACAAGAGTGGTGGTCGTGAACCGTCGAAGATCGCAAGGAGCGCGCCAGCAGGATCGAAGCTGGTGTAGAAACTACTGACAGACTGTAAAGTATATTGGATCAAGGGGATTGGATGTAGTGTCGACACAGAAATGTACAACGACCAATTTGGTGGACCCGGTGGACGCGGTGAAAGGTTCAGGATTCAAGTTCTTTGTTTGCGTTGTGGAAGATTGCGTTGGTATCATCAATAGTCGATAGCACTCGTATTCTATTCAAGACTAGCTAAGGTCTCCATGAAGCATTCCTGGTGCGGCCACGGCCCTTGGTCATCGTTCGCAACGGGCGCTGGCCGTGCCACCTTGAACCTCTATAAGTAGATTTTCTATCAAATGTCGCAGGCTGTCCCGTGGTGCCTTCTGATTGGGCGACACGAGGTTCAAGGTCACTTTTTGCTTTGATGACGACGACGCACCGCTACGCCACGACGACCCGGTCCTTCACCCGGTCCCCGGTGCGCACGCCTCGCCAGCGCCATGCCGCTGACGCCGCCACGTAGGTCTATGGGACCCATGGCATGGTCGCTACGAACCAGCCGCTGGCCTCCGAGATCGGCTACCGCATCTTGCGCAACGGCGGCAACGCGGTGGACGCAGCGATCGCGATTGCCGCCGCGCTCAACGGTACGCCGCCGCCTCTGGTGTCGCTATAGTGCCTTCTGTAGTCACGGAGCCGTGCTCGACGGGCATCGGCGGCGACTGCTTCCTTCTCTACTACAACGCCGAGACGCGCCAGGTACTAATACTGGGATTCGGATCGTCTTGGCTCGCCAACGTAGTACGTGGCGGTAGGTTGCGGGCCTCAACGGCAGCGGACGCTGTGCCAAGGCGCTGACGCTGGAGCGCGCGATGGCCGACTGCCCGAACGCGACCAGCATCCCGCTGGGCCATGTGCATTCCATCACGGTAGGGTGGTGATGGCACCGCGCAGCTCACAGCGCGCACAGGTACCTGGCGCCGTCGCGGGCTGGGTCGATGCGGTCAAGGCGTGGGGCACCATGTCCATGCAAGACATTCTCCAGCCAGCGATCGACTTGGCGCGCGAAGGCTTCCCCGTCGCGCCCGTCACGTCGTACCTCTGGGAGACTGCGTAGTGCTTTCCCCATCAACGCTTTGGTTGTCATTCTTGCGGACATAGGACGTTCCAGCTCACTCGCTGGCCGCACCCCGAGGTTCTTTCTATTATGGCGCAGCACAGGTGCTAACGTCGTGGTTACTTAGGACTTGCTCATCGATGGTCGTGCGCCGCGCACGGGCGAGGTACCATTTTCATTTTCAGTTTGATAAAACTGGACTCATTGTTTAGATCTTCCGCAACCCCAACCTCGCCGCGTCGCTTGAGGCCATTGGCCTGTACGGCAAAGCTGGCTTTTACGAAGGGCCGATCGCCGAGGACATTGTCGCCGCGGTCGTTGCCCAGGGCGGACTTTTGAGCCTCGAGGTAAATGGCACTGGAATGCGTGTGGTCCTATATCATACTATCCGGATAGGACTTGGCGACGCACGCGTCTTCGTTTGTGCAGCCGATCAAGACGACGTTTGATGGCATTGATGTGTTTGAGATTCCGCCAAATGGCCAAGGCATCACGGCGCTCCTTGCACTCAATCTGCTGTCGCAGCTGCCGCCAGATGTGCTCGCTGCGCACCAGTCGCCCGAGTACCTCCACGCGCTCATTGAAACCATGCGCCTCGCCTTCCAGGACGCCCGCTGGTACGTCTGCGACCCCGACGTCGAGCACGTGCCCGTGGACGAGCTCCTCAGTGCAGCGTACGCCAAAGCGCGCATTGAGCTCTTCTCCCCTGACAAGGTCTCTTTCTATTCCACACAAATGTAGTAGTATGTGACATGTACGATGTGAACTAGGCCATGGTCGACCCCAAGCGCGGATCACCCATTCTGTCGAGCGATACCGTGAGCTTCCAAGTCGTTGATGTGTACGGCAACGCGGTCTCGATGGTCAATAGCAACTATGCCAAGTTTGGCTCTGGTACGATTACTTGCATCGTCAAGGGACTGCAAACGAACATGGACTAGGCTTGATCCCGGAAGGTCGCGGGTTTTCGCTGCAGAACCGGGGCAGCAACTTTATCTTGGAGAAAGGCCATCCCAACGCACTCGCCCCCGGGAAGCGCCCGTACCACACGATCATTCCGGCCATGTCGCTCTTTGCCGACTCGCAGCTTCTCCACTCGACGTTTACCGTCATGGGCGGGTACGGCTCCGCGGTTGATAGTTTGATACGACGTACTATCATCATCTGTGCGGGAGTAGGTTTATGCAGCCGCAAGGCCATGTGCAAGTGCTGCTCAACATGCTGCGCTTCGGCATGGACCCGCAAGAGGCACTGGACGCGCCCCGCTTTTGCATTGGCGCGGCCGAAGGCGAGAACGAGAGCGTCGTGAGCGTCGAAGATACGATGCCAGCAGCCACGATCGACGGACTGCGCGCCAAAGGCCATACAATCCAAGTGCTCTCCAACATGGAGCGTGGGCTCTTTGGGCGCGGCCAGATCATCACACGCGACCCGACGTCCGGGGTGCTCTGCGCCGGCTCGGACGGCCGCGGCGACGGTGTGCCCATGGGCTGGTGAAGCAGCCTGCATTCGACGACGTCGGCAGTGGCTTCAACAAGATGGTGTTGACTACACGTGTGCATCTTGTGTAAGGCTGGTGTCGCAGCGCACGAGCTCGCAGACCCAAGCTCGCATTATTCGCTATATCGCTGGTTGGGATGTGTAGTACTAGTAGGTCCTTGCGGCAGACAAGCGTTCTCGACGAAGCGCAAGCTTTTACGTGGAGGCAGCTCAGAGGTGGCCGGACACGTGGCGTGTCGAGCGCGCGCGATTAGAAAGGTGCCAGCGCGGATGCGCCCACCTCTTCGGACAGTCTAGTCCATGTACAATATCGCCCTTGGACATAATATTGCTAGCAATCATCACCATAAACAGTTCGAGCACGCTTGGAGCTTGGAGACGTCCGAGACCCAAGGCTACGAAGTGACCAACTGGTCATCTTGCTGGCTGAGCGTCTGCGATAGCTCGGGCTATCTAATAACACGCAAGTTTGCTGCATCAGAGGTGCGGTGGAGGACGTAATGGCGCTGAACGGTGCATTCGACTGTGCATTTCCTTGTTGATTGCATGCTTGGCAGGCATTGCGGTTGTTGCCGTCCGTGGTGTCGCTTCAAACCATCCAAGCGTGGCGGTCGGTGGGATAAAGTGGCGTGCATCTAGTCGATTTGGTTTGCCCGGAACGGCCATCCGGATTTTCGACTTGGACGACGGTAGGATGGCGGACCCGGCGATGGCGTTCCACGAGCACATCGCTGCCTTCTACATGGCGCTCGCGGAAGAGAAGCTTGATGGCCTCGTGGATGCGCTGCAAGGCCTGCGCGAAGCTGCCAAGGCGGCGGCGGCGTCGCCGGAGAGCGCGCTCCTGGAAGAGGCACGTCGATATCGAACGCACCATGCGGCCACTCATCGCCATGTAGATGCTGCGCGACTGCGAGCAAAAGGCCATCACGAAGGGCCCGGCCGCGGTCCAGCAGTTTGGTGACTTTGTGTTGCCCAAGACGGGCGCGCTCAACAAGCGTCGGCCTGTCGCGTCCGAGGACCTCGCCGGCCAGCTCAAGGACCTCGAGGACGATCTCTTGTGCGTGCTCAATGCGTTTTACACGGCGCAGACGCTCGACAGCACCGACGCGTCGCTGCGGCGGCTGCGCGACTACATGGCGGCCGATGCGAGTCAACGCGGCGGTCTCCGCCTCGACCAGTTCAAGCGGCTCAAACTCTCGGCCAAGCTCAACGCCGACGGCTACATCGACCGCCACATCCACCTCGAGGCGCTCACGGGGCTCTTCCAGGACGCATCGCATCTGCTGCAGTACATTGAGCAGACCGTGTGGCCGCACCAAGTCGCCGAGACCTTTGCGCCCTTGCACAAGACGATCCTCGACATCGTCCTCGACGTGCTCGCCATGTACGGCAACGACGCGCGCCTCCTCGCATGGGAGCGCAAGATTGGCATGAACACGGGAACAGTCGAGGCCGACGAGAGCCTCCAGATGATCGATCTGCTTTTGGACGAACTCGCAACGATCCTCCAGTGGGGCTTCCAGTACTCGGCGGCTGTCGTCGACGTGGCGTCCCATCCCGGTCTCTCGACCAAAATCCATGAGCTCAACGGCGTCTACCTCCTCCTCGAGCAGTTTTACATTGCGCAGAGCGTCCGGAAGGCTGTCGCGATCGCCGAGCCCGAAGAAGTCGAGCCCCACGTGTTTGAAATCAGGTCGGTTGTAGGGCTAGGGATGCATGGGTCCTTTGGTTTCTTGCTTGGTACGATGTGTGTGGGGTATGTAGTACGGTGCAGGACACGTCGTTCGTGCTCGACAAGGCCTTTGCCCGCGCAAACCAGAGGTGGGTTTCTCTCTCTATACGGTGCAGAAGATCTCACAAGGACGTAGCTCGCACTACCACACGGTGCTGGCGATCGTGATTGCGATCGTGGAAGCGCTCGACGGAACGTTCATGCCGTCGATTCTAGCGCTACCAGATCGCAGCTTTGAACTGCCGCTGCCGGTGGCGTCGCCCCGAGCGACCACCGAGCCCGCGGAGATGTCGACGGGCGACGATGAAAAATCGTTTGGCGACGCGCTCTTGGAGGTTGTCGAGATGGACCTTACGGCGCAGCTGCAGCGCCAGGCCAAGATGATGATGGCCATCAATTCGGCGCACAAGAGCTCGGCGTACGTCGATACGCTGCATGCGCGCCTCGAAGAGGGCTCGTTTCCTCCCTACCCGCCGCTCCTCGAGTGCCTTCCGAAGGCACTGAGCGAATTGCAAGCCGACGTCGGCCAAGTCATTACAATCGGCACGCAAGAGCTGTACGCGATCCAGCTCCAGGCCAAATTGCGCGGGTTCTTTGAAGCGTCGATATCGCAGTGGCAGTTTGAGCTCGATTTGGACTCGTTCGAGTACTTTGACGTGCACGACTCGCCGCTGCTTCGCCTCGTCCATCAGGTGACTCACCTCAAGACGACGAACACGCGGCATCGTTGGTGGTCGTAGGTGCTGCGAGAAAAAGCCCTCCGGCGCTTCCGACGCGGCCTCAACAGCGTGACCTTTGAGCGGCTCTGGCGCGCGGTAGTCACCGACCTCTGCCAGTGGATTGAAGACGGGATTCAAACCAAGCAGTTTAACGAGTGGGGCGCCATGCAGCTGGACCGTGACGTGCGGAGCGTCATGCAGCTCTGCGCCAAGTTTCCCACCGAGCCCATCAGTCTCCTGGCCGAATTCACGCGCCTGGACCAGGTTTGTCCAATATGAGAAGAAGAAGGCGCGTCTGGGACACTCGCGTGGCTAGATTGTGCTCCTCGTCAACATGGTCCAAGCCAGCGACGTGCTCGAGTACGATAGCATCCGGTCGACGTTGTCGGTGGCGGAAATTGAAGCCCGCCTCACGCTGCGCTTCCGAAAAGCAGCATTGGCCAGGTCGTACAGCAACTGCACGCCACGTCGCCTTCGGGTTGATCGCAAAATTCGACAACCGACTCGACCACGGACCAATATATAAAGAGGCTTGTTGATCGCCGACGAGACGTAGTATGGTGTTTCTAGCCAAACGCGCCCATGGGCAAGTGCATCATGTTGTCGTCGCTGTCGTCTTCATCGCTCGGCGCGACGCTGCTGGCGCCGCTGGACGCTTCGTCCATGTCCAGAGGTCGAACGTTGGGCGGCGGCGGCGCGTCGGCCTTTTTCAGTTTCTTGGTGGGTGTCTTCTTGGGCGTGGCAGTGGCCGTCGGCTTGCGCGGCGCCTTGACTTGCGGCGACTTGCGCGGCTTCTTGGGCTCGGGCGCCGCCGACGGATCCTTCTTCTTGGGTGGCGGGCGCTTGCGAGGCGCGGGCTTGGGCTTGGGCTCGTCGGTCGCGTTGAGCGCTGTGGCAGGTTTCGGCTTGGCGCGCGACTTGGACGGCGCTTTCTTGGCGACGACCAAAGGCCCGTCCACCTTTTCTTCCTTCTTGACTGCTTTGGCGACGACGGGCTTGGTCGGCGGCGCCGGCGGTGGGGCCTATCGATCGAGCATGAGACGCGCGATCCGACAGCATGCTTGGATACCACTGGTTTTTCTGCATATGTCTTGAGGTCGCGCTGCCACTCCTATCGCCTGCAATGAGGTCGTGTCGTCTGGCCCGTACGCGACTACCTCTTGGGCGTCCGCTGGGAGCGCGTCCCAGGCGTCGTCCAGCGCCCGCGATATCTTGCTGCGGGAGGCGAGTGGGAACTGTCTCCGCATGGCGCGCCGCGTGTGGCGGACAAAGAGCGTCTTGGCGGTCATGAGCGCGCCGAGATCGGCGTCGGCGGCGCGGACGAGGTTGCGCCGGCGGACGCGGATACGGACAAGCTTGTCCGTCAGGATGGCCTTGTCCATGTGGAGGTCTTCGAGCTGCTCGGCGGCGAGCGCGTAAGCGGTGGCGAGTCGCTGCGTCTCGGCCTGCAAGTGCACGAAGCGCGCATGGAGCTCCGCGTACTCGGGCTCGGCGGCCATCGGTCTTGGCTCCAAGCAACCGCAAGTAACCGGATGCGTCCGCATACGCCAGCGATGGGACTCGGACTGGATTGGATAAAACACGCCACTTTGAAGTGTTGCGCGCCGCTGCGCCATGCCCGGTGCTGTCGCAACGACTGCTTGACACGACGACGAGGCCAATAGCAATAGCCTGCCTTCCTACTACGTAGTTAATCAGTAGAGGCATTAGACTATATACTGCGGAGGTTAGTGTTTATGCGTAAAGCGCTTGATCGTTCATCTGACCGGTTCATGACAGGATCGGCCCAGCTTGGGCAAGAGTATAAAGGCAGTAAAGACGGTGCTTCAAGGGAAGGGCCAACGACGCCGCAAGTTGCTGGAGGTGTACAATAATATCTAGAGAGCATGCTCAGCTGCATTGGATGGAATGATATTTTAGTGAATGGTGATCGAGTCCATTTGAATCTCAAATTTGGAGTTTTGCGAAGAAAGGTGTTGGAAATGACTTGTGATGAAAGGTGTGCTACAGCTAAACCGACAAGAAATACTCCATCTGCAATAGAAAGCCACCGTAATTGTGTACCGACCGATCCAGTATGTTGGCGATGGCTTGCGTGGTGTCGGCCGTTCGGTGTACAACCAAAGATCGAGCCTCGCCTTTTTGAGTGTTTTTAGCCCTACGCGCGGCTCGGCTACTAATTGTGGCGTATTGCCATATTTACCACATGAAGTCACCTGTTGGAAACGATGGGTGTGGATAGAAAGATCAAGCTTAAAGTTTAAAACAGGTACATTGAACAGCGGGCCCCACGAAGTCACATTGAAAATCGCGGAAGGATGGCAAGCCTCAACAGCGGCGCGGACGCCAAGATGAACGCGCTCGACGTGGCACTCGCCCGCGAAGAGGCCCTCGCCAAGTTCAAGGACATCAACTGGGGCACGTACTCGCGCCCGGGCGGCTTCTCGCTCGACAAGCACGAGATCAGCGCGATCAAAGAGATGGAGACGACGGCCAAGAACGCGGCCGCGCACGAAGAGCAGGCCGACGCGGTCATCGACACGTTCCTGCGCGAGTCGGGCGAGTTCCTCGGCCATGGCCTCCTCAAGCTCATCAAGAACGTCACGGAGCCGTCTGTGCTGCGCTACGCCTTTGCGCGCATCGACGAGCTCCTGCCCGGTGCGTCGTATCCTCGATGTTTCGATGTGGGCGACTTAGATCCCTGCATGCAGATGGCGGCCGCCTTCGCAAGCGCATCGAGTACTTTGTCCCCGAGGGCACGACCGTCGATGCGGCGCCGTTCCTTCGCCTCCTGCGCAGCGAGACGGGCTACACGCAGTATGCGGCCGGCCACATTCTTGCCCAGTTCTTGACGTAGGCCCTATCCGTTCTGCGACCAGATAGGATATGAAGCAAACGCGTAGGGTGCGTGTCAAGGAGCAGGACATTGCTGCGCTCATCCAGTGGATCTTGGACGCGCTCAAGGCGTCGGCCAACATGGTCGACGCGGCCCGTGCAGCGGCGGCGCGTAACGCCGTCACGACGCTCATGGTGCTCCTCCGCAACAACACGGCGCGTCTTCTCTTTACAAAGGCCGATGGCATGAAGAGGTCTTCCTCGGCTATTCAATCCCGATTGCACTCAATACGGTATCCATAGCGTCGCCGAGGTCATGAAGAACTGCCAAGGTCGCGCCCAGCTTGCCTACGAAGTGAGCTCGAGACGTCTAACGTGCTCGACTCATCCTTTCTCTCTTGGTAGCTGAGCTTCTGCCTCTGGACGCTCTCGTTCTGCCCGGACGCGATGGAGAAGTTTGGCTCGTCCGGTGCGGTCCATGCTCTGATCCAGCAGGTACCGACATGATCCGTTCCCTCTATTCCTCACTGCTTGGTGTAGGTCATTGCGGCGCCGCGTGAGAAGGTCGTGCGCGTGGCCTTGGAGGCGTTGCAGGTCCGCGCCGTTTCTGGGTTGCCACTCTTATATATTGTCCATGCGCGTAGAACCTCCTCGGCAAGCAGAACGGTCAGTACAACGAGAGCATGATTGACGGCGGTCTTCTCAAGACGCTCACGAACCTCCGGGACCGCAAGTGGACCGACGAAGACATCACCAAGTCGATCCAAGCCGTCCGCGACGTGCTCATTCGCGAGTTCAAGGAGCTCAAGTGCGCATCTCATTTTTCTTATTGTTTGGCATGGAGCTGATTGCGTGGTGTAGCACGATGGAGCGCTACGAGAAGGAGCTGCGCACGGGCGCTCTCAACTGGGGGCTCCTGCACACGGACAAGTTTTGGCGAGAAAACTACATGGCGTTTGAGCTCAAGGAATTTGAACTCATTCGGTAGGATCCTTGCTTGTTCCCATTCAAAAGAATGACCATGTTGTGCGTAGGCTGCTCATTGAGCTCCTCGAGTCGGAAGACCCCAAGACGGTCGCGGTCGCGCTCTACGATATCGGTGATTTTGTGCGCTTCTATCCCAACGGCAAGCACATCGCCAAGCGCCTTGGCGCGAAGAAGGTCGCGATGAAGCTCATGACGCACGAGAACGCCGAAGTCCAGAAGCATGCGCTCCAGTGCATCTCCAAGATGATGGTCAATAAGTGGGAGTTTGTCAAGTAAGCGCCGCGGCGACGACGACGACGAGACCACCTGCGCGACGGCTGGATAGTTGGATAATCCTGCTTGCGTCTATCCAAATACGACGGACGATTGTGTTTTTGACCTTTCTCGGGCTCCTGGAAAGTCGTGACAAGAGAGCGAGGTCAACGTTTGGGATAGAGACGACCGGTGCTATTCAGTGGGTGCTACTGCGTTTAAAAGGACGATGCCATTCTTCTTCTATACTAGTCGCACCTACTGGTACGATTGTCATGTTGTCCAACGCGCTGTCTTGCCCGATTGATGGCCAAAATTATTTTAATATTTTTTGAAAATTGGCAAAAGGATGGGGATCGAGCATCCTCCGCAGGGCGTCCCCCGCTAACCACTACAACGCCAGAGCAATTCGTGTTGCGCCCGCTTGCCGGGAATTGAACCGTCGTTGGTCCAACCTGTGTTGTGTTGTGCTCTCCATTCGGCCATTGTAGGGCTGATCTTGAAGCCGTGCAACACCTATCCGTAGACGTGGGAAGAGTAGGATTCATGCTCTTGCACGTCGTTTGGGACCATATCGCCATCACCGACACGACGCAGCACAAGGTGTGCGATCCAACGCCTCGGTGCAGCAGCACCGTATCGCCGACCTCGTCTCGATGAGCCCGACGCCGAGAGCCTCGACGCGCTTCTTTTGCGCCTCGAGCACGACGACAGCACCGGGCGCGTGAGCAATGAGATGGTGCATGATGTACTGCAACCCGTTGTGTACACGGCGCCCGGAAAAGTTTTGGACCAGTGACCAACCGAGCAGTGTGTTTGTGTTGAAGGTGTGGGCAAAGTCGAGTTTTTTTCTGGTTGGCGTTGGGGCAATCTGTGGTATGTAGTACGTGGTATGTGGTACAATTGCAGCTTGGACGGTGTCGGTGTGCGGCTTCATGTACGCTCGCAGTACATTTACCTGCACGCACACCGTGAAGAACACGGGAAGTGCGTCATGGACGCGTAGAAATGACGAGACCTGAAAACCCATGTGTTTTACATATGTTGGCACCATATTGTGTTCACTGCGTTTTGAAACTCCTTTCTATACCGGTATTATGTAAAATGCCTCACCACTACCGCAGTGCGTTGGCATCGACGATGATCTCAAGGACCTTGGTAACATCAACGCCATGTCCGTGTGGCAGTCCCCATTGTGGCGGCGGCGGCGGCCATCTTCGTGGGCATCCAATTTGCCCTATTGGCATATTGGATGGACTTGGATACATAAAAGCCGTTGCTGTGAGGGCATTGCCCCCTTGCAGCAACGGCTTCTATCTTTGGATCCAATCAAAAGCGAATTGCAAAATGTTTATCTATTTCAGGTGGCACAGCACAAACGCAATACTACTTTAAGATTAAACGACCGAGGCCTCTTTCCCGCGCGACACTCGTATGCAGCAAGTCCGGCCTGGCCCCAGTGCGTCGCATCTTCCTGTGCGCGTCGTGACCTTCAACAAGGTCTCGATCGTCTTCTCGAGTCTCTTCCTACTCAACCTCGCCTCCATGTAATGCATTCCACCAGAGCAAATCGATCCGATGGCAAGTGATGTGCTTGCGTAGGCCGCTCAAGGCGTATTTGACCGAGCCATTTCCGTGGCAGCCTCGTTCGAAGCCCTCCATTGGCGTTATCCCAGGCGCCAACGAGACGTTTGCTACCTTTGAAGAGCGCGCGCTTGCCTTCTACACGACTCGGTACACTTCGGGTGCGCACTGGAACCGGTCCGACTACTTTTACGACGCGGCAGAAGACGTCGATGTTCTCTGTGGTCCGCTGCAGCGCACGACGGACGCGTTCTTTACATATGCCAAACTGCCCGGTGCTGTCCTCTACTCGAACCGAGCGCGGCTGTGGCTCCGGGAGGCTAGCGTTGGAAAACGAAATACCTCTGACACCGCACTCGTTCAGCTTGGCACGCGCTTTGGCTTCCCATCGTTCATGGCTGCCATTTGGATCGACGCACAGGACACCGTGTTTTTTGCCGCGCATCTGAGCCGCGGCTCTGCACTGTGGTTCTACGTCAAGTTTGTTATTCGATTTGGCATGACGCTTCGTATTCTGTACCTTCTCTGGACGACGTACTATGTCCATTATCGATCCTTGGTGGTTCAGCTGCAGCACTATGGCACATGTGGCGAGAACGAGCGATTGGAGATTATCGTCGGCGACCCAACGTGCCTCATTCTCCAAAACACGTGGATTTGCCTCTTGTTTGCAGTCGATTTCTGGTGCAGTTCCGATGTTGTGGACCGAAGCGTGTTGCAACTGAGTCAGTCACTCGACTCTTGGACGGTGGTCTTTGCGACCTTGTATCTCTCGCGAACTGTCTGGTTTGGGTACCTCGTGCTCAATCTGAGCGGCTATGTCTTGCGTCGATGTGGGCTTGAATTCCATTGTGCCCAAGCCGACCCGACCAGCGTTGCGATTGGCGTAACACTGGTCGTTGGGCCGCTGACGTACTACCAGCTTCGGCAGTCGCTCTTCATCGACATGTACCATGCCCTTTTTACCTTGCTGTTGCCGTCTAGTGACTCGTTCAATGCCATCGAGGGTGCGCTGCCAGCGAGCGTCTACAGCCTCCTTCTCGGCGCGCTCCCATTGACCTACAGCTTTACCTTCCCCGCTCTTGAACGCGTGCTGCGCCGAAGTCGCCGCCGTGTATGGGTGCAGAGCACGCTCGCAAGGGTTGGCTCCTCCACGCGGCGTCTCTCCCGCGCTTTTTCTCGCTCATCGTTGACGCTCCGTGCGATTGACGGAGGCGCGTTTGCTCGTTTGAGCTACAACGATTGGAAGCACCGATTGCTTCTGAGCCTTGTCTTTGGCGGCTGCTGGAGACGCAAGAAAGAGCGCCTTCCGAAGATCTTCAAAGGCGGATCGATCTACAAGCTCTTTACGATCCACCGCAATCTCCAGCGCAACGCGGCGTTCAGTTTTCGCGGCAGCGACTGCTACGTGCTCTCGCACACATCCAACGGTGTCATTTCCCACCGCCTCAGCTTGAGCGACGCAATGTATCTCAAGCACCGTACGGACGTTGTTCTCGGTCTCTGTCCTGGTGCAGCGTTCGGACGACTGGTTCAAGAAGCGAATGGCACGATTGGCGTCCACTTTGGTGAAGGGCGCTCGCGCTGGCTTTTATGACGCACTCGGTCCCTTGCTGACGTTCTGGCCCGTTTGAAGAAATTAGCTTGATGGGGCCAAACATCAACGGCAGAATGTAGCCCAAGAGAAGTAATAAACATGCCCATGACAGACAGTATTGTTGTTGAAATGAGTCTTCTCGTTATTTTACGGATTAAGGGTCCTATTTCTAGGGTCGTCCTACCTCCAACCTAATATCCGGTAGGCACGAGTTTCCGGCATATGCCGTTTTCATCTTGCTTCTTCCGTGTGTTCCTTGTGGCACTTGCCGAGCGTGGCCTTATTATGGTGACCGTCTTCAGTGACATTCGTGTCCGGATGGGGGATGCCCATGACAGTATTGTACATCGCACGCGTACCAAGGTACCTTGGTAGATTTCTTTTGCCGTAGCAAGCTGCTACCGGTAATCCAGGATTTCGATGCCGGTCCTTGATTGGTGGCCATATTCCGGATACGAACAGATTATACGGACATGCTTGTGACTGGCCATGGCACTTCAACTTGATCATATACGTAGCTGAGCCCGATGGTCTTCTTCGTCTGCGAGGGCTGCAACGAGACGCTCAAGAAGAACAAGGTCGACCAGCACGCGGCGCGATGCCGCAACTGCTGGGCCGTGACGTGTGTCGACTGCTCCGTCGTCTTCAAGGGCAACGACTACGCTGCGCACACGACGTGCATCTCGGAGGCGGAGAAGTACCAAGGCGCGCTCTTCCAGGGCGAGAAGGGCAAGGCGGCGACGAAGCGCAACCCGCAGGAGCGCTGGATGGACTTGATCACGTCCGTGACCGCGCCGGAACCCAAGGTGCAGCAGGCGCTTCAGCGGATCCAGGGCTACGACAACGTGCCGCGCAAGAAGGGCAAGTTTATGAACTTTCTCAAGAATTCGATTGGCGCGCAGAGCGGCGGCCTCGAAGAGAAGCTCTGGACGTTCCTCGAAACCGAGTTCAACAAGCTCAAGGAGCCGGAAGCGCCTGCCAAGCGCAAGGCCGATGACGATGCGACGACGACGACGACTGCTGAAGAGAGCAGCAGCAAGAAGCAAAAGACTGAGACCGAGGGCCTGGCCGCGCTGGCGTCGCACGTCAAGGGCTATCTGGCGACGCAAACGGATGAGCCTGTCGAGGCGGTTGTTGAGCTCTCGGCGGACGAGAAGAAGTGGGTCAAGGCCATGAAGAGCCTCGTCAAGAAGGCCGACGGGCTCCGCATGGGCAAGAAGGCGCTGCGCAAGGCCACGCTCGCGTATATGCAAGACAAGTACCCGGAGATGGATGCGTCCAAGGACGCGTTCAAGTCGGCATCGAAAAAGACGTCGGGTGTTCTGACCCGGGACGGCGACTACTTTGTGCTCAAGGCGGAGTAATCGATTTATATCTTACGACTCAGAACTTTTCCTTTTAAAGCTACAGCCCGCTCGTGGGAGAGCCGTTGGATGTTGTTGGCGCGGTGAGCATGGTTGCCTATTGCATCAAAGCGTTGGGTAGTGGGCCCAAGGCGACTGAGTCCGTTCATACGAAGAGCCGAGGTGCGATACCACTTCGGGCGGCGCGGAAAACATCGAGGACGAGTTTACCGACGCGGGACCAGCAGTACGCTTGCTGGCAGTACAGGCACGCAGCGCCTTGATGCACTTGGGTCGCGCATCGACATACTAGTGCGTCATGAGCCAACAACAGGTCTCCCTACAACAACCGGTCCCTCAACACGGAGAAGGAGCGCAATAGTAGTGTCCATCCGAGCGGCGGTATAGCGGCCGTGGCAGACTCCTTTTGTGCATACAATGATCAGGTCCACGGTCGTCTCTATGTACAGAACAGGGTACAGACGGTAGCGCCGAGCTGCGATACAATACGAATTCGGTCCAACGCGCGCACATGAGCTCGGTCACGACGCCGCATCCCCGAGAAAGGCAGGTCACTCCATGCAAATACCGTGCACGGAGCGAGGGGGTGGCGAACGCAATTGCATCGTCGAAGCATCATGGCGCCATGATCAATGATGGAGATCATCTTTGACCAAGTGCAATTCAAGTTGAAGGCTCTGATGGCGTACCCCGGCTGTTTGTGCTTATCCGGATGTACCCCGGGGTACGCATCTCGACATCGTGGTCGATGACCCTCCTTTCCACCGGGCCAAGAATGCAGGGGCGTCGACCGAGCGCCCATGCAATAGTGGCTTGGGCAATGCGACTTGTGTGCAAGGCAGAGGACTCGCGCGCAATATACTCTTCCTTGGACGTGCTGCTTCGACTCGAACGATTTGGCGAACCGGTGTGTCGGTATCCGGTATCCGGATACGGCAAGCGACAGCTCGAATATTACGTATTGACGAGTGTTCCCCTGACAACGATGGAAGAGCGCTTCCGCGTGGACTCGTCGGCGTCGTCCGAGTCGGCGGAGCAGACCATGTACATGGAGCGGCCCGAGCAGTGGGTCTGGTGCCCCGACGACGCCCTCGTCTGCGTGCCCGGCGTCATCGTGGCCCAAGGCGCGGAGGCCAACACGCTCATCGTGCACACGGAAGATGGCGAGGAGCGGCAGCTCGATATTGACGAGGCCCTGCCCGTGTGCATGGACCTCTCGCTGCGCGTCTCGGACGTCGCCGAGCTCTTCTTGCAGCGGCCTGAGACGCCGCCGGACCACGCCGATGCGATCTCTGCGCGCTTGCTTGGCAACCTCACGGGCCGCAACGAGACACAGGCGCAGGCGCTCGAGCACGCGCTCTTGTACACCCTTCGCACGCGGTACCGCGACGAGCAGATCTACACCGAGTGTGGTGCGTCCGTCCTTCTGAGCATGAACCCGAAGCGGCCCGTGCCACTGTACACGCCAGACCGTATCCGCGCGTACCGCCACCGGCAGACGCTCCACGAGCTCCCGCCGCACCTCTTTGGCCTCGCGGAAGACGCGATGCGTGCGCTGCACGAGTCGGGCGACGACCAGGCCATCGTGCTGCTCGGCGAGAGCGGGTCGGGCAAGTCGGAAGCCGCCAAGCTCGTGTTGCAGTACCTCTGCCACCACGAGCAGTCGCGCGGTAGCATTCGCACCAAGTCGCGCTCCAACGCGAGCGAAGGCAGCGCGAGCGCGTCGTCGTCGTCGTCGTCGATCTCGGTGCACATTCCCGTGGAAGAGCAGATTCTGCATGCGGTCGCGGTCCTCGAAGCGTTTGGGCATGTGCAGTTGGCGTCCAATGCGAACGCGTCCCGCGTCGTAAAGCTCACGTCGGTCGACTACGACTCGCACGGCCGCCTCCTCGCGGGGAGTGTGAGTACGTACGGCTTGGAGAAGGCGCGCGTCGTCCAAACCAAGGAGCGCAACTTTCACATCTTTCACTACCTGCTCGCGGAGGCCAGTGTCAATCCGACGCTCAGTGACATTCTCGACCTGCAGGACACGGTGCTGGCAGCGACGTCGCCGTTTACGTTTGCAGCCGGCGACATTCGCCCCAGCGACGCCATCAAGTACCAGGATGTCGTATCGAGCCTTGCGGCGCTGCGCGTCCCGTCGCACCACGTGCAGAACATGATGAAGGTGCTTGCAGTGATTCTGCATCTCGGCAACGTCGTCTTTGTACCCTCGACGCCCCACGACACGTCCGAGAATGCCAGCTGCGTCGTCCTCGAGTCGTCGAGCCCAAGCCTTATCCGCGCCGCGAGTCTTCTCGAGGTCGAGGCAAGCGTCCTCGACCACTATTTTCGAACGCGCAAGATGGTCACGTCCAACCACCAATCGTCGCTCAAGATTGTGAGCGTGAGCCAAGCCGCGCGCGCCCGCGATACGTTTTGTCGAAACTTGTACGAAGCGCTCTTCAATGCCGTTGTGTTCCGTATGAACGCCAGCCTTCGCTCCAAGGTCGAGCGCTACGAGAAGAGCAACATTATGGTCGAGAACCGCGGGATCCACGTGCTCGATGGCTTTGGCTTCGAGATGGTCGCCGACCCGTCGTCGTCGTCGTCGTCGTCGTCGTCGCCGTCGTCTTTGATCGACGATACGATGCTGCTCGTGCACGTCCAAGGCCTCGAGACGCTCCACGCCCACTACTGGGCCGAGAAGGCGCGGTCGTTCTACCTCTCGCGCGTGTTTGAATCGCCGGCCTCGACGTCGCCTTTGGACCCGACCAAGTACGTCCGCCTCTACGAAGGGACGCCCGCCGGCATCTACGTGGTGCTGAACGAGCACATGGCGTCCAAGGCCAAGCAAGCCCATGACGCGCACTTTGTTAATAAGCTGCTCGTGGCCAACGAGAACATTGGCAACCCGTCGCTGCAACCGGTCTTGCCGTCGTCGACCAACAAGAAGAACTACAAGCTGCAGTTTCTCGTGCACCACTCGGCGGGCTCGATCATCTACGAAGCCGACGACATGGCGCGCCGCAACAACAAGAGCGTCTCGTCGACCGCCGCGGCGATCCTCAAGTCGTCGCGCAACAGCTTTGTCAAAGGCCTCGTGGACCGGTATGGGAATTCGCCGACGCACGCCGCCGCCGCGAGCGCGTCGGCCGGCCATGTCCGCATCGCGGTCAATTTCAATGCGATCAAGGCGAACCAACCGGATACAAACTCGGTTGCAACCGACCTGATGCAGCAAGCGACCGCGCTCTTTGATGGGCTCTCGAGCATGGGCCAGCACTTTGTCGTGTGTGTGAACCCGGCGCAGTCGGCCGCGATCGAGGTCGACGCCCGGTATGTGCTCCGGCAGCTGCGGTCGTTCCAGGTCCTCGCGCTCATGCATGCGTCGCAGCGGAATCTCTCGGTGCAAATGACGCCGCCGCACTTTTTCGCCCGGTACCGGCACCTCTGCGGCCACCGGAATACGCTCGAGTCGCTCGTTCGGTCGCTCACGGCGATCGGTGTCCTCGAAGACCTCACGTGGCGCATCGACAACAACCAAGTGTGGCTCACGCTGCACCAGCGCAAGAAGCTCGAGAAGGTGCGCGAAGTGTGCCTCAACGCCAACGCGACGATGCTCCAGCGCAATCTGCAGCGCGGTGTGTACCGCAAGCTCTGTTTGCGTCGCCGGTCGGGCCTTTTGAGCTTGCGCGACGCGATGGCGGCGCGCGACCGGCATGGCATTCAGCAGAGTCTGGCGTTTGCAAAAACGTGGGTGGAAGCGACTGCGCAGGTCCGGATTCTTGTGGCAGCCACGGCCATGTTGCACCAGATTGAGGAAGAGTCGTACCTTGTGTCGCTCTTGGAGGACGCGCTGCGCATGGACGTCAAGATTGTGCTTCAGTTTGCGCTGCACACGGTGGCGACGCTCAGTCCATCGTGGAAACCCGAGATGCTCAAGACGGCCCATGCGCGTCTGCGTCACAAGACGGCCATGGACAATGCGATGACGGCGCTCCGACAAGCCATGCTGTCGTCGACGGCCGACCCGTCCCGCCTCATGGCACTGCTCTCGGAGCAAGAAGGCCGGGGCTCGGACGAGCGCCAGCTGGCGACGATGGTCATGATCCGCGCGCTCGAGACGAAGAAGGTCAAGGACGCCGTGCTGCCGGCCAAAGGGTCGAGTGCCACCGCGGCCGAGTGGAACCAATGCATTGCGCGCGCGATCGAGTTTGGCTTGGGCGACGACCTCTTGGACATGATGGCTGCATCCTGGGACGCCTGGGCGTGTCTCCGTGAGCAAGGGTCACGCGGCGACGTCACTGCCGTCGAGGCCGTCCTCGAAAAGGCCGTCGCCAAGGAGTCGGTCACGACGATCGATGCGTGCATGGGCATTTTGAAAGAAGCCGGTTGTCCGCCATCGCCGCTTCTGGACGCGGCGGCGCAGCTTTTGGAGAAGGTGATTCTCAAGCCAAGTCTGGAGCGGTCCCAAGCCATCGAGCTCATCGACTTTGCGATTGAAGCCGGGCATTTGAAGCTCTTGGCGGCGGCGCTCAAGCGCTGCAAGGCCGTGGGCATGGCGTCCTGGGACGCCAACGTCAAACGGGCGACGCAGGCGCACGCTGCGTTGGCGACGACGGCATCGGCACCGAACGACGACGACGCGTGGCGACGTCTTGTGGCCAAGGACTTCGACGGCGTTCGAGCGTCGCCCGACTCGCCCGCGCATGCGATCGTGTCGGCCTTGGACGCGCGGGCAGCGGCCATCGCCGCCCTCCACGACCTCCCGGCCGAGACGCAGCTGGAGCGTGCGGCACAGCTGGGCGTGCTGCCGCAGTTTGCCTCGGTCGCCAAAGATTTCTTCCAGCGCCTCGACGCCGCGCGCAATGTGGAAGCGCTCCTGCACTGGACAACGTTCCTCGCGTTTCGCTTGGACCATGGCCACGAAGTGCGGCAAGACATGCTGACGCTGCTTGCGTCCCAGACACAGCTCGTGACGAGCCTCGGGGCAAATAACGCGCACGCCGCACTGGACGCCGCTGCCTCGATCACCAAGCGGCTTCAACGCGCGCTCACCAACCGGTCGAAACTGGAAAAGCTCTTGAAGGCGCCGGTGAACGCCCGTGCGCTGGCCAAAGGCATTGACGAAGCGTCGGACGCTGGCGTCGACGCCGCGCTCTTGTCGGCGGCCCACGACGTGCTCCGAAAGCTCTCGGTGGCCGCGGCCGACGAGACGATCGACGAGACGCCGTCATCCTCGATCGTCGACGCGTCGCATGGCATCGCGCCCCTCGAGATGGCACTGTACCCCGGTCTTCGCGTGCGTCGCGACGAGAACCCGCCGCCGTTCGTGTGGGAGTACCGTGTGTTGGACCAACCGGTGCTTTCGGGTGTCCCGGCGCACCACAGCGTGTACATCCACCGGTGCATTCTTGGCTACATGCGCGACCGCGTCATGTCGTTCCGGGAAATGCTCGCGCAGAGCATTCTCCAAGTGGGTTTGGCGCACCAGTACCTCGTCGACGAGATTTTCGCGCAGTTGGTCAAGCAACTGAGTAACAACCCGCGGCGGGAGAGCGTGCGGCGCGGCTGGGACCTCCTCGGTCTCTGCTTGACGTGCTTTCGACCGTCGTCGAGTCTGCACCCGTACCTCGTGGCGTTCTTGTCCAAGGACAACGTCTCGTCGACGACGAGTCGGCGTCGGCTCGAGACGACGACGACCGACAGCGACGACGACCACGACGTCGACGACGAGCCGAGTGAGGTCCACGACAACGAGACGCCTCTTGACCAACGTCTGGCGCTCCTGAAGGCCCGCGGCGTCGCCCAGTACTGCCTCGCTCGCCTCGAAGGCGACAGCGCGGCCGAAGGGTTTCTCCCGAGTCTCGGCGAGCTCCAGGCGTTCGAGCTGCGATCGCCGTTTGTCGCAAGCATCGAGCTTCTCGACGGCACGCTGCTCACAACCAACTTTCCCGTCTCGCCCGAGCTCAGCGTCATGAACGTGGTCCAAGTCTGCGCCCATTTTTGCACTTGAGCGAAGACGTCGCGCGCTTGCTGGGATTGGCGCTCTTGTCGGATGACGCGCCGACCGCGACGTGGTGCCATCCATTGGCGTACCTCTGCGATATCTACTACGATCCGCTGCGGCACCGCCGCCGGACAGCATCCCGACTGCGGTTTGTGTTGAAGGTGCGGCTCTTGCCGCCGCTTTTATCGGTGGAAGACGATCTCTTCCGCCGGCTCTTGTACCTTCAAGCCATGGACGACATTGTGACGCTGCCGTACGCGCATGCCGAGACGCTGGTGCGCCTCGCCGCGTACGCCATGCTCATCGATACGTACCCGGACCTGATGCCCTCGAGCGAAGACGAGGTCGGATGGTTCACTTTGTAGGAAAACGTATCACATTGATCCTCTTTAGGTGCTCGATATGAACGTGTACGACTACCTCCCGCCGGCATGGCACGTGGAGAAGACCGAGGACGAGTGGGCCGAGCTCATTTTCGCGCAGCTTTCGCGCTTCGCGTCCGAGATGAGCTTTGCCGAGTGGCAGACCCGGTTCATGGACGAAGTCCAGCAACACCGTTTGTATGGCAGTCACTTTTTCAGCATCGATCGCGTCGGTCGCAGCAGCAGCAGTGCGCTCACCAACGTGTTTGATCTCGTTGGTGACGCCTCGTGCCGACTCGCCGTCAACGGCCACGGCATCCATTTCCTCAAGGCCGAGACGGTCGTCATGAGCTGGGAACACGCCGATGTCGCGAGCGTCGGCGGCAACGGCGACAAGATTATCGTGCAAACAACCCAAGCGGTCCTTCTGGGCACGTGCGCAGAGGCGGACGCGCTGCGCCAGCTCCTCCACGACTATGCGCGGTGGCACGCCAAGCCAACGCTGCGGCGTGCGTCGAGCCGCGTCCCGTACCTCGGCGCGTAGACATGGGCGGTCTGTAGAGTGTAAGCTGTGTGTTGTACCAATTCGATGCAATCATCCACCCACCACGCCCCCACAAAGTAGATCCGGACTAGGGTCGGGGCCATCGCTTGGTCGTGCCCACAGCCACAGTGCGAGACATGGGTGGGGGTAGGGGAGGGGGAGGGCCATCCAAGACATTTCAAACGAAGCAACCGCACACTTGCCGGTGTTGAAAGGGTTGAGCTACAGCAGTGGCAACAAGGGCACCGTGCTCTGCTCGAGAGGCGGCGGCGGCAAGAAGCACAGCGTCGCAAGCGGCGCAGTGCCAGCCTTGTGCGTCTGGAGAACCACCTACACTGGGATGTCGCTCCCATACTACAAAGGGCTGCACGATTACCTCCTCGATGAGCTGGTCGAGCTCGCCGTGCGGCAAGAGCAGGCGGAAGCGTGGCAATGGCACGGCGCGGAGGCCCTAATCCGTTTTGCATGTCACTCGACGCGTCTCCTGTATGGCGTCGTACAAAGCTGCTGGCTTGGTGCTGGAGCGCTCTCTTCCGCAAGTGCTACATACGATGCATCCTCAGTTCCATCGATTGGATTGCGCTGGGCCGATACGATGTTGTGTTGCTTTTGAGCCAGCTTCCACTGTCCGAGGCGGTACTTGTTCATTTGCGCCATGTGCGCGTGCCGCCGGCGTCGATGCACGCGGAGCAGAGCGTCGTGGACGAGCGCAGGGTCGCACCACGGACGGTCGCTACCCTCTTCGTTGGTTCGTCTCCTCCTCTTTGTTACGACGTACCCAAGGAGGTCGCCGACGCAGTACATTAGATCGCTTGCATGCGCGCACGTGCGAAGTTGCCGCTTGTCGCGAAGCGCTTTGAGTCGCAGCTGGCAACGCAAGCTCGCCGCGTCGACGTCAGTCGAGCGTGCGAGTCGAAGCTCGATGCTCAGCAGGAGCTTGTTGAGCCAGAGGTGGAGCTCGGACGTCGCGTCCGATGTCAAGACAAGACAGCGCGTGCGGTCGTGCTCGAGGTAGACAACCAGGAACGGCCGTCCGTGGGGTCGCGGCAGCAGCTCGGCGGCCGCCGGCGTACACTGCACCACGACATCCAGTGAGACCGCGAGTCTTGACATTGACACCTACCGAGAGAAAAAAGCCATCGTCGACGGCGTCTACCCGACCGATCAAGTGACCTTGGCTGGTCAGCTCAAAGTGCTTGCATGGCCAGGTCTATGCGGCATCCATGTTGCTCTAGCGCAGTGGCGCCATCTCGTAGGAGGCTACCGTGGTCGGTGGCACGTGCCAGAGCACGTGGAACGGTAGAAACGGCGCTGCCTTGCGCTGCGCGACGGCGGCAACTCGGAGTTGGACTTCACGCGCATGCCACTGCAATTGCAAGAGCTCCAAGTGGCTCTGAAACGATCGGTACAGCGTTCGCCACCACGTTTGGACACGTCGGACGCGGTCGACAAACCGGCGCAATGCCTTGAGGAAGGCTGGCCGGGTCGTTGCCCACGTCAAGAAGCTTCGCAGCGTTGTCGCTGCGCGAAGACGCAGCGTTCCGCGGGCCTGCAGTAGGCGCTATCCAGGCAACCAACCGTCGTGTCCAAGTGTCTACAACACCATTCGAGCGTCGTACCGGCCACAACAGCCGGTGGATGATGTGCTGCAAGACGTGGCGCGTGTGCAGGACAGTCGCGCGGTGCCAACGTACGAGGGCCGATTGCACCGCTTGGCGTCGTCGCTCGAGGCAAAGGACGAGGCGCTGGCAGGTTCGGTACCTGCACGCGACGAGGAAGAAGCGCGCATGGGCCTCGATCGTCACGAGAATACTCACCCAGAGACGGCGCCGGCGGGCTCGAAACTCCATCGACTAGATCAAAAACGCTGCGGTCGTCGAGCCTCGAACCCTCGACTACCTGTGGCGAATGCACGGCTGCAATCGCGTCGGCCGCACTGGGTTGGCTCTTCGGCGCCACAAACGTCTTGCGAAACCGAGGCGAGTGGCTCCATGATGAGAGCGCTTTCGACGCAAAGCTCGAGCCTAGCCCACGATGGATGAGCGTCTTCTATACAGTATGGTGGGGTGTACGGGGTGCAGGCAGTGGTCGCGCATCGGACTCGGGCGGTGGCACGCGCGAGAGGTGCATGCGTGCATTGGGTGTCCGGGGACCACCTTGGCTCGGTACCGTGTACGCGCCAGGTCCTGGCCCCGTGGCGACCGACGACTCGACCGTCCGGTGAATCTCGGCCAGTGCCATGAATGCACTTGCGCGGGGCCCATCGAGACGCCAGTGGCTGCTGTCGTAGGCGCCTGGCCCCGGCGTCGCTAATGCAGAGGCCGGTGAAACTACAAGCTTGGAGCAGGCAAACGTACTACGTACTGTAGACCGAAAGGCGCGTGTCGAAACGCGCTTGGCGGGAGAACCTGGTGCACAGACGTGTCGATGGCGCGCTTGCAGGTCGGTGGCACGCGACGCGCGGCGACCGCTGAGGCGCTGCTCGGTACCATGAGCATCATCGGACTCAGAGGAGGAGCATACTACGCTGTCGCGCAGGTCGGGACGGTACCGCCGCCGTGCAAAGGGCCGTCGCACGGACGCTCTCGATTGCGCTTCGAACGGCGTTGCTCTTGTCGTCGCTCGCGTGGATCGCTGGCGTAACCATGGGTCCTCACTCAAAGGGACCGTAACCGGCACGAGGCCTTTTGCGCCAAAGCAGTTACCAGCTCCGAGCGCGCTGGCTTCGTTCCAGCTTGCTGCATGTGTATGCAGCATCCTCGCAAGGAGCGTCATTGCTCGTCCAAGGAGATCGTTCTAGCTAATAGATCATGACGCAGCTTCCGGTGTGGTTCATGCGTGAAGTCCAAGTTGCGTGCGTTTAGCCCTCTGGTGCCACGTGGAACTCGTATTTAAAAGATGGAGCTGCGCCAGCGCCGCCACGACGACCTCCGCAACGAGAGCGACGACGACGCCGACGAGGGCCTTGCGGCGGGCGACGGCGGCCTCGACGAGCAAGACAAGGTGCTCTGGGTGTGGCTACCGCTCATCATGGTCGGCCTCGGCGCGCTCCTCTTTGCGTCCATGCACGTCATCAACAGCCACGACGACACGGCGCGCGTGCTGCATGCGATTAGCCGCGGCCCGCGCGTACCCGGCGGCCACCATGAGTACCGCTTGACGAAGAGCGAGCTCGCGCTCTTCAACGGCGTCGAGCAGGACCGCCTCTTCCTCTCGGTGCTCGGCCAAGTGTTTGACGTGACCGCGGGCAAGAAGCACTATGGCGACCGCGGCGCGTACCGCCACTTTATCGGCATCGACCGCAGCCGCGCGTTTAGCTCGGGCGACGCCAGTGACGGCGAAGACGTGAGGTGCGCGACTGCATCTACCTCTGCCCGTCTCATGATGGTGCCCATAGCTCGTTTACCGACAAGCAGCTGCTCGATGTCCATCGGTGGCTCGTCTTCTTCGACACCAACAAAGCCTATGCGCGCATGGGCACGGTCGAGGGCGTCTACTACGACAAGTACGTGCTTCGATCCTCGACGAGCACGACGCGCAAGCATCATCATCCAAACGCCTAGGTTTGGCCACGCGACGCCACTCATGCAGGAGTTGCGCGAGCGCATTCGGGCGGCCAAGGCCGCCGAAGACGCGGCCGCCGCCATCGAAGCGTGCAACATGGAGTGGAAGGCGGGCGAAGGCAGCGTCGTGTGGTGCGCAGACCCCAACAAGTTTCCGCGCAAGCACGCGGGTGGGCGCTGCGGGTGCTTTACCGCCGCCGACATTGCGATGCATGGCGAAACGACGCTCGAGCTCATGGACCACTGCAAGGAGCTCGACAAGCGTTGCGTCTCGGCCACGTACAGCGCGTCTTAAGAGTTGTTGGGTCTCAAAACACACACAGAACGTATCATCATTCGATCAACATATCGACTAGAAGCTGTCGCTGAGCATGCCATCGAGGTCGGCTTCGCACATGTCGCAGAGGATGCTAAACGGCTCGTTGTGGAACGTGCAGCGGGGGCACACACGCGGCTCGGACGACGATGTCGGCGTCGGGTCGGCCAGCGCAGGCAAGCTGTCGTCCTCGTCAAAGGCACCCATGGTCTCGAGCGAGTCGTGGCGCGGCCGCGTCGTCGCTTCCAGCACGGGAACGAGGGCAGTCGACGTCGTCGTGGCGGCCGCCGAGCCCTCGTAGCCCTCGGCCGTCCACTGCAGCGCCAGGTCGCCGGCTGGCATCGTGTACAGCACGCAAATCGTGAGTCCGGGCACTTCACGAACGAGGTACACGGGCGATGGCGACTGGACGTCCAGCGTGAGCACGACCGGCGTCTGGCGCGAGTTGGTCACGTGAAACTCGAGCACGTCGCCGTACTGCCACGCCTGCAAGAGCAGCTCGACCTTCTCGTCTTGCTTGATGAGCTCGGGCTCGTATGCGATCGGACGGGGCGCCAAGACGCGGTCTTCGGGCGGCGACCACGCTTGAAAGCGCTTGTAGCGCAACGAGGCTGGAATGTGGTTGGTCGTCGATATCGGGATCGTCTCGATCGCATGGTCGTGTGTCGATCCCAGCGCGTCACGGATCCAATCGAGAAACGTGGCGTGGTGCAGCTGCATCGGAAAGAGGCTGCCAACGAGCTGCGCAAGCGGCGGCAACTCGTCGCAGAGCACGAGCAGCGTCTCGAGCACCTTGTGACACCACGGAACGTGGCTCAGCCGGCCAAAGAAGAGGGCGTACAAGAGACCCCAGTGGTGCGGCGGCGCGCCACGGCGCACCAAGAGCCACTGCAATCGCAATGTCTGCAGCTCGTCCGGGAGACGCAGCAGCGTCACGAGCGTCAAGAGCGCGTTGGCGATACCGACCACGCTGCCGTGTGTGAGCGTCGATAGCACGAGCTCGCAGAGACTCTGCGACAGACCGGCGTTGTCCTTGCAGGCGCACGCAACGACGCGGTTGAAAGCCGTCGCTGTCTTGTCGTCGGCTTGTGGCAGCCAGTGCCAGAGCCGCTGGAAAAACGCCAGCGAGAAGATCGTCGTCTCGGCATGCTCTGGCGCCAAGAGGACCATGAGATTCAGGAGCGGGCCGAGCTTGGGCACGAGAAAGGTGTTGCCGATGCTGGTCGTGTGCAACATCGGCGGTGTCCGGACGCCATCGACCACGAGCGACGTCGGCTGCCCGAGCACGAACGCGTGGCACCACGAAAGCGTCTCGCGCGCAACGAACCACTCGACGTCGCTGGTCGCCGCTTGCAGCAGCAGTGTCCAGTACTGCTCCATGCGCATCCACTGGGTCGAGACGGATGGAAGCCAGCCGAGGATGACATCGCACGCTGCGCGGCGGCGGCCGAGCGGGCACAAGGCCAACACATGCAGAACGAACGACACGTAGGCCTCGCGCACCACCACGTCGGGGCACGAGAGCACAAAGAGCGGCGCTTCTTTCAAGAGCTCGTCCAGCGACCGCGTTGCCATCTCGGGTGTCCAAAGCGGCAGCAAACGCTCGAGCAGCGACGGCAAGAGCGCGGTTTCCGTCGTCTTGGCAATGTTGTGCCACACAAACTCGGTCGCGAGCAGCACCAAGTTGAGCGAGAGCGACTCGGTCGTCTCGAGGAGCGCCATCAAAAAGCTATAAAAGTCGGGCTGCAGAAAATGGGCCTCGAGCGCACACCGGCGGTTGTCTTCGTCGATCGTTGTTTGCAGGACGGCTGGGAGCGACGACGACGGCGCGTCATAGTGCGCGTCCGGCGCGTGCGTGTACAGGAGCATGTACGCACTCTTCTGGCTCGTCGCCGCGCCAAAGCAGTCGGCTTGGAGGTGCGACTCGATGTGCCATGGGCGCACGATCGCATCGTTGCACTCGATCCAGCGCCCTCGGCCCGTCTGCACGTACGAGTAGTAGTGCCCCGACTGCGCCGTGCCGCTATGGACGACAATGCCCACAAGCGTATACAGCGGCGCCGCTTGCGTGTCCGCCACATACGCGCTCACGTCGAGCTCGAGCGGAAACGCAAAGGCCGAGTTGATCTTCTCGGTCGTAAACGTGTGGTAGTTGAGCGTGAACCGGTTGAGATGCACGAATAGGTACGGCGGCAAGTCGTGCAAGAGGGCTTGCTTCGTAATGTGCACGTTCGTGTGCGCCGCGTCCCAATCAAAGCCCGAAATTGCATCCGGTTTCGCCCACAACGCGAGCGACTCGTCGAGCGAGTGGAGGTGCTGGACGTCGAGCGAGAGGCAGCAAAAGCTTTCGCTCGACCGACGCGTCTGGCGCTCGAAAGCGAGTTCGTGGACGACCGAGCCCGTGAGGACGCGATGGAGCCCGACGGCCTCGAGCATGTCGACAATGTGCAGGTACAGCTGCTGCGCGTCCTGCTGCACGCCGGCTTCAAACGGAGACGCCTCCGAGACGCTGCGCGGACTGTACTCGGGGCGGCGCGAGGCTTGGAGGTGGCCAAAGCACGTCTGTAGCGCCTGCAAGAGCGGCGATGCGTCGGTCGTGTCCAATTGCAAGATCGCCGATCGCAGGTACGGGATCCAATAGAGCTGCTGCAGAATACTGTTGAGGAAGCACGTGTTGCCATTGTTCTTCAAGCCGACAAGCGACGACGAGGATGCCGACGAGGATGCGCTGAGCACGGATGTCGCAAAGTGCTCGAGCGACGGCAACTGCGGAAAGATGGATTCGAGAAGCATCG